AATCAGAGAAAATAGAAATGAAATACCTTAATTTGACAAACAATACAATTATTCTTACTAAATTGTCTGAACAACCTTGTGTTATTAGCATAATATCTGAATAATAATAATAAATTGATTTGTAAGATATTTATACCTTTAATAATCATCATCATACTTATTAAGAAGATTAACTATTCAAGTAATCATCAACTATTTATATAAATAGTCCTAATTCTAAAATTATATTAATTAAATCTATATTTGAAAATAATATTATCACTAATAATTAAGGATCTAATCTTGTATTTAAATGTGGAAATTTCTAGATGGAGGATTGTTATTTTAATTCTTAAAATGATTTATAATATTAATATTTAAAAGATCGTTTAATTTGGGGATATTAATAAAATGAAATAATTTTTATTGAGAATTTGCATTCAATTTTTCCTATTAAATCAAAGGGTGGAAATGCGTTTTGTTAAGCAGATGAAATAATTGTAAGAAATGTTTCAAGTTAGAATTCATTTGCTTTATAAGGAGGATCATTTTATTTTAGTACTTAATCAAATGGGATAATTGAAGTTTCGAATTGTAATTTCAATTTCAGCCAAACAAATTTATTAATGACTGAGAAATCACAAGGTGGAACATTATTTATTGATGCTTCTCAATCAGATTTAAATTTATTAATATCTGACAATCTTTTTTCCTAAAGTTCTAGTAGATAAGAAGGAGGAACACTCTTTTTAGAGCCTTCTAGAAATAAAAATAGAATAATAATTTAAAGAAGTGTAATTTAAAATGTTTATTCATTGAAAACTGCTTTCTTTAAACTTCCTATAATATTTACAAGTAACTCTTTAATTTTGAATGTTGAAATTTCTGATTTGCTAATTTAAAATACTTATCAAGGTTTTTTATCATATTTAGGTAGAATTAATGAATTAAGTGAATCAGAAGTTAAATTATAAAATAAAAATTATTTAATTTCTATAGAAAGAGGTAATATTACTGTAAGAAATTGCAACTTTGTTGATTTATTTGATTATGGGGTTATGGAAATAATGAATGCAGAATCAATTACACTTAAAAATATAGAAATATAAAATTTAACATTGATTAGTGGAAGCACACTTAATATTAAACTTAATAACAGTATATAATTATATATTTTTAGAATATATGACTAATGTGTATATAGCTAATTTTTAGTTAATATCAGTCAAAGAAATAATTGGAGATGTCTCAAAACCAATTTAAACATATCCTTCTATTTCTTCATCCTTTTATAAATGCATGAAAATATATTCTTAGCCAGAATAGCTACAAGTGTTCTATGATTAGTAGAATCAATATATTATTAGTCTATACAATTTTTATACCTTAATAACAAAAAGAACAAATCCTGGGTTTATTTTTTAAGTTGATTCTATTTCATCAAAACATTAAATTTAAATAGAATATCTAATTTTTTAGAATATTATATGCTCTAACTGCAAAGAAGGAATATTAAAATTTATAAATATAGAATAATAAAACAATTAAAATTTGATCAATCTAAATTCAATAAAAATGGAAGATAATCTATGTGGCCTTTTGAGTTGTTTGGTCTTATCTTCAAAAGAAATAACTAATTTAAAATAATATTCAGAAGTCAAATCAAATAGATTATTAAATTAAATTTAAACTTATTATGAAACTAAAATTATGAATGTAAAACTTGAATATAGTTACTTTAAAAATAATAGTGGAACATATGGAGGTGCAGCTTATATCTCTTCAATTACTATGATTATAAACTCATGTTAATTTATAAGGAATAATGGAAGAGAAACAGGAGGAGCCATTTATTTTGACTATCGTGAAAAATCTCTTTTTTTAATTTATGATACCTAGTTTTTAAATAATTAAGCAAAGGTAGGAGGAGCTATATTTATAGAAAACTATGCAATTCCAGATAAAGATAAAACAAATATCATATACTCAAATAACAAAGCATCTCTGTTTAGTGATAATATAGCTGGGTTCCCTGTAAAATTAACCCTTTAATTTGGTTCAAAACTTTTGAATACAAAAAAAATTGAGAGTAATAAAAACTAAGTTATTGAACAAATTGAAATCAACAAATATTATATAGGTCAAAAGAAACAAGACTTTTTAATGTTTCCTAGTGGACAAGTTATAAATGAATTCAAAATTTTTAATGAGCAAACTCAAGATTATATACCTTTAAATATTACTTTAAGAATAATACCATTAGACAAAGAGAATAGTCAAATTAAAGCATTAGATGGAACTAAATGTACATTAAAAGGGAGATAAATTATTAATTAAAAGGAAGGAGAGTTTTATGAAAATTTTACTAGTATGAAAGAGATTGTCTTCAATAAAACTAGTTAGGATTATAATTTAGATTCTATGATTATTAATTTTGATCCTGATTATTCATCCTAAGATTATTTATAATTGGAGATTATGTGTGATTCAGTGAAAATTCCAATTTTTGATGACAAACCTCCTTATTTACTAAAAAATTATTTTACTAATTATAAATTAAGAGTAAATTTATAAACATTTCCTTGTTAAAGAGGAGAATACAAAACTTAATAGGGAACATGTAAATTATGTGATCCTAATGCTTATTAATATAATGTAAGAGCTGGAGAATAATGCAAAATAAAAGATTAAATCAAAATGGAAAATGTTTCTTCAGCTAGAATTATGTTGAGACCTCATTATTGGAGACCATATGAGAGCAGTGAAAATATAGAATATTGTTTGAATATGCCTGAAAATTGTTTAGGTGGATGGAATCCTGGTAATGAATTATGCTCAGAGGCACATGTTGGAGCATTATGTGAGCAATGTGATATTTATAATATAAGAGGGTAAGGATCTTTTTCTGTAAGTACAATCTATAAATGTGGAAGTTGTGCAAACATAGGAGATAATGCTACAAAAATTGTACTAATTAGTATTTGGACAATGATCTCAATATTTTTATCCGTAAAAGGAACAATAGAGACAATTAATAAAGTTATTACTTAATAGAAAAGGTTGATATTAAAAATAGCTATACCTGATCCTAGAGCAGGGTAAGGAAATGTATTAATCAAAGTATTAACAAATTATTTTTAAATCATAGGAGTTATCTCAACATTTTAATTATAAATGCCAAATGGATTATAATTATCTGTTAAATCAGTTGGTAATCCAATATAAACAATGAGTTTATCTTTAGACTGTTTTTTAGTAGATATTACAACTATCAATATTATTTATTTCAGAATGATCTGGGCATTAATAATACCTTTAATTTACATTCTAATCTTTATTATTTTTTATGTATTAGCAGTTAGTATTAAGTTAACTAAACTGAATAAGAGTGCATTTACTACAACTGCTATCTATTTATTTACTTATTTATAGCCAAATTTATTAGGAGGATTCATATCTTTATTATCCTTTAGATAAATATCAAATTATTATTGGATTCAAGGGAATGTTGCCTATAGATACGATACCGATGATCATTTCCATTGGATTTCAACCTTTATTTTACCAGCTACTTTGACTTTAGCTTTGATCATCCCTGCCTACATGTTTATTAGCTTATATCTATAAAGACATAACTTAGAAGATGAAATAACAAGAAAAAATTGGGGATATTTATATAATGAGTATTCAAGAAATGCTTATTTTTGGGAAATTATAAAAATTCTGTAAAAAGGATTCATAATTATTTTTTTGACATTTTATGAAGATTTAATAATAATAAAAGGAGCTTTGGTTTTTATAATTATCTTCATATATTAATTGTTAACAAAAAAGTATCGTCCTTATTTATTTATTTAATTAAACATTATTGATGAATTTAGTACACTTATTTGTGGTACTTCCATAGTATTATCAATCACAATTTATTAAGCTGACTTATCAAACAATTAAGAGATAATATTGCCTTTTTATATATTTCTTATTAGCTTAAATTCCATATTTGTTACATATATTTTATGGGGAATATTATTAGCTTTATTAGAAGATTAATAAGAAAATCTAGATAAAATAAGGGATAAAATTAATAAAAGATTTCCAAATTTAATTACATCTAATTATATTCTAAAGAGGCTATTAACAAATAGAGAAAAATAAAAAGAAAGAATTCATGTTAGATTTTAAAAGATAAAGAAATATTTACTAAATATTGTTCGCTCTCACCCTAGATTTTATTAAATTCACACTTAAAATGATAGTTGTCCAGAAAGACCAAAAACAGAAGATTTTTTAACAAATGTAGATTAATTTCATAAAAATATAAATTTCAACGAAAAACCCAAAACTAATAATAAAGTATATCCAATTGATTTTAGTTTCAAATCAAAGGAACTTTTAAAAGATTATGAAAAAAGAGAAGATGAGATAATTAGTGGATGAAAAAAAAATTGATAATATTATATAATAATATATAATCAATAAAATTAAATTTTTAAGTTAAGTTAATAAGGTCTTTATCTTTTACAACATTTAAATTATTTAAGGTAAGAATAAATTACTATATCAAAAATATATCTATTTCTAAAAATTTCATTATTAACCAGAAAAGAAATTTCCATAAATTTTAACTATTCTATCTCTTATAAATCTTGGAATATTTATTTTAAAGAATCAACAAGAAATAACGTTTGATTATTTTATAAATATATTTGGCCATATTAATTGTAATAGAATTCAAAGGCCTATAATGAAATTTTTATAAATACCTCAAAGTAATCTTATTTAACCCAAAATTTAATTAAGCATGGATTATTTAAAATTTGATATTCATAGGAAAGAATTTAGAACTCATCTTATTATGATTTTCTAAGATTTAATACTTGTTGATGATAGATAACCTTAAAAAAAGAAGAATGATAAAATAAAATTTATGAATAAATAAAGCAATATCTAACATCGAAAGGTTTTAAATATTGATTATAAAATAATTTTCATAATTGCATGTAAAATATTAGCTTAATTAGACAGAAAAAGGGATGTAAGTAAATTTATTGAAAATATTAAATATTAAGAATCAAAGCTTTAATCAATAGGATATCAAGCAATTTCAGCTTTATATTATATTACAAAAACTTAGATATGAAATAGAATTATTAAATTAATGTTATCAGATAATATTTTTAGCTAGATGAAGTCTTTCAACTTAATTGTATATAAAAAGGATTCATTTTATAAAAGTTTATTATTTAGTTAAAAATTATAATTTTAGAAATTTATAGGATGACATATTTTTAAACTAATTTTTAATGTTCTTAAAGGTTAATCCATAATCAATAATAAATATTATTTTATTTTTTAGATCAAAAATGATTTTCTTTTTTTAAATAAAAGATAAAAATAAATGAGTCATTTAAAATTAAAAGTAAAAATTTTACCATTGCGTTGGATTAGATTTAATAAAAAATTAATATGATGTTATAATTTTAAAAAGTTTATTCTATTGTTATTTTTATAATTAATTTGAAATATTATATTGAAGCCAACTATGATAATTGAACTTTTAATTTTTCTTAATAAAACCCTGCCTTAATAAGAATATTAAATATATTTAATAGGATCCAGCAAATTATTTGAAATTCACAAAAATATATTAATTATATTTATTCATCTCTTTTAAACTATTTCTTTCATGCCTTACAGAATAATATAATTTAATTTTATATTAATTGGCTGATTCTAAGCATTCTGAATGAGAGTGGTATTTTTTTAAATAATTTTAATTATAATTCTATCATAATGTTATATATAAAAACATGTTATATAATGCTATTTCTTTACAAACTTATACTTTGAAACATTTATCTACTGTTAAATATTAAGTTTATTAAAATGGATTTCTTAGATGACATATAGAAATTATGTCATGATTTACACAAATGTTAAATTCAGAACTGCGAAAAACTACATCCAAAATGTTTTAGCGGAGTTTGTATAGGTTTTTTATAAGGGATGTGCTAATAATAAGATTATTGTGGATTATATCATTTTTCACCAGATGAATTACAAGAATAATTGGAGAAAAAATCAATAAATGGAATTTATCCATGTAATTTATGTTATAAGAATTGTAATAATGATTAGAATTGCAAATATTTACATCCACCTTGGTTATAATATATTTGTGTTAATTGTAAAAATAAAAAGTGTGATAAAAAAAAAGAAGGATTGTGGCATACTAATAGATGGGATGAAATACAAAAAAAAGTGTATGAATTATATAACATAAATAAATTGAACCCTGAAATATTTTGTAAAGAAGTAGAATGTTAATGTGATGCTAAAAAATATAATTTTCATAAATATTGTATCAAATATTTTTAAGGAACATGTCCTTATCATAGATGCTAAAAACCACATAAAAATTGGGAAGATTTAAAAGACATTGGAAATTTTTAGAATTTATAAGATGAAGTTATTAAACCTTGTATAAAATTTGACTAGAAAGTAAATAAATTTGTTAGTTAACCTCAAACATTATAATGCAATGTATTTATGTAAAAGAATCAACTTAAATTAATGATTAACTAAATTTAGTAAAGACCATAAGTGGATATTATCTTTATTTTAGATTGTACAAAAAGTATGGATAAATGGATTGAAGTTTCAAGAAAGAACATCACTTCTATAATAACTGAATTTAAGAAAAAGGTCTAAATTGATACTGCAATTAGAATGGCTGCAGTATGTTATAAAGATTTTTCTGAAGGTCCAAATCACATAAAATATCATAATTTTACTGTTAGACCAGAGGAGATTGAAAAATTCATTAGTAGCATAAAAGCTGAAGGTGGTGATGATATTCCTGAAGATTTATAAGGAGCACTTGATGTTGCATATAAATTAAATATTTGCAAAGATCCTGAAAGTCTTTTATAGCTATTTATTATTACAGATGCTCCATGTCATGGTAGGAAATATCATAAATTAGTTTATGATTCAAACTTAAATGCTCAAGACTTGGAAGAAAAGTTATAAAAATTTGTTGAATTAAAATAAAGATTTTTTTTATCTTTTTTATAAATCAATGAATAAACTTAAATAATGGAAAAAGTGATGTAAAGTGTAGTTTAAAAAAATTATTAAAGTGCAAAAATAGCTGATAAATAATTTTCAGATTATATTTTATTTTCTCTATCTTCTACTTATTGTAAATCATAATCAATAACTAATATTAAAGAGTATTAACATATTTCTTAAGCCTAATTTAGAAAATAAAAATAAATGCATTATGCTTATCATAATAGGTAAAATAATAAATATTATGATTAAATAATTGAATAAATCAAATAAACTTAAAAAAAATGTTAAACTTTGTTATTTATTGAAAATGATGAATTATAACTGAAACAAAAAGAAAAAGGATAAGCAGCAGAGGTATTTAAAGGATTTGATTAAAAAAATAATGTATATGTTGTGATAAAAATTCCAAGATGGATTCTTAAAAAATATAATTCTTAAACCTTAACTGATGATGATATTGATGAAGCAAATAAAATAGCAGATATAAAATATAAACAATAATTAATTGCAAAATAATTGAGTAATCATTTTAATTATTGTTGCAAATAATAAAAAGTGTAGTTTATTCCTCTTTATTATGCTACACCATATTTATATGAATTAGAAAAACCTTTTAAGGGTTTGAAGTTATTATATGCAGAGAGTTATATTGATATTAATGAACCATGGAAAAAGTATACTAATAATGCAGATTACAGAGATGAGGAAATCAATTTAACTGCTTTCTCTCATTTTACATATCAATATACTAATTTTTAGATGATAATTACAGATTTATAAGGTAAAATCAATATCTTAAGTGATCCTGCAATACATACATAAGATTTAATGGATTCAACAAATTAATAAGATGATGGATGCCGTAAATTCTTTTTGAATTAGCATCCAGAATGTTCAAATATTTGCAAAAAGCTAGGTTTAGGTTAAACAATAATATAAACAAAGAGTTTAACCTTTATTGAGGGTTATAACTCTGAAGTGGATACTCAAGTAGAGGATGTTTTTGGAAATAAAATTAATAGAGAAAAATTATTCAAAGTTTGCAATAACTGCAATGCATTAGAAAAATTTGATGAAGCATCTAATAATTATGAACTTTGTGAATATTGCTAAGAATAATAGTATGAAAAATAAAGTATGAACTGTAAATGTTGTAATGCTACATTTTCCATGTCTTATAATTTTGAATAGCGTTTTGGAACTACAGTATAATATTGTCAAGAATGTTAAAATAATTATTGTCATTAAACACTTGAAAAGAGATGTTATTATTGTGGAAAAAGAATATGTTTATAAACAATTAAAGAAATTATAGTTAATAAATAGAAATTAGATATTTGTATTGATGCTTTTTTCTTTTTAAGATAAATTAAATGTAAAAATTGTCATTCAAATTATAATTTTGATACTTTATTAAGCCAAGAAGATTATTATGGCAATAACTATAATTGTGGATGCAATAAAATTAACAAATGAAATTATATTATTAGATAAACTAATATCAAAATTTCTTTATTATTTTTTTTGTTTTTAATAAGAACTCTTAAATTTTAAATAGAATGTTAAATAATTTAAGTTTCCCTCTTTTTTTAAAGACTGAAAAAATATTAATAGTTTTCTCTTATTCAACTTTATTATAATGAATTATAGTGTCAATCATATATCAATTAGTCTTCAATTTGATGAATAGTGCTTTTCTACATTTCATTTTCTCTCTTTATTCTATTTATAATTCTTTCTGACTCTTTTTACCAATCTGTAAAAAATAAACTCAATGTAAAAAGAGTAGTCAAAATTAGATTTGATATTCCAAATCCTTACCATATACCTTTAGTACCATTACCAAGTCCCCAGTCATAAGCGAAAAAGGAGACTATAGGAACACAACAAACAAAATAAGCAAATATTGTTGAATACTAAAATATTTATAATTCTAATACCTATACTAAATTTGCTTTATTAATTCCTTTTAATGCTCCGCTTAAAGTTCCTTACATTCCATCTATTATTAATGATCCACCAATCATCCAAGGAAGAGAATCTTTCATAACTTCTTTTGTTTCATCTGCAAATTAATCCTTTCCACTTTCTGCTGTGAAAAAATCTATAAATCCATCTTAAAATATCCATAAAAGTGATGCACACAAAGCACAAGTTAACACAAATATTAAAATTCCTACTGCTACATATTATTTTGCTCTTTTAACATCTCCCAATCCCATTTCTGTACCAACATAAGACATGATTGCTATTGATAAACTAATTGGCAATCCTTAAATCATATATATATATAATTACTAAAAAATGTACCAGACACTGTTTAAAGTGCTAAATGAGCATTTACTGATGGAGTATTCAAACTTAATGCTATAAATGTTAATAACACAAATATAAAATATGCACAATATATATGGACTAATATTGGCATTGAAGTTTTGCAATATTGTAAACCTAATTTTCTAATTCTTGGAATATCAGGCAATATTTTGATTCCTTAAAATATTGTCCTTTTATATTCTGTCAATTAAATGAATGCTAAAATAACTTATAAAATTCTTACAGAATATACCAATCATATTGAATACTTCTGTTAATATGATAGCAAAACCTGCTCCAGGTATTCCCCATTCAAATTTCATTATAAATAACCAACTAAATAGCCAATGTAAAAGCAAAGTGATAAAATGAATAATGGCAAATGGGTATGTAATTTTGTATGATGCCATAAAAATCTTAATACTTTCAAAAATGATTGCTAAAATTATGGCTGGAATTAGAAACCATAAATACTACCAAGCACAATCTGCTGTTTACTCTCTCTAAGACTCTTCTACGATTAGGCTAAACGGTTTTTTGATTGCTATTAAAATTCCCGAAAATGGAATCAGAAACATAAGCATCACATATAAATTGACATTAAAAAATCGTTTGGCAAGTTAGTGTTTTCCATCACCTATTGCTTATGCTGTATGCATGTTTAGAGACTAATTAAATCCGAATCCAATTGGCAATACAATAATGTAGACACAATTCAATGCAAACCCATATCCTGCTACATCAATTTAAGTCATTCTTTCATAAATGTATTATTTACCCTTTGTTAATGTAATGTAAAGTAACACTCACACAGATGTCTAAACATACATAACCAAACACAGTTTAGAATGAACAGACTAATAAATTCCAAAACATCTTAAGTAATGAAGGTTTATCATCCTTATCCATTTGTATCTCTGTGTTTGTCAAATGATGGCAAGAAAGCATAATTATGTATGAAATTTAATATTTTTCAATAAAAACGATTATTCAAATTTAAAGTGACTAAAATGGATATATTAATAATAGGTCATATTAATACTATAAATTAGATTAATTTTATCCTTAATAGTGATGATTTTAGAATTTAATATTTATACTATAATAAATATCAATTCTCTAATTATAGTATAAGAAAAATAAATTCTCTAAAGGGTTTTAAATTAATTTGTGAATATGATTAACACTCTCTTGTGTATGAAAAAATAGTATACATATAATATAAAGTTTAATTGTATTTTTTCAAATAATAATATAAATAGATCATGAGATAAATTTATAATACTAATATATAATTATATATATTGTTTGTATAAACACTAAAAAAAGTATTGTAAAATTATACATAATACATAGAAATTAAATATATAAATTAATTATTTATAATAACAAGTAGTCAAATTCTGAGTACATATTCATTAAAATTAAAAGATCTATTGGAAAATGATAGAAGATCTATATTATTAAAATTACTGAATTTCAGTTCAATTAGTATAATTAGTTTGAATAAAGATAAAAAATTATAGATGATATCAATAAGTTTATGATTTACAAATATATTAATAAGAATCTCTAATTAAAATAGAAAAACTGAATAATAGAATGATTTAATATTTTACAAATAGATAAATGTGAATCATAAAGATAAAATGATAGTGATTTAAATAGATAATTGTTCTTATTTTGATTGATTATAATACTTTATATACATATAATATTTCTTTTTAAATCTAAATTTGAGGATAAATAAAAAGAAAAGTAATGAATAAAACAAAATTATAAAGTTTATTACAATAGTAAAGCATGATTAGCATAATCTAAATGAAATTCTCAATATATTAAATTCTTGTTCATAATGAAGTTGATTTTCATAATAAATATAAGTTACTAATATAGGTGATATAATGAATGAAATATTACCAGATATCTCAGTTCCTTATCCTTCTTAATCAGCAGATATTAGTAGTCTTCCTTAAGTGAGTATTGAACAGGCACTTGATCACCGATAAGCCAATAGAGTAGGTCGACCAAATTATAAAGGAAGAATTTGTAATTGCTGTGGTTTGCAAATTGTATATATATATTTAAAAAGGAAAGGGAAATCTTTAATTTTGGAATATCTAGTGATCAATTGGGATTTTTAGGCAGTGGTTATCCTTTGTATTTCGATTTTATCAAATCTTGTTTAACCATAATTGCTATCTAATATATCACAGTTGGAAATTTTTAATTAATAACTCATATTGGAACATTGTTTGAATTATCAGAGACTAAGGAAGGCTTATAGGAAAAGTAAGGCATATTAAGTCTAACTGCTTTATACTTTACTATGATCTACTTAATCTATTTTAGACATAATTAAATAAAGTTAGATAGTTTTTGCGACTTAAAACAAACAACTCCAGGAGATTATACGGTATTATTTCAAAAATTACCTTTGGATTTATCAAGAGAAGAATTAGAACTGAAAATTAAAGAAGAATTTGAAAATGTAGTTAAAGTATGCTTTATTTTTAAATAAATAATTAAACAAAAAAAAAATAAGAGAATATTTTTAGAACAATTATAAGACACATACTTTGAATAAAATTACTTTTCTGGAAGTGCTTTAGTATCATTTAAATATAAATAAGATAAACTTTAATTCTTAAAAAAAGCTAAATACAATAAATTTAAATATTATCTTAAATAATTATTGCATCTAGATTTAAACAATGATGGATATGTAAACTTTTAAGGAATACGTTTAGCTGTTAGATAAGCTCCAGAACCTACAGATATTAATTGGAAAAGTTTAAATGAATGGATAGAATTATCATAATTTAAAAGAATACTAGAAATCTTTATTAACTTTTTATTATTGATATTGTTATTAGTAGTGACTTGTACTACTGAATATAAAACAAACAAAATGATATCATTTAAATCAAGTTTTACACCATTAATAACTATTATATGTTATTATATTTTTCCATTACTCACAAAAAGAATAACATTTAGAAAATATATTTCTTGGACAGAAACTTAAAAGAGTTAATCTTTTAAATTGACAATTCTCATGTCTTTGTTTACAATCTATGTAGCTTAATTTGTTGATGGAGAATTGTTTTGGCTTTTTGCATGGTATTATATATTATAATTATAATTAGTAATTCATTTCTTCCTCCTTTATTTATACTTTTAAAACTATAATAGTAAATAAAAAATTACAAAATTAAATATTAACCATAACCATAGACTTAAGATGAATTGAATAGACTTTATGAACTTCAATAACACAATTTAACTAGAAATCATGCTTATATTAATTATACTATGATAATAACAAATATATATGGGAATCTTATGCCAATTAATTCAATTATGTCATTTCTAGGATTAAGTCTTTATTATTGGGCTGATAAATATGTTCTACTTAATCATTCTACAGTTAAATATTAACCATCTTCAAATTTATCACTTGAAATGTTTACATTAATATCCTATACTCCTATTATAATATCATGTCAAAACTATATGAATTCAAATGAGAACAAGATTTCTCTAATTTAATTAATAAGTGCATTCATATTTTATTTAATCCCTAAAGACTTAATTATAAATAAAATTTGGAAAACAAAAAAGATTAAAGAATTTTCACCTTATGATGAATCTTAATTTAATTCTTGCTATGATAGAACAAATCCTGCATTACAAGATAAAGCAATAAATAATTGGGTAAACTAACAAAAGAAAGCTCATGCAAAATAAAGAAGAATTTTACATTTATTAGATGAAGAATAAAAAGCTAAACAAAAAAAAACCTTGGAAAAATAATTAATGAAAATTTAAAAATAAATTGGTTAACTTGAAGCTTAGTTGGAATAAAAGTAAACAGCAAAACTAATAACTTAATCAGATTAGGTTTCACAAAGCTTTAATTAAGATAAATCAGAGGACTCTTGAATAATTGACATGTGTACATATTTTTACATTATATATATTCAACTTCAATTAATAATATTAAAAATCTTTGGCATCTAGTCAAAAGTAAATATTAAGTTACTTTATATTTTAATATTATTTATTTATTTATTTTTTATTTACTCAAAAACTATTTAAGAGTTACAAAAATAAAAAAGATTTATTTGATAATTTTCTCAACTGGGTTTATGTATTAATAATCTCTGATATTTTTTATGTATTTTATGAATAAAAATAAATAAATCTTTGATTAACACTATGAAGTTATACTATAAGTATTAATCATTGCTACTTATGGATATCTATTGATTTGATTATAAAATCATTTAAATATATGATAAGACAGTTCCATATAAGTAGATAATTAAAATATTTACAATAATTAAATAATAATCAAAATATTACTAAATTTGTACATAAGTTCATTAATTGAAAAAAATTTAACTATTTATAAATAATTTATTTATAACTCCTAAATAAATAATTGTTTTAATGAGAAAGAATGAGTATGACTTATATGTAGATGATTAGATCTAATCTACAAAATATTAATTAACTCTAAAATGTAAATATCATACAAAAGTTTCATAAATAAAAAAGTATTTTTACAAATACATCAAATAAAATATTGAGATTATTCATAATGATTTTACACTCTAAGATTATATGATTGTAGATTAGATATTCTCTCGATATTGTTAAAATATTATTACTATATGCTTAAAAGCAAATCCAATGATTGATTGTTTTGTTAAACATCAAATGTAATACTAAAATTTACTAAAATAAAAAACTACTTAAAATGAAAAAATATTAGAGGAGCTTTCAAAAATGGAAGATCCTTAAAGTGATTTAGATACTCAATCAACAATTACATTAAAGAAATGTACAAATTGTGGAATCTATGATAAAATGATTGAAAACTATTAAAGTTCAATATTGAATCTAATAGAAGAAAATGAACAATTGTAATTAAAAATGAAATAACTTCAAGATCAACAAAAAATAATATTATAGAATGAATTTAATAAAGTGAATAACAGAAAAAAACATAAAAGATCATGATTATATCAATTTTTTCATCATATTTGTAAATTCTACTAATGATAAAGCTCCATCATGATTTGCATCAACTTCATTCATTATTTCTATCCATTAATCATTGCCAGCCAAATTACATTTAAAGGCTTCACATAATTCTTCAACATTAATATTTCCAGAAGCATTCTATAATATTTGATTTCACTAATACTCTGTCTATCAATTTAAATGCAGTTTCAATCTTAGACTTTTATAAAATTGCTTATTTATCTATTGCTTAAGCTAAAAATTGCGAATAAGATAGAGTTTCATCTTCACCACATATCTTATTAGTTTACCTTTCAGTTGTCTCAAAATCAAATATTTTTAACATAGCAGTTTATAATTCTTCAACATCAATATACCCATCATTTTTTGAATCAATATATGTAAATATCTCTCTTAATTCACTCAATTCCTCTCTTGAAGCTAAATACAATACTATTAATTTTAGTGTTGCTTCTTATAATTTTGATTGACTATTATAATTAACTAAATTTGTTAACACTCTTTTTAATTAACCATCACTAACCTATAATTCAAAATTCTTAACAATCCAAGGATCATTCAAAGCTTATTCTATTGTTATTCTTTGACTTGGATCTTTAATTAAAATTTTCTTGACAAATTCTTTTGATTCATTGCTGTACTTGTTCCAATCTTATTCTTCAAAAATTAAAGGCTTCTTGAGAACATTGTCAATAATTTTTCTATTTGATTCTCCTCCAAAAGGAGGATATCCACATAATAAAATATAAGTGATAATTCCAATAGCCCAAATATCAATTTATTCATTATATTTTTTTTATTGTATTTCTGGTGCTTAATAATAAGGATGGTTAACTGAACTATGCATTTTATGGGATATCTTTTAACACATACCAAAATCAATTAAAATAGCTGAAGCAAATTCAGAACTTCTTTCAAGCATAATATTTTCAGGTCTGATTTCTCTATGAGCAATCCCATGAAGATGACAATAATTTAATGCATATAATAATTATCTAATGATTCTTGCTGCCTATGTTTCAGAGAATGTTCTTCTCTCTTAAATTTTACTAAATAATTCTCCTCCAGAATAATAGTCTGTTATTATGTAATGAAATCTGTCATCACTATAATATTCATTTATTTTTAAAATATTTGGATGATCTAGTTTTTCTAAAATGTTGACTTCTGATGTAACTCTTTCTTCTTCTTTTTCATTAGCATTCTTTTATACTATCTTTACAGCTCTCATTATTCCAGTTTTTTTATTTATTACTTTACGTATTTCTGAATATTATCCTTTACCAATTGGAGGTGTCAAGAATTAATATTCTGTACTAACTCGACCCTTTTTTTTAATTAAAAGGTTTAACGCTAATACAGAGGGTTTCTCTATCGTTATTAGTTAAACTTTTACATTCTTATTTCCTTTGATACTCCTATTCAAATTCCGCCTAGCTTTTCATTATTTTATTACCCATTGATATTTATTAATAATGATTATTTAATAATTTTATAATAATTCTTAAAAATACTATTATCATTATAATATGATTTTTATTTACACCTTATAAGAATGTGAGGTATGGTTAGTTTATTAAATTAAAAATACATTATTTCAATTAAATAATTCCTTAACTTTATTAATACATCCAATAACTTTTTCTCTTAATGTCTTTATTGTCAAATTAAATCCAGTTTTTATTTTAAAATCACCATCTAAGTAACCTCTAATTATTAATTTCCCATCTTTTTAACTTATTCTCAATCCTCCTAACATAATTTATCCTTCCTAAAACTATGAAGTTCTAATAAAATTATAAAATAATTTACATTTTAGATTATTATTGATCTTAAAATCTAATTGATTTATAAACAATGAAATAATCTTCATTCAGCAATTCTATATATTTTATGTATGTAATTAATTGTTTTTTAATCATCAAATGTTTGTTTAATTGTAATTATCCAATAGACATTTATTCATTGATATGCTTTAATTAATAGTTTTCAAATAAATCATAATCAAATAAAGTGTTTTCATTAGACCATTTAAGAAATTTATTAATTTCTGTATTCAACTCAAATTGAAACCTATATTATAATTATTATATAAACACTTAATTTAAATGAACATGACATTTTGCATAAAATAATGAGAAAAATACAATTCAATATTATTGATATTCTAAATATAGGTATCACTGTCATCTATTATATCAACTAATTCAGTAAATTTTTCAAGTGTCTCTTACACATATAAAGTTAATTCATCAACTTTTATAGAATCTATGTTAGAAAATGTAATAATTCCATTTTCTATTGATTGTAATTATTATTATTGCAGTTGATTTGTACAATCTGAAATCTGTTTATTTTACTTTTTTAAAATAAATTTATCTTCTTCTTTTATTTACATTGATGAGTTTGTAGAAGGTGATCTTACAATTGATAATTATTTATTAGAAATGGTTTCCAATGTTAGATCATTCTCATTTTTTTCCTCGTTTTTATCTACTTAACATGATGATAAATCATTAGAATGACTAATATCTTGTGCAAAACCTAAATTTGGGATGGAATAAACTTATCTATTATGCTTGTATTTTTCCTTATGTTTCTTCAGCAGGATTATTGGATAAATTTACTAATTAATGTGAAGACACTGAGGCAGAGGGCTTGCTTCTTATGAAAAAACAACACTCTTTGCATTTAGTGATTAATAATCCCATTTTAGTTTTCAAAGTTGATTATTTTTATAATACTATTTTTATTCAAATAAAAAATACTCTATTTTGTACATATTATGATTTATAATTAAAATAATTAATCTTTTGTAAATTTTAATAGGTTCAAATTAATTATCATCATAGCATCAAATTTCAAATGACCTTTACTTGCCTAGTAAAAATGGACTTAATACAGTTCCAGAATCTCTTTTTGAATTACTTTGATCCATGCCAAATTTTATAATTTATATAGTATTAATCATTGGTGATTCTCCTATCACCTGTTAAAAAATTATATTTCTCTATTTTGGTTATTCACTAAATTAATGAAACTTATACTAAAACTCTTATTCTTTTGATGTAGGATCAGTCTTAAATTTAAGACCTAATGATTTTAAATAGCCCACCACTCGCCTTTCTACTTCCAATTATTATAAATCGTGACAATGAAATTGTGGTAATAAACTATCTAATGATTCAACAGACTCTCTAGCAAAGTCTTCAAGTATTTCAATTTTAGATCTTGATAAATCCTCTCCTTTTTTACCATATTACATGATTTTTTAAATGAAATATGAAATTTGTTAAATAATGATAAGAATTTTTGATTTATATATATAATGGTCAAAATTACGCTTCTAACAGTTATTGGTCCTACAATTCGATTACATCATTAAGGTTAAAATAATCAAAAATACTTAGATCATCTTCTAAATAAGATATTATTCTTTTAATCTCTGGATGCCAATGGCTAAATTAAGTCAAAAAAAATACTTTTAATAAGATGCTAATTCTACTAGTTAGGTATCACCTTATTATAAAAATTGTTTTAGTGTAACATGCTTTTTGAAGATGTTAAAAATTAATTGAGTAGCTGACAATTATAAAGAACATGATTCTTTAAGAAAAGCTCTAAGTACAGATTAAATTATTCTAGCTAATGTTTATAAGGGAACTTTTGATGACTTAGTTGCTACATCAATTAATTTAAATAATTTTGATTTTGATGAACATTCGAATGCTCCTTCAGTATCAATAATTTGTATCAACTATTTGAATATGAGAATAGTTTTACTCTTTCATAGAAATTTTCTAAATTATAATTAAATCTAGTAATTAAAATCAATAAAGATTAAAGAGAATTAATTTTTAATTCTAAACTTCCATTATCTATACTATGTTATAAGAAATCAGCTAAAATTAATGGATTATCCACTTTATCAACCAAATGAGTATTTATCAATTTTGAAAATGAAAGTCTTTCTTAATTATTGGTAATCTTTGATAATTGTTTTTAAACAAAAATAGTAAATTGAGCCTTATCTGTTTATTCAATTTCTGGAAATCTTTTTAATAATATGATAAATTTCTCAAAATCAAATGTGAGATATTGTAATACTTCAAAGTAATTAGAATGAATAGGAATTTCAAATCCTTTTTCAACTGATGTTTCTACTAGTCTTACATATGGTGGACAATTAATTGTTTATTCAATGCTTAATAATAAATCATTATAAAATGAATGTTAGAATAACAATCTTAAGAAGACACTCCATTTCACATTCAAAAAATTGTCTATTTAATTACTTTCATTTTATCTATTATTATTATTTTTTTTTAAGTTCCATTAATTCCATTCAGATCCATATGAAATCACAAATAACTTTTTATCTTGCAAATATAAAAAAATCCTTCTTAGAGTTTAAACTAACTCTTGTGTCAATGGCATAGACAAGAGTGAATTCAATTTGTTTAGATTTCCATCTTCAATAATCTCACTTGCTAGTTTAAGAATAACCATCAATTAATTTTATATTATAATATATGCAATAATTATTGAAAGAAGGAGGGAACAGAAATCCTAAATAAAATTAATTTGAATGGAGATCTATTACTCCTGAAAGAGAATTTGGTTAAATGTTATAAGGTAAACCTTTAATAACAGAACCAAATGAAAATAAATAAACAGCTAAATCAATGAGTTAAGAAAATAATATCAATAATCATGATTTCTAATCAAAACATACTAATTTAAATAAGTTATTAATACCTGAAAGTTAGTAATAGAAATTTTAAAGACCTTTAAATTACATGTAAACATCATTAAAGAAAATGTCAGAAATTGGTTAACAAATTAATTCAATCTTACAAAAATTCAAATAAAATAGGATTCATCGACCTCAATCAGATTTAAATATGTTTGATAAGCATTCTATGATGAAAAAAACTAGTTAAAATGACATTAGTCTATCAACTAATTTGAATTTGAATCATAGTTATATTGATAATCGAGGTACTGAAACTGAAAGATCATATTTTTAATACAAAAATCATAAAGATAATGGAAAATAACTTAATAAGGATTCAAAAGAATATCAATTCCTATTTTAAAACAGTAATAATTAATTTTAAACGAATTCTTTAAAAAAAATTATAGAAAAAAAAATAGCTTTAGCTATGTAGACAAATACAAATAATAATTTATATAATGATTACAAAAAATAAATTAATAAAGAATCTAAATAAGATAGATCTTATAATATCTAAAAATATATTACAAATAAATTCTTAAGAAATTCATCATGTTTATAACCAAATGAAAAAAGTGATAGAAAGAATAAATAAATGTCTAGTTATTTTTCATAAAATCATTATTCTAAAAGTTAATCCTCATTCTTAATTGAGAGAGAAAATAGCAAATCAGAAAATACAACTAGTAGAAATAATAGAATTAGAGTATCTAGTTATATTAAAACACCTACTAAAAATAATAGTGATCTAATTAAACAATTTAGTCCTAGATTTATTTCTTAATAATTATCTTCATATTAAGTTAGTTCTAGTAAAATTAATTCTTTATTGTCATCCATGAATAAAGATATAGAAAAAATAAAAACACATAATAATATTTAAAATTTAAATATTTATCATATATAGGCAATACCACTATTTTTAAGTAATGATCCTAATTAAACTCATGTAATTGTTGCATGTTCTGATTTATCAGTACGCGCAATCAATTTATATTCAGGTAGAATATAAGTATTGGGTAAACATTATAAACCAATTAAATCTATTACTAAAATTGTAATTTAACATAATTTTAAAACATTTTATTCTTGCTCATTAGATAATTAAGTAATTTAATGGGTAAGTGAATCAATGCATGGCACCTATAGATTGAAACATTCTTGGAGGATGGATGAAGTCCCATTATAACTCTATTAAACTGAAAAAGGAGTACTATATATTGTAACAGCTAATTATATTTTCTATTTTTCTTCTGTAACAAAAAAATAAATTTCATATCATGGAGTATTTAATTGTATGATTTAAACATCCAATAATATTTTGGTTGCTATTGATAATTTCATATACAAATTATAAGCTGATACTCTCTAATTAGTTTGTACTTCAAAAAAGCCTATAAAAAATATGATATATGAAGAAGGCTTACTTTATGTACTTTAAAGAGATGGAGCATTATTAATTTATGAAGAAGCAAAACATTTAAAGTTTAATTCAGAAATAGATATAGGAGCTATGAATATCTATAGCATGCAAAATGGTTAAATTATTATCTAAACAAATGATAGTGAATTTATTGTTTATTCTTAACAAATAAGTAAATCATATCAGATAGATGGTAAAATAAAATGTCTATTAGCATTATAATAAATGTTATTAATAGGAAGTAATAAGAAATTGATTGAAACACTTAAATTTTGAATATTATATTATGTTTACTTTATAATGAAATAATTATCTAAGGATATTATAAATAAATTATTATATAGAAGTATTTACATTAAAAATATAAAATGAAATAAAGTATTTGTTTAGAATCACTAGAAATATGTCTATATTATTTAATTATCACTCCAAATTTAGGTAGCATAAAGAAAAAATATATGTGAAATTCTATCTGATAATATATATTTTTATAATTATTTTAATGAATAATTAATTCCTAATCTCTTAAGAAAATATTTAAATTTTAAATATAAATAACATTTATAGCATTCATTCTTAAATTTATTAAATTAGCATTTTGTTCAATCTAAAATACCTTTCTATATCTACTTTATTATTTTTCACAAGGTATCTACACCATTAAAAATCTAACAAAAATTTCATTGCTATACTCCTCATCTATTAACAACTCTTTATTGACCTTATTAATTTTAATTTTCCAGAAAATTGAGGATTGCTCTCTAAAAATTTTTTAGCTTTACAAGTAAACTGAATATTGTCTTGAATATCTTCCATAAATTTTTGTAGAGCTCCATGTATGCATTTGTAATAATTTTTGGTAGTTTTAGGATAAAATTATTATTCTACTTAAGGAGAAGTAATCCCAATTGGATTGGGATTACTTGTATATTCTATTATTATAGGTGTTTGAGAAATTTGATCATAAATTATATTAAATTGGTCTTCATTAGATTTTTGCGATATAATGGATAGGTCTTAATTACTTTGTGAATCACCTTCATTCATATGAGGTGAAGAGCATGCTTGACTATGAAGTTCTACTTAACAATCCTTATAAATTGCTTCATCATTAAATGAGCATTTCTTCAAAATACTTCCATCATCATCATATAAGTATAAAGTTTGCTTCGATTAATTTTTGGTTGGTAACTTACTTAATTAATTTTCTTATGAAGTTTAGTTTCTATGATTTAAAGATGATTGATCTTAGGATTTCTACCCATCTTTTTAAATTGTATTATCCTAGTTTGGTAACTCTTAAGGTGAATCATTTTATGAATCTCTGTCCTTATCAATTTAAGATTATTCATCTAAGGATTACTCTTCTTAAATGTTATTTTCCTAGACTGAAAACTCAAAAAATATATTATTTTATGATTCTCTGTTCTCATCATTTAAAGATTCTTCATCTAAGGATTACTACTATTTTGAAGAAGCCCCATCCATAAAATGTTAAAATAATTATTAAAAATTGATTAATACGAAAATATGATTTATAGCAAAAAAAAATAAAAAAGGGCAAGAAAATAAAAGCCCAGGAAATTAAGACTGATAAAATCTGATTTTTTATATATAAAAATAATAGAATTAAAATTTTTAATTTAATAAAAATTTCTGAAAAATTAGTGATTATTTTGGTTAACTGTCAAATTATTTAATCCTCATAAGAAGCAAAAGATCATATTATTTCATTTAAATCAAATTATTATATAGATAATTAAGGGAAGAGACATTATTTAATCAACATTGTTTTAATACAGATTTAAATTTCTATTAAATAGTCGAAAGTTTTTTATCATCTTTTTATTTCTAGAGAAATAGATTAACCGGACTCTTAGTGATTATTTAATCAAAATTAATTGATTAATTATTCTTTTTCTTATTAAATAATAATAATTATATTACATTAGCTATTTGAATTGTCTATCCACTATTTGTATTTTAATTTATATTGGTAATCATTAATTACATATTTAATTATTTTTTATAATTTTAATTTTCTGATCTATTAACTTTACTTTTATAATTTGTTGAATTTTTTGCAGAACCTAATTCAACAGTTTTATTATTATATTTTTATGAATACTTTTTAATTTGAATAGATTTAAAAGGATATTACTATTGCAAATAGACTTCTGCTAATTAATGATTGACCCATTTTGAAGAATTAGGTTTATATTTGTTTGTGGTTGATATAGATCTTAATTTCTGTTTATGAGTTTTATTTTAAACTTCATAAATTTATTACTCTGGTTCAATATTAAAATTGGCTTGCTTAGTATTTGAGAATAATTATTCTTTCATAGATCTAGTCCTACTCTTCATTCCAATATATTTGGCTTTGAAATTAGTTATTGATTACATTTTCTAATGATTGGAATAACAAAACCACATTTTTATGATTCAATAATTGGTTTAAGTAATACAATCTCAAAATTTCCTTAATCCATCTTAATCTTCGCATCTTCATCAATTGCCTAGATTTTCAAGTAAATAAATACTTATTTTGATATATCGTAAAATTTTATATGAACATTCAACAATTAGTTTATTAATGGTAAATCCTTTGGTAAATATAAGTAAGCTATTTCTAAAGCCCTTGATAAATAATTCTCTGCTTCACTAAAACAGAAAGATTCAACTTTCTATACAAATTTAGACTCTGTTGAAGTGCAATATAAGGAAATAACAAATAAACAAATCATATGTAAATATTATTAATTAGTAGGAAAGTCCATCTCATGTATGAAATTATTTAAATTTATTGGATTCATTTGGATGAAGTATAATATATTGGCTCTTTGATAATATGTTTATGGACATTCAGAATACACTAAATCATAACTCTTTAATACTAATCATTTTACTTCTTAAGTAGTTTAGGTTTGAATTTAATAACCCTAAACTATGGTTTGATGTTTTGGTTTTAAAATTGGTATACTCTTCCTAAGAATTTCCTCAAGAACTTATTAATGTATTTAACTTTGCATGTATTTTTGAAGATCTATTAATATTTTTGATGATTTTCTTATTGCCATTTTAGCAAAAGCCAAAGATTCAGAATGTTGATCACTCTCTGAAAGAATGATACAGCATTACAAATAACAATGCAGACGTATAATTGATAACAAATACCCTTCTTAATCTGTTCTTGGGGTTTTTTTCAAAGCTAAAATTGCATCTTCAAAACAAGTAAATGCTTATTCTAACCAACCAATTGCATAAAAGACTATTCCCAAATTTATTCTTATTATTAGGAAATAATGAATTAATGGATTAGAATAGGAAATGGCAGTTAATATTTATTCTGCTTATTTTAAGTGATATACACATTGTGAATATTAATTAGCTTCAAAGTCTTAAATACTTAATTAAATAAAGTCAATTAACTATTATTCTGCTTAATCTTCATTAATTTTAAGAGTTTTATTGTTTCTTTTTTAATTTGTCTCTATAATATTAAATATTGAGTTTACATTCTTAACCATCATTATAATTCATATGTAAAATCTCTACAGGTTAAACTTGGTCTAAAATTTATTGGAGAATATTAATATCTGTTGAGGGAGGGATAGGATTTTATTTTTTTTAAGTGTTCGAGACTAGATTATTTAAAAACTTCGGAGATTTTAGTTCTTACATTTTTTATTATAATAATATATATATATATAATATAGAAGTATAATAAATATCTTATTAAATAATATGTATATAAGATTATAAAAATATTTATTTTTGAGTCATTAAGTATGATGAAAAATAAAGAAAATTAAAATTAAAAGAAAAATACAAAAGAAATGTGAAAAGATAGAAATAGTTAAGATAGATTTATTATGTATAATATATAATTTAATTCATTTTTAGTAATTCTCTTTTATTTATTTTTATATACTTGTTATCAGTTTTTTTAAAGAATTAATGTTCCTTGTATTTATAAAAATTAACTATAAACAATTATATATACGTTTTATTTAATGAATTAACAGCAAGAAGAAGTAGAAATATTTGATAACCCGACTTCAAATAGAAATTCTGAAGAAATAAGTAAATCCCTTTTTTCTACTGTTTTTGCCATCATTTACAATTCCAGTTGGGGACTATTGTTTCTAATTTTTCGACATTATAGTAATTAGATTTTGGTTTTAATCAAGAGATGATTCCGAATGCCAGCTGATTGATTCATGGACACTATACACAGAGATTGTATTATTTACTATAGCTGGATATAAATTGTATGTGGTTTAACAATATTAGATTAATCGAATTACCGATTTAATATTAGACTAATGAATAATGGAAAAATTAATTGTTTGATGTTGTAGATTATCTAGAACTGTTTTTTAATGTAGTTATTCTAATTGGATTAACTGTAACAAAATTTATAAATACTTTATTAGTATGCTTATCTCTAGGACGAAGAATGTTATCATCTCAAAAGATTTGTTTTAGGATATTTGATCGTTACATACTTAATACTAATGATATGGTTGATATCCTTCATATATATTATTTGCAGTAGAGAACAATTTACCCAAAACTTATGATAAAATTAAATAAATTTTATTCGCATTTAATATACATATGCTTTAAGAAATGTATATAAATTTTCTAAAACTAAATAAATAAGTTCTAATTATTTCTAAATTTTAATATAATTCCTTCTATTATTCATAAAAGTCATTTATAAATATAATTTATAAATATTTCAGAAAAATAATGAAAGAGGAATTAAAATAATTGTTAACTAAAAGTAAATATGATTAAAAAACATTAAATGAATTAATTTGTTCTTTAGAAACAGTATTTAAATTTTAAGAATCTAATAAAAAAATTAAACTTAATTCATTTGAGAAAGAAGTTAAAGACAACTTAAATAAAATTAAAGACAACTTAATATAGTTGTAACTATAATTTAAAAAGAATGCAAGCCTATTATCCTATTTTAAATTAGATAAATAAACAGAAAACCTTTAAAATTAAATAAAATAACAATTATTAGATTTATAGAAATAAGTATAATCATAATAACAATCAATTAATTGTGATATTGATACTATTAATCTCGATTAGTTTTAAGTACTTGAATTAAATCATATTAGATCAAAATTACAATTTATATTATACCATCCTAAATATTAACCAATAGCAATTATAATAGAATTTCTAATTTTTGAATCAAACTAATAGAATGAATATTAAATGGTTATTTAACAAGATTATTTAATATAGAAATTTCAATAATATTATGAAAAATAATAAACTCACATTCATAAACTCAAAAACTAAGATGAATCAGCTTTATTTACTTTGAAATATAATTCTTCTGAAAAATAATTAATCTTATAAGTGGAAAATAATCCATATTTTATAACATCAAATTTGAATTAATCAAAAATTTATTTAGATAAGGATATGATATTGATATTCGATGATTTTCTTTAATTAAAAGTAAATCAAACAAACACTTAAAACAATAAAAAGTAATTTTTGTCAACTTTTAATACAAACAATGTAGACAATTCCTAAAAAACTATTTAAGTAAATGGATATGGGTATATATAATTTGAAATTATTAATTTAAATAATAAGAAAGTTGAATTTTATCTTAAGAATTCATATATAGATTTAAGCAAACACTTACTAGGCATATAAGCCATTCTAAAACATGACGAAAATGGTTTTACTATAATTCCAAAACCAAATGGTGATCCTTATAAAATACTTTATGATAAAAAATTGATATCCTAAGATTCATCAGTAAATGTTGGAATATAATTATCAAATAAGTTTTGGATAGAAGTTGAACTAGATAAATAAAAAAGTGATTAATTTTTGTTTGACTGAACTCTTATAAAATTATCAAACATACCATATTCAAAAACAATTTGAAAAGCTATGAGTCAATTATACAAATAAATATATTTTAAATTAGCCCAATCATTCCAACATTTAATCTCATCTTTCTCGAATGCTAAGCATCATATAATAATTAATTGATTTTCGATTTTTGTTAAATAATGGCAGTATTATAATCAATTCTTCAATAAAATAATTATAATATCATCTTAATTGCATAAATTTCAAAATTAAGATTAGAAAGAAAGTATAATAAATTTATATATTATTGAAAAAATATTAATCAAATCGATTTAAAAAAAAAAATAAATATTGTAATTATCGAAAAAAATAATATCTTACGATCTTTTATATTCAAATCTATTTACTCAACAATTTAAATAATAATTCTTATTGTTTAAAATATAAAATTTAAGTAGATATATGATATTCATTCAAATTTTCAATTAATGATATATTGAGAGTATTTACTATATTTAATCAAAATAATAATACAATAAATAAATGTTATATATATATATAAATAAGGAAATTTGTTTTCAAAAAAAAAAAAATTATAATCAAAAGACTTAGCAACAGCTATCTCTTTTTTTTGGCATATCTTTTAATTATTCAGTATTTGTAGTTTAATTAGTTGTTGATGATTAATATTAGGATTCTTAAGTATGAAATTTAATTTAGGAAGATCTTCCATTTACAAATTATGATAGTTCTCTTGGTGTTTCACTAATAGATTTCAAAGCTTATATTAATTAAGCTTCATTTAAATAATGTTCTCCATTTTCATCAGGTTCAGCTTCAGAACCATCAAGAGAACAAGGTAATGATTATTTTCTTAAATTACCTCCTGATTATCTTGAACCTATTCGTTTAGAATTAGGACTAGAATTTTGTTGAGGTTTTGAATTTTCAGAATCAAGATACTATTAAAATCTATAACTAAATTATTCTTTAATATCTGATTTACTATTTGATGTTTAAAGTGATCTTCTTTTTGCTTTTCTATAATCTCCAGTTAGTTCTTCTATATTCATGGTTTGATCAATTTGGAGTTAAAAATTTTATTCTTTAAAAATCTATTTATCATATTTAATTCCCTAAAAATTAGATAAGATGAAATACATTCATTGTTAGTATCTTTTCCATCATAGATAGCTCTTATTTAAGCATAGTCATTTATTTTTCTATTTATTCATAACTAAGTTTTATGTTGATTTTAACTTTATTAAGTATCAATTTAGCTCTTTAAGCAAATTTTAAAGTTTAAATAGTTTTTTCTTCATGTTCTAATGCTGCACTTACAGCACAGATGAATGAAGTATTAGAATTACCACCTAAACATTCTTTAAGTAGTAAAGTGAGTTTAGAATCTCTATAAGGAACATGTTTATTTGTTTTTCTACTCGATAATGCCATTATGCAATGTCCTAAACAATGTAATGATTAATTAATCTTTTTAGTTTCTTCAAGCATTTAACCTTTTGCAACAGTTTTGGCAAGTCTTTCACTTCCAGCTAAATCAATAAATTGAATTTTAGATGTTCTCTATGATTTGTCTTTCCATTCAACAAGCAATCTAATTAAATTAAATAGATTACTCAATTGTGAATATAACATGAGATCTACTAGATCTAGAATTGAATTAAGTTGCACCAATAGCTCTATTATAACTACCAAATGCAATTAATTCCATAAGATCATTAACAGATTCAACTTGAACTTCTCTAACTCCAATTAATTTTGGACCATCAGCTATAGTACTAATCTAAGAAATGAAAAATGAAATACTTTGAGATCTAATTTTTGGTTGTTAGTTTTATATTATTAATTTAACAGATCGTAAATTTACTCATTATAGATTTCAACATAGTTGGCTTTAAGAGTCACTTATTACAATGATTCTTATTATTTAATTTATTGATATCCCTAAATTTTAAATTGATTGTACATCGACAATTTGATAAAATGATCTTGGAAGTATACCAGAACTTTAATCAATATTAAACTTATTATTCAGAATCTATTCAATTGTACTTTCTGGTCCTAATATTGTATAAGTTTTGCCTGATGAAGTTGCTCCATAAGCAAAAACTGCACTATTATAACCTTATAAACTAAGTATTATAAATAAACAAAATTACAAAAAACTGATTTTAGGCAACATAATAGATTAGAATATCTCTTCTTAGAGTGTGATTGGTGGCATAATAACATCAAATTCAAAGATTTCCTATTGTTTTATATTTTTATATGTAATTGCTTCTTCTTCAATAATCCAATTAGGAGACTTGAGATTAAGGAAAATTTACAGACTCTTCTTCTGTACTTAAAATGGACTTAAAACGAATGACAACTTTAATTTGATTGTCCATTAATAAATCTATTATAAATATAATAATTATAATAAAATCAATTGATCAGTTATTAAAACTTAGTTCTTATATGACTCCTTGGTCTTACTAAAGCAATACAACTACTTTTATTATTAGGAGTACTATTTTCATTTTCATCAAGTAACTAGATTTTTTTAATTTGATATATAGATCGAGCAGGTAATCTCTTTTCTATAACAAATTCTGTTTAAACTCTCAATCCTGCTAATTTAACATTGTTTTTATAAAAAGTATTATTGCGAGATCTCATAGGTTTAGGTGTAAGACAATATGATTTCTTTTTATTTTAGTGATAATATAAGTTAATGCTTTTTTGAATAGTTAAATTTCTATCTAAGATATCTTTGATCATTTATTGCATTCTTCTTCTAAGTAAATCTGATACATAAATGAATCTAGGTTCTTCGAATCTGTTCCTATTATATAATGAAGATAATAATAAATATTTATTTGATTCATCTTACTCTAAATCTAAACAATTATAATGATATTAATAAGAAGAGGGTTCTTTGAGGAAATATGACTACTAATATCTATGAGTTTCTATTATATTATTGTAGGTTTTTAGAATAGTAGTGCCTGGCTTTTTGATTTCCTTTAAATAAACTCGAATACAATAATCATATATTTATTCAATTGATAAATCCAAAGATAAGAGCTCTTCAAGTCTCTTAAATAATTATATATACCTTGTAAATCTTCTTTGATATAAATTTCGAATATGATCATAGTTTTTACTTTGAATTTGTTGTATTAGTTAATTGATTTGTTTTTCTGAATATAAGGATTTATTCAACCTTAAATATTTTTGGATTTCATATTATTATATTTCAGTCAATGGTTCAGGTTATGTCAGTAAAACTATCATGTCAAGTCTTGCAATAAGAATATGCATTCCCATTGAATAGAAAGTTGTATTAACAGATAAAGAATAAATTAAATTAATGATAAATCTGTTCCCTAAAATACAAGACAATTAATATAATCGATAATCTTGGGGAGGTTTACTATTTCTTCTAACAATCATTTGTATTATTGTTTTTATTTGGGCTGAAATTACAAATGCTCTTTAGGGAACAATTTAATTGTAAGTAGATCCAGCAATTGATTCTAGAATTAGAGTTAATTTAGATGCTACAATTTAAGCACCTTGTCAAGCTTTAACATTAAATATTTAAGATATGATGGGCTCTTATTTATAAGATGTATAACATACTATTATAAAAACACGTATAATTGATGAGAATTTAGAATATGTAAAGGTTAAGTAAAATGTAAATTTCACTTCTTGTTATGGTGCTGAATTATTGATAGATCAAAAGTGTTATAGTTGTTAAGATGTAATGATGGCATTTGCTTAAAGAAGATGGAGATAACCAAATTTTGAAAGCATTGTTTAATGTGTTGGTAAACCTACTGTTTAATTTGATGATTCAGAATTATAATAGTTTCGATAAGCTGATCTTAATCATTCAAAAGAACTTGAGTTAACTAAAAAAGAATTGATCAATGTAACGGCTACTGAATTATTCAAACAATCTATTGAAGTAGATGATGATGAAGATGATGCAACTGAATAAATTATGACTTAAGAATAGAGAGACAAATTTAAAAAGGCTTTGGGTTAACTCTCAGAAATAAGTTATAATCCAATGTAGTGGGATGAGTAGAGATTAAAATAAGAAAAAGGTAAATAAATTGATTAATTGATTGGAATGCTTAATATATCTTTGGATCATATTGGAGGTACATTAGCCAGTTAATTACGTTTTTCTGATAGAGAAAGAGTTTTACCATTCAAAAATCTCACCTAAGATGTTAAATAATTAACTGAAATTTATAGACAAAAATGTGAAACTAATTTAAAGATATTTTTAAATGCTTCCTATGATAATGAATCAACAAGTGAATATTTTGAAATTGATATGGCTAAGGATTAATGTTCAATACCAATCTATTATTCTACAAAAGATGACATTATGTTAATCTAAGTTTAAAATCATTAAATAGAATGGTAAATTAATACATCAATTATGATGAGTTAATTTGTATTCTCTATTGAAAAATTATTAGTTATCAATGAAGAATATAATTATAATTATTAACCTAATTCTATGCTTGATAGAGCATATAATTAATTTAGAATTAGTGTTTATGTTCATGTCAAATAAATTAAAAATCCAATTGTTAAAAATACAAGATTATTATTTAGTGAATCTTTCTAAGTAGAATAACCATCTTAATAATATATTGAAGTTTCTGATATTGAAGAATAAATTGATGAAGCATGCAGATTTTTTGGATATTTTTACATTAAAAAAGTTCCTGGAATCTTTGCTATCTAATCTAATAAACCAGCAATGGAATTAATTAATAAAACCTTCTAAGGAAATCATAGTTTCAAATTATCATTTGGGGATCAACCATCAAATCAAAGAGAAACATATAGTTAATTTTCATCAAAATATTATTTAAAATTAGTTACTACTAGTAATATAGATATATGGAATAATTAAAATATTTTTTATACCTTTACTTAATAAAGATCACTTTACAATGAAACTATAGCTCCTTTCATTGAATTTTAATATGAATTTGATCCAATATCAATGACTATCCAGTCTACATCAATTACAAACTATTTAGTTATAGTTTTTGCTGTTATTGGAGGTGTTTTTGCTGTTAGTAAATATATTGCTGGTATCTTGAATATGTTAATATGATAATCTGAATTTTTATATAATTAACAAAAAAATAGTTTATAAATTCAAATATGATAAGATATCTTTATGTTAATTATGATTCTTTAATCTCATTAATTACAACTATCTCTTATTATTTGAATATAAATAATTCTTCTAAATCTATTATGATATAAATTGATTAATATTTATGTATAAAATAAATAGATCAATTACTCTTTTTCATATTAATTTTATGGAATTTATTATAGAAAGTGGAACTAAATGATTAATTTATTGATTTATATTTTTGGACCATGGATTGGAGCATTGTTAACAATCATTTATTTTGGAATATCTATAATCTAAAACTTTATGGTAAATAATAAAATTGAATTTATTATTTATACATAATTTAATATTATAAAATTATTAACGAATGCATTTCTCATAATAAAACTCTATTGAAAATGATAATCGTATAAAATAACTCTAGAAAAAGAGGGAAGCAATTTAAAAATAAACTGAAATGAGACGAAAAGAGATAGAATAATATTCTGATTTAGACTATGAGTATCAAATTAGTATTATATTATAGAAAAATCTAAAAAGAAAATGAAATTCTCATTTAAGATAAATACAACGTAGAGTAAAGAGCTGCTAAATTACAAGAAGTTTAGAATGCACTTAAACTTAGTGTAATGAAATAGTAATTATTATTCCAATATTATTATAGAGTTGGAAAAATATAAGTATCTGCTGAGGCTTTATGCAAACATAAACAAAATATATATGAACATATGGTAAGACATAAATCAAAAGAAGCAGATTTATTTTTATTAGTTACAAACACAAAACCTAAAGATTACTTTTAAGTTTTAGAAGATAATCTGAATTAAGGACCTTTAGTGTAAGAAAAAGAGAAAGAAATGGAAGCATTAAAATTGCAAAATGAAATCTTAAAAAATGAATTAGAAATACATAAAAATTAACAATAATACATTCGAGAATTCTCTAATAATCCTCATATAGACTAAGATATCATAAAAAACATGGTTAATGAAAATTAGTTTAATAGAATCAACACAAGTAAACATGAGAAAAGCAATAGTTAATTGAGTATGGAAACTAAATAAATAATGGACTTTTATAATGAAAAATAATAGGCTTTTTCAATGAACAAGGAATAATTACAATTCGGTTGATACTTATAACTTTAATATATCAAAATATTATTCTCTTAAAAATTTATTATTTATAAAGATCTAAAAAATACCTATATTATAAAAAATTTCTGTAATCTTATTAATTAATTTTATTTGATTTATGTTTATTCTTAATATTTGATTCTATTTAATAATATATTTTAATATTAATATTGTTTATAGATTTATTTGATCTTCTACAAATATTTTTATAATAAGATTTATATGCTTCATACAATAAATTCAATTTAATAGATTCATAAATTTTCTTTTAACATTAAAATACTTTAATCAACTTTTCCTTTTATAATAATACATCTTCTTGTTACATGAATATCTTCAGGAAATCCTTCAATAAATTAATCAGATGAATAATAATCTTTTCAAATTCTTCTAATATATCTTCATTATATTTTCACTTTTGAAATATTTTCATTTAAGTTTCATTCGAATATTGAGATATTTAATACTTCTATTTTTATATTACAATTTTGTAAATTGAAATACATTCTAAAAAATAATTAAGAATTTAAGAATCATTTAAGTTTTTTTTTAATTTTACTTGCACCAAATTACAATAGGCTTTAGAACTTTATATTATTATTCATAAAATATTAAGAAATAAAAAATAGTAGTTTAATATTGTATCAAATTCATTAGATTTATTATTTAGAGTAATACTTATAATTAATATATCAAAAATGATGATTAAATGAATTATAGTGCAACTTTTTGATTTTTGGGGATTATGGTATAACAAATAAAGGACTTTGTACTGTGGATGTTTCACTAGGACAAGTGGTTATTCTTTTTCCAGGATCTTCATAATTGATCTTATTAGATTTCTTTTATTGTAATATTTTTTATTTTAAATTGAAACAGGTCTCATGCTTTTAAAGGAATTGTTTTGTCAGAAGTTAATTTTAATTTAACTCATATTTCATTTACTCTTTATATTTCTCAATTTCACTCTATATAATTTATGAATGAGCTAAGATTATATATAAATATTACCTAGTTTTTCACTTAAATTCATAATTTAGTTTTGACATTCATTTTGAAGAATTTAGTTTTATTGTCTAACTTCATTAATTTATCTTATGAGTTATTCTTTTTCATATTTAAAAGCAGGAGTTTTAGGTTCTGAATCACTTAAAAAGCTTATATTGTGAATATTATGATCATCATTCTCTTAGAACAAGCTAAGTATTTACATTATAGAATAACTCATTGTATTATTTATTTAATTTTATGTCAAATGTCAATAAATTAATGTGTATTAATAAGTAAAAAGATATAACTTACTTGTAGAAAATGAAAGTAAGAGAAGCATATAAAATATAAATTTTGAAATGGTGATAATTAATACCATTATTTTTACTAATTATTTAATTATTTAACAATAAATTCTTATTTATGTCATTAAATTTATTAAATATTAGCAAACTTTAATTATTTTTACACTATTATAATTTTAATATATAAATAATGTAAATAATATTTTATCAAAAAGTTACAAAAACTAGATAAAATCACAATTAAAACTATTATTTTTAAAAAAATATTCATTTTTTAATGTGGAATCATAGATTTCTATTTGAAAAGAGAGATTTTAATTAATATTAATTTATATTTTTAATTTTTCATCATATATACAATTACATTAATATCCAAAGTGATTAATATTAATATTTTTGTATTTAGAAACAATTAATTAATTGATATTTATATTAATATAAAGTAGAACAACGATTATGGATTAATTTATTATCCTTAATCGATTTTTAGAAATATCTTAATTTTATTGATAAAGAGATTTATTAAATTCCTGATTATGGTGAATAATTCGAAACTTATTAAATTCTATGGGAAACTAATATATTCTCCAAAATATTGTCATTATGTAAATAATTGAAAATAAGTTAACAATACTTAAAATAAATTATTCTATAAAACATAACTTTAATTCATAAGTTTATTTGGTAGAAAATATTACAAATGAATTTTTAATAAATGATTCTTTTTCAGAGAAAGATAGAATTAATATACATAATTTACTTATATTTAAATTTTAATAAAAAAGAAGATTGAAATTATCAAATTGAGTTTTCATAGCTTTATTTAAATTAATAATACAAATTTAAAGATCATTGTAAATATTAGAGATTAATAATTATTTGTAAATGATATTCATGTGATTTTAATAATATATAAAGTTATGATTAAATTAACAATAAAAATTACTCATATATATTTAATATTAATATAGTAATTTTGGCATTAAAGAAAATTATTTTTTATTTATTCTTGATTAAATAGATGATTTAATATCCTTTCTTTGGTTTACCCCCAAAATCTCACTAACCAATTGCAAGCATACCAAAAAAATTATTGAAAGATTAATATGAATTGCTTACTACAGATTTAGGATAAGGGACTTATGGAAAAGTAAAACTAGCCATTAATAGAACTAATAACAAGAAATGTGCAATAAAAATAGTATATATATGGTTATAGAATGTAGATATCTAAGAATTATATTAATTAATACAATGCAAAATAACATATTGATAATGAGATCAATTATCTTTAATGTTGTAAACACAAGAACATTGTAGAATTTATAGAAACTTTTGAAGACAAAGATAATGTTTATATTGTTTTGGAATACTGTTAGAATGGAACTTTGTATGAGATGATTAAAAAGAAGAAGATCTTTAGTGAAGATGAAGCCTTTTCTTATTTTTATTAGATAGCCTAAGCTATATAGTACTTACATGAGAAAGATATAGTACACAGAGACATCAAATCAGATAATGTCTTGTTATAGAATAACACAGTGAAATTATGTGATTTTAATTGGTCAATTTATTTACCAAATGGAGGGAAAGCAAAACCTTGTATTTGTGGGACTACTGAATATATGCCTCCTGAAGTTGTCAAAAAATAAAAGCATGATAAAGGAGTTGATGTATGGGCACTTGGAATATTATTACATGTAAATATTCTTATAAAAAAATAGTATATGCTACATGGAGAATTGTTATTTAGAGCAAAAAATAAGGAAGAATTACATGAGAAGATTTGTAATAAGTAATTGATAAAATTAAATGATAATTTATCAAATGAGTGTAAATAATTATTACTCTAAATGCTTGCTCATACAAAACGATTTAATATTTAATAAGTCTTGAATTCTGAATGGGTAATTAAGATGTTAACAAATAAAAATATTTCACATCCATTAGAATTAACTCCTATTAAAAATAGATCCAGTGCTTATGAATTAACTAGATTTAGTGTGATTTCAGAATCTACTTGTATTTCTAGTTCTAAATTTACTACTAAATCTCATGATATTGAATCTCCATTCAAATAATCTAGCAATTGTATAAAATAAGTACCTTAGCCTTAATAACCTTTGAAAGTTAAAAGTTCTGCTTTAGATCAAAAAATTACTGCATTCAGAGTTGAAAAAAGACAAATTGATTGAAGGATCAAGGCTTATTAATTTTTAATGTAATATTATAAATCATTTTTGTTAAAATTAATTATTTGTATTATTATAATATGGAGTATATTGCATATACCGAAGCTAAATTATAATTTCAAGGAACTCGTAAACACTTTTTTCGTGATAAATTATATTATGTGAGTGTATTTGAAGATTGTTTTATTATGGGAAATGTAAATCTCGCATATTTATTTGATTAGACAAGCGATACATAATAACCAAAGTACAAAATAAGTTTTGATCTCAATATAAAAATAAATTGGGACTTGAAAAAGTAGAAAAATGATGTAATTATTTAATCCTTTGTTTTTCCATACAAAAATTCATTCAAGACTCTTTATGCTAATCATGATGATTTAATGAAGTAATTTGAATATTGTATTCTAATATTTATCAGATTTAAAGAACTCATTGGTAAATCAGTGACATATGAAGGTATTGGTGATCTTTATCTTCCAATCTTATAAATTGGGAAAGGCAGTTCAGCTAAAGTAATCTACAATTAAATTTAAGGTTTATAGTGCATAAAATGTTTTGAATTAAGATATTTATGCTATCAAAGCCATAGAGAAATCATTTTTAAATTAAACTGAAAAAGGCTCTGGATTAGTAATTCTGCTAAATTTATGAATTAGGCTGCTTATAAAATGGAAGTATAGATACTTAAAATCTTATCTCCTTATTCTTAAAACTTTCTCACTTTAAAGGAGATATATGAAGGTGATAATACATTCTATTTGGTTACAGATTATCTAGAAGGACCAACACTTAGTGAAGAAATAGAAAGAGCCAAAGTAATATTGAGTTTATAAATAGAATCTTCCAGATCGTAGATTACCTATCTTAACAATAAAAGTATTAATGTACAAATTATTATCAAGTTTAGCTTTACTGCATGAAAATAAAGTATTTATAATAATATATAATTATAAGATTATTCATAGAGATCTCAAACCAGACAATCTGATGTTTGCCAAAAAAAATGATTATTCTTCCTTAGTTTTGGTAGATTTTGGATTGGCTACTTTTGAAACCTTAGATAAGTATATATATATATATTTTAATCAATATATTAGATTTCTATTTCCTAAATGTGGTACTCCAGGATATGTTGCTCCAGAAATTCTTAACTTAAATTATGAAAATAAATACACAACAAAAGTTGATATTTTTAGTAGTGGTTGTATTCTTTTTAAATTATTAACTGGAAAAAGTATCTTTGGAGGAAAATCATTTGATGATGTTCTAAGAGCAAATAAAAAATGTTATATTGATTTAGATCTTCCTATTGATCATGTTTATTTAACAGATCTTTCTATTGTAATTAAATCAATTTATTAATATTTCTAGAATTTATTAGAATAACTATTAAACAAAAATGCAAAATAAAGAATAAGTGCTAGATAAGCACTTTGTCATCAATTTTTCGATTAAATTAAGGAACAAAGTACATAAGTCTTGTCTACAATTATAACCAATGTAAAATTTAGTTAAAATGGAAATTTGAATTTATAATGTGAAGAATAAATGTCTAAATATGATATAGAAGAGTATTAGATAAATAATGAAATAAAGGAAGATGAATAGAATACTATTACTATACCTCCAACAAAAAGATGTTCTTTAATGAGTGATGTCTAATCTCTATCTAAATCTCCAATTAAATTTTATTAAAAAGAACCCTTATCAGAAATTAAATGCTTTAATTTGGCTAGTCCAAAAGTAGATTCAAATGATATTATAAGTGAATGAAGTTGAATTTACTCAAAATAATTATAAAATATATATATGATTTCCTAAAAGTTCAATAATTGCTACTTAATTAAAATTTTAATAAAATCTAAGTATTTACAAATTAATTATTTTATATGGCAATATATTATTGACTTAACATAGAAATTTTAAGTATATCATTTTATCATGTGTTTGATGCAGTGTAGACCAATCTATAAAAGTTATAAATTTATGAGTGCATATATAGTACCTTCATCGGTTGAACCATGTGTTATCTTTGCAATTTTGATCTGGAATGTGAATAGAAATTGGAAGAATTAAGATGATATCAAAGAAATAGCATAATTAATTGCTTGAGTAATATAGTATTTTACATTACTAATTATAATTCCTAATTCAATCATTTTCAAGAATAGAATTTTCAACAATAAAAGTAAGTAAAAGAAAGTGCTTTTTTTATTATTTGTAATTCGTAGATCAATTAAATTAGTTACTCAAGGAACTGATCCATCAGAATTAATTAAATATTGAAATAGCAAAAGAAACATCAGATATGATTTTGGCAGATTATAACTTTTCAACTAATGGAAGAGCGGTTGAAGAAAGAAAAACAATTTTATTAAAATAAGAAAAGGATTTATTAGATATATGATGATATCATTAAATATTGGAAAAATTATCTACATTTTTATATCTTTAGCCTAAGGTATTCATGATGGAATTAATACAATCTAATTATTATGAATCAATTTAGTCACTGATGATATCCCTGTTACATTATTATCATTTAATTCATCCAATGTCATATAAAAACCACATATCCATAGTAAATCTCAATTAAATTCTTTTAGTTGGGATCATGATTAATAATTGAATTATTTTTAAATCCTTATTGAAATTTAGCTAAATATGGATAAACGAATCTATATTGTAAGATATCTTATGTACCATTTTTTGAAAACATCTTTAACACATCCATTTAAGATTGATAATTTATTTAATTCATTTTTAAGATTTTAATCATTGAAGTTTCTTTATCTATATCATTAGTTTATATAGTTATTAAAATCTTCTGCAAAATAAGAAATGCTAAATTGATAGGGAAGTGAATGAAACTCAAATGAGAAATTATATAAAAAAATAAAAATAATTTAACATTAAATAATGTCTTTGGAATAAAAACAAAATTTACTTGTGAAAGAAATCATTGATAAAGGATTTAATATAGACAACTTCTAAAAATTCATAGACTAGCGACATGATTTGGAAGAATGGGATTATGATGAATTAGTAGATGTGATTAAAAAATTCTAAGATCAATAGAACGATTACTTTTAAGTACTTAAATGTAATAGGACAATTCCAAATGCAATATCTAATTTAGAAAATTTGGCAGCTACAGTAGTTGGTTATGAGAAAGTATAAAAAGGTATTTTCATGAGTACATATGTCTATTTCAAAATTGAAACAAAACCTATAAATTGGGTTGTAAAGAGGACATATGAGGAATTTATAGCACTTAAGAATATGCTTAATAAACATTATAATGTGCCAAATATACCTAATTAAAGAAAATCACCTGTTGAGTTTACTTATATAAAGTAATTAAGACATTTGCAAATGTTCTTGAATTTTATTTTATTAGATTAAGAAATAAGAAGCCTTCCTGTTATTCAAGACTTTTTATCTCTTGATTAATTTCAACCAAATTAAGTAATTCCTTATACAACTTTAAGTGGAGATTTTGGTATCAGAATTAATAAGTAAATTTCTTGTTTTATAAAATAATCTGATTATTTCTTAAATAATGTTACACCTTTGTAAAAAAAAGCATATAAATTAGTAAAATAGTTGATGAAACATATGTAATAGTAAAATCAAACCTTGTTCTAATTATCAGATGTATATAAAGAATTATTTAAAGAGTCAAAAGCCTAAAATGCAAGGTTAAAAGATTGCTATATTATAGCAAGCCATCTATTTGAATAATTGTCTAAAATACAAACAGATAATATTAAAATATTGAATGAAACAATATATGCATAGTAAAGATTTCAATTTCATTAAATAATACCTTTGAAGGATATTTTGAATTAAAGGGAAAAACATTATAATTAAGTATTTGACTTTTCAAATAAATTAAAATCAAAAAAAGAAAAATTATATTAATAAGGAGAAGTTGTTAAATGGGATTTAGATGAGAGTTATCTTGATAGTTTTAAATTAGAATAAATTAAATCAACTCCATAAATTGCATTTTAATGCATGTGTAAAACTGTAAAAAATACAAAAAATATAATAGGATAATTCTCATTTATAAGTTCTTAAAAATTAATTTGGTTAGATTAATTTGAGGGCATATGAAACAATAGACTATGTAATTAAATATGCCTCTACTCAATTTAAAGATCATCTTGAAAAATTTGCCTAATTGATGACGACATCTATTAATTAATATCAAAAACTATGGACTGACACATTAGAAAATTTAGCTGTATCATGAACTTTTTTGTTTTATTGTATTTAAATATAGAAAATAATAATTTCGTTAATATGATAATATAAATATATGAGTATAATCTTCAGGAATATATCTATATTTTTTGAAAAAATTAAAATTAAAATTCTTTAGACATATGTTTATTATAATCAAAGGATAACACATTAATTAAAGAATCATATAATATTTAAAAAACGATTCTTATTAATTAAACATATATTCTCTATTTGATAATTTTAATTAACAAGAATTATAAATGCTAATACTATTCTATTTTCTTGTATTAACTAAACAATAAAGAGATGTAGATTTTGATGATAATTATTATTGGACATCAATTGATGAATTGTCAGATAATAATATTTATAAGATCAAAAATTTAAACCAACCTTATTATTATGTCTAAGTTACTTTATTTTAAGAGGATTTATCTTTTATTCTTATTTATGATCTTAATCAAATTCCAAAAGTAAATACATCAAGGGGTGACTATATAAGGTATTAAATTAGATTAATTAATAAGTTATTATGAAAAGAGAAAAACAAGATTTCTGAAAATTGAACCTAATGGCAAAGTAATTTATATCACTACACATTCTAAAAATAATAAAGGAAAATATAATATAACTATATGGGGAAGTAAAATCGATTATTGTGATAATAGTTGCTCAAATAATGGAGAATGCTATGTAAATATCAGTTCTATAAAAGGATGATGGATGTGAATGTTACTCTGGTTATATAGGATCAGATTGCCATTAAACGGCCTTGGAAATTTAGGAGGAACATAATGAGATTTACTTTTATGGAGATGAGACTTAATTCTTTTATCTTAATATAAATAATTGGGATGAAATGGACATCCAATTAAAGTTAAGTGTAAATTATAAACTCAAAATTAGACTAATAGCTATTAAGGAATTGAAATCACACTGTAATTAACAGATGCAATAATCATTCCAAGTCAAATTAAATTGAATAATGAAGATAGCTATATAAAATAATACAAAGTTTATGATACTTAGCCATAAGAATTAATCTTTTATAGTATGGGTCCTTCTAAAGATGATTTTAATATTGTATTTGCTGCAAGACCTATAAATGGTCATTTAAACACAATTGTTAGTACTCTATCAATAGAACTTACTTAATATGGTGAATAAGAAAATACATTTTCTATTATTGTAATAATTATAATTGTAGTTGCTATTTCAGCAGCTGTGATTATAATTATAATATTGTTTTTTGTATGTAAAAATATTAGAAAGAGAAAAATGTTAAGATTATAAGTAAGATTAAGAATGGCTAGATTAGAAGGTTAACAACCTGTTTAGAACACTTAATAATAAGATTAAGAGAATCTTTTCGATCTTCTAACTCCAATTTCAATATAAGAATGTAATAATTAAGATAATTGTGCCATTTGTTTAGAGAATTTAAATAATAATTAAGAAGTCAGATAAACACATTGTCAGTATTAATATATAATCATTAATTTAGTCATAATTTTCATTCTATATGTATAAAAGAGTGGATTTAGAAAAATAAAAAAGAATGTCCTGTTTGCAGATCTAATCTAGCTATTAAAGATGTTGATACTCATCCAAAACCTAGTAATTGAATAACATCTCTTAATTTAAATATAATCATTTTTTTTCTACATTAAAAATATATTAATTAAAAAAACAATATATCTATTTTAGATCATGATATAAAAATTAATATAAGTTTTCAGATTTTTAAGTTATAATACTAATATAATAATACTGAATTAATCTAATTAATAATATCAAGATGAATGTATAAATGTAAATCAAAAACATTTTAACTCTTTTTCTTGTAAATCTTGGAGCAAATTAAGTGATTCATTTCTTTCTTTGAGTTCTTCAATAACTTTTGCATACATACACTAATTTAATTATTATTCAATACTATTGAATATGGATTTCTTTTTAAACTCTTATACATTTATTTCACATTTGGATTCAATTTTTTTTATAAATCCATAGACATCAATTCTAAAATATAATTATATTTTAAATTAACTGTTCCTTCAAAATCTATTTATTATATTTATAAATTTACTTTCTTAATCATTGCTTTCACAATATATTTATGCTAATCCCTTCTCTGTTTGATTTTTTAAATATTCTACTAAGAACCATGACTTATTTGGATCTTGATTAAGTACATAAGCTATCCAACAAATTTATGGTGATTATAATTAAATTATATCTTATAATTCAACAAGTCTTTAAAAGTATAAAAATTTTTTAGTTAAATAATGAATGTAAGTGATAAAAAAAATGATTTAATCTTAATCTAATTTTAAAGCTACTTTACAAATTTCTTCTTTTTCTTAAGAAAATCTTAGAAGATTTAACAAAATTAATGAAACTTCATTTTTATACTTAATCAAAATCTTTCTCCTTTAATATTAATCAGTAAAATGAACAATTTTTAATTACTTTGATTCTTACATCAAATTACATAAATTTTCATTAATGGCATTTTATTAGAGAAACAAGAAAAAAATTAATAATATAGATCTTTTAGACAATGAAAATGGCTAAAGTTCCTTTTTATATTAGAAAAGATAATCAATATTTTACCACTTATTCCTTGATTGTCTATATAGATTTCTTAATTTTAAAACTAAAGTACTATCACTAATATTTGTGTCTTCTCCATAAGCCTTTAGTGCCTCCTAATAATGAATAAAATAAATAAATTACTTTTATTATATTTACAGATTTTTCATAAGAACTTAAATGAATAAATTCAAAATATAGTATCATTAATTTTTATTTCTTAGATTTAGCATATAACTTAATTTAAGAAATGAGTTGAACTTAATACTATTATTTTTTGAGTGATTCAATTTCATGATAAAGAATCCAAAGAACTAAATTATTTTATTAATCTTTTAAAATATTTTTTATCTATTTTAAACCTGATTTTAATTCTTATTATAATACTTAATTAGGTGCAATTAAATCATTATTTAAATATAAAATACCATAAAGCATAAATAAATAAACCAATAAAAACTAATTATTAATCTACTAATAAACTTTTTCTAATAATCGTTTTACATATACAAATTAAGATAAATTATTTTACAATTTGCATTAAAAAATGCTTTGATATTTTATGAAAAATTCATTCTAAAGATAATCAAAACTAATTTTATTATAACACATATCAGCACTATGAAATTAATTTATTTATGGTAAAATATATGAATCTATTGGTGGATATCCAATTTATTATAATAAAATACTTACAATATTAAGTTTAGATTCTTAATCATTAAAAATGTAAAGATAGGGTTCAATATCTTCATATATAACAACTGCATCAACATTTTATTTAATCCATTCTATATCAAATCTTTAATTTGCTGGTCTCCATCTTTTCAATTATTAAAATGAAAGGAATTATTAGATTTAATCTTCTTGCTCTTATATTTATAGACTCGAATCAAAATATCCAATAAAATCTTCTTTTAATTCAGGTGTGTCTCTCCAACCATATTCATTTTATTCTCCTGTTCTTACATTCAAATCCCAATAATTTCTAAACTCTTTTACTTTTTCTTCTAAATCATATGTCCTTTATAAATGTTTAGGAGCAAATAAATTCATTTCACAAAGTGCTTAAAGAATCCCTACAGATCTTTCTTTAAAACCCATTTCACTTTCATAAAATGATATTTATTATATTAATTCAATATAAATTCTTTTGAATAGTTAAACAAGTTATGCCCTTGTTGTTTCATTAATTAATTTTTATAAATTAGCTATATGTTTACTAGCTTCAACTCTAAGCATAGTAGCACTAAATATTTCTGTTTTAAGTTTATGATCAAGAAAAAGAATCCATATTGGTTGTATATGTACATATTTTGAAAATAACTCAGACCAAGAATTATCTATTTCTTTATGTAATTCATCATTTCTTAATTCTAAATTTTGCATTAGAGAAATCTTATAAGCTAATACCCATGGATGATCAGAAAGTACTTCTGATACTTGTTCTAATTTTTGTAAAATGGATAATCTTCTATTAGCCAATAATAAAGGTTCATTATAGCCTTATAATTCTGCAATTTTTTCTTAAATTAACAAAAATTCTTTCCAAATATCTAAATCATTCACATTTGTTTGAAGTTAGTTTTATAATTCTAAATTTCTTTCCTAAAGTTTCTAATCTTTAGAAATAGGATCAACTTCAACCAATTAATTGTTAAAAGGTACAAAATCCTCATTACAAAGTTTAGATTGATGTTATATCATGTATGATTTCTCTGGTTAAATCTATGCTGCTTCAATATATCTAGTATATTCAAATGTTGATTTATCTCTTAATCTTATCACACTATCAAATATTTAATTTACTTTTTTTTGATTTTTCATTCCTAAAATTCTTAATCTAAAAATATTAAAAAGGAGTACTAATTTGTTCTGACATAATGAGGAATATCCTACTCAAGAAAACCATATGCTAAAATTTAATTATCGCCTATTGGAAGTACTTAGACTGATAATAAACCTACTCCCATTTCATGCTTATAAATAAATGATTTTGAAGTGTCTATTTTATATTCTATAGAAAAAATCAATATGAAAATACATTATTACAATTTTCCAATTTTTAATCATAATATGCTTCAATTTCTTCTTCTGTAAACTTTATTGCAATTTGTTATTATGCTTAAGATAATTTATCTTTTTTTTTATCCTTTTTCTTTTTCTTTTTCTCTTTTAAATTTTCATTTATTTTATTTTCAATAATGTTATTTTATTATTCTGATTAATTTTTGACAAATGACTTGCCTACATTCAACCATTCCTCATCTTCACTCATAATTATAATTAATTTTATTTTAATAAGTTTAAAAAATAATACTCATATTATTTATTGAAAATATAATGGTTTATTTTAGAATAAATATAATATTTCTTATCAAATACATAGAATTATTTATAAAAATATATCTAATATACTATAATCAAATAGACTATTTATCATCAAATTAGGTGTATATATTTGTGCTACTTTCTCTACAATCGTATTATATGAATTTTTAATTAGATTTGTTTTATGATACTGGACTAGCATAATTAAAAATGTTCACACTAGAATGGAAATTAATTCTATTTTTATTTGATTTATAATTTCTAAAGACATCACGCTTTATTGACATAGGAAGTACTCTAGAACTAGGTTTTAAAAAGTTTTATAAAGGGAGTTTTTAATTCAATTTAGATTAAAATAAAATTTTTCTTCTTTTAAGATAATCTTTAGATAGATTACCTAAATTAAATTCACTAGGTTCATTTTAATTATTATTAATTGGATTCAAATTTAATTGTACTGAAGAAAAAACTTTTTCTTTTTCTACAATAGATTGAATACAATAATTTTAAACACTTGGATTAGAATAAACCATTAAAAAATTTGAATTTAATTTTAAATCTGATTTTTTGGCACTATTGAAACTTGTTCTATTGCTTACATAATAATTATCTATTTCAGCTAATTTTAAAATCTAATCTTTTTAAACTCCATTTGTTATTGTATCAATTTTTTTTTTTTAACAAAGTAGTTTAACTAAATTTTATCGATTACGACTTTTTTATTTATAATCATGTTCTATCTAAATTCTACACTCTTCTGGAAATTTATGAATAAACTCTTAAGAATCTATGACAATAACTAAAGCTTATAAAGATGTGACTTATGATGTAAATTCATAATTAGCACTTTTATTAATTACTATTTCTTCTCCTAATAAATGTCCTTATGAAACAATGCATAATGGAATATTTTTATTATCAACTCTTTTATATACAGTTACGTCACCTGATATTATTATATAAAATGAATCGCCACTTTCGTCTTCTGATGTTAGTTATGTTGCTCTATCATATTAAATTGTTTAACAACTGTAAATCATACTTTCCAATCTCTAAGATGAATATTCATTATTGACATCTAAATTATTCCAAGAGATAATTACTCTTAAATATATTAAACATCAATTATTGCTTTTCTTTTTTGGTTTTTTCAAATGTCATTTGATATGTCAAAAAGTCATCTTTTTTCAACACTACTATAAATGATTCTAAGCTATAGCATGCAACAGTAAGAGTTCTTGGGATATTTTCTGCCAAAGCTTTTTCACCGAAACCGTTTCCTTCTCCTAATATGCGCATACATTCGCCATATGATTATTCTAATCTTTTTTTTTCCTCTTAATTTATGCATGATTCTTTATGATGATTATGATGTTTGACTATTTTATGAGTTAGTCTTTTTGCATGTAAAATTGTAGAAATTTTAAATTGCTGTTATTAATTCTGAATCTAAGGAGCCGCTTCTGAATTCTATCTTTACAATGTCATTAGCTAATCCATTTTTTTCATTCTCATAAGCATAACATCACCATAAAAAATAATGTAAAGCTTATCATTTGAAGGATCATTTTCTTCAAATAACACTTCTCCTCCTTTAAAATATTCCATTCTCAATCTAGAACACAACTAAATGGAAAAACCTAATAAATACCTCAAGTATATCATTTCTTTGAGTTCCTTTTTATAATTTTTCAGCCACAAATTGTTTAAAGTATGGGAGTTCCTCCATTCTTTATAATATAAAATATAGTTCTTCCCTTGTATGATTGTCTTTATTCATTGTTAAAAACAATTTTATCGCTTCATGAAGATGAGGATCCTCACAAGCATCATCAAGCGATTTTAGATGAACTTTTTACTGCATTAATTTTTTTATAGCAATATTCAATAATATTATGATAAATCATTTCTTTCCTTATCTCTCAAAAACAAATTTATTTTCTTCAACAATTTTTCTTTATCTTTGAGGAGGTAATGGATACTGAATTCCCCATTTTAAAGCAAATTGTTAAAATTCTTTTTCAGTTAATCCTTCAATATAGAAAAATATTGCAACACTTATTTTTAAAATTTCAATAATTTCAATGCAATTTAACCTATAACATTCACTTAATAAAGGAGATATTTTTGTTAACCATTCTTAAACTCTTTCTTTTGATAATTCATCATTTTGGAATCCTAATTATTTTAGATATTCAATTGATTTTTAGTCCATCAAATGTTCAATATTAGAATCTTCGATTTTTTCAACAAAACTTATTTAAGTCTACTTTTTATATTTATTTACTTAATCATACTCATGCAATTAATAGTAATGATTTATTTATTTTACTAAATTAGGATCAGCCTCAAAATCGATTATCTCCTCATCTTCATCAAAAATCTAATGTTCAAAATCAATTTACTTGATTCCAAACCTAAACAAATCCTCTAAGTCTTTTATCTACTACACTTTTAGCATTATTTCTACAAATAATTATTTGAGTTTCAAAATCCATATTATTTTAATTTAATATAAATATAAATAAAATATATCAATGCATTTGAAGATATTTAGAGCTTCTATCTTTTCTTACTGATGTTCTTTTTTTAATTTAATGGTTAAAGAGTTAATAAATACTTTTTGATGTTTTATTTAAGATTTTTACTTTTTTATTATAATCCAAAATTAATACATGAAGATTAAATTGTGGGAAAAAGCTTTTGAATTCCATAGCTTTTTCAAATCCTGCAATTTAGTAATTACAAGAAACTGTAATTTAACCTAATTATGTTCTTTAATCAGTAGGACCATAATTTTATTTTATTTCAGTCTCACTTGTTTAAATTAATTATTAAGGTGCTTAAAATTATTTACTCTTTGTTAATCCATCATATTTTTAAAATTAAATTCTTTTGTTAGAATCATGAGAAATTAATTTATCTCCTTTTGATGAAGAATCATGAGAAATTATTTTATCTCTTGGAGAAGAATCACTTTATTTAGGATAACTCTCTTTTCTTTTAGAAACAGGAGATTCTTAATTTATCAACTCTACATCTTCTGTTTTTAAGTGTAAATTTTCCTCTTCATCATATAAAATATCTTCCCATCCATAACTCTATTCTAAGGATTTTTGAACTAATTTTAAGTTCTTATTAAATATGAATAAGATACATGTTGTATTTTCAGGGCTTTGTAAGACCTTTTATTACTTCTTATTATTCTTGACCTATTTTAAATTTTTTAATTATCCTTTAAAATCAATTTTTCAATATCTGGTTTATAATTCAACAATTTACAATCCTCTATTTAATGATCAGTTTGATGACATATTTGGCATTTTTGACCATGAAAATAAGCCTTAAATAAGAATAAATGCTTGATTTAATGATAAACTTCATGTTCCTCCTAATTAAGTAAGCTCATAAATGAAGTTTAAGAAATCCTAAATACTTTTGTAAAGCTACGACTTATAGCTGAAAATTTCCGAGGTTGTTAAGTAAAAAACGATTCTTCTCCAAAATATTTCCCTTTTTAAAGCTCTGCTACTTTTTATTAAGATTTCTCTTCATAAATTTCAACCTTTCCATAATCTAAAAAATATAAATAATTATCTTCAATAGAATTTTAAAGATATATGTATTCATCGGGACAGTAGTAAGCAGTTTAAAGGGAGCTTGACATTTTCTTTATTGTATCTTCACTAAAATTATGAGATATGATTTTGCAATCCTAAAGTAAATTTTTAAAAACATTAAGCATTAATTCTTGCTATAAAAATGAAGATAATTATTCAAGAATGCTTTATAACTTAAATTAAAAATAAGTTGATTACATGATATTTTGATTACTAATTTCTTTTGATACATCTATATTCTAAATAACTTCTTGCTCTACTTTATAATTGATCTGGAATTGAGTGTTATTTCATATAAGAAGTCAAAATTCTCAGCATCTCTCTAAAAAAAATTTAAATCTTAATTACTAAAATTGTCTTTTTTGTTTGTTAATATTCTACACTATAGTTCCAACTTAATTAAGAGAAAATGTAAAAACAGCACATGATAAAAGCATTAGAAATATACAACTAAAAGCCTCTACATGATTCTATGGTATAATATCTCCATATCCAACAGTAATCATTGTTACAATAGCCCAATAGTAGGAAAAAATATATCTAACTTGTTTTGTATCATTTTGAAGATTTTTCTCTAGAATCCAGCTATTTTTCTCATTTTCCATAGTTGTCATACCTATATAATGCCAAATACATGCCATAAAATGGGCAATAAGATTAATAGTTATAACAAGGTTGATGAGACTTATGATTTCTCTTTGAATGACTGAAAGATTTAATAATTTAACTATTTTACTAATTACTTTTTAAAGTTTGATTAAGCTAATAGCACAATATGAAATAAATATTAATATGCTTTCTAAGTTTACTGTATAATAAACTAAAAAAAGAAAGGATAAATCCAAAATAAAGGATGTCTGTAAATATTTTTTCATTATACTTTTTCTTGCTTTGATAATCTTTATATTAAAGTATATATATTACATTCCCTTTTTTTATAATGGCTATGTTTAACTTCAGAATGATATCAAGTAAAAAAAATATCAAAAATGACCACATTTCTTAGATTTTTAGAATTGGGTATTATTAATCAAAGCTCCAAAAAAAAGGTATCACTATAATTAAGCTTAAGGTCATAAAAAACATGATTATATCCCATAAAATTATAAATTTATTTGTCGGATCAATAACGAATGAAAGTATATTGTTTGAATTATCTTTTTTGTCTTAAATATATTTTTCTTGATAGAAGAGATTATTCTTTAATTTTTCCTTCTAACTTTAGGAAAGAATATAGCTTCTAGAAAGCAAAATGGTTTTAAACCTTTTTACCAGATTATTTATTTTTATAATTTGGAAAATACTTTTTCCTCCTTTTTCTGTCATTACAGAACATGCTTGTGATCTCGGAAGTTCATTTTGATCTTGATAACTTGCATTTTCAAAATTTATTTTTTCATTGCATTCAATTTTAATCTGTTCCTGTTTAAAAAGAACAGGCAGTTTCTTAAATGGTTTAAAATTATCTAAATATTGTTCTAAGTTTATTATCTAATAATACATTGGTCTATAGTTAAATTTTATAACGATGGATCATTAATGCGAGGAGTAATCTATGAAAAAAGGTTTTAATCAATTTAGCTTCTTGGACTTAAAGAATATACGCTCATTATTAAATTAAAAATCGATTACTATCCTTATAATTAATAATTAATAAAAATGATATTATCTTTTATTATTTGAAAATAAATATTTGAGCAAAGGATAAAGCGAAATAAATTTTAGATGAAAAAATTCTTAGTGAAATCAAATATATACAATCTTATTTTAATTTTGTCTATTTTCTTTTTTAATTAGAGTAGAATAAGAACTAGAATATTTAAAAAGAGGTTGTGGCTTAAAATAAATTAGGCCAAAATCGACACAATTAAACTATTTACATAAATAATTAATTTTAATCAAAAAAGACAAAAAAATTACACAAATTAATCTTAAATTTTATATGGATTAGTTATTTACAAGCCTTAAAAAACAATATTTTAAAGAAATTACTTGTTTGAAAACTCTCAAAAGTGAGAAGTTAAATGCTAATTTATTATCATAATTAATTTTTATCATTAATCCATACTTTTTTTTTTCTATTTCAAAGCTAATTTTTCATATACCATCCATAGAACTCCACTTTATATACATTTTTTTATTAATCTGGGTAAATAACCTTAATAAAACCCTTTAAGACCTTCAGTCACTTTTATGGTTTTTGCTAACTTAAGTAAATTACTCTATGTTAACTAAACTTAATTACACTCTTATTTTATGCCTACTATCTTATTCTTAAGTTATCAAATGGGTATGTAACCATAATAGCTAGCATTGCCGCACTTGAACCACAAATTGCTACTATAATTGAGTTGTTTTTTGGGTCTTAACCTTTTGTAAATAAACCACTTAAATTTAATAAATTCCGATAAATTGTATATTAAATTCCTGAAAAAGGTACATCTTTCAAAATTGCAGCAATCGTACCCTTAATATTAAAATGATTAATACTCTGTAAAAACCAAAAAAGCCTTCTTCTTTTGCTATTTTTAAGAAACATTTATTAATTTTGCTGTATTCATAGTTGCCTACAATTTACATTTTCGTTCTCATTACAGCCAATGGTGTTGAAGCTACCGTGCCCACTAATTTGCTTGATGAAGCAATCATTAAATTTAGAAAACTTTATAAATAGATTGGATAATGGGATGGTGGGCTCTTTATAATTATCATAAATTACCTATATTTCTCTATGCCTGAGAAAAAAAATGAAAAAGATACTGTATTTTTTGCTATTGATAAAATAGTCCCTCTATAAAAGCCTCTTAATCCTTCTTGATTATAAATTTAGGAGGCAATTAGAGATAAACCTTTGAAATTGATATTTTGTTTTGAATAGCCTGTTGCAATCATTGATGTTTGTAAAACTTCTAAAGGTTAAAGAATTAATGTGGCCCCCACAGCAATTTAAAAGTTTTTCATATTTAACATTGCAGGCTTGATATTTTTTTTCTATTCCTTTTCTGCCATTTTAATATTATTTTTTTTTTCACAATGAAAAGTATCCAATAAGTTAACTCATCATCTGTTCCTATTGGAGTTTAAGTAACCTATTCCTTCCCTATAAATAGCAAATAGATACTCAGCTCTAAAAAGTTAAAACCCTACTTGATTTAGAGCACCAGTAAACACTCGAGAGATCTTTTAAGGAATCAAAATTGAATAAAGAATTTGCATAAAAATTAACTTAGAAAGTTGACTAGTTATAATTAGAGAGGGATAAGTATAAGAAATAATTTGAAGAAGGATTAAAAAAAGTGGAAGGAAGTGGATATGGAAGAACTTCTTTCCACAGCAACAAAAGTGATTTAGAAAGGCAAATATAAACTGAAAGAGGCAAATAGACAGATAAGTCAGCTCTATAATAAATTTTGAATGAAAAAGGTGAACAAATGCAATAAGAAATTGAATGCTTGAAAAGTGAAAATAATTAGGTGACTTCTGACTTAAGATAAGCATGGCAGGATATAGATTAGAAAGAACAATTAATCAAAAAACTTGAACTCTAAAATAGTGTATTAGTGAATGAAATTAGAAAGCTATAAAGAAAACTTTAACAAGAAAAGTTAAATAACTCTGAAATAAAGGCTGTAAAATAAAAAGATATATCTTCCAGTTAAGAATAAATGTATTATACTTTTATTATACCTAGGCCAATAGAAATATAATGCTTAAAGAATTAGATAAATGAACTTTAAGATGAAATAAATGAATATCAAGAAATGATAGACTCATAACAATAATAAATTGAAATTCAAAAAACGAATAATTCATAACTTAAAATTGAAAAAGATAATATTGCTCATAAATATGCAAGTATTTAAAAATTTATTTTCCTTAGTTGCTAATGAAAAACTATAAGCTTTATTTGAGGAGAAAGATGAAATGGAAAAATAAAAAAAAATAGATAATGAATCTTTAAATGGATTACAAATGTGTGTGTCGATTCAAAAAGAAAATATTAAATACCTTGAAAGTGAAATGAAAGGTTTAAATCAACAGTTAAACCAAATGAAATCATTAATCAGTAATCTAGAGATAACTATTAATGATTTAAAGAACGAAAATCTAAATTTATTAGAAAAACTTGCAGAAAAACCATTGTAAATAAATCTCAATCTTGAAAATGAAATAGCCAACCTGTAAAGTGCTTCATAAGCAGATGATGATTTGTTAAATAAATTTAACACTTTGAATGTTGAATATCAAAACCTTAATAAAAGCTATTTAAATTTATAATCAGAATATGGCAATTAATAAATAAATTTTACAAATTTAGAAGATTAATTAAAGTAATAACAACTTTTAAATAATAAGCTGAACTCAGATAATGATAACTTAAAAAAAATGATCTAAAACTTAGAAAATGAAAACAAAAAATTAAATCAGTAAAATTCTGAATTATTGTCTTAAATAAATATTTATTAAGTTAAAGATGATGAAAACTGTAAAGTTTTGAGAAAATTAAATGAGAATATAGATATGAAAAATGTCGAAAATATTCGTCTCAAAAATAAAACAAAAAAACAAATTGGAAGCTATTTCTTGGTCTTATGTAGAATTTTAAAGTTAGAAAAAGATAAATCAATCTAAGAATAAAAAATTATAAAACAATAAGGCATCATAAATGATTTGCTGTTAACTCTTGAATAATAGCGAAAAGATGTGAATTAATATTCAAATATAGAATAAAAATAATTATAATAGATAGATATAAAGCCTATAGAATTGGAGGAATAAAAAAATTTGAAAATATTAAATTAAAAGATTTTGGGAAAGTTCTTTAGATTAATGATAAAATAGTAATAAAAAGATTAACAAATCAAAAATTTAACATAAAGGCTTTCAAAGCTAAAGTCAATCAATGATGCTTTAACCAACTAAAGTGAGGATAATCATTAGATAAAAAAAGATGAAGATTTGTTAGAAATTTCAAAATGCCCATTAGTTAATGAAGAATGTAGTGAAAGTCTACTTAATGCAGATGAATTAAAAAAAGTAAAATTATTTAACCTAAGACTTTTGACTAAACTTTTCCGTATCGCAACTCAATTAAATTAAAAAAAATAAATAAATTTAGATTTCGAAAGAAGATTGAATAAACAAAAGGCTATAAATTCTTAATTATAAATCTAAATTGAACAATTTAAAGCAATAAATAAAGAAAATGACTTAGAAGATTAGTAAAAGATTGTAGATAATAATAATGATTATGAATAACTCTAAGGAAATACTGAAAGTTTGAAAAATTTTAATAGGAAACTATTAGTTAAATGTTTTAGAAATGTATACCTGTAATAAAAATTAGCTAAAGAAAATTTATTGCTAAATAATCGAATAAATAAACTTAAAGCTTAGTTAAATGAGACAAATTAAGAAAATATAGTTACAGAATAAAGTAAAAAAAATGAATATAATGAGATTTAGAATATAACACCAAAAGAGGATGAATATATACAAAAAATTTCAACATAAGAATTAAAATATTTATCTAAATGGTTCAAAGCTATGTGTTTGATAAAAAGTAAAAATAGTGTGGTTGATTAACTTAATCAAAAGTTAGCAAAACAAAAAGCCATAAATGAGGAATTGAGAGAGCAAATCAAGATGAATGAAGAAGATGTAGAAAATTTGGAAGTGAAAGAAAAATCTGAAGAATAGGAAGAATAATCAGTACCATTATCACAAGATGATGGAGAAGGATAAAAAAAGCTCAGAAGTCAGAATAATAAATTGCTGGGCAAATTATTCAGAGTGATGAGCTAATTTAATAAAAAGAATAATGAAATTGAGGAATTGAAGGAAAGATTACATAAATAGAAGGCAATTCTAGATGAATTAAGCAATTAAAATAATGCTTCCATTTCAGAAGAAAAAGGAGATGACCTTGGAAAAGCAGAAGAAATTGAATTAAATTAGGAGGTTTAATAAATTCCAGACGTTGAACAATTGAAGAAGCAAAAACTCACATTATTTGGAAAATTGTTCAGAGCAATGAGCTTAATAAACCAAAAGAATAAGGAAATTGAATCTTTAAGTGATAGATTAAATAAACAAAAAGCCATCATAGAAGAATTAACATCTTCAAACTCAGAAAACTTGGCAATTGAGATGGAACCATAATAAATTGAACTTCAGAGTGCTCCTAACAATTTAATTGAAGATAATGGTAATTTAGAACTGAACAATACAGAAGAATTCAATAAATTGAAAACTTCCAATGATAGATCTTTGAGCAAATTATTCAGAGCTATGTTTTTGATTTCTAAGAAAAATAACTAAATCGAATAATTGAATTCTAGATTGCTTAAGCAAAAAGCAATAATTGAAGAGTTAGCTCAAAACGATAGTGCTTAATAATAAAGAGAGAAGATTCATAAGCTTTTGGGCAAACTCTTTAGAGCAATCAGTGATTTGAACATGAAGCAGAAACAAAATGAGGAGTTGAAAGAACGATTATCAAAAAGTAAGGCTCTCGTAGACAGTTTACTCAATTAAGTTCCTCAAAAGGAAGAAGAGGTTGCTTCTGAAATTAAACAATCTGATCAAGAAGAGATAACTATGCCAACGGATTTAATTCAGCGTTTAGAGGCTGACCAATAGCAATTAAAGAATAGAAATATTAAACTGACTTCAAAGATGTTTAAGATAATGATTAAATTAAGTCAAAAGGACAAATTGATTGAATCCTTATCAGAGCGCCTTCTTAAACAAAAAGCAATAAATGATGAATTAAGGAATCAAATAGTGGACTCTCTGTAACCATAACCTTAATGTGAAACGATGGAGATCGTAGATAATCAACAATAGGTAAATGCAGACGAGTTTAATAAGATTAAAAATTCTAACAGCAAATCTCTCGCTAAAATATTCAGATTAGTGTTCAAATTAAATTAAAAAGAGAAGATTATTGATGAGTAAAATTAAAGAATTGCAAAATTGAAATAGATTATTTCAGAATATGCTCTAAATGATGATACTTTAAAAAAGGTTAAGGACAAAAATCACAAATTGCTGGCTTAATAATTTAGAGTTGTGATTAAGTTAGCAAAACAATAATAAGAAAATGAAGAACTCAAGAATAGATTGAGTAAATCAAAGTAATTGGTTGTTGAATAATAAGATATGGTTGAAAATTTGTAGCAGTAACTTCAAAGCAATGTAATTCAGAACCAAGAACAAGATGTTCCTAAAGAGTAATATTAAGAATAATTACAAGGAATTGATCTTTCGAATAAGGATGAAGAAATTTAAACATTAATTAGGTAAAAGAACAAATAATTGGGAAAACTTTTCAAAATAATGATTTAGTTAGAAAGAAAGAATAAAGAAATCGAATAGTTATCATAAAGGTTATTGAAATAGAAAGCAATAAATGATGAATTATTATTGTAAAATTCAAGTGATGAAACGGAAGTAAGTTCCTATTCTTCACAGAAAAATTAGCAAGAATAAGTAAATGTTCAGAATAACTCAGAAATGAAAGATTTGTAAGAAGAAAATGACAAATTGAAATAAGAATTGAAAAAGCAAACAAATTAGAATAATAGATGGTTAGCCAAATTATTTAGAGCTTTAAATTGTATAAAGAGTAGAAATAGTTTGGTTGATTAACTTAATCAAAAGTTAGCAAAACAAAAAGCCATAAATGAGGAATTGAGAGAGCAAATCAAGATGAATGAAGAAGATGTAGAAAATTTGGAAGTGAAAGAAAAATCTGAAGAATAGGAAGAATAATCAGTACCATTATCACAAGATGATGGAGAAGGATAAAAAAAGCTCAGAAGTCAGAATAATAAATTGCTGGGCAAATTATTCAGAGTGATGAGCTAATTTAATAAAAAGAATAATGAAATTGAGGAATTGAAGGAAAGATTACATAAATAGAAGGCAATTCTAGATGAATTAAGCAATTAAAATAATGCTTCCATTTCAGAAGAAAAAGGAGATGACCTTGGAAAAGCAGAAGAAATTGAATTAAATTAGGAGGTTTAATAAATTCCAGACGTTGAACAATTGAAGAAGCAAAAACTCACATTATTTGGAAAATTGTTCAGAGCAATGAGCTTAATAAACCAAAAGAATAAGGAAATTGAATCTTTAAGTGATAGATTAAATAAACAAAAAGCCATCATAGAAGAATTAACATCTTCAAACTCAGAAAACTTGGCAATTGAGATGGAACCATAATAAATTGAACTTCAGAGTGCTCCTAACAATTTAATTGAAGATAATGGTAATTTAGAACTGAACAATACAGAAGAATTCAATAAATTGAAAACTTCCAATGATAGATCTTTGAGCAAATTATTCAGAGCTATGTTTTTGATTTCTAAGAAAAATAACTAAATCGAATAATTGAATTCTAGATTGCTTAAGCAAAAAGCAATAATTGAAGAGTTAGCTCAAAACGATAGTGCTTAATAATAAAGAGAGAAGATTCATAAGCTTTTGGGCAAACTCTTTAGAGCAATCAGTGATTTGAACATGAAGCAGAAACAAAATGAGGAGTTGAAAGAACGATTATCAAAAAGTAAGGCTCTCGTAGACAGTTTACTCAATTAAGTTCCTCAAAAGGAAGAAGAGGTTGCTTCTGAAATTAAACAATCTGATCAAGAAGAGATAACTATGCCAACGGATTTAATTCAGCGTTTAGAGGCTGACCAATAGCAATTAAAGAATAGAAATATTAAACTGACTTCAAAGATGTTTAAGATAATGATTAAATTAAGTCAAAAGGACAAATTGATTGAATCCTTATCAGAGCGCCTTCTTAAACAAAAAGCAATAAATGATGAATTAAGGAATCAAATAGTGGACTCTCTGTAACCATAACCTTAATGTGAAACGATGGAGATCGTAGATAATCAACAATAGGTAAATGCAGACGAGTTTAATAAGATTAAAAATTCTAACAGCAAATCTCTCGCTAAAATATTCAGATTAGTGTTCAAATTAAATTAAAAAGAGAAGATTATTGATGAGTAAAATTAAAGAATTGCAAAATTGAAATAGATTATTTCAGAATATGCTCTAAATGATGATACTTTAAAAAAGGTTAAGGACAAAAATCACAAATTGCTGGCTTAATAATTTAGAGTTGTGATTAAGTTAGCAAAACAATAATAAGAAAATGAAGAACTCAAGAATAGATTGAGTAAATCAAAGTAATTGGTTGTTGAATAATAAGATATGGTTGAAAATTTGTAGCAGTAACTTCAAAGCAATGTAATTCAGAACCAAGAACAAGATGTTCCTAAAGAGTAATATTAAGAATAATTACAAGGAATTGATCTTTCGAATAAGGATGAAGAAATTTAAACATTAATTAGGTAAAAGAACAAATAATTGGGAAAACTTTTCAAAATAATGATTTAGTTAGAAAGAAAGAATAAAGAAATCGAATAGTTATCATAAAGGTTATTGAAATAGAAAGCAATAAATGATGAATTATTATTGTAAAATTCAAGTGATGAAACGGAAGTAAGTTCCTATTCTTCACAGAAAAATTAGCAAGAATAAGTAAATGTTCAGAATAACTCAGAAATGAAAGATTTGTAAGAAGAAAATGACAAATTGAAATAAGAATTGAAAAAGCAAACAAATTAGAATAATAGATGGTTAGCCAAATTATTTAGAGCTTTAAATTGTATAAAGAGTAGAAATAGTTTGGTTGATTAACTTAATCAAAAGTTAGCAAAACAAAAAGCCATAAATGAGGAATTGAGAGAGCAAATCAAGATGAATGAAGAAGATGTAGAAAATTTGGAAGTGAAAGAAAAATCTGAAGAATAGGAAGAATAATCAGTACCATTATCACAAGATGATGGAGAAGGATAAAAAAAGCTCAGAAGTCAGAATAATAAATTGCTGGGCAAATTATTCAGAGTGATGAGCTAATTTAATAAAAAGAATAATGAAATTGAGGAATTGAAGGAAAGATTACATAAATAGAAGGCAATTCTAGATGAATTAAGCAATTAAAATAATGCTTCCATTTCAGAAGAAAAAGGAGATGACCTTGGAAAAGCAGAAGAAATTGAATTAAATTAGGAGGTTTAATAAATTCCAGACGTTGAACAATTGAAGAAGCAAAAACTCACATTATTTGGAAAATTGTTCAGAGCAATGAGCTTAATAAACCAAAAGAATAAGGAAATTGAATCTTTAAGTGATAGATTAAATAAACAAAAAGCCATCATAGAAGAATTAACATCTTCAAACTCAGAAAACTTGGCAATTGAGATGGAACCATAATAAATTGAACTTCAGAGTGCTCCTAACAATTTAATTGAAGATAATGGTAATTTAGAACTGAACAATACAGAAGAATTCAATAAATTGAAAACTTCCAATGATAGATCTTTGAGCAAATTATTCAGAGCTATGTTTTTGATTTCTAAGAAAAATAACTAAATCGAATAATTGAATTCTAGATTGCTTAAGCAAAAAGCAATAATTGAAGAGTTAGCTCAAAACGATAGTGCTTAATAATAAAGAGAGAAGATTCATAAGCTTTTGGGCAAACTCTTTAGAGCAATCAGTGATTTGAACATGAAGCAGAAACAAAATGAGGAGTTGAAAGAACGATTATCAAAAAGTAAGGCTCTCGTAGACAGTTTACTCAATTAAGTTCCTCAAAAGGAAGAAGAGGTTGCTTCTGAAATTAAACAATCTGATCAAGAAGAGATAACTATGCCAACGGATTTAATTCAGCGTTTAGAGGCTGACCAATAGCAATTAAAGAATAGAAATATTAAACTGACTTCAAAGATGTTTAAGATAATGATTAAATTAAGTCAAAAGGACAAATTGATTGAATCCTTATCAGAGCGCCTTCTTAAACAAAAAGCAATAAATGATGAATTAAGGAATCAAATAGTGGACTCTCTGTAACCATAACCTTAATGTGAAACGATGGAGATCGTAGATAATCAACAATAGGTAAATGCAGACGAGTTTAATAAGATTAAAAATTCTAACAGCAAATCTCTCGCTAAAATATTCAGATTAGTGTTCAAATTAAATTAAAAAGAGAAGATTATTGATGAGTAAAATTAAAGAATTGCAAAATTGAAATAGATTATTTCAGAATATGCTCTAAATGATGATACTTTAAAAAAGGTTAAGGACAAAAATCACAAATTGCTGGCTTAATAATTTAGAGTTGTGATTAAGTTAGCAAAACAATAATAAGAAAATGAAGAACTCAAGAATAGATTGAGTAAATCAAAGTAATTGGTTGTTGAATAATAAGATATGGTTGAAAATTTGTAGCAGTAACTTCAAAGCAATGTAATTCAGAACCAAGAACAAGATGTTCCTAAAGAGTAATATTAAGAATAATTACAAGGAATTGATCTTTCGAATAAGGATGAAGAAATTTAAACATTAATTAGGTAAAAGAACAAATAATTGGGAAAACTTTTCAAAATAATGATTTAGTTAGAAAGAAAGAATAAAGAAATCGAATAGTTATCATAAAGGTTATTGAAATAGAAAGCAATAAATGATGAATTATTATTGTAAAATTCAAGTGATGAAACGGAAGTAAGTTCCTATTCTTCACAGAAAAATTAGCAAGAATAAGTAAATGTTCAGAATAACTCAGAAATGAAAGATTTGTAAGAAGAAAATGACAAATTGAAATAAGAATTGAAAAAGCAAACAAATTAGAATAATAGATGGTTAGCCAAATTATTTAGAGCTTTAAATTGTATAAAGAGTAGAAATAGTTTGGTTGATTAACTTAATCAAAAGTTAGCAAAACAAAAAGCCATAAATGAGGAATTGAGAGAGCAAATCAAGATGAATGAAGAAGATGTAGAAAATTTGGAAGTGAAAGAAAAATCTGAAGAATAGGAAGAATAATCAGTACCATTATCACAAGATGATGGAGAAGGATAAAAAAAGCTCAGAAGTCAGAATAATAAATTGCTGGGCAAATTATTCAGAGTGATGAGCTAATTTAATAAAAAGAATAATGAAATTGAGGAATTGAAGGAAAGATTACATAAATAGAAGGCAATTCTAGATGAATTAAGCAATTAAAATAATGCTTCCATTTCAGAAGAAAAAGGAGATGACCTTGGAAAAGCAGAAGAAATTGAATTAAATTAGGAGGTTTAATAAATTCCAGACGTTGAACAATTGAAGAAGCAAAAACTCACATTATTTGGAAAATTGTTCAGAGCAATGAGCTTAATAAACCAAAAGAATAAGGAAATTGAATCTTTAAGTGATAGATTAAATAAACAAAAAGCCATCATAGAAGAATTAACATCTTCAAACTCAGAAAACTTGGCAATTGAGATGGAACCATAATAAATTGAACTTCAGAGTGCTCCTAACAATTTAATTGAAGATAATGGTAATTTAGAACTGAACAATACAGAAGAATTCAATAAATTGAAAACTTCCAATGATAGATCTTTGAGCAAATTATTCAGAGCTATGTTTTTGATTTCTAAGAAAAATAACTAAATCGAATAATTGAATTCTAGATTGCTTAAGCAAAAAGCAATAATTGAAGAGTTAGCTCAAAACGATAGTGCTTAATAATAAAGAGAGAAGATTCATAAGCTTTTGGGCAAACTCTTTAGAGCAATCAGTGATTTGAACATGAAGCAGAAACAAAATGAGGAGTTGAAAGAACGATTATCAAAAAGTAAGGCTCTCGTAGACAGTTTACTCAATTAAGTTCCTCAAAAGGAAGAAGAGGTTGCTTCTGAAATTAAACAATCTGATCAAGAAGAGATAACTATGCCAACGGATTTAATTCAGCGTTTAGAGGCTGACCAATAGCAATTAAAGAATAGAAATATTAAACTGACTTCAAAGATGTTTAAGATAATGATTAAATTAAGTCAAAAGGACAAATTGATTGAATCCTTATCAGAGCGCCTTCTTAAACAAAAAGCAATAAATGATGAATTAAGGAATCAAATAGTGGACTCTCTGTAACCATAACCTTAATGTGAAACGATGGAGATCGTAGATAATCAACAATAGGTAAATGCAGACGAGTTTAATAAGATTAAAAATTCTAACAGCAAATCTCTCGCTAAAATATTCAGATTAGTGTTCAAATTAAATTAAAAAGAGAAGATTATTGATGAGTAAAATTAAAGAATTGCAAAATTGAAATAGATTATTTCAGAATATGCTCTAAATGATGATACTTTAAAAAAGGTTAAGGACAAAAATCACAAATTGCTGGCTTAATAATTTAGAGTTGTGATTAAGTTAGCAAAACAATAATAAGAAAATGAAGAACTCAAGAATAGATTGAGTAAATCAAAGTAATTGGTTGTTGAATAATAAGATATGGTTGAAAATTTGTAGCAGTAACTTCAAAGCAATGTAATTCAGAACCAAGAACAAGATGTTCCTAAAGAGTAATATTAAGAATAATTACAAGGAATTGATCTTTCGAATAAGGATGAAGAAATTTAAACATTAATTAGGTAAAAGAACAAATAATTGGGAAAACTTTTCAAAATAATGATTTAGTTAGAAAGAAAGAATAAAGAAATCGAATAGTTATCATAAAGGTTATTGAAATAGAAAGCAATAAATGATGAATTATTATTGTAAAATTCAAGTGATGAAACGGAAGTAAGTTCCTATTCTTCACAGAAAAATTAGCAAGAATAAGTAAATGTTCAGAATAACTCAGAAATGAAAGATTTGTAAGAAGAAAATGACAAATTGAAATAAGAATTGAAAAAGCAAACAAATTAGAATAATAGATGGTTAGCCAAATTATTTAGAGCTTTAAATTGTATAAAGAGTAGAAATAGTTTGGTTGATTAACTTAATCAAAAGTTAGCAAAACAAAAAGCCATAAATGAGGAATTGAGAGAGCAAATCAAGATGAATGAAGAAGATGTAGAAAATTTGGAAGTGAAAGAAAAATCTGAAGAATAGGAAGAATAATCAGTACCATTATCACAAGATGATGGAGAAGGATAAAAAAAGCTCAGAAGTCAGAATAATAAATTGCTGGGCAAATTATTCAGAGTGATGAGCTAATTTAATAAAAAGAATAATGAAATTGAGGAATTGAAGGAAAGATTACATAAATAGAAGGCAATTCTAGATGAATTAAGCAATTAAAATAATGCTTCCATTTCAGAAGAAAAAGGAGATGACCTTGGAAAAGCAGAAGAAATTGAATTAAATTAGGAGGTTTAATAAATTCCAGACGTTGAACAATTGAAGAAGCAAAAACTCACATTATTTGGAAAATTGTTCAGAGCAATGAGCTTAATAAACCAAAAGAATAAGGAAATTGAATCTTTAAGTGATAGATTAAATAAACAAAAAGCCATCATAGAAGAATTAACATCTTCAAACTCAGAAAACTTGGCAATTGAGATGGAACCATAATAAATTGAACTTCAGAGTGCTCCTAACAATTTAATTGAAGATAATGGTAATTTAGAACTGAACAATACAGAAGAATTCAATAAATTGAAAACTTCCAATGATAGATCTTTGAGCAAATTATTCAGAGCTATGTTTTTGATTTCTAAGAAAAATAACTAAATCGAATAATTGAATTCTAGATTGCTTAAGCAAAAAGCAATAATTGAAGAGTTAGCTCAAAACGATAGTGCTTAATAATAAAGAGAGAAGATTCATAAGCTTTTGGGCAAACTCTTTAGAGCNAAATACTACATAATTAATGTTCATCATAAATTTAGTCTCTTTAAAAGGAGAACGATAATATATCATAAGAGAATATCATTTTGAAATTATAATATGATGCATTATTAACAAAATGTGATACACTAGAATAAAAGTTTAATGACAAAATTGCTTAATTTTATTCACTTATTGAATAATTATTAAAGTAGAACCAAGATGACATCGAAGAAAATAATTAATTGAACTAATTGACTAAAGCATCAAGTCAAGTTATCAAATTTTTACATAAATAATAACAAGATCAAAATTTTGAAAATACGAGCTCATCTTCCAGTTTCATTAGTGTTTAAGATGAAAGTTAAAAATAAATAATGTATCTCTAACATTAAGTTATGTATTTGCAACATAGTGTTTAGGAGTATGCTGATGGAATAAGTTAGTTAAATCGAAGAATCCTAGAATTATACTATAAAAATAATAAATTGGAAGCATTATTACAAGAGTCTGATATTAAAAGTAATTATTTTAATTAAATTTTAGAATGCTTTAATTTATGAGAATCAAATTTGTCTAGTGAGTTTTAACATATCTTTATTATAATTAAATTTAAGTACCACATTTATATATTAATTATATATACTTATATTTTCTTTCATGACTTCTTTATAAGAGGTTAATGAGAATCTCAGATAGCAAATCATTGAGTTGACTTTTAAATTGGAATTAAAGGACAAAGAAATAGAATAAATGAAATCTCCTCCGAAGTCTTCAAATCAATTTGAAACCCAAACTTTAGAATTATAGTTAATATAATATAAGCATTTGCAAACTAAATTAGAAAATGAAAATGAATAATTAAGAAGCAAATTAAATCAAATGGTAAATTCTCAAGTGGAAGCATAAAAGGCACTGTTAAAATAAAAATAACAAATGCAGAATGTAAATAAAAATTTATTTTCTCTTTCTTCATAAATTCAAGAAGAGGATAGTCCAATTAAGCTAATTATTGATAAATTAATAGATAAAGAAAAAGATCAACTCATTACATAAAGTTTAGATGTAGAAAGTTAACTAAAAATGAATGAAATAAAACGAATTAATAACTAACTTTCTAGCAGAATTCAACAACTAGAAGAAAAGTCATAAAATATGATTGCTAGATAATTTTAAGATGCTGCTACTATTCTAAAACTTAAAAAAGAAAAATAAGGGTTGATAGATTAATTGTAGCGATAAGGGTAAGAATTAGAACAAGAATTACAGAAATCGAGGGTTTAAACAATTCCTGATATTGCAATTTCTTTCTCAGATTTGTATTTCGAAATTCCATATATAGAATAAATCAAAGAAAAATTTGAGTTATTAATATAACAAATTTTACAACAACTTTTATCACAAAACTCAAATTGTGAGTTAGGTGAATCTTTAGTAAAAACACATAGAAGTAGCTCTTCTAGAAGATTAGACTAAGTTTAAAATTAGTTTAGTGATATCTTAAAATATATAAATAGAGGCTCATAAAAAAATAGGGAGTTTACTTTAGAAAATTAGATTTTTGAATCTTTCATTTATGAAAAACCTACAACTAATGATAAATCATCTTAAACTTCAAATATTGAAAATGATGTAAATGCTGAAAATCTTTTGAATATAGAGTCAAAACTATAAGACAATGTAGTACAAAGCCCACGATTTTAAGGTGAATGTAAAGGAATTGATGCTGAATAATAAACAGAAGATATAGATTTAAATTAATTCCTTCTTAATTCTATGACACCATTAATGTTTTCAGCTATACCTTAACTTCACACTGAAAGTGATTTAATTGATGAATAATAACAAGGATAAGATAAAAGCGCTGTCTGCTTGAGGAATGGAATAAAAAATGATTCAGGATTTGACGAAGGATAATTAATAGGCATAGTAGAATAATTGACGCTCTAATTAAAATACACTAAAAAATAGTGGTATAATTCAGTCGATAAATGTTTAAGAGCCTAAGAAGAATTAGAAAGACTATCAGAAATAGAAGCCTAATATAATCACTTAAGTTAGCAGTATTTAAATTCCAAGAATGAATTAGCGAAATAAAAAAATAAGTATAAGTTGCTGTTAGACAAATATTTTGATCTTGAACTAAAGTATATGTAGCAATGAACAATTTTATAGTTTTGCAAAAATTACATTTTTATTTATTATAGTTATTATAATTATATACAAATATGATTATAAAAAATGAATTATTTGCATAATTTGCTTTTTAATAATAATTCAAGCGAATTTACTTTCATCTTCAATTTCTCCAGGACTTTTTGCTAAATGAATAGGTTCATACTCATTTTCGTATTCTTCATCCTCTTCTATTTATCTTCTAAATTTAATATAATCTATCAATAATGATGCTAATTATAATATAAAATCTGTCACGATTAGTTCTGAAACTAAGATGCAAGCAAGACCTATTCCCCAATAGATTACAAGTCTATCATAAATTAAAAAGTATGATAATGTTGAAATTAATAATCCCACAAGCAAAAATATAGTTGTTATCAAGTAACTAAAGAATGTGTAAATACATTGTTTCCTTTTCTAACCTCTAGTATTCAAATATTCACATAACACATTAAAAATTCTAAGTAACAAGCTTACTCCACTGGCAAATAATATAATTATATCTAACTATATTATTTGCATGTTCACTATAAATCCAAGTATTCCAGCAGTAATACTTACTCTACTCATGATCATAAGCAGCCTTTGCTTACGACCAAAGTTTTTCTTAAATAAAAATATAGCCCCTAATAAATTGTTTACCTAATAGCAATTTTAAAGTCGATTTTCAGAATTAAACAATCTAACTGGCTATTCTTATTGAAAATCCTATTGTTGTTTTTCAGGGCTTTCAGATGGACTATTAGGTTCTCCTTCGCTTGGCATTATTTGAGCTCTTCTCACTCTATTTAATACTGAAACTTTCTTTATGGTAGTCTATTAGCTGAATCCTGGGAGAATTGGTTTAGTGGTATCAATATCTCTTGAATCTCTTATATGTCCAATAATCAAAAAGATTAAAATCAAAAGGGAGAATCCACCAAAAGCAAAAAGTAAGTATATTCTATCTAAAACAAAATTAAGATCAAAATAGAATGGTTTATAATAATACTAGTAGTCATCAACTAAGGTTACATATCCTGCATCGCAAGTGCAAGTGATAGGAGGACTTTACGATGACGTTTGACAACCAACGTCGTCAAAATATTTAGCATCTGTACTTAAAATACAAACCAAATTAGTATCAACAGAAATGAAATCAAAAACTTTTTACTTTGGTCTTATTTTCTTCAACTCTGTATATACTCTTACTTAATTTTCTGATTTATAATAAAGTTATTGAGTATGATTTGGATAAGGGAAATTATTTTATAGCCTAAGAATATTTGTTTCAAAATAACTATCAACATGCAAGTTTTCTGCCAGTAATAGCCTTTTTTTTTGTTAAGATTTTTTTTCTATCATTATTGACATAGTATTGGAAGTATAATTTTGAGTTTCTCCTTCTAATAAAATATCTCCTGTGTATAAAATTAAAGTATTTTAACTATCAAATAATTTTTAATTAATTGTCTACATTTAAGTTACATAAGAATCATTAGTGAATAATTATTTATTTAGAGAAGAGAGAAAGTTTAAAATTTTAAAAGCTGCTTAATAATTAATCGATTATAGGGTTTAAGAAATAATCCCTGTGTCTGTATTTTGGGGTTGAAGAAAAGTATCTATTTATGAAAACAATTATTCAGTTTTTGTTAATTCAAAGACAGTTTTGAAATATGATAGTTGATATAAAAGAGCTATAGAATTAATAACAACTTGAGACTATTCTGCTGAAGACAAGTCAGAATATAATTTAGAGGCAAGTTAATCCCAAACATTTTAATCATTTAAGATTCCAGAACAATCTGAAAAAGTAGAGTATTCTTAATCACACACACATACTTAATTCACACATTCTCCTCGATTCCAACAATTATAATTGCATTTTATACTTTCAAGGAAATAAAGTTCCATAACAACAATTTGATCTAATATTAGATTGGTCTAATTGAAATCAATATAATCATAAACAAATTCAATGTTATTTTTAACACTAACAGCAGTTTTAGCTTTATTGACAGTAACTTCCACATAACTCATTCCAAACTAATCATCTTTGTTAACTTTAACTAGAAGATATTTACATGTTGGTAGTATACTTTTTATTGTTTTCTCTTTTCCCCAATCTAATAATAAATATCCATTATTATTAGAAAAATTGCCAATATCCCACTCTAAATCCTGAAAATTGCTATAAACAAAAACCTGATATTAGGTAGTATCAGAATCATTTTTTATGCCATCATCAATAATTAACTAAAATTCTGTTTAAAGAGAATATCCAGATGCAGGGGAGACAGTTAAATTGTTTAAGGAAAGAGCTGGTTTAACTCTCAAATTATATCGATTTAAAGTTCCTCCAACAATAACACTAATGTCTTACTATGATTACAGATTTCCTAGATATAGATATAAGTTTAGTCTTAGGACTGATTTTTCAATGTATTCAATCTTTAATATTTTGAAATACCTTATAATAACTAAGTAATAGGAACTCACGTCTAGATTATAGAGCAAGTTATCAGTAACAACTAAAATATCTTTATTTCCTAAATCAGTGTTATAAATCTATTCAGTCATATTTAGATCACTTACAATGATCTGCTAATTTAGAGTCACTGAACGAGATTCTTTTTTTATAGTACATGAAAATTAATAAACATAACCAGAGGGTAAATTAGATACATTTAAGGATTCATTATTGGTCATTATTAAAGGTTTATTCAAAGTTGTTCTACAAGGAATATTGTAATATAGATTAATGCAAGTCCAAGTGTAGCTAAGACCAATTTTGCTTAGATTTTTAGGCACATCATTATCTGAAGCATTAACAGTAAGGTTAAATTGTTTGTTTCCAACTATTCTATCTGTTGTTAGGAATTCAGAGAAAAGTTAATTGTTTCCAATTTTCAACTTTTTGCTTAATTTTATATCTCCTACAGAAATTCCTAGTAAATATTCTTAACTGGCTTTTAATTTGCCTTCAGGTATTTTAAAGGTAGTATCGACTCCAGTGTCTGCTGCAATTGTAGATTCAAACTGACTTGTACCTGAGGTGCTTGATTTGATTGATAAAGTAACAGGATAGCTTTCTGTAAGTTCCTAAACATTGGTATCAGAACACGAATATGAGTAAATAGTAAATGGCACTACTATTTCAAGATTAGAATAATATGTAGCAGTCTCATCAAAAGTAGTTAACAATGAGGGATTGGTTGATTTTGTCATAACCTTAATGGTTGTAGTCTTATTATAGCCTAAGAAATTGGAATAATTAACAGTGATATAATAGGCTAATTCTGGTAGCATAGTTCCTCCTGGTATTTTAATATATGAAGATCCACTATATTAACTTAATACAGAATTGATTGCCTCCTCTGTGCTGTTAGTTGTCCATGAATTATAGATCATTGCTCTACCTCCATTATATATTTCTTTGATAACTTCAACATTAAGATCCATACAATAGGATATTGCATTTTCAGGGTATGAGAGTATCACATTAGGAATTATTGCTGTAGACAAAACTAGTTGAGTGTTATTAAATTGTTCAATATAAATATCTTAGCATAGTTGTAAACTATTATCGATAAAAACGTTTTCCTTAAATTCAATCACATCATTAGGCATAATTGTAGGGTTATTACCTAATTATATAATGTATTTGTTTCCATTCTATTAGCAAATAGGAGATTCTCCAAAATTTGTATTTTTGAACCATTATTAACAATTCTCTTTGCTGAAGAAATAAGCATCCTCTGAATTTGTTGTGATAGAATATGTAAATATCACAATAATTTGGGTGAAATCACTACTAAATCTAACTGATTCAGCAAAGGACAATTTGCATGTAATGCAATAATCAGATGTAATAGGTGGTGGACGTTTACAAAGGCAATCAGGAGGTTCAAGATTGAATGAACATGTTAAACAATATGATAATGATTAACAAGTCACACATGGAGGTTAACACTTTTAGCAATTTAAACTCTTTCTATCATCATAATATCCAGATTAACAGTAACATTGTGGTGTATTTTGACGATCTCCTCTACATTAGATGCAATTATATTTAGAGTCTATACATGAGACACATCTGAAAGCACAAGAATCACAAGATACTTAATTTAGGAATGTACCTATTGGACAAATGCCAATACAAAAGTCTTCCTTTCTTTAAAAACCAGTTTGGCATTCTATGCAATCTTCATTTGTTCCTCCATTACAAGTTTTACACTCTAGTGAGCACTTAGAACATATTTTATCTTCAACATTTTTATAATATCCATCAGGACAATCATAAGTACATTAACCTTAATGTTTAACTTTAGTATTTGGGCATTCGTCTAAACATTATAAATTGCCTAAACCATCATTATTCACTAATTTATTACAAGTTGCTTCACACTAATAGTTGATAGGATTTTGATAAAAATTATTTTTACAAGTTCTTAGACATTCTGTTCCTTATTAAAAATATTTAGCCGCACATATTGAACAAGATGTATCTGAAGAACATTCAAGGCATTCTTAAGGACAAGCCTAACATTTTAAGTTAATATCAGGGTAGTATCCTTTAGGACATTCTAATAAGCAATGATCTAGATATTTTAAATGAGTGTTTGGACAAACAGCTACACATTTCTTGAGTGAATCAACCATTAGTAGAGTGCCAGGACATTTTTCAACACAAACATAACCATAATCACTTCTATAATAGGTTGGATTTTCATCGCAAGTAAATGAGCAAGTTCTTCCATCTAAATAGTAATTAGCAGAACATTTTGTGCAATTGTAATTTGTACCATCATCGCATCTAGCACATTTAGGGTCACAGACTTTGCATACGTCCACATCTAAGTATTTTCCCAGTGAACAATAATATGTGCATCTTTATCCATCTACGTTAAAATTTGCAGGACATTAATCATAACATTCAAAAGTAGTACCATCATCTAAATAGTAATTTGGACAAGTAGATTCACATATAAATGTTACCGTGTTGTGATATTTTCTATCATTTGGACAGATTTAAACACAGATTGTATCATACAAATAATAACCACCTTTACAATCTATGCAATTTGATGGTCCACCTTCATCACATTTATTGCATTCATTAGCACATAACAAACAACTATTATTAGCTACTTCTGGATATGTTCCATCAGGACAGGTATTTTCGCATTTCTAATCGTATGCATAGGATCCATCAGGACATTTCAAAACACATTTACTATTGTACTGATAAAATTAAGGAGGACATGCAGTTAAACATCTTTAATTTAATGAGTCTTCTAAAGGGTAGTCAGTTGGGCAAGAAACATCACAGTTTCGACCAACTAAAAATTAATCTGGAACACATTTTATGCAATTTTCACTTACTCCTGGTTAGTCAACATTATCACAGGTGAAACATCCATCAGCACATTATTGACACACAAAACCATTAAAAGATTTAGAATTTAAAGTGAATTTTAAGGATACTGTAATTACATTTTCAACAGCAACATATCCATCAGGACACTATAAAACACATATTTTGCTTGAATCCTCATATTAATTTACTGGACATGTATATAAACACTACATTCCATATTGAACTCCAGGAGCCACACAGGTATCTGTGCACTCATTTTCTAATTAATTAGCAAATTTTTTAGTATCTGCACAAAAATCTTCACAAATAGTTGTTAATAAATAATAACCAAAATTACACTTTGAACATTCTTTATTTGAACTTCCAAAACATTCATAACATTTACTATGACAACTCTTACATATACCATTTTCATTAAATGTATTTTAAGGACATGATAATAAGCATGTTTACAAGTGTTATTTATATCCATTTGGGCATTTCATACTGCAATATTTAAGATCCTCAGTTACTACTTAATAGACTGCACAGCTGTCAATACATGTCATCTTATCAGAGTCTTTATATGCTGTGTCACAAGTAGAACTACATAATTGAGTAGCTTTAAGCAAAAATTAATTTGCAGGACAATCTACACATTAGGTTCCATTTATACAAGAATTACAACTACTTTCACATGCTAAACATTGCTGATTATCCAAATAATATTTGCTATCACATTTTAGACTGATAGAATTAGAAATATTTACAGTGCTATAGTCTCCACTATATTTTTTAATGCATTCATATGTCCCTGTTAAACAATGTGATGTCATAGTAGGGACAGGACATGTGTTACTAGTTAATGTAGATCCAACATTACATTTAGTACAAGTATTAGCATTGCTACCTCTTAAACAATTCTCAATATTGATGACTTAACATTATGTGGAGTAAAATTGTCCTTATGGACATTAAAGTAAGTCAGAGGCACTTAAGGAAGCTGGAACTCCTTATGTTCCTGCTTCATTGCACATTCCATAAGGATCAGGATTTCCATTGCAAGCTATGCAAACAGGGTATAACTCTCCAACCTCAATAACACATTTTTTAGTGCCTGGAGAACTGTAAAATTGATAGTTATATCCTTTGAATATTCTAATATTAGCATATTTAAAATATTTAGAAGCATCATTGTTCCAAACTGTAGTTGTTGGATAATCTCCAATGAAATATTGATCAGATAAAGAGTCACTATAAATTTTAAATGATTTTTTTCCATATTCTTAAAATGAAGGTGTGATAATGTCAAATAATGCCATACCTGGATTGACATTTTCTGGATAAAAATTAAAATTATTATAAACAGAAAATAACATTGGAATCCATGTGTTCATAGGAGCAGATATCTATCCATGTGCTTCTCCAACAACTCCCCCAACCTATACTTAAACATTGAAGGTTGATGAAGAAGATATAAATCTTATTTAAACTAATGGATTCAAATTCTAGTCAGCTCTGTATAAAAAGTTCATTTCACTATTTGGATTACTAATAAAAACATTCACTGATATCATAAATTTATCGCCAAAACTGCTTCTTAAATTATTAAATTGAGAATATTAGTTTTTTTAGAATTGCCAACCCCATTTAGCATCAAATGTAACACCCCCTATTAATGTTCCAACATCCTAAGTTGATGATAAGGCGTTTAATGCAGAAGTAGTTGATGGGAGTAATGTCATCCAATAAGTTATGTATTCTACATCAAAATTATATGCTTATCTACTTGTTTCTGTATAAAGATTACCATAATAAGTAAATTCTTTAAACTTACCACAAAATCCATTGAAATTGTAAAGACTTACAACTTTATTTTTTATAACAATTCCTGTTGTATCAGTAAAAGTGGAAATTGTTTTAAGTTCCAAGGTTGAAGAATAAATATAAATTCTTGGCAGTGTATCTGAATGTGTTACTAATTTATAATGTAAGAGTTTTTTTGCAAAATTAATTGATACCAAAACATAAATCCATCTATCATCAACATCAGATATCATTAATTCTGAAGTTTCCGATGTCATACAATCCTTAGTTGTATAACAACTTTGAACTTTGAATTATTCATTAAGAGTGGCTGCCAAATGAAAATTACTATAATTATAAATCATATAAATGTACGCATAATTATTCGTATCTGGACCAAATAAGAAGAGGAGGTTTTTAGAAGTGCTTAATAATGAATCTTTTTTGAACCAACCTGCCACTGTAAACGATGAATAGGCTGGACCCAAAAGGCTGTTTGGTATTTACAAAATATTATTAGAAGTATCACAAGGTCCAGACTATTAAATAAAACCCATTAACTACCTAAATGCTTGTGAAAGGCTTGTAGATAAAGTATCCAATTGAAAGGGAAAATAGTTAAAAAAATATCAGCATATTTAAAAATAATTAATTTATATAATTTTCATTAAGTCATTTAGGACTTTAATGATGATTACTCTAATTACTAAATCTATTATTAAAGATCTTTAATTTATATTTGAAGTAATTCTCCAGTTTTAACAATTTAAGTTATTTAAAATTTCTCATATATTGGCTAAAATTAAATAATTTATTACTAATTTCTCTTGATAAGTTTTTAAGTTAAAGTTAGTGAATAGATATTCATTTTCTAAAATTTATATTCTCCAGCCATGAATTAGAGATTTTATTTAATCTTAATAAAGTTTAATCAATCCATTTTTCTTCTGAAGTTAAGTTTCTAATTATTATTATTATTATTATTATTATTATTATTATTATTATTATTATTATTATTATTATTATTATTGTTATTGTTATTGTTATTGTTATTGTTATTATTATTTGATCTCAATCTATTGGACTTTTTATTATTATTTGTCTTTAAAATCTATTTCTTACACCGAATCGTACATTAAGTTATAAGAGTATTTATTTTTTTTCTCAACTTAATTCTTTACTCTATTGATTTTTTAAATAAAAATCTTTTAATAGCTCTTTTTATTCTTACCAATTTATGATTTAATTCTTTTAATTTTCTTTTCAATTTTGTTATACTTATATAAATTCTAAATTATTTTTAAATTTTCAAAATGGTATTTTAATCTAAATTCAATTAGTTTGATATCAAAACATTCTCGAAAATATTGTTTCATAAATAATTTAGTCTTTCCGATTTAAAAACCAAGTAATCTAGATTATTCTTTCAAAAACTGCCCAATTTATTAATTTTCACCTAATAGTTTAAGCATTTCTTCGATATTTTTTGGATTTTTGTCCACAAGATACTAATATTTTCTAATAAAATCAAAATTTTTTATCTAATTTCATAGCCAGCCTTTCGAATTTAAATAGCTTCCATCAATCCTGCACACGTCATTTATCTCCTGACATCTTCAGCATCAAACATTAAAGGTTATTTTAAATTGTTAGGTTTAATACATCTAATATACGACTAATTTAATAAATTAATTAAATCTTTCAAAGAATTCTAAAATTTGTTTATAATATTATTTTATTTCATTTATTGATTATTATATTAAATATTTGACCAAATTTCTTTTAAAACAGGATTAGTACTTTTAGGTAATATTTAAAAAACCTAAGAACTGATTAAATCTCTATTTTTTCAATAAATCCTATCACATTATAAGCAACAGCACCAGCAAAATGTTTTAAACAAAACCAATCAACCTTAGCAATTCTAAGTAATTTTTTATCAAATCTAGGTTCTATTTCAGCTTCTTACAAATCACCTACTAATACTAAGTTATCTTTAGGCGATTATTTTAGAGAATTTAAAAATTCTTTATCTACTCTATTTTATATAATAGTTTAATTAATTAACATTTAATATATGGAAATTTATGAATTTTCAATTGAATCTATTATTTTTTTATTATCTGGAAATTTAATTTATTACCATTTAATTTATTCTTGATCATATTCTTTTTATTCTGTTACAAAAATTTACTAATTAAAGTGCTTTTAAAATTTTTCATTAGTATAATTAATGTTTAATTACTCAAAACTATTATTGTGCAATCCATTTACATCAGTAAATATTTCAAATCCAAATATATCTAAAATGCCTATCATATATTTAGTTAATTATGTTACTATTAATTCTCAAAACTTAAAGATTTAATATTTAATAATTGCTAATTAATTTTATCTATTAACCTATTAAAAAGATTTTCATATACATGTTTTGCTAATGTATCTCTAGCACCTTATGCATTTTCAAGATTATTATTTATAGTCACAATCTCTTTTCCAACAGAAGTAATCACTTTACATATTAGATCTTCTAGTTTTTGGATCTGAATTCCTAGTAAATAAGATGCCAATCTAAGTGAATCATTTAGTCTCAATGTAGATTTTATAGAATCATATTCAACTTTAGCATTCCCTAGATTAACAATCCAGCTATATTTTGATAAATATATCTCTTTTGATTAGGACTAAAATTTAAACTATCTAAACATTTTTCCTCAAATTCAGATTTTTCTTTTCTTAAAGAAAATAGATCTCCTCCATTTAAATATTCATATTATTAAGGAGACTAAGCACTTTTATAATAAAATTAATGTATACTTAATTCTGGTATTTATGATGCTATTTATTTATCTTAACAACTCTAATTTTTCTTATAAATAATTATCTATTTTAGCTGTACTTACTCTTTTAGTATCTGGATTAAAATATAAATGAATAAATTTTTCAAATCTACTAGAATTATCATTTCTTGCAGTCTTAGCATTACCAAATGCTTCAAGAAAAGGATTAGAAGCAAATATTTTTTATTCAATAATTTATCCATGTTAAATAGTTTTAAATAAACCACTTTTAGATTCTGTTGCCAAATATTTTAAAAGTATTTTTGTTGATTCTGTTTTTCCTGATCCACTTTCTCCTGATATAATCATAGAACATATTCTTAATTCTTTTGTAGGAGTTTCAAATAATTAGTCCAAAGATAATTATGCAATTTTAAATAAATGAGGTTCAAATTCATTTTCTTTAATCCTTGTTTTTCATGTTTTTTAATATTATCCTAACTTAATTCTATAATTAGCAAGAGTTTCTTAATTATAAATATTTGGTAGAAAAACATAAGGATTTATTGATATTAATATTGGAGATCCAATTTGAGTGCAAATTTATTTCCTCAATAATCTAATGCGTATATTATGAAGACAATTGAATTCATTTAGATCTGATAATAACTAAGATTCTTAATTTATATAATGATACTAGAAGATCTTATATTTCTTCTTTTGCTAAAGGATCTACTCTTAATTTACTTGCAGATTTATCTTCATTTAAACTTTCAATTTTACAAACTTCTTTTTCATCTTAAATCCAAATTTCATCATCATAACTCATATTAATTATTGAGTGATTATTAAAATAAATGAAAAACGAAATAATCATCCTTTTTTTGTTGTTAATAGCTAGACCATTGCAAGCAGAAAATGGTTTTCAACTTTTNTTCTTTTCTTAAAGAAAATAGATCTCCTCCATTTAAATATTCATATTATTAAGGAGACTAAGCACTTTTATAATAAAATTAATGTATACTTAATTCTGGTATTTATGATGCTATTTATTTATCTTAACAACTCTAATTTTTCTTATAAATAATTATCTATTTTAGCTGTACTTACTCTTTTAGTATCTGGATTAAAATATAAATGAATAAATTTTTCAAATCTACTAGAATTATCATTTCTTGCAGTCTTAGCATTACCAAATGCTTCAAGAAAAGGATTAGAAGCAAATATTTTTTATTCAATAATTTATCCATGTTAAATAGTTTTAAATAAACCACTTTTAGATTCTGTTGCCAAATATTTTAAAAGTATTTTTGTTGATTCTGTTTTTCCTGATCCACTTTCTCCTGATATAATCATAGAACATATTCTTAATTCTTTTGTAGGAGTTTCAAATAATTAGTCCAAAGATAATTATGCAATTTTAAATAAATGAGGTTCAAATTCATTTTCTTTAATCCTTGTTTTTCATGTTTTTTAATATTATCCTAACTTAATTCTATAATTAGCAAGAGTTTCTTAATTATAAATATTTGGTAGAAAAACATAAGGATTTATTGATATTAATATTGGAGATCCAATTTGAGTGCAAATTTATTTCCTCAATAATCTAATGCGTATATTATGAAGACAATTGAATTCATTTAGATCTGATAATAACTAAGATTCTTAATTTATATAATGATACTAGAAGATCTTATATTTCTTCTTTTGCTAAAGGATCTACTCTTAATTTACTTGCAGATTTATCTTCATTTAAACTTTCAATTTTACAAACTTCTTTTTCATCTTAAATCCAAATTTCATCATCATAACTCATATTAATTATTGAGTGATTATTAAAATAAATGAAAAACGAAATAATCATCCTTTTTTTGTTGTTAATAGCTAGACCATTGCAAGCAGAAAATGGTTTTCAACTTTTTGATCAAAAGGGAGATATTTCTTTTGATAATGTCAAAGTTAATCTCAAAAAAATATAAAAAAAATAAATAGAACCTCAAGAATCTGTAAAAGAAGTTCCTAAATAATAACAAACAGGAAAATCATAAAAAGAGTTATTAGAGGAATAATTGCAATAAATAGAAAAATATAAACCTTCAAATATAACTGTTGAAGGAGGTAGAGTATTCACATAATCATAATAAAATTTATAAAAAGAAATGGATGAAAATTCTGAGATTGATGAATAAACTGAGAGTTATGATGATGATGAAAATGATCAGGAAGATGAGGTTCTTTTAGCAATCTAATAAATATCAGCAGATGCTTAACTAGATGCAATTGAATTTATTTTTAAAAAACGGCAGATAGATTATTAAAGAATGAAAAACCTTATATAAATGATTGATTAATAAGAAATTAATGTAAAAATGAATGAAATTTATGAATTAAGTTCTAAATACTCATTTTTATAAGTGTTTTAATAAATTATAAGTGAATTACACATAGAGTTTAATGAAGAAAAGGAGGAATATACAAATGAAGATGAATCATTAGATAGTAGTGATAATATAGATGAATAAAGTGATAATGAAATTGATACAAATTAATTTAATGATTTATAGACAGATTTTGCATTTGATGATTTAATTGATTTTGATGATGATGAAATATAAAATGAAAAATCTGATGATTAAGAAGAGACTAGCCAAGATTAATTAGATGATTTTGATTTTTATGATTCTGATTCTACTTCAGATGATCTCTATAATTAAGAACTTGACACATTAGAATTAGATGATTCCTAATTCTAAATTCAAAATTCACTTATTACTGATAGCTAAGTAAATTAATTAATTACAGAAGAAGAAGCTATTATTCAAGAAGTAGAAGAATTATTTACAGAAGAAGAAGAAGAACATATACTAAATTTTTTTGATTTTTCAAAATAATAATAGCATACAGAAGAAGATTTAGTATATTCTGAATTTGAAGAATTGATAGAATAAAGTTATTCTGAAGAAGAAGAAGAAGAAGAAGAAGAATTTCATTCAAATATGTAATCTTGATAAATTGATCTTAGTTAAGATGTTATTTCGAACTAGCAAGAACAATCTGATAACAATGAAAACATTTAATAACCACTACAAGTTGATAATCTAATGTTACTATAAAAGGTTGAAGACATAATCTTGAGTAAGGAAGAGTAAAATTAAACATATATTGATGAAAATATACCAATGGCTGTTTTAAACTTTTAAGATAATGAAGATGATATATCTGAAGTAAAATTGCAAAAGGAATTTGAATTTAACACAAAGAAATTTGATAATATCAATAAAGATTTAAGTTCATTATAAGCTTAATTTAATATATCAAATGAAAATTTAGATTTAATTAATCAAAAGTATGAATAAATGAATTAAATATTTAATTAAGAAACTTAAATTGAAGATAATGATTCAATTTCAAAAGAATAATAATAATAATAATCATAATAATAACCTTAATTTATATAAATTTCATAATAAACTGAAGAAAGTTAAGAAAAATAATCAGATAGTAATAATGATTAAGAAAATACAAATTAAAATGAAGAATCTAAACATGAATAAGAAATTAGTAATGAGAATATAAATAAAGTAGAATCAATTGATAATAATATACAAGAGAATAATGTAGAAAAACCTAAATAATCTGATTAAAAACCTATAATAGAATAATAAAAAAAAGATGAATAAGTTTAATAAGAATATAAATAAACTTAAAAACAATAAATTCCTATGAGTAAACCTGCATAACCACATGAGTTAGAATTTGAGAAATCACAATAGAAATAATAAAAATCTGATGATGAAATTGCATAAGATAAAGAAATGAAAGCTAGAGCTCGTTATGCTAAGAGGTATTAGGCTTTGGATGTGGCAAATGATGAATAGAAAAAGAAAGAATAAGATGAAACTCACCATGTAGACGTTGAAAAAAGCATTGATGATATTTTTATTATTCAATCTTTAGCTTCAACTAAAAAGAATAATGTTATTGAAATGAAAAATTTAAATGAAGAACCGAAACCAGAATCATTATAAGAATCTAATTAAGAAAATGATGCAAAAATTGAAGTTTATAACTCTGTTACACAAAAACATTTAAACAAGATTAATAATCAAAAAACATAACATTTTGTAGAAGCTTTTGTTTAGGATATGTCTTTAAAATCATATAATTGTGATCCAAGTTATTATGGTCCAAATAAAGAAGCTCGTTAATTTGCTTGTTAATGTTCATCCAAAATTTTCTTATTAGATGAAGAATCATGGTATTTGGCAGGTACAATTTAATTTTATAAATAATATGAAAAGTTATTTGAATAAATTAAAAAAACAATTCCATTAGTTTTTGTTGGAGCATCTAAAGATAAAGTATGTTTTTCATCATAAATGCACTAACCTGTAATTTTAAATGATTTTTTAAGGGAATTATTTTTTAAGACTAAAATTTAAAATAAATTCATCTAAATTCCTTCAATTATATCTATGTCTTACATGTAATTAGAATATTCAGATAATTAAATTCATAATTTCATGATGGAAGCAGAATCAAATGATGAAATAAAACTTGCTTATGGATTTAATGTTCGCTAAATTTTAATGAAATTAGCTCAAGAAAACCTTAACATTTAATATGTTGGTTCATTTTTAGTTCATTAATAACAAGTACCATTTAGATTAACAAATTAATATGGCTCATTAAAAATTGATACTATGGAAATTACTGTACAATTACCACAAGATGAATTAATTTGTTTATAAATATGTGAATAGATATTAAGTGGTGATGTTGCATAATAATTAAAAGCTTTTATTAATTTTAAAAAAGGTTAATATTAAATAACTGTTAAAGTATTGAGTTCAAGTGAAAGCTTTGAAATCTTTTATAGCTTAAAAAGTTGAGATTAATTTTCATTTGAATTAACAAAATTTGTTTTATTATATTTAATACTAATATTTTTAGAATAATTTTATTTTTTTTTATTTAATCAATTAAGTCTATAAAATTAATTATTATTAAAAATTAATATTATATAAACTCAATCTACCTTTCTTATATTGAAATTTCAATATAATATCATTTAAAATACTAATGTAAAATTTAATGTAACACTGATAACATTGAGTAGTTAAATTAAATTAATACACTAAATTACTTACAATCAACATTCCATCTGATAAACTGACTAGGATACTATTTATACATATTATAAGCTATAGAAAATGAATAAACAAAGAGCTTAGATCAAATTCATAAAATACTTCAACAAAAATTGAATCAAATGAAAATCTAGTGACATTTGATTTTTGAATTATCTTACAAATCTAAGGTGCTTTCAAAAAGAATGATAAACTATGATTAAATAACTTGTTAAATCAAATAAAGTTTTAAAAATTCATTCAATTTGTAAGTAATCCTTTTGGATAATCAATTAATCAAAGCATTCTTCCGAAAAAATATAGAATTTAGTTTTCTAATTGTTTTATATACTTTTAGAATAGCAAGTATAAAGAAATGATGTTTATAAAATCAATAGGAATGCAAAGTATAAATAAAATCAATTATTTAATATTATTTCATAAATAAAATTTATATATTTTTGGATAATCTTTAATTTTATTAAAAAACCTTATTTTGATGTTTTTAATTCATTTCAGATTTGATTCTTATAAATTTCATTCATTGTTTATATTCATCTCAAATAATGAAAAAAATTTAATATATATTTAGTGTGTATTGATAAAGGATTGATATTCATATATCTGAAAATATCTATATAAATTATAAAACTTAATAATAAATCGTAAATGTATTTTTATTCAAAAGAAATTTATATAATTTTTTTATAGAAAAATAAAAATAATTACTATTAAACAGTAACTCACTGTTTAATATTATTATTATAAATGAGGTTAAGAACTTGAATTCAAAAAGTATTGAAGAAATAATATATATTTATTCTAGTGATAAATGTTTTGAATTAAATAAAAAATTAAAGTAAAGATTTGAGATTGGTGAAGGATTAACTCTTCAAAATATTAAAAAGAGATAGTAAAATTGAATGTAAAATTTTTAATGGGTTAATTGCTTTAAGACTAATAGTAATAGAGGAAAAACCAATAAATTTTGAAGAATATGTTAAACGATATATTTTTTTTAATAATTTTCATTTAATAATATATAAGATAACTATGAATAGACATATTCGATCAGGGTCTGAAAATAGGGTTTGGTTAATTGATTAAAAAACAGGGAGTACAAGTCTAAGAACATCAGCATCTCGTATTCGTTTAGGAAATGTTAATTCTTAGCCATCAATTAGATAATATTATAGTGGTTAAGTAATGCATATTAATATGAAGTACTTTTATGATAAGCATAAATCATACAATAAAGATATTTCGAAAGTGTTTAATAAATTTAATAGATTGAATCTTTAACCTTAATAACATAGTTTACAAAATCTAACTTAGGATCATTATGTAACAAGAATAATTCCAGTTTCTCCAAGTCAAACATTGTTTTTAGATTAAGCATTACCAGCAAAAATAAACCCAAACAAAATGTCTCATCGCAAAGTGAACTCATTGCTAACTGTATAATTATTTGTCCTATATTTAAGTTTACACAAAAATAAAAGCTAAAAAATGCAGGATCCATATAAAACATAAAATTAAAGGAAAGATTAGTATTGATAGTTTTAAATCACAACTTAACTAAGTACAATTTTATAATAAAAATTGATGCAAATCAATAGATAATTTAAGATATTGTTACTTTAATATACCTATACCATTACAAAGAAGTTCATAAAGAGAAGCTGAATTGTTGCTCCATTAAGTAGGTAAGGAATTATTGGATCAACTAAAATTGGGATAAATTGAATTGTATTTTTATTCTAAAGTAATATTTTATATTTGATTTAGAAAGGAGAGCCATTAACATCTTTATTTGATTGCCAAAATCATAAAACAATAATAGTATCTCCAACAAAATAATTTAATGGAATAACAGAGACTAATAAAGTATTAGAATATTTAGATCATTTGGAATGTGTTTTAAAAGATTAACAAATAGGAGAATAGAAATCTGAAAGTTTGGAAACATTTATAAGCAAAAAATATCATAAGAATATTTAAAATATAGCAGATTATTTATAATAACAAGATGATAAAGTTTCTAATTTTAGGTTAAATTCTTAAGAAGCTGAAAGTTTATATAAAAGATGTAAATTAAAAGCATAAAAAAAATTAAATTTAGATGAAATATTAATAAAAAAATTTAATGATATAAATCAAACACCATTAATTGAGAAATATCAAAATTAAGATGAATATTTAAATGATGATGAATAAATTACAATAGAACCAAGACAATTAGAAAATGAGCATATTATAAGGTAATATAGTAGAGAATTGTAAATTTTATAAAAAACTATCATATAAAATCATGATCCAGATGCTGTTGCTCCAAGTAATCTTTATTTATACTTTAAGTGGTACTACTTGGTGGAAAATTAGTTAAATATGAAGATCCATAATATAATGAATAACATTTAGATAAATTACAATAATATATTGGAAACAAGAAAGAGAATCAAAATACTTATGAGATTTAATTTGCTATGAGTTAATAAACAAGTAGAAATAAATATTAACATATTAAAACTAAAAAATAGATACTTTAAACTTTATAAAAAAGACAAAAGTTATTATTTACATAAAACATACCTCAATTAATATCAGAAACTAAATTAAATAGAAAAGAATTATATTAGACATTTATATTATATTAAGCTTTAGAAGCTGTATCAAGTTAGATGGAAGATGCTTATGTAATTGGAGAAGGAGTTAGTTTTGAAGCATTTCGAAATGGAATATATTAAGTTTCAATGTAACCTACTGATTTAGCAAAATAAATGTTTTAATAGATTGATTATAATTTTTCAGGATATTTGAATTGGAGAGAATTTTTAAATTTAATGGTAGCTATTAGAGCTAAGACATTGATGGATAGAGTCAATTTATTTATTAAGATTGCAGATAAAGATGGTAATAGAGCATTATCTTATGATGAAGTACATAATTTAACTAGGATATGTTTAAGCAAATATATAAAAGTAATTATTAAATTATAGAATAAAATAGGATGATTGTTAATTATTAGATTTGTTATGTGATTATTTTACAAAATTAATCTTTGAAACATTATAAGTTGATAAAAATGATGACATACCTTTAGAAAAGATTAAATAAACAATTTTGGATGGTGGAGAGAATTGTTAACTTTTAAGTATGTTCTGTGGAGCTGATCTATGAAGTTTAACAACTCACAATATCATTTGTTGTTATTATTATGATTATATTTCACTTTTATAATGGCAATTCTTGTTTGTCTATCTTGACTTCTCCATCTAATGTATAAATGAACACTTGTAATTTTTCTTTCTTGAATTCCAATATCAAAAATGATGGAATGGAACTTTATAATATTCATACAACTTATACGTTTGTTGTCCATTAAATCCTCCAGTTGCTGATCCTGGATTGATAATATATTTCTTCTCTACAGCTGTTACTTTAGCAACACCTGTATGTCCTGTAATTAGAACATCACCTTCCATCTCTTTTAAAAATGTATATTAAGATTCTTCATCACCATGAGGTACAAGCTAAATATATATATTTATATTATTACTTAATGACCATGTACCATTACCATCTTCCATGATCCAATTTATACAACCTTTGTTTCAGGTATATCTTTCATTTCATCGAAATCTCCCTTTACAAAGTGAGTATTTCCTGATAATGTTTTAAGCCAATCTTGAGTTTCTCTGTTTCCCACATTACCTGTACAAAATACGTATTGGACTTTATTTGGTACAAGAAGATCTTTAAATTAAGGTGGCAAATCAGCAGCTCTTTAAGGAATGTTAAAATCACCAATTACTAATCCAAGCTTCAATATTTAGAATGATTTACTTCTCCAAATTCCTCATCGTAATACTCAGACATTATTTGCCAATATTATTTATATTAATATATTATATAATAAATTGTTCTATATTATTTCTAAATGAATATACTATAATAAATTCATTCTTTTTATGTGTATTCTTTTACATCTATATACTTTAAATATGTTTTATAGAATTAATATCTTTTTATTCAATATATATAAAAGTCATTTATTACTTTAAATAGTTTTATATTCATTTTAAATATTATGTTTATTTGATTGTATTGTATTCTATTAAGAATGTGTATTTCAAAAATAAAACTAATTTAGAATTTTATTATATATTGTTAATATTATTATAAAAAATGAGACCAAAATATTAGTAAACTTAAAATGATAGTAATACTCAAGTTAGGATTAATATTAAACATGTTTCACCTATTCAAATAGAAGTATTAAAATAATCAGGAGAAAGAGTAGTAGAAAATGAAAAGATTGGAGTTTATATATTTGAAAATTAAAATAAATCTATAATGGCTTCTTCATCAGGATATATTGTTTGGGCTTAAAATTAACAGGTTTTTGAAATACCTGTCACTGATCAATATTTTACAATAGGTGTAATCTATAAAAATAAAAATGATATGCCTAATCAAGTAAAAATATTATTAATTTAAAGCAAGAAGAATTTGAAATAAATACTGCTTCTACTTCTTCTTAAGCATAATAAAATTATACAAAATTGAATTTCTCTTAACTTTCCGTAAAGAATTGTTAAGAAAATATTCAAATCTTAAAATGGAGAGTTAATGTTGGAGATTATATATCACCAACAATGATTTTAGGAATTTGCGTTGAGGAAAATTAATAAGATGAAATTGATTTAAGAGCAAAGATTAAAGGTCGCATTATAGAGTTAGCTAAAACAAAAACAATATTATCAAGAAATGATGTATTTTTGGTTATTGATATTACACAAACTTGTAATCATTTAAAAATAGAAAAAAATTATTGTCTTATTTGTAATGAGAAGATCATTAGAAATGAAGAATCGTTAGATTTAAATTATTCGGATGACATTTCTAAGAAGATTTCAAAAGAAATTGTACTTGATATTTTAAAGAAAAGGAAACTAATTATGGTACTTGATCTAGATTAAACTATTTTACATGCCATCAAAATTACAACAAGTTTTAATAAATATGATTTCTGTGAAAAGCAAAATAAAATGATATAGTCTGATAGTGATAGATAATTCAATGGGTTCCATTAATTGGGGTTTAATATTAAGGAACATTTTTTAGAAATGGCTTGTGATTAATAGAGCAAATTTATTATTAAATTAAGACCCTACTTCGAATAGTTTTTCTTAACATTAATACCTCTTTTTGATATCTTCATTTACACCAAAGCAAGTAAATCATATGCAGATTTCATTTTAAACTTTATTTCCAATAGATTAAATGAAGTTATTCCTGAACATAAACCTTTCTTTCCCCCACAACGAGTCTTATCACGTGAAGATACTATATGTTCAAATAGTAAATCATTAAATAGACTATTTTATCCAGGAATTGCAACTAATCTATTAGTAATTCTTGATGATAATGCTGGAATGTGGAATCAATTCAAAGAGAATCTAATACATACAAAACCATTTGTATACTTTAATGAACATGGTTCAACTAAAGATGGATAAGGTATTGCAACTGATATTGAAAAAGAAGTATAAATTTATAATAAAAATGATTTTTGGTTATATACAATAACATAGAAATTGAAAGAAATATCTGATTAATTTTGGAAGTAGGTTAAATTGGCTTAAGATGATCCAAATTTTATAATAGAATTTGAATAATAAGTATGTAAAGCTAAAAAAATAAAAACAGAAATTATAGAGGAAACCAATACTCGATTAGAAGAAAGAACTCCTTTAGATTTAATTATAAATAGAAAAATAAGTGTTCCTACAATTTATTAAGAAATGAGAAGAAATGTATTGAATGGTTTAACTTTATTTTTTGCAATTTCTGAAGCACATGAAGAATCTATAAAGAGAGGATTAGAATAAGCAAAAGATAAAGCAGTTATGTTAGGAGCCAAGGTTTATAGAGAATTTAAAGAAGATTATTTTGTAGGCCAAGAAAATAGTTTTGTTATTACAGTTGGAAGAAGGAAGATTAGAAGTATCATGATTGCCTAAGAGAAGAATGTTCCAATCATACATTATAAGTGGATTGAAGATTGCGATAATTATTTATTTAAAGCAGATTATAAATTATATATTGAAAAAGAAGATGGAAATAATAAAAATTTAACTGAAGATGATTAGAGAGATTATGTACTAAAATGTTAGTTAATGAAAATATGAGGGATAAATTATTTTTTTGAAGTTTATTTTAATTAATTAAAAAAAATAAATTTATTTATGTATTAATACTATTCATAAAGAGGTTCTATTTAAGAAAACGAACATAACAGATCTTTTGGGAACATGTTTAATTCTACTAAATCTGATACTCTTTAGACTGATTAGAAACATTAAGGATGTTTACAACGTTTACAAATCTTGATATAAGAATTAGATAGAATGACTGAAGCTTAATAAGTGGCCAATTAAGAAATATCATAATTAAAATAAGAATTAGAAGCAGCAAAATAAAATAATTAAACTCTGGTTTTAAATAATGGTTTTGATTCTGAAATACTTGAAGAATTAAAGCTTTAGCAATAAAAATTTAATCAATATAAACAAATTAAAGAATAATAAATTGAAGAATTAGAAAATGAACTTTAATAAATTCATAAGTAATTTAAAGAAGAAAAATTAATTAGAATGGACTTGAATTAAAAATATGTGTAAAAATAAATGGAGGTTGAATTTTTATAGAAAGAATTATAGAAAAACATATAAGAATACTAAAATTAGAATGATAGTGGTATTCTTAATTAATTACATGAAGATGTAATTGAATTGTAATGTCAAAATAAAGAACTTAAAAACATTAATTTAGGTTATCAATAAAAAATAGAAGAATTGTTAGAAAATTAAAAGATCATGGAATAGAGATTAAAATAGTAATAAATAGAAGTATCATTCTAACCATCTCCTAATAAAAATTAATATGAATTCTCTTCAAATGAATAACGAACTGATTCTATTAAAAAATATAATAGAACAAAAACAATGTAACCAATGGATTACACAATTAATCAAAGTCTTAATTAATAACCAACATCAAGACCATCATTAAATATTCTCTAATAAAGATTATCATAGGTTCAAATAGGATAAATAAATAATTCAGATAATCTCAATAATTAATCTGATACTATTAAAAAGGATACTCTTAGAAGCAAACCTAAACCTGTGGAAAACATAAAGTATACTCAAAGTAAGCTTGTTCAGTAATTTTGATATTTTTAATAATTTCAGTTATCATAATAGTATTTTAACTTCTATTAACTATATATATATATTTAAACTGAATCTCTATTGAATTTTTTGGAGCTTCTATACTTCTATTTGCAGATATTAGGAAAGCCATAATAAATTAAGACTTTTTATTTGATCTTTCTCAATTTATTATTACTTCTATAAAATTAAAGGAATCTGTATATTTCCTATGTTTGTAACTTTATAGAGTAGCATTGCTTAAATTTTTCAAAGCTGATTCAATTTAAATACTCAATTCTTTTAAGACGATTAAATTTTTCTAATTCTTTTTTTTAAGGTCTCAACTTGAATATTTAGTGATTGAATAGGATTAGATTCATTTAAATAATTTATAGCTTGAGTAATGGATGCTATATCTGCTCTTTTATACATCATAAGATTCTCTTTTTCAATTTATATTTAAAAGAGTTACATTTACTTTATTAAGTTTTCTTCGATTATTTTATCTGATTTATGCAAATATACAGAACTATTTTAGAATGCTTTTAAAAGTTCAACTTTGGTAAATTATAAATTCATAAGTTTCCTCAACTTGCTAGAGAAAATAAGCATGAATCAACTTCTAGAATAAGTATAGAGTTGATGATCATAAATTTAATGAAGGTGATTTTCATTTTTAGATTTAAATAACCTATTTAATTGATCTCATTTAGGATCTATATATATAAATTATTTTTCTTGATTTTACTTATGTTAATTATTATCCATTTTTTATTTAATTATATCTCTTTAAATTAATTCATTATTTCTTAAATTATTTATAAAGTCAACAAATTCCATTAGAAGTTTGAAATTTCAACAAAAAACCTAATATGTAATAATCATATCTTAAATATAAGAATTTTCTATGTTTGTTATAATCATAAATATTAATAATTACAATTTTTTTTGTTTTTTCTAGAATAAATTTAATATAATTAGATGTGATCAATATTTTTTCATTCAGAATTTTTCTATAAAATTATTTAAGAATATATACAATCTTAATCAACCAAATATGAATAAAATTAAACTCTCCTTTAGAAGCTAATAGAAGCAAAGTCAATTTTTTATAGATTAACTTCCTATGCTAATTTTTTTTTATGAAAGAGTCTGTATATTTGGATCAATTAGTGCAGTAATTATATTTTGTTTAGAATTCACTTATCCAATAGGATTTGGCAATAGTAAATATCTTATTATATGTTTGCCATTAATCTTTTTCATTTCCTTTAAAGTAATCAATAAGTACCCTAAATTATTTAACTACATTTTACCTTTGAACAATCTTTTAATTGGTTTACTCTACAATATCAACCTTCTATTTAATTTCATTCCTGACTTAAATTTGATGATAGGATAAACAGTTGTTTTAGTCTAGTTCAGCTTACTTTTGGGTTCGAATTTTGTTCTAAATATGACTATTATAATATTTAACTTTTCCACTTTAATTTTGGTATAAACAATAGTGTAGAAATCTTTTAATGGAAATCAAGTGATGTTCATATTAGGTAATAAAGTATGATATATTTAAGCTCTTATTTTGTCCTGTTTATCATATTATTCTAATGAATATTAGAAAAGAGAGTTTTTCTTATTAAAATAAAGAGATGATGTACAATATGGCAGCTTAATTGAACAATTTAGTATATAATTAATGAAAGTTAAATATGATAGAAGAACAAATTTTCTCAAATTAGAAACTTAAAATCATCCATCATCTGGATTCTATTTCTCCACTTAAGAAGAATTTAGATAATTTATTAGATAGATTCAAATTTTCAAATAATAAAGACATAGTATGATTTAATCAAAAGTCTCATCTTCAAGAATAAAACATGATTTTATGTAGTAGAATTCTCAAATTAGATATACTCGATTATCAATTCCAAATTTGGAGAGTACAGAAACACTTGAATAATTACTATATAAATCATTTACAACTTAAAAAACAGAAAATTTTGATTTTATATAAGGTTATGACACAATAGGAAAATGTGATTATAAAATAAAAATCTTATATATAATAGAAAAAGGGGAAGCAAAAGCAATAGTATTACTTTAATAGAATGAAGTAAAAAGATAATTAATTAAAGTTAAATAATAAAGAGATTATCTAAAAAGGGTTATATAATAATTTTAATCATTATTTGAAATTCGAATAAAATAATTAAGCTCACTTATAAATCCTAAAAAATGTCTATCACATTTACTTTTATAATCAGAAATATCATTTCGTTTAATCTAATTCATCTCAGAATATTTTTCTATTTGTCTAAATAAAAACGATTTTCCAAAATTGAAAATATCTACAATAAATATACAAAATCTATTATAATAAATAGAAAATCCTATTAGAGATTATTTAGATTTAAAATAAATCAAATTTACATATTAAACAGATCAAAATTTAATTATAATTAATGATGCTTATTTAATAACACATTTAATACTAAGTCTATTATGTTTTCTAATACATAAATCTCCAATTTAAATTCATTTATACATAAATTAAAGTCATTTATCAAAAACTTAAATAGCAAATGTTGATGAAATTATAATTACAATAAGTGCTTAATTTAAAGGAACTCCAAAAAGAGTATTTGAAATTGATTGTTTTAATTAAATGATTAAAAAAGTAATCAAAATTATTGGTCCTAGTGAATAATTAATAAATGAATATGATACCAATTAGTTTGGATAAGAAATAAAATATGAATGTGTAATCTTTAAGAATATAAAATCTTTTAAAGACATTTTTTCAAAACTCTGAATTTTATATTTATCCTTAATTATATATATATTCATTTCACTATTAATTATGGTTTTAAAATCTAATAGTATCGTTAATTTAAATTAGATAAAGTATTGTCTTAATTTATATATTTTTATGAATAATTAAATATAATAATTACAGTTGTATACATGACATAGTTACCAAAACTCATTTAAGAAAATTCATTATTTGAATGCAGAGGTAACCTATAAATAATTATGAAGAGTCAAAAAAAGAGTAACCAGATAACATCATTTTTGATAAAACAATTAAAAGTATAAAAATACATCCATCTAGAGGTTTCGTTTTAAAAGTCAGTCCTACCAATCCGTATACATATTTGAATCCTTAAGAATTAAATGTCAAGGGTTCCAACTTATATATACAAATATATGTGATTGAAAAATTAAAATTTATCCTTGAACTTATTTCTAAAGATGAAGTATAGTTATCTATAATTAATACAGTCTTATAAAATAATTGTAGGTCCAAATTTTCAATAAGCATATTAAAAAAACAAAAATGAAGTGAAAATATCAAGTGCATTTATATTAACAAAAAAATGGATCAGTTTAGGATTCGATATTGATAGTTTTTTCAAGATTGGAGAGATGTAAGTTAAGATGCTTAGTATTTAATCTTTAGGTAGATTAAAAAAAATATACGAATCTAATATTGTTAGCAAATTAAAGTAATAATAATGTATAACAAAGTGATGGTTAATGTCTTATATAAAAGTTAAGTGAAAAAAGAATTTTAGAATTATTACCAATAAGTATTAGAGCATAATCAGAAAAATTAGAAATTAGAAAATATTAAATAACTAATCAACAAAGACGATTATCTACTATTTCTAATTCTTAAGATAGAAATATTTAAAGTTAATCAGATAAAAAATCATTCTAACCAAAATAAATTAATATCAATTTCTAAGAGCAAACTTAAAACATTAATATAAATGGGTTAAAAATCAAGTCCAGTTCATATGCTTAAAACTAAAGAAAAACTATTTAATTATAGTAAACCAAAACATCTTCAATAAATAAAATTTAATTTTAAGCAAAGCCAATCGCATTAGAATAGTAAACTCTAATTTTCAATCAAATTTAAGAACCATAATAAACTATTTAATAATAATAACAATTATTACTATCAAATTCTAATAAGTCAAAGAAGTTACCCTAAACAGGTCCAACTCTTATTAAATAATTATCTTAAGAATGTTTATTAGAAAAGACTATTTAATTAGCAACAGGATTGCAAATAATTGAAGAAGTCAATTCCACTAAACCTCCTATACCTTCAAAATCCAATTCGAATAAATAAAATACATAAATCTAGTTATAGAAAAAAGCTGTATAAAGTTTTCTTAGGCACAATCAAGAGTTTTAAAATGGAAGTAATTATATTTAAGATCCTTATGATGAAGTAAAAATAGATAATGATTAAAAACATAAACAATCTTACATTAGCTCTGGTGTTAAGGATTTATATTATGAATGCGAAAATTCTGAATATTAAACAAAATATGGAAAGTTTTCTAATACTTTTACTCGTCCTTTGGGATTATCTTCATATAATCATAGGTTGGTTTCTTAATAGTCCACTAATTAGAATTAAGGGAGTACGAATGAGTATTTTTATTTAAGCAGTTAATAAATTGAATAAAATTTAAGTGCTAATTAAACAGCAAATGAAATTGAAGAGTAAATAGAGGCTCCAGAATTATAAAGTAAAATGACAGAGGAAAGTTTCAATTCTATAAATGGTTTGTAAATAAAATAAGAAGATAGTTAAGAAGAACTTGCAGTTTCAAAATTCGAATGAATAATTTTTGTAATTTTTAGATTTTATTATATATTTTTAATCATTTTCATAATTTCGATTCATTATAATCATTTTATACCTTTATAAAAATAATTAAAAAATGACTTTTAACTTAAATACATCTTTTTATTTAATTAGTTAATAAATTTACTGTAAATGTGATACTATTCAAATATTCGATCTACTTTTACATAATAACCCAAATTATTGCTTGAAAAAGCTTTGTTAAAATTTTTATAAAATTAAGATACAATATTAAATTAGTTGTTTTTAAGCTCTAATAAAACTAACAATAATGAATTTAATCATAATTATTAATGATTTCTTGTTGAAAACTAAGTTATTTAAGTATTTTTTATTCGAATTTGAGTATTAATATTGATTACAATAATAAAAATTAATATTTAATTTAATGTATAGAAGAAATAATTTTAATAGAGGAAAACCTTATAGAAAGCCTTAATAATAATATTAAAAACAAAATTATTTTCAAAAGCAAGAACGCGCTCCTATTATTTAAGATAAATCAATTTTAAATGATCCAATATTATTTGACAATCCACCAACTAAAAAAATAATCAATATTATCAATAAGAAAGAACCTGATTATAAATATAAGAATGAAGACTTTTAAAAAAATAATAAAGAAATCTAAATAAATGATAAAAACAAATTATTAAAACTTAATCACTTTAAAAAAAATTATGATGATAGGAGTCCTTAAAGTAAGAGCCTTTCACCTGAGAATTCTTATGAAAATAATTATATTGATGATAATGATGATGATTAAAATAATTAAAAAATCAACAATTATCAAAATAACAAATATAGTGATCTAAAAGAGGAAAACAATGATATAGAAAAAGTATCACAAAAATTAAAAAATCTACTAAATCCTGTCGATGATGAAAAAGAAGAAGAAAATGGAGATTATGATGATGATACTGATGAATAGGATTAAAATAATTCATAAGAAGAAAATGATTAATATGATGAAGATGGTGAAATAGAAAAAAATTAAAAATAAGATTCAGAATAAGATGATTAATAAAGGGATGATGAATATTCAGATGAGAATGATCAATCAGAAGGAGGAAGAGATAATATGGATGATAATATGGATGATGATATGGATGATGATATGGATGATGATATGGATGATGATATGGATGATGATAATTAAAATGATTTTGATGATTACGATGATTATGATGATCAAATTGAAGATAGAGTGAAATCACCAGTAAAATAGCCAAGATTGGCTGAAAGCTCAAAAAGGATGTTAGCTTTTCAAATGAGAAGAATAATTCCATCTTTACCGAGAGAATTTGGTCAAAACATTTAAAAAGATGAAAAAGCTAAAAAAATACCTGACTAATTTAATTATTAATCATAAAATTAAACAAATGAATTAAGGCAAACATAAAATAAAGATTAGATCAACGAAAAGCTTATTGCCAAAAGGAAAGAACTATAATTGAAATATACTGAACAATAATAATAATAATAATAGTAATAATAATAATAATAATAATAATAATAATAATAATAATAATAATAATAATAATAATAATAATAATAATAATAATAATAATAATAATCATATTTTAAAAATCTATAAAATGAAATTGATGCAAATAGTTGGAAAATCCCATAATTTTCTTAAAATCTTTAACCTATATCACATAATACTGGAGCAAATACAATAAAATATAATTGTGAAGTGAAATGGAAAAATTTTCAATTCATAGATTCAATGTGCACTCAATAAAATATATAAGATGCTATCAATCTAAATATGTTTGATAGCACATTTGAAGTTGATAAGAATTATTAGTTAAATACTTCTTTAATTGTTAAATAATATATAAGACCGAATTAAGGGAAATTAGAAACAATTTTTAGATCAGATGTAGGAATGATGTTATCAATTCAAAGATTACATTAAATATTTTGTGACAGATAGAAAAGAAAAAAAAATGGTTAGCTAGTGAACATTGTGGAAATCTTTTAATACATTTCTGATAGATTTAGGGCTTTAAGTACAGAGCTAAAGCAAATAGAATCAGAAAATAGTAATATTTATATATTTAGGATCCAGTATCTCGAATAGCTAAGTAAAATAATTTAGTTGTTAAATAGTCCGAATTTATCTGCTGTCATATTTAGAGATGATGTAGGCAGATTAAAGTTGCCCATTAATATAACAGAATAAATTTAATTGTAATAAGTATCTGATTGATGCACTTGATGATTTAGCAATTGATTATAAAATACTATTTAATGAAATGTATGTAATCAGTTGATTTATTATTATAGCAACGATAGTAGATTTTACTTGTTGGATAATCTACCAGAGTTTATTTCTTATTACCATATTATGCTATCTTAAAAGATTCTTTCAACTAACTCTATTTAAAAGTTGGCAAATTTGGATAATATTATTTTTTCAGAATTTAAATATTTTGAAAAATTAATAAAAACATCTGAATATTAATTTTGTTAGTTGATGAAGGAATACTTAATTTAGAAAAATTATAGTGCTTTGCTTGATCTTGGATAAAATAGTAACATTACTTTATTTTAACAATTTTTTATATATTTATTTTAAGACCAAATAGAATAATGCCTAGAGAAATTTAAACAATAAAAGATATTTCAGAATGAAAAACCTAATATAAATTTAATTAATATAGGATCTATCTATCAAAAATGGATTTAAATAGAAGATAAAATATAATTCATTAATTCAAAAGGAAATTTTTCAAAAATTATTTTTGAATAAGGACCAATTGAAAATATTAATTATTATTTACGTGATTAAAAATCTAATCAATAAGAATTTTAATAAGAAATGTTAAAATAGAAATCCTAATAAATAGATTAACAAACAAAAAAGATGAAATCATCAATTTAAGAAATTTTGCTTTAATTTTGTTAAAAGAGGGTTTTAAACAAATTTACTAAATTTTTAGCTCCTCATTTAGATAAGGTTGATTAATAATTAGGAAATTTTTATAAAATGCAAAGAATTTTGAAACATTGGAGATTAAGTACTTTAACTGAAAAGAGATACAAATAATTTGTGGAATTGTGTAGATAAAAAAATAAAGAAAATATAAAAAAATAAATAAAAATAATAGAACAATCTAATTTTAGAATCGATTTATCAAGAAAATTAATCAAACAAAATGCAGATAAAAAAAATCTATATTATAAAATTGTCATTTTAAATAATGATGAAAATCATCAATAATTGGTTTCTAAGTTAATTTTTACTTTATGCAATTAATAACATACATCATAAGATGATTCAATAATTATAGAATCCAATATTACATCTTAAAAAAATATATATAAATTGTACATGAGCATTTAAATTTTATAAAATTTAGAAAAAGAACGAATATGTGGAGCTGATATTTTTATTGTTATTGGAGACATTCTAAAAGTAAATGTAGCCAAACCCTGTTTATAAATTGTTTTTGATTAAAAATACTAAAATGAAAATTTAGATACTATATAAGTGGATTATGAGTACATTGCATTATTTGATAAACTTTATGAAAGCTTTGAATTTTATAATAAATTAAATGAAATAGTTGATAAAGGATTAAAAAATAAATAAGCAACAGAAGATTTAAAATTAATCTCTTTGGGTGATTATTTCAAAGAAATATAAAGGACAGAATGTGAAGACTATAAGAAGGATTAAATTGAATATTTTATTACTAGATGTGTCTAGGCAGAATTATGCTTAGAAGATGCATTAAATAATAATATCTATTCAGATGATTTTCCTTAAGAATTACTATTTGATAGATACGTAGATCAAGAACTCATTTTAAAATATGTTTCTAAAGTACTACTTGGTTGTCATAATTTTAGTTCAATCCAGCAAATAGATTAATGATACCTCTCTGTAATTAAATCTAGAAGAATATGATAAATGAAAGAGTATTATTAAACACGATAAAAGATTATTTAGATGAATACTTAGATGAAGAAGCATTATTAGCTTTATTAACCAAAAATTTCAAATTTGGAAATAATATCTAAGGAGACTGGAAGTTGTTATTTGAATTCATTATGGAGGAGTTGGTGTAGTATCTTGAGAATTCTGATATATATTTTGTATTGAAAAGAAGCTACAACACAATTTTAGATCAAAATAAATTGAAAAACAGAGTTCAATAGGATGTACAACAACTTCTTAAGAAGGATTCAAATTAACAACAGAATAGTCAAAATATATCGTGTGATTTAATAAAAAAAAAAGTTTGCAAATGATTTTTATTCATTTCTATTAAATATATATCAATCATTTATCCATCCTATATAAACTTCATCAGTTCTAAATCTTTAAGTGACAAATGGAACAACTTTTTTTCTAATTATGTATTCTAACTTTTAACTTTCTCATTCTCCTCTACTTCAGATAAATGAGCTTATGAAAATGAATTAACGACCTCTCCTACAAATGTTAATAAACCACTAAAACTCATATTCATTCCTTTCACAAAATATGGTGTATCAAGTGTATAATTTTTGCCTTTCTTAGCTAATTATTCTATATTATATCCTAGAGCAGGATCTTTAATAATGTTTACTAATCTTGCAAAAAGATCTAAACAATTACCAACAGCAATATCAATTGTTTCTCAAAATATTCTATATCTATTTTTTCAATAAGCAATAAATTGAATTTTGTCTCCACTTACATAAAGAACAGTAGAATTTTAACATTAAATGGCTAATCTTCTAATTTCAATATGAGCAACACAATGGTTAACTCCTACTATTGGAATTTTATAAAATAATAATAATGTTCTTGCAACAGTAGTACCTATTGAAAGTGGTCCAGCCATTCCAGGGCCTTTAGTATAAAAAATTAGATTGATATCATTTAATTTCACATTAGCAATTTTAAGCGTTTCATCTAAGACTATGATGTTATGATGTTTATGTAGGTTTAAACCCTTTTCTTGGAGAAGTTATATATGTTCTTCTTGGATTAGAGAGGATGTTGCCATCTGTTGTAACTACTCATATACCAATTTTATTAGCACTTCCTTCAATACCCAAAGCTAGAAATTATTTATTCATAAATATATTAATATTCAAATCATTCTAGATTCTTATACTTGATCATTAAGATTTGCCAATTCAGATTCTTAACGAATAACTTAAATTTAATAGCTTTCATTGTTCTATGCAGTTGGGGATGCCAATTTAGGAGCTTCATGATTTTGATGTCCTAATTTAGTTAAAAAGGCTAATTTGGGATCTGGAATAATCCTAAGAATCATTCTAACTATAAGACCTCCAGAACCAAAAGCAACACATATTAACCTAAAAAATTAATAAAATATTTTACCATTATTCAATTCTTAATCCATAAAAAGTATAGCAGTGGAAGACAATACCTCCAAATGTAACTAAAATTATTTGTAAAGTCAGAATTCCTACAACTATAATTGGGAATAAGATATTTGTGAAAATGCCTTAAAAGATATTTGGTTCATCCTTTATTCTTCTTGCATTCATAAAGTTGAATAATTGCATCATGACAAATGTGTTAAATATTACAGTAAATTGTCTTGATGGAATATAGGTTTCCTTGTAGAAAGTTTCATAGTTCTCAGAACCATCTACATAATAATCTGTGCTAAAGGAAACCAAATTACAGTAATCTTAATGATTAGGACATAAATGAATTTTTAATGTTTCATCATAATATGTATTAGAATATTTGTATTATAATCTTCCTTCAAAATCTGAAGTCCCATCTTCTGAACCATTATATTCAGGAACAAAATCTTGAGCAGTAAATAATAACACCAGCATTATAATCATCTAATAAATTGCTTATCCTATTATATGTTTGAACATTTTTTATGAAATCATGTACTCATTTCTATTATGAGGTTTTCTCTACAATAATTCTGCTGTTGGTGTTTCTGTAGCCAAAGCCAAAGATGCAAATGTATCCATAATTAAATTCACCCATAACATTTGGATTGGTTCCAAAACTTCTTACTTAAGTAAAACTGATGATATTAAAGTCATTGTGACAGCTACAACATTCACAGTTAATTAGAATTGTAGGAACTTCTTTATTGAATCATAAATATTCCTTCCCCACATCACTGCCTTGACTATTGAACTAAAATTATCATCTAATAGAATAATGGAAGCACTCTCTCTGGCAACTTCAGTACCTGCAATACCCATAGCAAATCCTACATCAGCCTTCTTTAAAGCAGGTGCTATTAAAAATTAAGTTAAAAATATTACCATCATTAGTACCATCTCCAGTAACTGCTACAACATGTCCTCTTTCAATGAGTCCTGTGACAAGAGCATACTTATCTTCAGGTCTACTCCTTGCTAAAACATCTAGAAGAGGATAGATTTTGTCAAATTCTTCTCCGTTTTTAATTGTATCCACTCTTACTGATTTTCCTATTTATTTAGCAGTTGATTAATCTCTTGGACAATCACAAATTGCTGTTTTACACCATTTACAAACTACACCTCCTATTCTATTAACGAAATCAGGACCTTCTAATACTAAAGATTTATTTTCATCAATTAAAATTCCACATTCTTTAGCTATAGCTCTTGCAGTTATTTTGTTATCACCAGTAACCATTCTTACTTTAATTCCTGCAGTTTTGCAATTAGCAACAGCTCCTGGGACTTCAGGTCTTAGGATATCTTTGATTCCTACAATAGCAATTAAAGTCAAATTTTCAGTTTCAATATCATAAACACCTTTATCATTTTTGTTAGTCAGATCTTCTTACCCATTTAAATCTCTATAGGCTAATCCAATAGTTCTAAGAGACTACGATGCCATAGATTCTATAGCTTTTTCAATACTTTATCTTATGGTAGAGTCAATTGAGATGATTCCTCTACTTTTTGAATGTAACTTATTACAACCTTCTAAAATGATTTCACTAGCACCTTTTATAACTAATCTTTTTCCTATTATCATAGCCATTCTTTTTCTTTTGCTTGAAAAAGGTATTTTCATACTGGCAACATGTATTTCTCTTTCTTTTTCATAGATAATTCCACATTTTTCTGCAAATAAAATCATGGCTACTTCAGTTTTACTACCTTTTTCTTCTGGTCTAATCATAGCTGTTCCATTAACAATTGATGCTTAGACATACAATTCATGCATTTAAGTAGGAAAGTAGGTACTTAAATTCAATTAATCATTATAAACGTCAATATCCATTAGAGTATCATTCCAAATAGATACCATAAACATTTTATTTTAAGTCAAAGTACCTGTTTTATCTGAACATACCATGTCTGCTCCACCCATGGTTTCACAAGCTGCCATTTTTCTAACTAAATTATTATCCTTCAGCATTCTTTTTGTAGAATAAGCTAATGAGAGTGTAACAGCAAGTGGTAATCCTTCAGGAATAGCAACTACAATGACTGTAATACAAATAATAATGAAATTAAGCATTTCCTTTATATGTTCTTTTTCAAATGTATTATCTTTAATTCTTTCTACTGCAAATCTTAATAGTAATATAAGCAATATCAAAGCAGAACTTGCAAGACCAAATTTACCTACATCTTATGCAATGGCTTCTAATTTTTCTTATAATGGAGTTGTTTGTATATCCTCAGTTGCAAGTAATGAAGATATTTTTCCTACACAACTTGAATCTCCAACAACTACTACAATCATTTTACCTTCTCCTGACAACACTTTAGTACCACTTAGCATAACTGGAGATGAAACATCATGTCTACCACATGAATTTTATTAATCTTTTAATTTATCTCTCTACTTTTTACAGTTTTCATAAGTATCCTTTTTAACGGGATCTGTCTCACCTGTCATAGCACTTTCCTAATAATTAATTTACTATTTGATTACGTCACATGTTAATTCAGCTGCCTCAACAACAAAACAATCGGCTGGTATCTCCATACCTTCAAAAATTTAAATTATGTCTCCCACCATAACTAAACTCTGATGCAAATCTATTTTACACCCATCTCTCCATACTGTTACTGTTTTTCTACTATCTGCCATTGAATTTAAACTTTGAAATTATCTTTCCTTTTAGTAATCCTATATATTAATGCTGATTCAATACATTTATTGCAGTCACATTGCAGCATACGAATACGGCAATGAAAATTGCAAATCCTTCTATCCAAGCTAAAGAACGATGATCATCATCTGCTGTGGCTACTCCAATTACAATTGAGACTATTGAGGCCACTAATAATACTCTCATGATGAAATCCTAATATGATTCTATACTAATATATGAACCTCTAATGCTTATAAGAGCAATTTTAAATAAGTTTTTGGTGGAATGACAGGCTTTTTATTGTTACCAAAGAGAATATCTCTTTCTTTAAAATCATCTCCTTTCAAACCTTTAGTGAAACTAGTGCATAGACTCATTTCCAGATTTCGCAAACCATCAATATTTTCTAATTCATCAATCTCCTCTGCAAACAATCGTTCTTGAGCAGCACTAACTATTTTCACTAAGGCTTATTTGGAAATCCTAAAATTGCCACCTTAATGAGATAATTCTTATGATATAGATAAGTTTTATTCATCTGAAAGTACTACTTGCAACATCAATATAATTAATATATCGTTAAATTTGAAATTCTCATATGATCTCTGAATCAATAGTGTATGTTTGGGGAGGTATAATCTCTATTAAACATTTTAGCTGACAATGAAGGATAATTGGGATTGGGCAAGAATAGAGGATCTTCTTAATACTATCATATACCAAAGATTTGTCATTACAAAATAGGGTTTATCTAAGTCTCTTGTGGAAAAGATCACACTGCTCTTTTGACTTAAAATGGCCATGTCTATACAATGGGTTGCAATGAACATAATAAATTAGGACATGCAACTAAATAGTCTCTATATGCACCTTAAAAAATAGAATAATTAAGCAAGTACAAACTCTGATATTAAAAAGAGAGTTATACAAGTTTCTTGTGGTTATACTCACACTGCATGTATTACATCTGATGGAGCTTTATTTACTTGGGGAGACAATACTAGTGGTTAATTAGGAGTCAAATAAAATAGTAATTTAAACAAAGTTAATACTCTTACAAATTGTATTTAAGTTTCATGTGGCAATAAACATACATTAGTATTAACAGGTATTTTAATATATAAATAATATTTAAGATGCTTAGGAATGTTTTGGATTTGGATTGAATGATAATTCTTAATTAGGAATCTAAAGATTGAAAACAGTTGTAGAACCTACAAAAATTAAATTGCCTACCTTATAATAGATATTTGCAGGTAATTAATTTTCAATGTTCTTAACTCAAGATGGAATTGTGTATATATGTGGATTAGGTTTTGGAAATTTATAAAAATTAAACTATAAATGTAATAAGTTCTACTTATAAATAGAAAAATTTATTAAAATAGATGGGAAGAGTACTCCAATAGGTTTGACTTCAACAAATGAATTAATCTTTTTTGAATTAGATGAATAGCTTATGAATATCAAAGATTTTTGTATGGGGGAATTAATTGGAATGTGTATAGGAGATAAAGCTTATTAATGGCAATTTGATCCAGAATAGAAAAGAATTACTCAATTAAAATCAATTGATCAATTATATTCAAAATAGTTAATACATTTTTCAGCTGGTAATAGTCATTTGATATGCATTGAATAAAAGGGATCATCTTCATTTATTGAGAGTATTTGTAGTTCTACTACAACACTAAGAGGGAAACATGAGGAAAGAAGTAAAAGCAATTATATTGAAAAATAAGATGGCAATTAGAATTAAAGAATTTAATAACTAGAAAAATAATTAGAGGAGAAAGATAGATTAATTTAATAAATGAAAGTAGATTACCAATCTAAAATATAATAGATGTAATAAAAATAAAAAGAAATGGAGGTTTAATTGTAAAATAAGGATAAAGAAATAGCGAAATTGTAATTATATTATTTGAAAATATTAGAACTATAGAATTACATCGTTTATAAGAAGATCATTAGAATAAGAATTCAGATTCAGAAATATTATAATGTCATGTACAAGAGGAAATAAGTGATGATGATGAAAGTGATGTAAAAGTTTTAAAAAAATAAACATCATTACCCTATTAGTAACCAACTCTGACTTATCATCACACTTCTCATTCTTAGTTATAAAACTATTCATATCAATAGTAAGTGAAGAGTCCTGTTAAAAGCATAATTTAAGAAAATTAATATGAAGATAGTCTGTAGAAAAATAAATTCTGTAAAACCGATCATGATAGGGAAGCTAAATATTAATCTTTAGAAAAGTAAAAGAAAAAGGAAGTATTAAATGAGAGACCTTAAAGTTTAATAAGGGAGAAGAGTAATAATAATAATAATGAGAAGACGAATCTTTCTACAATTAAATCAAGATTAACAGATTTGTAGAAAAATAAAGAGCAACTTGAATAAAGAATGAGACAATTTGAAGATCGTCTAAGGGAAAATAAGTTATATACAAAGTGATTAGATATATAATAATTAGTATATTTCAATCTGATTACTTTCTTTCAATTTTTTTCTATATAAAACTAAGGAATGTATATGAAATGTTTTCACTATAAGTTCTTTATCTTTTTTAAGATTGTCCATAGAATAGAACTTACTTTAGTTCCTATTTATCATTAATTTCTGTATAGAAGTACTCTAGATTATCAGTGGTAGTAGCATCACTAAGAAGATCTAAGTCATCCATGACAAGATCTGGATTTAATTTTGGTTTTAGAGTAGGTTTCTTTGGTTCTTTTTCAAAAATACTCACATATTCTTCATACGTCATAGAAGAATTCAATCTCTTTTTTTATTCTGCCATTTTTATTTATATTATTTAAAATCCATTTGATTAATTAAGTATTTGAATGATACTATTTAATGAGTTTATTAATTATAGTTATGTATAATTATTTTAATAAAAAAAAAGAATTCAAATAAAAAAAAAATAATTTAATTTTAATGAAGAAATAGAAGTTTTTTATATGTGATAAATTAATATTGGGAATGGTAAATCATCTTCTTGGTAAACGAGTGACCTTATTCTTCTTCTTTCTTTTAAAATTTGGATCATTTTTCTCCATTCCTGCTTTCACTTTCTTTGATTTTGAAATGGATTCATCAACCAATAGATTGTCAATTTATAAATTTTCAGATAAATGGAAGTATCTGATATTATTTCCTATGTAATGATAGTCAGCAAACCTCTAATTGTCAATTAATCTAATCCTACTGGATTCTTTCCTTTCAATGTTAATTTCACTTTGCTTAAATGTGTATTCATTCTAACATCTACTCCTGTAATTGTTCCTAAAACAACGGTCCCATTTTTTAATTCAACAATGACTTGCTCATTCTTGAGCTTCATTAGAAATCTGACTAATTTCATATTTTATTTATTAATAATAATGATTATCTAAATAATTCATCTCAACTAACTTTTAATTTTTATTTCTCACTCTTCTAATATATATAACTGATTATTTACAATAATCGGTCTAATAATCAGTATAGCTATCGTTCTCCAAATTACACTTCCGATTCCAACAGCAATACAAATAAGCCTTATATCTAAATTAAAATTTACCATTATTTCAAATTTAAACCATCAAATGTTTACATTATTATACCTCCATATTCAACAATTAAAAATTGTAATAATCCTATTATCAAAATGGAAGTATAAATCATCCAAGATCCAAAGAATCCACTAAAAACATTTAATTCTAAATAAACCATACGAGAATTAATCAAATTAAACAAAGTAGTCATGACAAATAAATTGAATACCATTAAAGACTATAAATAAATAAATTATTATTACTTAATTTATGAAAATTATACATACAGTTATTATGTATATTGCAAGTATTATGATATGAAGATAAACAATGAAATCCAATAGAAATCCATTTTTATTAGGAGGATTCTAATGATATAATTAAGAACTTGGTCTACAATAAGACAAAGCAAATGTAGCAAATATATCAGTAATTAAATTGATCCAAATAAATTAAAGTGGTGATATTACAGCATCTCCAATTGCTGATGAAGCAATTAAAATAATAATCAATGAAAAATGTGATGTAATTTAATATTAAGCTAATCTTTTAATTGAATCTAAGAGATTTCTAGCCAAAATGAGTCCCTTATAAATTGAATGTATGTTATCATCCAATAATATAATCCCTGAACTTTCTCTTGCTATTTCAGTTCCTGATATTCCCATACTAAAACCTACATCACTCTTAGATATTGCAGGAGCTTATATATAATATTATATTTATATTTACCATCATTAGTGCCATCACCACATACTCCTACAACATGGCCTAATTCTTATAATTCTTTAACAAAATTATATTTGTCTTCTGGCCTGGCTCTACTCAAAACAAAAATATCTTCAAAGTATTTTGAAAAATTTTCTGCTTTATTTTGTATTCTTTGTGTAAATTCTGCTCCTTCTGTAATTATTGAATCCAATGACATTATTCCAGCTTTTATAGCAATACTCTTTGCAGTTACTGAGTTATCCCCTGTAATCATAACCACTTTAACTCCAGCTTATTTTAAGCCTTCAACTGTCATTTTAGTTTCCATTCTTAATGGATCTGAAAATTAAAAGAAACCTAATAATGTCAAATTTTATCTATCAAATTGAAATTAATTATTCTAAATTAATTCATTTACATTTTCATTTTATAAATTGACATCTGTATAAGCTATAGCTATTGTTCTTCCTTCTTAACTCAATTAAATTAAGTGCTATTCTAAATCGTCTCTTAAAAAATCATCAATTGCAACTATCCCATTTTTCAAACTATAAAATTTAGTAGATTATTAAAATATTATTTCAGCCGCTCCTTTTACAACAACTCTATTATTATTAATAATTGATGTCTAAAAATTTATATATAAATAATCTTACTAATCTCTTTCTAGCACTATTAAAAGGGATTATATGAGTCACTTATTTCTTTCTCTCTTCTAAATTAATTCTCATTTCTTAAGAAATTTAATATAATTCTTTATCAGTATAGCTGCCTTGATCAGTTTCTGGAATATATTAATTATTAATAAAACAAGAATCAATAAAAACTTATTAGAATTCTTATGGAAATTGATTAAATCTTGATTTAGTAAGCTCTTCTGTATTATCATTCATAAAACAATTTAATGCCATTCTATTTTAAGTTAAAGTACCTGTTTTGTCAATAAGTAACTAAATAATAATTAAAAGTACCTAGTCCATAAATGGCAAATTTTCTAATTAATTAAGGTTTCTAACCAAATTTTATGAATATAACATTAACTTTACAGTTTAAGCTAATTAAAGTTAATAATGAGTAATTAATGCCTTAGAAGCATTTCCAGATATTAATACTATGATTAGATTAAGTATATTAGAAAATGTACTATATCCATTAACCTTTGAATCATGATATTGTATCATGTATCTAGCCAAAAGCATAAAGATAACAATTATAGCTCCAACAAATCCTATAGTTTCCATTTTAGATGAAATATTTTCAATTGTTGATTAAATAGGGGTATTATTATTCTCTTATTTAATGCAAATTTATATTCTACTAGCTTAAGTTTCAATACCAACACCTAAAACCAATAATTTTCCATTTCCATTGATTACTCGACTTTCTGAAAATATTAAATGTTTCTATGGTAAAATTGGTTATTTTTATTAATTTGCCTCTTCTAATGTAATTTTATGAATCAAATCCTATTCTCCTGTTAAATAACACTCCTAAATAAGAAATTAATCAAAATAAATACATCAATTTCTAAATTATTTTATTCAACTATCAAACCATCTGCATATATTTTATCTTTATCTTACAATATTACTATATCTCCAACAACTAGATCCCTTGCAATAATATTCTATTCTTATCCATTTCTCAAAACTTTAACTTACTTTAATTATTCATCTTAAATTAAAAGTTTTTTTTTATTGTTATCATCAATTTTCAACTTTGTTTATTAAATTGAAATTATACATGAATAGCTGATATTATGAGGTTCAAAAAAATTAATCCAAATATAAATAAACTTTCAATCCATTCATTTGTGTATATTCCTTAAGTTGATAAATATTTTAGAATAAATGCTATTAATGATAAAGTTAAAAAGAATATCGATTTAAGTTGCTAAATTAAATTGAATTTTTACAAGTAAAATAATACAGAAGGCATTTAAAAAACTTATTGAATCTAAATTCTCTTTCTAATTGATACCAAATACCTCTTGTCTTTATTTAATTTCATTATCACTCAATCCTTGTGTTATGTTACATTTTAAAAAATCTTCAAAACGCTTAGTTGTATTGAACTCATTCATACTATCTTAAGGATTTTAAGTTAATCCAGAAGCCAATATTTCTCTTAATTGTTCTTTAGATACTTTATACATAAATAATTTAATAAATATAATTTCCTAATCTCATTCTTATATACTTTCAAAATTAATACATTAATTTCACTATCAATTAAATTTCATTCTTATAAATAATAATATAGACTAACAATAATATTAATCTTGGATTGTAGTTAGAATTATATTTTTTATACCTTATTTCTAACTAGATTATTAACTTTTTTCAATCATATTTCTAAAATTAATTATATATTTATATGTTTAACTATTATAATAATAATTAAAGTATTTTCAACTTTGAAATAATTTAGAAATTAATTAAATGGATGCCATTTATTGTTAAGATTAAGACCATTCTGGAAATCCATTAAATTTATTTTGTTTAGACAAAGAATGCTAAAATAAAGGTTTAATATGTTCATTTTGTATGTTAAAGTATCATTAATAACATGTAAAAAACGTATTTCCTTTAAAAACTATTGTATCAAATCTTAATTAAGCAAATAATCCGAAAAATCAATAAGAATTACATAATAAAGGAAACTAAATATTTGAATAACATCATAAGATTAAACAAACCTTTAGATAAAATCTAATTGAAATCAAAGAGATGCTTAATAAATTAGAAAAAGAAATTGAAAAATAAATTAAAGTACTTGATCTGGAGGCTGATTTATTTGTTGGAGATGCTTTTGAAAAATCAATTACTTTATTAAATATGTAAAAATTAAATAAAGAATAAATTGAATAAGCCATCGAAAAGATTGAACCTCTTTTAAAGATATGTGATGGATAGATATGGATCTTAAGAGATACAGAAATAAATAAGTCAGCTTAAAAGCTTATTAAAACAGCTGAAGTTATAGAAAGAGAAAGTAAGTATTGGCTTGAAAAAGTATGTTATGTATAATAAATTTTAGTGTCTTGTAGATCTTAATAAGCTATATGAAACTTGTTAAAATCCTATTAAGAAATAAGTAAAAATACTTACAAGTCAAAATAGATATTAGTTGACATATGAATAATGGAATTTAAAGGAAACGGATGCTATTTGTTTTAGATCCAAAAAGAAATATGACATATGGCTATCAGGAGTTGGCTTATATGAAATTACAACTTGGCCTGAATAACCTTTATCATTTACTGTCCAAATATTTGAAGGTGCAAATGTGAATAGGTTTAGTATGGATTAATTATATTTTTAGCAAAAATGTAATTTATAAAGATATATTCACTATACAACCTGATATGGATTTTTGTAATCATCAAGGAAAGATTTACTTTAATAAGGCTATTAAAATTGAATTTGATAAACCTTACACTATAGGTATAAGTGATTATATATGAAGCACTTAAACCAAATTAAAGTTGTTTAAGTTATTATGGTGCTAATGGTAAATTTGAAACTGATGAATTTGAATTTTCATAACCTTCATTCACTCAAGAGTTTAGTGATAATTCAACTACTATAAATTAAGGGGTAATACCATTATTCTATTATGAAGAATGAGATTTAAACTATATTTATAATAGTATTTGAATTAATTTTATAAAATAATAGTTTTGACAACTAATATCATTCATATTTATGTTGATATAATAAAAATAATAGAATAACTTAATAATATTTATCAATGAAGAATTAAATTAGAAATTTAGAATAGTAATATTTCATTTATTGTTTTTTTCATTTTGATGATACATAATATAAATTTTACATTTATATATATGTTTATTTCGTTTTAAATAATATAATGAATGTAATGGATTTGTTGAGAGATAGAGCATAAGATATTAGACTGTTGCAAAATAACCAAATGGCAATTAGACAAATAAGTATCCTATTATTTGATTTACTGAGTATAGGGAGAAGATTAGACAAATAGTCGAAACTGATTTCTTTAATTAACTATCTCAAATAAAGAAGATTAGTAAAAATGATCTTATACTCTTGTAAGATACTATGAAATTCATAATCAGAATCATTGCACTTAACTTTGAAGTTCTTTTTTTGAAAAATATAATAGATTAATAATCTAGAACTTAATTTAAGTTCAACAGCTAGGATCATACTTGAACTATATCAATATTTTGGACTATCATCCTAAGCAGAATTATTATAGAGTGAAAAGACTAACTAAAGCAAATAGTCAGTTTTTTTGAATTTAGTTTAACATCTTATAGATATTACTAGAATGGCTTTAGAACTAACTATTAAGAGTTAAACTAATTTAAGACTTTTTTGTTGGGGAAAAGAAATAGGAGAAAAAGGGAATACAAATAATAGTAAAGTAGCTTAATTGAGGAGAGTATAAAGAAGCGAGTCAAATCATCAGGATAAAGTTTATTAATCAAAGAAATCTATATAAAAATTAGAAACATAATAAATTTATGAGTCTATTCCAAAATCTTAAAGAACAATAGAAGATATTCAACATTATAGTAGAGATACATCTGTAATTAGAAATCATCATTAAAGAAAAACTGAATTGATTTAAAATAGCAAAGCACTTCCTTGTATTTATTAAATGAAATAGAATCAACTTAATTTATATCGATAACTAAAATAAAGAAATTCTAGTATTCATAATTCAATTTAGACATACATAAGATAAATTTACGATAAAAACACAATAATTGATTGATTTAAATATCACATTTCTACAACTCTCATAAATACATCTTCTAAAGTAGCTTAACTTATTCCCCAATCTTAGATTCTAAGTTCTTCTTTCTTTGATTCTATAGACTAAAAGACTTCAGAAACAACTAATTAATTTTTATCCACTTAATAAATAAAGTTGCCATTAAATTCCTGTACAAGTATGGCTTAGGGTAAAATGCTTTTTAAAAAATTTTTTATCATTTTTTAATAATATTATTAACTAAACTAAAATAGTGTAATTACTTATGAGTATCATTATTTTTTTAAAGATAAAGTTCTTTATGGGAACTAATAAAGAGATGATAACCACCTCCATATATAGATTTTAAATGTGTTGAATTACCAATACATCTTAGAACTCCAGAACTTATGATTCCAATCTATAATAAATTCAATATAATTACTCTAGTACAAAGTACATCTGCTTCTTCCATTGAATGAGTAGTAAGTACCATAGCTCTTTTACCTTTACATTATGATATAATATCCCAAAGTTATCTTCTGTTTTCAGGATCTAATCCAGTTGAGGGTTCATCAAGGAATATTATTAAAGGTTCACCAACAAGTGCAATAGCAATTGATAATCTCCTCTTCATTCCACCTGAAAGTTAATTTGCATAATAATTGAAATAAGGTTCTAATTTGACTTCTGACATGCTCTATTACACTTTAATACGTTCATTCTATTTGTTAATTCCTTTTAATCTAGCATAAAACAATAAGTGTTCTTCAACAGTTAATTCTGGCCATAATAAATCAAATTATGGACAAACTCCAATGTTCATTTAAACAGATTACATATTATTTTTAATACTATATCCACCAACATAAGCTTCTCCATCATTACATTCATACAAACCAGTTATAGCTGATAAAATTGAAGTTTTTCCAGCTCCATTAGGACCCAATAAACCAAAGATTTCTCCTTATTCAACTGCAATACAAAAACATTTAACAGCTACATTATTTTAATATACTTTTCTTAAGTCTTTACAAATAAGTGGATAATCTTCAAAGTTTTTAATTTTATAAACTTTTTCTCTTTCATTTTTAGAATCTTAATCTTCTTATGCATCTTAAATATTAATTCTGTATTCATCTTCATCTCTAAATTCTATTTTTTTCTTTTTGAATAATCTAAATATCCAAGGTTCACTTGAAACTCCAAATTCTTATGGAATAACTTCATGTAAATAAACACCCAGAAGACCAAAAATAATGAAATTTACATATAATGAAATTATGCATCCTTATATCTCACTTGTCAAAGGACTAAATTAACTTATACAACCTGTTTATGCACAAGCTGAAATAATTAATAATTAGTATTACCCATAGAGAATATATAAATAATTCTATTAAAAGCTATTTATGGTATCAATTATAGATATATTGGTATTTCATATGGATCAGGATATATGGCTAAATTGGTAGTTAGTGCAATAATAGATCCCCAAACTGATAATAAATATCCAATAATTGTAGCTGTTCTTGCTTTACTAACAAAGACTTAGAAAAAAAATGACAAAGAAATTTAACACAATCCCCATCCAGTTAATACAATTATCTAATTATATAATAAATGATTACTAGAAGTGTAAGATTAGTATCTGTAAGTAAGGCTAATCCTGCAAGGTAGATACCTGTAAAAAGAAAGAGTGAGAAAGTCAAAAAAGTCATCAATCCAGAAAATACATATTACAATATCCAATAATCTTTCATTTTCATTCCATTCATTTTCATCATTTATAAGAGTCTCTCTTCCTTTTCCAATACTATAGCATACAAAAATACAGGTAATAAAAGGGATAGTGATAATGGATATAACATTGCTCCAATAACATTAATTAATTTTAAGAGAAAGCTTTTATCCTATCCTTTTAATGGCATATATTCAATTCCAGAGACTAACCAAACATTAGGATTATGATAATGTAATAAAGCTCTTGAGATAAGATCAATAGTGGCTATTTAACCTTCGGCTACTAACATCATGGTATTGGTTTTATTTGGTTATACTTTATTTTAGTATCTAAATAGAATAAAGATGATTACCTTATTTTGGTTATACCATTACTTCTATGATATTCATGTAATCTAATATCATTTACTTGAATACTCATATTAATCTTCTTTTCATTAGCTTCAAAGAATGTGTATGCCCCATCAGGAATTAAATAAAGGTCTTTTGAATACTAAAAATAATATCTATACCTTATAGATCAGATCCTCTTACAAAAGGCACAGTGTGTAAATATTCTATTTAATGATAAATATCCAAATTTATTGTACTATTGGGCTGCTATAGAAAAGGGACATTTTTAAATGCTAATTAATGGTCTTATGTTTCGTAACTGCACCCAGGTCTTTAGAGTATGTGTCTCAATAATCCAACTGATCTTATTTTTAATATGTACAATGTTTACTAATTTCCATCATTATAACCCAAAAACTATTTGTCCTATTCTCCTAACTAAGAGCTATTGAAGTAATACCTACAATATACTATCTATTTATACCACTATAAACATGTCAAATTCAATAATTAAGGTAATCCTGAGTATATGACTGGTACATTAAACAAATAAGGAAAATCTAATGAAAAATTAGCTCCTTTGAATTAATCAAATGCGACCTCTTAAATCAGATATACAAATCCTAAACACAAGAGTGGTGTAAACATCTAACATAGATTAGTACCAATCTAGCGAGATTATAGAGCAGCATTTTTATAAAATAAAGCTCTAAATTAATAACTCTTCTTCATTTAATTTAATATGCACTCTAACAATTAATACAAATGTAACTTAAAGAATGAATTCAATGAATACTATTCTGGTCAATCAAATCATACATTACCTAGATTTCAATTAATGAAAGAATTATGTAAGGATGGTTAAAATATGCATGAATTTATTCCATTTATTAGAGAACGTGATTAAATGAATCGTTTAGTTCGAATCAATTCAGAGAAACATAAATTGTATACAAATACTTCCAGATCCCCTTCTAATAGAAATCATACTCCTGATCAATTTTGGCAATATAATAAAAATCACATCATTCCAGAAAGGAGAAAAAAGATGAGCTTCAAATTTAATTATTAAATCAAAATTGACCATAAAACAGAGTAAATACTTTAACCTCTTATTCCTTAATAAGATAATGTGGAAATATCTTAGTCTAAAACAGAAAGAAATTTAATTTACCCTCCTATTGAAACAAAAAAAAAGAGAAATAATAAATTTACTAATACTAATGTAAATGTAAGGTAGAATGAAGAACCTAAAAAATAATAAATTAAAATTCCTTTAGAGATTCTATAACCCTATATTAATTAAGAGATGGAATAAATGAAATAAGATCTCTTTTTTAAAGTAGATTAAGATTATCAATTCCCAAATGATTTGACTGAGAAATTGATGCAATAAAAAAAGTAATTATCAAATATTAATTGTCTTTCTTAAGACATATAGAAAATTTAAGATAAAGACTTAGAGAATGGGGTGAAATGAAAACAGAAGAAGATATTGAAGATTTGAAATAGCATGCCAAATTCATACTTTCTAAGAATTCTTGATTAGTTATATAATTAAAAAATTTAATGAACACTATTGATTCAGTAGAGTCTTTTGATTGGATTCATGAAATTGCTAGCAATGAACAAAGATTAGTAGAAAGAAGAATAGTACTTTATCTTTAAGGTTTGGGATTAGAATATCGCACAGAATCAACAAAGAAGTAGGATCAGTATTTTTAAAAGAATTTCTCATTTAATATCAATCTAAACTAATTGTAGATGAAAAGACAATGATTACACATTTGAAAATGATTTTCTCTATTTCTATATTTTAAAATATAAAATGTAAACACATCATTTACTTGCTACTCTAAGAATTGTAAAACCAACCTAAAAACAATAATTCTTGAAAATTCTATAAGATCATAACATTCTTAAATATAACAATGAACAAATTGATTTAGCTTGGGAACATTGTTAATTTAAAGAATATAAATAAGTCATAGATGTTTTATAATAACAAAGAATGAGAAGTATTTCATTAAATTCTCAAAAAATTTAAACTAAATTACAACCTTTAGTATAAATATTTGATAAAATGGATAATATTAGAAAAAGAGAAGGTGATGAAAAAGAAATTAATAAATAATTGAATGCCTTGAAATTTGAAGCTGAAAAGAAATTAAAAGATTTTATAAATGAATCATGTTTAGATCGTAGTTTTACACAAGTTTTATAAGAAAAGATAATTGAATTTTAAGGAGAAAGAAATAAATTAAATGAAGAATAAGGTAAAGAAGGTAGTTAAAAAGCATAATAAAGATTGATTGATCGTTAAAAACTTAAATCTGCAAAATTACATCAATAAATTTAATTTGTTCTACATAATGATGATAATAAAGAAAGAGCATAGGCAATTTGTACAAAATTATTAAATACATCAATACCTAGATATAAATCTACATTAAATGATAAATAAGAATAAAGAATAAATAAAATAATGAATACTAAGTTTTTATTATGAATACTTAATCATTCAATAATGTGATCACTACCATTTCTTGATTTTTTATTAATATCATCAAATGAAGGAAAATAATTTGATCCTAAACTTAAATCAAAACTAGGTTGACTTCCTCTAATTACTTAAATCTTAATATTGTCATTAGAATTGCTAATCTACATAGGTTTGATATGTGGAAATGTTTTTACAATTTCATGTGGACTTTCTTCTGCTACTCCTAAGTCTCCTAAAGTGTAAATAATATGGTAATTTACCTTAAATTGTATCATCAAAAAAAGGATGTAATAAAGCTTATTCTGGAGATATTCTTTTATTTGGATCCTTTTATAACATTTATTTTAACAAATCTAAAATCTCATGAGAACAATTCTTAAGATGATTATTACACTTAAATCTTTTATTATTTTCAAGTATTTCATCACTATTATTCCCACTAAATAAAGATTTTCTACTTAGTAACTTATAAAATATAGAACCTAAACTAAACATATCAACTTTTGTAGTATATGGATATTTATCAATAAACATCTCTGGTGCAATATAACCAGGAGTTCCACATATTTAAAGTTGAGGTGTTGATAATGGAATTGCTAATCCAAAATCTATAATTTTAACTGTTTCTACATTATTTGGTTCTAAAAGCACTAAATTTTCTAATTTTAAATCTCTATGAATAATATTAAGTAAATTCAAATAACATAATGCTTTCAAACATTTCTATTCATTTATATCATTATTATACATTCATAACAGTCTTTATTTAATAAATGTTCAATTTTGTCTTTTTTGTGAATGTGTGTAATGTTTCACCTTTAAGTAATTCCATAATTATATAGTAAGACTTCTCTCCTTCATAAAGATCGACCATTTTAACTATTGAATTATGTTCGACTAATCTCATTAATTCTATTTCTTAGATTAAGCGATTCTAATATATTTAAATAATATACATATCTTTCTTTATCATTTCTCTTAAATACATAATCTTTTCTTATACATTTTGAAGCAAACTCATAATGTGTAATCTTATTAACAACCTTATAAACTTTACATGATGCACCAGCACCAAGTATTTCTTTACTTTCATATATTGCTGATATATTTCCAAAGAATACACGAGTATGTAATTCTCTATACAGTGCTTCTAGAGCAGTTTTCTCAGCATGAAACCATTTAAGAACTTAATTATATTTAATACCAAATGCAATCAGTTAATTTTCATCTGTTTTCCAAAATACTAAATTTTGGAATATCAAATCAAGGATGTACTTTGATTATTGAAAGTTTACTGACTCTTTTAGTGTGAATGTTATTTTACTTGTGATATTGATATGCGATCATCATCAATTAAAAGATGATAATGTTTGTCTTTTAAGAAATGCTTACGTTAACATTTAATCTAAAAGGAATTTTGATCCATTTATTATAACATGATTAATAATATATATATTTTAAGTATAATAATATTTATTATTTTAATAAATCTAAAAATATTTGAATAATAATATTTATGTACTTTTTATTGATTATATTTCATTTTTTCAGCCAATTAAATAGCTTAATTCATAGTCAGCTTTTAATGATTGATCAACCACTGTTTTATTATTTTTATGATAATCTTCAATATCAACTAATTTATCTCCAACAACTTAATCATATCCAGTGTTTTCTAAAGCTTTATAATTGGCAATCAATTTTGTTAAATTAATATATGAGGGACAATATAATTGTTATCCAATAATGCAATTATTAGTTGGATGAATAATCTAAATGAGTTAAAAATAAATAAATTACTTTTTCAATAAAAGAACTATTAAGTTAAGCTTTATAATTATTTCCAAGACTATCTTCAATTAAATGAATAATAGATTTGAAATCTATATGTTTATGTCCTTTAGCCAATAGTAATTTACCAGCATGATCTCCTGCAAGAACTCTAGCAACAATTGCTTCTAAATCTCCTGTAAAGATTGGAGCACATGATTAACCTGTACTTTTGAAATAAATGCTTTATCCATTATATATTCTTTGAGCAATTTTATTAGTAAATGTGCTTTAAGGTCCAAATGTAATATCAGATCTGATTCCAACTAATTAAGGAATGGATCGACGACCTTCAACTTCTAAATGTTTCCATTCATCAATTTCTTCTTAATGATCATGTTCAACTGGAGCTACATAAGCCACAGTTTTATAGTTTCTAGTCTTGACCAAATCTAGAGTGGCAACTAATAAATTTTTCTTGGAAGCTGTAACTTAGTAATAGTCATGGCTCACATAAAGGAGATTATTGGCTTATTTAATTACATCATGTAGATCTTAACGATCACCTACTTTAAACAACTCTATATTGGTTGAGAATTATTGCTTGAATTTAAGTAATCTTTAAACTGTGAAGTATGTTGGGAAGATATCAGCACAAATGATCTTCTCATATTTACCACTTTCAGCAGCTACTTTTAAGAATCCTTAAGCAATTCTATTGCTTGCATTTAGAAGCAAAAGAGACATATCAAATAAATAATTATATTTAGGATTTAATATCTAAGTAAATTTATATATATCCATAATCTCAAAGTCCTCCAGTCTTTCTTGTTCTAATTAAGTAACACTTGAATTCATCTACTAATTTTGTGAGTTATTGTGCTTCTCTTTATTTCTACAATTTTTATTCTCGTTAAATTTAGAATTGTTTTTATCTCTAATCAAAACTTTCAAAATTATGAACTTTTTTTGGAGTATGATGAGGATTCAATAGAGTTTATTGTCTAATAAATATATATATATATAATTATACATATGACGAATGAATGAATCATCATCCAAATAATCTAATTCACTTTTTGGAGCTATTTTGATTTGAACTGTATTTTATTAAATACTTAACATAGGTTATCTTTTATTATAATTTCTCTTTTCCATTTCATCTACAACTTTTTATACTATAATGTCAACATATCTATCTTAATCAATACTAGAAATAGAATTATTATTTGAATAGACAGTTGGAGTCTTTGATATTTTTAAATAAGGTTATCTATTTTCTTATACTATTTCATTTGGTAATTTGAGGAACATCTCTTTAATATTAATATCATCTTATCTTTCATCAATTATTGATTAGTTGCTATCCTCTGTAGTAGTCTATTTATCTTGTTTATACTCTTTCTAACAATTATGAAATTGTTTAATGAATTGTCTAACCTCTGGACTAACAGAATCTCTATAGTGTTTCATATCAGTTAATAATTTGTTATTAAATTATAAAATAGTAGCATAAATTCATTTTAATTTTCTCATCAACATAATTGTCTTTGTAATTTACTTTAATGACTTTTTTGGCTTTTTCAATAATCCTTAATCCTTCTTTTTCTATTTTATAATTATATATTAAATTTACTTATCGACTATATTATTATTATAGTAATTGTGTAAATGGTAAATACTATTTAATTTAATTAGGTTTGACTTCTAATTTGAATCTTCTTACATCTTCAATATCTATTACATAATAATTCATATATTCTTAATATACATTTGAATCATATTCAGTATCAATCTTTGGTTTAACTGAATTTCCTTACTAAAATCTATTAAACTCTTTTAAAACTACTGAAATATTATTATGAGGATAAAATATATTGTAATCATATCCTTACTCAAAATCATTAAGTAAAACCATATTTTTCTTTAATTCTAATTACTAATTTCCATTATACTTTTCTACTTCCTCTTTGAAAACTTAATAATCAGCCATGATCTCATTCATTTTTTATTAGAGTATGGTTCCATTTTCACTATCTTAATCATTTTCAACTGAACTCTTAAATTTATTAATAGAAGGAATTATTGCATTTTAACTATTATTAGAAGATATAAGAACTTAAGAAAGACTTTTTGTTAAACTAAATATTTCTTATTATTTCATTTATATTTATTTTATCTATTTTTATGATTTTTTAATTGATTATTACCAATTCTTTCTCCTATTTCTATCTTCCTAAAATTTTGACTTAAGTTTCAAACTTTACTTTATAGAATCATCATCTACTCCTTATAATATATATTCATCAACATTACATTCTTCTAATAAAGGTTTATGAGTTGAAAGTTTCATTTGTAAATTCTCTACTTTTAATGTTATTTCTTATTTATTTTTTCTAGCATTATAATTAATTCTGTCTATTCTTACAAAATCTTTCATAATTGCTTAAATACATCTTGTCTTTGTCTTTTAATAAACATATAAATCAACTACAAAATGTAAAGATGGACAATCTTTTATTACATGTCCTGGTAAATCACATGAATAACAGTGAATATTTAATACTTAAAGTTAATTCCTATTAATTTCAGAATTAATAAAGAAGAATTTTTCTCTATCTTCTGGATATTTATTTAATAAATTAATAAAATCCTATCTTTTTAATACAAATACATCAGTAAATCCATTACTTTTAGCAGATGCTGTTCTTTCAATATTACCAAAAAAACTTATTTCTCCAAATACTTCTTTATTTCCCAATCTTGCTACTATTTATCTTGTTTTAATTAAAATTATATTAATTGATCCTTCTTAAATAAAATATAATGATTATTCATTCTTTATTTCATTTTCTTAAAAAACATATTCATCAGGTTATATAGTTTATTCAATTAAAATTTATGTCAATTCAATCAAAAAATGTCTAGAAAAAGTTTAACAAATTAATTTATAATTAGCTAATATAGTTCCATTTACTTGTATAGTAAATTCAAATTTCAAAGATGTAGAAAGATTTTAACAAATAGATTCTAAATTTATATTTCTATGTGAATCCCAAAGATATTACAAATATCTTCTTACTTTATTCTATAATTATTTTGGTATCTTAACTTTTCCCATATAACTATTTATTTCTGCTATTCTTTTTTAATACTAATCTTATTTTTAACTGAGTTATTACATAGTATTGCCAATTGTATTCATAGTAAATGAGAATACTCCACATGCAATCAACAGAAAAAACACTCCAAACAATCTTTCTAATGGTGTTTAAGGTGAAAGATCACCATAACCAACTGTAATCATAGTAGTAACAGCCCAATATACTGAATTAACATACCTAATTTCCCAAGGTTCATCATATATTCCATATATTGTTAGCCAATTATATTAAATCTCTTCATTTTGAGCAATAAAATGAAATATACAACCTAGCCAATGTGACCAAAATAATACAAAAGCACATAATTTAAAAAAACTTGCTATTGTTTATAAAATAGAATTGTCAGAAAAATATTCTTCTATTTTATTTACAATAACTTTTAATTTTGCCAACCTTAATAATCTAATAACTTTTATGAATCTAAAGAATTTTAGAATCCTTAAGATTTAAGCACTTTTTTATAAATTAGCATTAGATGTGGAAATTTCATCTTCTGCATCTCCTGTTAATAGTAATGAAAATATTAAATCATAAGGAAATGATGCAATTAAATCAATCCAAAACCATAATTTCAAATACTCTATTGCTATAATTTTATAAGAATAGTTAATATTGCCATTCTTATAGATAGCAGTATTAAATGTAAGTATTATATCAAATAAAAAGGCTGCTGTAATAACATAACCGAATTTACTACTAACTTCGATATCAAAACTAATTCTGATTGGAATTGTAATAATTTCATAAAGAATTAAAATCATACAAAAAAAATCCCAAAGTATTTTGATTGTGCTATCAGGATTAATTATAAACCAATAATTTTAATCTTATTTGTTTTTTCTTTTCATCTCAATTCTTTAATTCTCACTCTATGAAGATTTGGTAAGTTGTCTAATTTTTTCATTTCTTTCATTTTCATCTAAATTTATATCATCAAAAGGTAGATATTTTTAATCAATGTCTTATAATCTAGTTTCTAATTTAATGATTCCAGTATAAATTGATTTATCAGCAAGAATTAGTTGTTCATTCTAATTAAGAATATTAGGATCTTTGTAATCATTATTGCATTATTTAATGAATTGAATATATTTGAATTCTTAATCTCCTCTCTTTGTCAAAATAGCTTAATTTTCATTAGGTATTCTTGCAGAATATTAATCAACTTCCATATAGATTGATGTCATTTGATTTGTAAAATATTATGAATTATCAATATCATTATGAAATTACAAATATCATTATGGCAACCTTCATGATTAGTTCAAAATTATCTGGAGGATTTGGATTAGGAGGTCCATTACACTTTTAACAAGTCTTTGAATTAGGATTCCATAGATATGAATATATGGTATCAATAAAACAATTGGATTCATTTAAATCATTTGGCATTGCATCAACACAATGAGCATCTTACCATTTACATATTTAGATAGATGAAGGTTTATCAAATGGATCATATTAATGAATATATTAACAACTACTTTAATCTAAGAGATCTGAACATTTCTTTTAGACACATTTAGAGTTGGATACTTTGCATGAATGAATATTAGAAACACATTTCATTATTTAAAATTCTCCTTTAATCAAATCAATATCGCTACATTATTTAACAACCTAACATTTATCATCTATAAATCCACATTCTCCTTCATTTCCTTCTGAATAATTACAATTTTCTTCATCAAATTCAGAACAACTTGGAATAACCTTATTTTAACATTTATTTCCATCTAATGATGTACATTTTATAGAAATTGCTTCACATGTACTTTTATCACCAATATATTTATCACAACTAGTAAATTTAGTACATTTTCCATCTACATAGGCACACTTTATATCATATGGACAATCAACAGGTGATTCTATTGTACAATCTTCTATATCTATGCATTTGTTTTAATCCCAATAACAATAATTTACAATATTACAATCATTTTCTAAGAGTAATTCTTCACAAATGCATTTAGTTACTACATCAATATAAGTTGATGATACAATTGAGAATATAAATAATAGATATACAAACATTAATTAAATCAATCATTATTTTTTCTATTTTATAATACCTAATTTACTCAATCTTATTTAAACTTCATGTTTTTCATCAGAAGTATGTATTTTATGAATGGCCATTGAATAATATTGTAAACCAGCAGATGAGATCAATAATAATCTATTAAAGAAATGTTTGAATAATCCCTTTAATTCATCATTTTTATCTTCTACATAATTTTTATAAGTAAAATTGAAAGTCTAACCTTTCTCTAATTTCTCTCTCTTTGCTTCTTATAATTATTTTTCTAATTATAATAGTTTTTCATCATTTTTTTACAACAGGTCGTTTTTCTTTTATTCTAATTTTTTATAGATAGCTGCTTTTTCTTTATATTCTGCTAATGCTTTCTTTTGAGTTTCTACAGCTCTTTAACCATCTGTTAAGCTTGGAATTATCTTAGTCCTTATCAATTTAATAAGACCTTTGTCTTAATCATCATTTATCCTATCTTTAATCTTTGAATTAACTTCTTATAATGCTGTTTTTAATTCATCAAGCATATCCATTAATGCTGGTGTCTCTTTAAATGGTTCTTTAGCAATGCCACATAAAAATTCAGAAAATTCATGATATGCCTGACATCTATCCATCTCTACTTTTAAAATCTTTTCAAATTAAACTCGAAGATCTAAACAAAATCTATCATCTTTGCATAAACTTTAATATATTTCCTCAAATTATTAATCTGATGTTTCAATCTGCATATGAATAAATTATTTAAAATAGATTAGTAAGAGAATAAAATACAAATCATGAATTTTCATTTAATGATCTTTTCTATACATATCTTAAAATTTTCAAAATCTTACTACTCTTAGAACCATATATTAAACACCTTTTATTATTCATCTTAAAAATTAAAATAAAACCATTATGTTCTTTTATTCAATTCAAATGTTAATCCTTTTTTTATTGTCCTTATGAAATCTTAAGTTGAGTTTTAATTAAGTATAATGAAAACAAATTGATCACTTAATTTTATTAAGAAGAATGGTCCTTGAAATCCAGCTTAATGCCATAATTATGTGCATTTATCAAACTCATTTAAACTAGTAAATTTGCCAGTATACAATATCTATTCTAGAGTTGGAAACAATCTCTTTAAATAAGAGAAATTAATTTGATCTCGTTACATTAAATATATATATATATATATTAATATTCATTTAATTCTTTAATTACCTAATAATTTACTTAAGAAAATTTCTGCATCTTTTTTTACTTCTTATTCTCTATTATGAATTTCTTATGCACTTTTTGAAAAACTTTGTAGTCCTGCTGCACAACAATACATTTACATATTCAAAAAATGTTTCCACATTGAACAAAATTCTTGATTTTTCTCATTAATATAAATTTAATATTATGTATTAAGTGTTTATCCTGCTAACATTTTCTCTTTCTTTGCTTATTCATAAGCTTAATAAGTCTCTTTTTATTTTGCAGGTTCAGTATTCTTTCTTTTTTAATCTCTATCTGCTTCTATAGCTGTCTTAGCTTTATAATCATCCAACAATTTCTACTTAGTCTTTATTTATTCCAATTACCCATTCAAACTCAATATTATTTTAGTTTTAATTAAATCCACATATTCCATATTCTTTTTCTAAGCCACACTCATAGACTCTGCTACCAAAGAAACTACTTCTGCTAATTTTGGTATTTCTGAACTTAATTATTTTTGAATCTTTTTCAAACATTCTATTAATTCCTTATTAGCTTAATCCACTTTCTCTAAAGCTAAAGCTAATAAATTAAAAAATCCACTAAGATCTTCAAATGCTTTCTTATCATTATTAAGACTTAAATTAATCTCTTCATGTTATATATTTGTTGCCATTTTTAATTCAATATCAATATAAAATATAAAATATATTATAAAATTATATATTCTAAATATTTAGATTTTTTCTAAACTTCTTTATTCTATAAATCTAATTAATATATCATAAAATTATTCAATTTATTAAAGATTATCTACATAAAATATCAATTCATTGTTGAAATGAAAGGATTTTCCATATTCATTATTTTACACATAAAATAATTGTTCTCAATCCTTATTTATTCAATTCCTATAAAATCTACTATTATACCCATCAATTTCTTAAATAATTGTTAATTCTATTCTGTATTCTTTTTTATTGGCCCTTTTACAATTATTTCTAAAATTGATTCATTCAATTAATTTACTGAAAATGTACTCACCTTATAATACTTACTAATCGAGATCATTAAAATATACAGTAATGGTATATTTGTATAAAAGACTTCTGATTTTAAACTTAAAGAAAACAATGCTGAATTATCTCTTAAAATATTCATTAGAAGACCACTTAACTTATTATAATTTATGCATTGCATCTTAAAGTTAACAATAGATTTTGGCTTTACTAACAATGCAGCAAGAAGATTCTTTAATGATTCTGTATGATAATGTTATCTATCAATCTTCTTTAATTTCTTCAATATTCCTTTATACAAAAGTGGATACATATTATTTTCAGTATATGCCTTTTTTGTCGTAATCTTTAAAATAATTTAAGTATCCATTATAGAATACTTTCGACATTCAATAAATAAGTGTTGATTCTTATTTTTCCAGAAAGCTTCAATCTAAAAAGAACTCTTAAGATCTTGAATTTTATAATGTAAAAATGTCAATGTGGACATTTTCTATAGAGAAATTTGAGTCTCCTTAAAGAAATCTAAGGGATTCTGATGATACTCAGAATAAAATTATTTGTTTGCATAAACAACCTTAAATTTATCCCATACGTCATTATAATTGAGAATGACTAAACTCTCTTTTATCAAATCATCAAAAATGAAATATTAGTTTAAATTTTTTTCCTTCCATAGAAATTAGTATCTTAGACCTTTAATTCTCTAATATTCATTATAACAAGTAAGAATTGTAAACAATAAAAAGATAAGACACATAGGGTTAAATTCCGTGATGGATCTGAAATAAATTCGAGCTGTTATAAAAATTGCATATAGAATAGCATTCTGTACAAGATTTTGAGTTATGTTCATATGTAAACCCATTTAAATTGCAATATCTTCTATCCAAATAATTTCAGAATCAGTTAAATTCTGTATCCATAATGGGATAAATTACATTATAGAAGCTTGTAAACTAAATGATAATACTAAAGTATCAATTATTTTAAACCACTATTGTCTAATCACAACTTTGTAAAAAAAAAAAGTATATACAATTGTCAAAATGATATATACAATTGATAGTACAATCTAATTTTTTATCATCCAATACACTGCTTGAAATGCTTAAGACATAATTGGTATAATTGTATTAATCTTAAAGCTATGTAATATTTATGGTCTTTAGCTTTCTTAATATTTTTCTTCCAATAAGGAATCTTAAAAAACTAAGGAAAATTTATTCATAATAATCAAAATAATATTAAATTCACTAGTATTCTATAAATATAAAAATAAACATTCGATACAATAGGTCAATAATAAAAATCAATTCTTAAATTTAATAACTTTCTTAAATTTTGAAATGCTATTCAAATTATGGGAAGGTTTTGAATTTGATATTTATAATAAATTAATATATATATATATATATGTTATTAATTTATAGAGAAGAATATATGACTGAAATGATATTGAATATGTATTTATTAATGGGATAATTTTGAAATAATAAATTTTAAACAAATTCATAGAGATATTTAAAATTAAGAACATCAAATAGAATCAATTCTTTAATAATCCAATATTTATTTGTTATAATATATGATTAATACATATAAGTCATAATTGTTTTTTTAATATGTTTTGATATTTACTATAGAGATTAGACTAGTTTGATTGAATATAGAGTTCTTATGTATTCTATTATAAAATTAGTATTTATATCCTTAATACCTCAATTTATAAGGGAATTAATTAATATTAACATGAGTTCGAAGCGAAAGTAAGTAAAATTAGAGTCAGAGAAAAAGGTCAAGCAAGAGGAATCAAACTATGAAGATTCATTTAATGAGTCTAATGATGAAGAACCTAAGAGTACTGGGAAATAGAAAACTCGACATGACAATTCATTATCTGTACTCACAAAAAAGTTTGTTGAATTAATTAAACATTCTGAAGAGTTGACAATAGATTTGAATGTAGCAGTCAATGATTTAGGAGTTTAAAAAAGAAGAATTTACGATATTACAAATGTATTAGAGGGAATTGGTTATATTGAGAAAATCTCTAAAAACAAGATCAGATGGGTTGGAGCCACTGATGATCCTTTATTGGAAAATGAGCTTCGTTAAATAAAATAAGAATTAGAAGCATTATAAGATGAAGAGAAAACAATTGATTATTGGATAGAGTACTTACAAAAGAATTTATAAGAGAAGTTCCAGAGTGATCCAGAAGTGGCTAAGTACACCTTTCTTACACATGATGACTTTAAAGAATTATCAAAGAGTTAACAGACTGATCATAAAGGAGAGGCGCTTTTTATAATAACAGCGCCAAAAGGAACTTCAGTAGAAACTCCTTAAGAAAATAATCCTGAATATCCTTATTAGGTTTATTTGAATAGTTCCAAAGTATAAGGATAGAATAATGAAATTTAAGTGTATATTTGTTCTGATGAGAATTATCCAATAGAATATGAGAAGAAGCAAAAATGACAAATATTTTATCTAATATAATTTTATCATAAATTATGACTAATTTCAATTGAATAAGCTTCAACATCTTCTACTACAAATTCCTTATTTCCTGTCAAAGAGGTTTAACCATAACAATTGTTAGAATCACATCCACTACATATTGTGAGTTGGCCTGGTATCTCTATAATATTATCTTCAAATAAAATGATATCGTCTAATTCTTATATTGAACGATTTGATATATTAAGCAAATATTTCTCATTTCCATATATGAGAATTCCAATAATTTTATTATAATCAAAAACTCTAATCAAAATAAGTAAATTTTCAACACCAGAACAATTATTTTTAAAAGAATCTACATCATATCCAGTAAGAGATCCTAATTGAAGTCTTCTTAAATAAATTTGAGAGAAAATAGTGATTTTTAAGTGATCAAACATATAATTAAGTTGAGTAATCTTGTCTAAAGTGACAGGTTCAGCATCATATTAAAATCTTTCAGTTTATTGAACAGTTAATTATAATTAACTTTATGTTACAGTTTAAGGTTTTAAAAATTAGAATTCTGATTTAGCCAATTCTTATTATTGAAGAAATTGACTAGTAGTGCTTTAATTAATTGATTCTAAGGTTTGATCATTAAAATCTCTTTCACTGTATTGTAAATCAGAAACAGTTTAAACTCTTTGAATAAGTTAACTTCTTAAAGTTTCAATTTATGATTTTAAATTAATTATTTCTCTATCATTAATATCTCTAATACTATCTTCTAATTCAATAATAGTTTAATCCTTTTAAAAGATTTAACTTTTTAGAGTTTATAGTTCTTATCTTAGATTTTCTATTTCTTTATCTTTTTCAATTAATTTGTTATCTAACTTTTAAGTAATAGTTTCTAATAAAGTATCTTTAAAATTATTAGTATTTTTCATGCTAGTTTCTAAAGCAATTGATAATTTTTGTGTCTCTTATTATAATACTTTATTTTATTCTTCTAATTCTGTCATACGTTTTTTGAAATAATAGTTTTCACTTTTGTTCACATCAAAATAATCTTAATAATGTTTTTCTGTTGATGTTTATAATCTATTAAAAATATATATTCATTTACTAATATTCTTTTACAGATTAATGACATGGTTGAATATGAGGTTCATCTGAAATTGCATGAGATTATCTACAAGCCAATTAATGATAAATTTTATAGTATTCTTCACTTGTTAATGTATTTCTATCAATCAAATTTACTATAGCTTCTTTTAAATCCTCTTCATTTGTATTATATAATTCTAAAATTTGATACATTTCATAATTTGTAAGATATTGTCTTTATTCCTATTTAGTTTTTTTATAAGTGTTATGTGCCTATACTAGATGAATAAAGCAAGTCTTATTTAATCCTAAAATATCTGAAGGAGTTGTTTTCTTATGATTCTTTTTTAATTTTAGCATCCCAAGATCAAATAATTATAGGAATGCATCAGAATTACTATCCAAAAATTCATAACAAGAAACTCTTAAATCTTCAAGTCCATAGAGTTCACTTAATTAGAAGGCTAATGTAAATGATTTTTTATTTATTATAAATGAACTTTCAATTTATTTACATAAACCTTCACATTTAATAAAACTACATATTTGATAAGCTAGATAGAGTTCTTGATATGTATATATTATATATTATCCTCCATAAAAGCATTTTAAAATCCCTTCAAAAATATCTGGATCATATTCTTGAATAGAGATGACTTTTTTATCGCAATCAAAAAAAGGACTTTCTATTCTTAAATGAGCCTTTTGTAATTCAAATCTTTTATTTTTCACTTGAATTACAACATCAGCATGTGCATCTTTAGGAAATTGTTCTAATAATTTTCTATTGGTTGATAATTATAGAGTTGTCAACATATTAAAAGTTTTAGCAGGTGATTCTATTTAATTAGTAGAAAGGCTTGAATGATAAGATGTTTATGGTCGTTATTATTACATATCACAGATATTATGGTCTTGTATAAAAAAATATAAAGATTTTAATTTTTATTAATGTATTGCAATATATGATAGCTCATCTACCCAAAATATTCTTGGTACCTCTTGCAGCTTTGAAGTCATCACATGGATGTCTATAGAAGGATATGATTTTTTTGCCCCATTAGAATTATGAGACCATATAACCCTTCAAATTGATATCATCCTTTGATCCTGGAATCCAATTATGAGTTTCTGTTAATTCTTCTAAATCTGCTTCTAAACCTGGATAGAAATCATAATCCTCATGAACTAATGATTTATATTAATTATAATACTGACATAGTCATTTCTATCTCCATATTATTCTAAATCTAATAAAGCCAAGTGTTAATCCAAATAATAATTACTCCAAACAGCACTATGGAATGTAAGTTCATTTTCTAAATCTTCTAATTCTTTGCTTTGACTAGACACAACTTGATGACAGATACGTTCAACATCAAATTCCTTATGTAATAAAGTGTCATGTCCTTTTTAAACTTTATCAACCAATCCTTCAGTTGTGATCTAATCTTTCCAATAATTCCAATCAATTTCCTATTCATCGAAACACAAGCAATACTTGAGCAGCACCAGTTGTAGGTTTTGAATAGAAATTAAACAATGAACTCAATTAAGATGCATAAAATCTGCTTTCTAATGTGTTAGCTTTAGCAGTCAAAGTTTACAACCATTTATTGATACGATCAAGATTTGCTGATGGACGAGCAGCAACTGTCTTGTTTCTTGTTTAATTTACAATTAATCTTTTCATATCCAAAATTAAATATTTATGTTAAAATATTCATTATTCAATCACTACCTCAAAATCAATTTCATTTAAGGATAATAGTTTAATCATACTCTTTAAGATAATTTTATTACAATCTAATAAATATGCTCTATTAATTTATAGATAAGTATAAATCAACAAAAATATATTCAAATAGATATTAAGTAAATATATTTTCCATTTTATTTTACAAAATACTATTTCATAAATCTAACATAACTTTTAATAGGTTGTCATCATGTAATTCTATTTTCTATATCTAATTAATTAATTAATAAATATGAAATAAATGAGAGAGAATTTCCATATTAAAATAAGAGCTGAATAAAGATAGAAAGAATTTGCAAAAAGAAGAATTATTAAATTATAAGCCACACCATAATACTTTAGATAAGCAGTTCTAGAAAATCCGATTAGTGAATTACTTAAAGAAATTGATTAACCAGATTATTTGTAGTTCATCTCTTTTTTAAGTTCAGTTGAAGATTATTAATGCAATAAGTACATGGTAGATTAAGGAGTTCTGAAAGTGGCATTTGAAAAAACAATACAACTTATGAATAATTACACATAGACTTCAACTTAAGAAGTAAGCTTAAATTATGTAATTTAAATTTGAGTGAAAATTTAGTTACTTTCCATTATTGGAAATTTTATTGATTTTATTAATTTCCCTGATGATAAACTTAGATTTATAATATAAAGAGCCATTGAAATCAGCAATAATTCAATGACAGAATTTAAACTTACCATTATTTGGTTAATTGATGAATTCCTTAAGAAAGAACAATTTTAAGAAGACTTTTTAAGTAGTGTAACAAACTTTTTGTTCAACAATCTGGGTAGAAGAGACATTGCATCTGCTATCTTTGATACTATCTTAAATTTACAATCTAGTTAACCTGTTCAATTATCTAAAGAACATTTAGATGAATTATATAAACATATTGGAGATAATGATAATTAAATAGTTTAAAAAAGTCTATTCATTTTAGTTAATTATTTAGATATTATGGATTAAATAGATATAGATGAGGAAGTTATAATTTTATTAAATGAGATTTTTAGATATAAGGATTATTTAGCATTATTAAAGCTTAGTAATATATTGTATCCTAGAATCTAACTTGAACCTAAGTTAATCCTTCAACGTATGGAAGTATGTGCCTTTGGACTTAAATTACAAGAGTATTTCAGTTTGATAAATAAATTGATTAAAGATGAAATATTATCTACTGCTGAATACTTAAAATCTTTATAAAATATAGAAATGGAGAATTAGTGTGAAAATAATAAATCTATGATTTTATAATAAATAACTTAATATCAAGATTGATCTATTGAAAATATTCAAAATTTTAATCAATTTTTTATATAATTCTTAATTAAAATCTTTAAATATTTTGTTCTTCCACTATCTGAAATATGTAACAATTATAAAATATCTAAAAATAACATTATATTTTGATGTTAATAATCAATATATATATTATTCTATATGACTAAATAAATCGAGTAATTAATGGCGCATAGGCTTGAAACTGTATTTGAATCCTAGAAGATTTCTGTTTGGAGATAAATGATTAATATTGACTTTGTCCAATTTCTCAGGAAAGTTTTTGAATGTATGGAATTTTTGTAAGTGTTACTTGAACCTTTCAACTGACTAAATTACATATAATGATTGTACATTCTTATTTTAATCAGAATTAATTCTTGTTTCTAGTTATTCATCTATAGTTTATTTTAGTATAGTTTTTGTTTATTACATTACAGGTATCTTTTTCTCAAAGAACTTTATTTTTAGTTATCTTTCATGTAATTTTTTAACATTTTCGAACATATCTATATCTTTTTATAGTACTCCATTTTTTGTTACACATCTTTAAGGTCTATTTGGTGTTGTTACTTCAACTAAGAATTCAGAATCAGATAAAATTTAATTATTTAAAGTAGCAAAATCTAATTAAGTTGTTAATTTTATATCTGTCTCATTTCCTTAAATTAAACCTAATTTTGATAAAACCATGTTATTCATAACTTATGATTAATAATTTATTCTCTTAATATATGCCTTAATTGATTCAACAGAATGATTTTTGGCTGCACTATCATTTGATTCTTTAATGAAATTCATGGCTCTATCATGATATTCTTAGGCCAATCTTAATTCACCTTGTACATAATAAAGTACTCCAAAATAATCATAAATAATTGCTTCATTTTCTGTATCATTTAAATACCAGACATATTGCAAAGCCTTTTTAAAATATATTTTGCTTAAATGATATGATTGCTGTAATTTACACAAATCTCCCATTTATATAAGTGCTTCAATTTTGAGTGTTTGATTATTTTATATATCTGCTAAAATACGTAAGACATTAAATATGTATAAGCCATTATTAAATTCTCTGTTTGATATATACATGTCTGCTAACAAATGTAATGATTTACCAAATATAGTTAGATCATCATAACTTATACATTGTTATACCAATTTTTTTGTTACTATTGTATTGGATTAATCATTTACTCTCTAAAGCTTCATCTAATTATCTTTCATATATCAATTTTATCAATTCCTTTTTTTAAGTGTTTAACTAAGCCAAAACTCCATTCTCCTCTATAACAAGTTTTCTTGATGAAGATAAAACTTAATTATATTTCATATTAAGTTAAGGCAATTTAGGAACTTTACGAGAAGTAATGCTGTGATTGTTAATTGTTGTCTCTATCTAAGAAGTATTTGCAATTAATTTAGTTTTGATTGATTTCATTGATTTTTTAAATTAAATACAATCATAATTTAGTATATTTATTTGGCCTATATTTTCCACTCAAAATATCGCTCTTCTATATGAATCTACATTATATTGAACCATATTTTAATTGTATATTATCAGAACATAATTAAAAAATTAAACCTTTAAATAATATAGCATAACTTAAAATAATGAATGTATGATTATATATTTATATACTTTATTAGTTAATAGATTCTGATTTTTGGAATTTTTCATTTAACTTTAATTATATGTAATATTTTTATTAATATTATAAAACGGAATGCTTTATATATTGGCCTTAATGTAGTTGTTTTCTTTAGTAGTTACTGAAGATCCAGTCGATAAATTGTTTGAGTTTCAATAACTCATGAAATAAAAAACTAAAGTTCCAAGTAATTGTTTTTGAACTATTGTTTAGAACAAAAAATTAGTGAATATGATAGTTCAGATATATTCAGTGAAGGCTATATAACAGTAAGTGACTAATCTGAGGATGATGAATATTAACAATATGATGAGATTTAGTAATATGATGAAGAGGTAGATGAAACTGATGATGAATCAGATGATGAGGAGATGATTATTCAATAATAGAAAGAATAATAAAAAATTGAATAATAGAAAATTGAATAATAGAAGATTGAATAATAAAGATTGGAATAATTGAAATTAGAATAATAAAGGTAAGAATAGTTGAGATTAGAATAATAATTGATAGAGTAATAAAGATTAGAAAAGTTAAAGCTTGAATAACAATAGTAGAATGTTGAAAATGAAAAGAAGAAAAAATAAATAATTGAAATACCAGAAGAATGGAGTGATGATGATTAAATAATATAAGTTCCTAAATAATAAAAGAAGAAGAAATAAAAGAAACAAGATTTTGATGATGATGAAATATTAGAGGTTTTAAATTCTGCTAAAAAAACTAAAGTTTAATCTCTTGAAGATTTAGAAGAGATGGAAAAGAAAATAATAAAAAAGAAAAAAAAGAGAGAATAGATTCCATAAGATGAATTTGTGTAGAAGGTACCTGCTTAAAACTAAACATTTATTCATTTTAATAATAAAAATAATTATTTAGAATTAGCACCTTGTAGCAATAATCCTATTTAATAAAGAGCATGTAGTTTATGTAAAAGTGAAGTTGGATACTAATTAGATGATGATAATTGGTATATGATTGGTTTATAACATGGTTACAAGAAGGAATTTCTTTTGTTAATAGAAATCATTAAATAATCTTTTGGAGATAGTCAATTGTATTTGAGTTTCTCATCTAATGGATCTGCTTGTATGACTAGTGATACTCTCAAATAAGAAATAGATGTTGAAAATGTTTTATAAAGGTTTTCAGGTAAATCATGGAGACATTTTATCAAGAATGAATTATTTGCTCTTCCATAAAAGTTGGAAGGTAGAAGTTTTTAATTCAAAGCAATTTATCAAAATAAACAATTTACATTTTCAGATTTTGAAATTAAATTTACATCTAATCTAATATAAGAATTAAAGTCTTTATCTAAATAAGAAGTATCTATTAGAACTAATACAGTTGAATTCATTGGAGAATAAGTAAAAATATTATTAATTAAATAGTTGTAATGCACATTAACAGGAATGATGAAATAATAAAATGACGAATTACCATTCTCCTTAAAATTTAAGAATGGTGAAACAATATCAGAACTTCTAATTCCAAATTGTTAGATTCCATTACATAATGAAATCTTGTATGGAGTTTCAGATTTATATTTTGGAGAGTATTTTAAGGAGACTTTACAATAAAAATTGAAAGGAAATTTTAGAGGAGATTTTAATGCCACGACTTCATTTGAGAATGGAAAATTGAAAGTGAGATTGGCAATGAAGAAATTTAATAAATGATTAATGCATCTATATATCACTCATGTTTTTATTTTGGCTTTTCTAGAATACCCAATTTATTGAGTTATAACACTAGTTTGTCAAATATTATTATTGCACCTAAAATAAATATACACGTAAATACCTCTGGTTTTAGGATAATACATCCAAATAAGAGTCATATTTTTGATAGGGAAATACAATTACAATAAGTCATGAAATGCAAACCACATCACTCTATCTAACAGAAACATGAGTAAATAAATAACCCAATAAGAAAGCCAAATTTTAGATTTTGCATTATCCTTTTATTTCACACATTAAACACTCATGTATGCAGGATATAGAATACCAATCAATATTTTCACTAACAAATTTCCAGCTCCAAATATTGTGAGTGTAAATGCAACAAAAATTATACCTAAAATTAATTATCCAGGATTGACATTAAATTTTTAAGCAATTTATTAAAGTGGAGCTACATCACTAAAATCATCAGAAATTCTCTTAAATATCTCATCTAAGTTTTCTAATTAAGGCTCTTTCTATGGTCTTTTAGGTCCTAAAGGTTGTGCTGGTTTATTTTCAATATTAGAATCTATTTATTACACTTTTTCTTCGGACATAAAATTAGATATTTAATTTAACAAAATTATATTAGACTATTTCATTCAAAAAACAAATTATATTAAAATATGTTATTTGAAATTATATATAAATTAAAAATCAAGTCCTTTTCTTCTATTAAGATTTTTGTTGTAATTATTACAATTGTTATTATAAGAATTATTATTATTAATAAAACTTATTATCCAAATTTTATGTTTATTATTAAAATGTATTATACATTTAAGAAACAAAATTACTTGCACTTTTTTAACTAGTTAATTTCTATTATTATTGAATTCCAACTTAACTTTAAGATTTCTTTAATTATTGTGATTAGATTTATTGTTATTTAATTATATTTTGTATTTCCTCAATATTAGATTTCTATAATTATTATTATTATTGTTAAGATTAATATTAAATAGAACTCCCATTTACATTTTCATGTCCTTATTATGGTTTTCCTTAAGATATCATTTCTGATTATTCCTAATGAATACTTGTAAAATATAAATAATTTTAATACCCATTAATAAGTTCATCAGGATTCATTCCTAATTATTGTAAATATTTAGCCTACCATTTCTTTCTTTATTCCTTCTTTCTTCTATTTATATCATTATACAAAGCTTCTCTATATTCCTTAATTGAAAACTTCTTATTATCATTCATAGGTATTCTAATAGGCTCAGAACATTCAATCTCTTCATCAGGAGATGAGAATTCTTTCAAATACTTATGTTTAATAGCTTAATGAACAGTAAGTCTCATCTTTGGATTGAATTGTAAAAGTCTATAAAATAAATAGAAATGATATTTAAAACCTTCTTAATAAATCTAAACAATCATCTGAGGCTCCTGAAAAAAATTATTAGAATGATCTTCTTTTTTGAATTGACACAGATGCTAAAATATTAACAGCTAAGGGAGATTCAAGTGATTCAATGTCTGCATCATTTGGTTTACCTAATAATTCTATTATTCTTTCAATTTAATTTAATGTAGATGTTCCTGGAAAGATTGCCTTACCTATGATCAACTCACCCAAAATACAACCAACACTCCACATATCTACAGCTTTAGTATAATTAGTTGATCCTAGTAATATTTCAGGAGCTCTGTACCATCTAGTAGCAACATATTCTGTTAATACAGGAGGAGCTAAACGTTAAATTTAAAAATCATCATACAACTATCATCTTCAGTGATTGCTATACTTCTAGCTAAACCAAAATCTGCTAATTTCATATGACATTCAGAATTTAATAAAATATTAGAAGGCTTTAAGTCTCTATGAATAAGTTCTCCTGAATGTATGTATTTTAGTGATTTCAAAATTTAATAAACAACATATTTTTTATGAACTTCTTCTAGTATACCTGCTCTCTATTTAATTAGTTATCATTTTTACAATCACTGCATGCAAATCTGTTTCCATATAATCAAATACCAAGTAAATATCCTTATTGTTTTCTGCTTTTATTATATTCAACAATCTCACAATGTTTTCATGTCCATTTAATTCTTACAAAAACATTATTTCTCTAAATGTTCTTTAAGCATCTGTAGCATTATGGAAAGCATCAAATACTTTTTTTAAAGCAACAACCTAAATTTTATTTTTCAATTATTACTGTCTTTAGCTTCTTATCTACAGCCTTCCAAACTATTCCATAGGCACCTTTACCTAATTTTTGAATGATTTCGAATTTTCTAGCAATATGAGGTTCAATTTCTTCAGTCATTTTATTTATATTTAATGTGTACTCATCTAAATTTCTCTTACAACAACAATGTAATGATGTATTTGAAATTGCGAGAAGAAGGATGTGAAAAAGATACTGCCAGGAAATTTTGTCGTAAATAGTTTTGCAAAGTAGGCTAAAATTATATTAGATCGATCAAACATAATAAAACATTGGACCTCCAGGACATAAAATACTTAAAATACAACCAGATCGATTGCTTGGTCAAAAAGGATGGTAACCTGGTTTTCTAATGAAATATGATTTAGGTGTTGGTTATAAAGAATCTGCTGGTAATATACATATTTCATACAGATCTCAATGAAAAATTTACTCCAGCTGAACTAGCCATACTAAAACAATATAAATAATATGAGAAGAAAAAAAATGCTGCACTTTTACAAAAAATGCTTGCAGTTAAAAGTTATGCTGACTCACTTAGACCTCCAAAATTAGATGTTTTTAGTAAAAGTTACTTATAAAGAGTTAAATAAATTTCTTAAGAATTAAGAGAAGGTTAAACAAAACCTAAAAAATATTTTGAATTTGGAGATATGAAATTTTATGCTCTTGTTGACTACATTAATAGATTAGGTTAGAATAAAGATTCAATAAATCTTAAATTTGATCCAATCTTATTAGAAGACATAAAGTTTTAAACTGAAAATATTTAAAAAGTTAATACAGGTAGAGTTTTTCGTAGAATGGGAACAATAAGTAACATAGAAAAAGAAGCTAATTTTATTATGGCTTTATAATAATAAGCTCCTGTAGGAGACAATATTGAAAAAGCTAAATAAAAGCCTGAAGTAGTATCACTTTTAAAACTTAATCATTAAAAGATTGATCTTGCAGAAGAATTCAATTCAACCTAATATTTATTTACTCCAACAAACTCTTAAACTTTACAACCATCTTAAATAAATGATGATGCTATAAAGTCTTTTGTAAAACAATATTATTAAAAATAATTTGATGATAAATTGAATTCTATTTCCACTTATAATAGAAATATTAGAGTTAGAACATAAGCTAATAGTGAATTTAAAAAGACACCAAGATAACCATCTAATAAAGTTAAAACTTCAAGTATATGAATCAATTAAGTAAATATTTTTTGAATTTTTGATATTAAATATATATGATGTATTATAATACAATCAAATTGAAATAAAATTGTTATTTTTTGTTAAATTTATAAGATATAATATATTCATTTCAAATCTCTTAAGACTTAATAAATGAATATACAAATAAATAATTTTATTAATCTAATGACTACAAATCTATTAAGATAGTTTATAATAATGTATATGTTTTTCTTTCTTTTTAGAATATAATATTATCAATTTTTAATCAATATGTAAAATTGTGTTAGTTATTTAATCATAGTATTTTTAATATTAAAATTATATTATTGAGAATGAACACATGAATTTACTTTTATAGTAAATATTTAAATCAATAAAATTGATTTCATCATATAATGGCTCTATTTATGGAATTTATAAACCCTTAATATTATATCAAAATGATATTAATATTTTAAAATTTCTATGCTTAATAGTTCACTCTCTCCTCCTTTTCAAAATACATCCCCTTAAAAAGCTTTAGCTGTTCAAATACCTTCTGCAAATATTTCAGCCAAATAAAAAATCCATGTTTCAAATTTGCCTCTTAATGTTGCTGCTCATCAATTACAATAAGCATTTTAAAGTTTTGGAAATATCATCGATATTAGAATAATTAGAAAAACTCCTACTGGTAATGCATTAAAGTAATTGTAGGACTTCCATTACATTTATCATGTTATGCATTTATTACTTTTGCTGAAAATGAATCAGCTGAAAAAGCAATTTAAAATGGGAGTTTAGGAGATTGGACTGTAAAACCTTAAATTGATAAATAAATGATCATTAAATAAAGATCTAGATCAAGATCAAGATCAAGATCATAAGAGAAACATAGATAAGTGTTAACAAGCGGTCATATTACTCCCTTAGAACCATGCCCAAAAATTCAAATCCAACTTTATGTTAGGGAATTATTTGTTAATGGAATTTCAAAGAACTATGATGAACCACAAATAAGATAGGTATTACAATGTGAAAATTATAGATATTCTCATAATTTGGTTATATAGAAAGGATTGATCTGTATCCTAATAAGCATAATATATTTAACAGTTATATAAAATTTTTTACTGTATAAACTTTTTTTTATTTGAATTTAGATAGATTAAGCAATTTATGCTTTTTAAAATATGGATAATATTTAGTAATAATTTTCTACACCAATTAAAATATATTTTTCTGACCCTATCAAAAGACACAATATTGTTGGAAATAAGTAAATACAATTTTATAGCATTTTTTTAGTTTATAAAATGAATAATAATCTAAACTTTCATCCGTATTATTTATATTTTTTCCTCCTAATTTAAATAAAAAAGTCGATCATGCATTTTTATTTGAAGTAATTTTTCAAAATCATATTATGTCAGATTTGTTAAAATAATAAATGTCGTCCTCTCCTTTGGAATTACTATCAATAAGATTCTAATTATAAATCCTATACTCTTCTTTAATTTAAAGATACACAATAGGCAATATAAATGAGAACATACTTATAATAAAATGCAGCAGAACTTCTTGGAGATCCAAAATGTGAAGTGGGTATAGTATCAATTCCTACACAACAATAATTTTAAAATTAATTTTAACCTTAACCACCTATAATGATATAATAATAATAACAATTTGTAAATAACATACTGAAATCCCAATAAATCCCTCCATAATAAATTCAGTTACCATATTAAATACCACCATATCAATTATATTAATAGCCAATTATGCATTAATAAATTCATCATCAAAATAACAATTATATTTAAAATAATTAAAAAAAACCCTAATAATAATTATTTCCAGATCCAAAATAATTATATCAGAATTAAAATCAGATTTCAAATGAAACTAAAATTTAATCAAACATTCATTTATAATAATAATCTACTTAAATTTAATAAAATGGTAATTAAGAAATATTAGATGGATTTCTAAATTTCTCATAAATATAATAGAGATAAGATTTAAATGATTTTTGGAGTGGTTTCATGTATAGAAGTAAAAGTCATAGAGTAGGAGTAGATGCTTTTTGTGTAGAATCAGATGTATCATTTATTTTATCTTATATATATAGCCTCCTATATAAATGAGTCCATAAATATAAGTAAATTATAAGGGGAATTATTCTGATGCCAAGAAATGCGCTAATGAATCATTTAAATTCATTTTATGTCCTTCTGATTAAACATAGGTAGTTTGAATATATTATATAAATAGAATAGTGCTTTTTAAGAATATATTGATTATTTTCTTGAAAAAAATAAAATTGGAGTGGCTTAATTAGGGAATGGTATATTATATTTGTTACCACCTTGTGAAATAACAAATTCAATTAAGACTATATCAGGATTAGAATTGTTAGCAATATTTTCTGAAGAAAAAAAGAAATCATTAAATTATAGCATAGATTGATTTATTCTTATTGTTAATAATGTTTGCGTAAAAAATAGAAATATTCTATAGTTTATATCTATATAAATTAAATAAAAATAGAAAATCGTTTTATAAATATATTTATATATATGGAGGAATTATTTGCTCTTTAATAATAATTAGCAGAAATATAGGAAACGTCAACAAAGTATAGATTATCTGATAGAATCATAATTGATTTGATTGAAAAACTAGTTAAAGAATATGATTTAAAGGTTTATCATTCAACAGATGGTCAAAGTTTGGTGACTCCCAATCAATTGTCAAAAGAGATTCATCAACTAATTTTATCAAATAAGAGAGTGGCTGTGAATCAATTACCTGATATATTGGGCATAGGATTTGACAAAATTGAAGGATAAATCGAAAAGGATAGCAATGGTTGGGTAATTTTAATATTAAATATCGATAACAGGATGTTGTCAGAATGCAAGATGAAATGATGTCTCATGATTATATTCTAAATGTTTGTGAAGAGATTAACGAAGATCTCTAATAAAAGTCAATTATTTCATTATAAGAAAGTATAAATCATTTAAATTTTTATCATAAGTAATGTAGAAGTATGCACTTCCAATGTAATTTGTATAAAAATATGTACTTTAATAAGTTGGGACAATCATTTAAGGAGTACTTAATGAAGATAAATTGACAACTGTGACTTACCTTGAAATAATCACTGCAAAATTATGTGGTATTTTAAGAGCAACATTGAGTCCTATTTCTTTCATAAAATTGAATAAGGATTTAGAAATTCAAAATTCTTAAAAAATTTGTGAATAATTATTGATTACCAAATAACTTGATGGTAAGATTATTTCAGGTTAATATGTGAGTTCTAGATTTATTTAAAGTCAAGAGGCTTAAGTAAAATCATTTTTTGAATAAAATTCTTATGTTGAATATGATAAACTTTATTAATAGTTTTTCATTCAAAAACCAAAAGAATATTTAAAGTAAATGTTCAAAGATAATGTTATCTTTTTGGATACTTGTGGTTTTAGTAGAGATGCTTTATTATCAAAACAAGATTAAATATAAGAGTTACTTATTAATGAAGGTCATACAAATCTATAGGAAATCTTACCTGTTATTTTAAGTGATTAAGATATTGAGACATTGTTTTCATTGATGTAATTAAATAATTGTGAATATTCCAATTTTATGATATATAATAAAGCATTCCTAGATAAATTGGCTTTGGCATTTAAAGATAAAATTATTGAATCAATTTATCAAAATCCACAAAAATTGATTGAATAATAACAAAACCAAGATGATACTGTTTAGGATATATAAGCTTCTGCAGGAGGATTTGCAAACAAGAAAAACAAAAAGCAATAATAACCACAAAAAAAGAAATAATAAAATAAATAAGAATTATTTACAAACAAAGAAATCACTGATTTACTTACATAAAAGAAATTAGTTGAATATAATGATTGTGTAGATGAATTATTTCAGTTTTTATAGCCAAGATTATCTACTTTATATGAATAAATTAAGATTGAATTATTTGAAAGCAAGAAATCAGCATCAAGTTAAGTAATTTAAGAGATTCAAAAAAAAATTGAAGATATGGCTCTTGGTCTTATGATAACATAGAGATCATTATAAAAAATATAATAAGAATGTCATGAAGTAAATACAAAAGTCTTAGTTGATAATTGTTTATTTGGTTATAGATTACTTGTTGAAAACTTAGTTGTAATCACTTGTAAAAAATATAATATTTAACTACCATAAAATTTATTTGCTGATCCTAATCATCCAAGTGTTGTAAATGGTTAAATTAATTTTGGATTATAAAAGTCTGGAAGAGTATTTTTAAATAAAGTAGCTTTAGGAGAAGCAATTCTATTCTTACCTAAAGAGTAATAGAAAGCTTTAAAAGACACTATGGAATTATATACAAAAAAATCATTAGATATATTATCATAACATACATTTTTTGATGTTTTCAATCTAAAAGTTCAATTAGATAAAAAGAATGATAGAAATCTACTTTTATTTATTAAGCATCATTGTAAAGAATATATCAAATAAAGATAAAATGAGATTTTTGATGAGAATGTATTCAATTAAATAATTTTGGCAATGTCAACAGATTTAGGATTATATTTTGTTGGAAATTATGATCAACAGTTTTATTCTGCTCTAAAACAAATTGTTTATGAATTATAAAGTGACAAATAGATTAAAACCATATTAAATAATATCATACGTATATATATGATTAACATTATTTAGATTCAATAAATTAATAATTAGAAATTACAGCAGAGGCCAAGGAATTATTAGAACTACTTAAGCTCTTATGATGGAAGTTTTAATTATATAAAATATCTAAAAATACATATAAATATATTTTATAATTATTATTATAAAGAATTCTAATTAAGAAGATAAAATTAACAAGAGTTTTTTTTTTATATTTTAATTTGTGATTTAATGTTTAGATTCAGAAGAGCAATTAATCTATTTAATAGAAAAGATGGTTTCATAACAAATTTGAAAAACAAACTTCTTAAAGATGATGAAGATGAAAAATAGATAATTCCTCATTAAACTATAAAATAACCACTTAATGTTAAATAAGAAATTGAATAGTTCATTACTTAATAAACAGAAATAAGTGATTTAGAAAGAATCAGAATGAAGAATTTAGATGTTAAATTAGGCACAAATACATATTTTCATGAAATATAATCATATGAAGAAAGATTGGATTCAGATAATGTGATGAGAAGATAAGTATTAGCAAGAAGAGAATTACAAAAAGAAAAAGATTTAGCAGTTGCACATTTATTTAATCCAGATCCTCAATAAAAAGTTAAAACTCCTTGGATACGTAATATCAATGATTTTACATCCGAAGCTATTAAATAAAGTAAAAAATTAAATTTTATTTTATTAGTTCCTTATCCATAACATCCTAAATTATTTTTAGAAGGTGATTTCTTTAGATATTTTGAAGATAAACATTATGAAGTTGATAAAGTTGCTCAATTTGATTTTTCAGAATCATTATACACTTAATTAGTCTAAATCTAAACTTTAAGAAGGGAAGAAACAGTAAAGCATAGATACTTGGAATTATTAGATAATTATTAAAATATTCCTATTGTATTTAATGATTACACATACTTTAGTAAGGATTCTAAAGAAGGTCATCCAATTTATAATATATATAAAAGAAAAAATGAAAGTAAGAATATATAATCTATTTAATGAGAGTAGCAATTTAGACAAAGAACTTATTAAAGATGATGATGAATTAGTTTTTAGTGGTAAAATAATTGCAGATCTAATTCCTAAACATTATGAAGATCTAATCCTAGATATTGAAGTATTTTTAATTTTTCAATTTAAAAGGAAGAGAAATTTCAATCTTTATATAAAGAGTTCTTGCCTAATAAATCTCATGATACTTACGGATGTGTAATTGAATAGTTAGGCTTAAATTTCTTAATTGTTCGTTCAAATAAAATTCAATTAGTTTTAGAAAATGTTGATAATACTTTTACTTTCATTGAAAATTATCTCTATTATATTGAAAAATCAGATATTAATCTTTAAAAATATGTATTAAAATTAAATTTGTAAAATTTTGAAGAAAGAACAATAGTCTATTAAATATCACATGGTGAAAATGTAAAAATCAGGAATTTTGGTATTGGATAAGCAGCTATTGAAATTTATATGGCAAATGAAAATAAATTTATAGATTTGAATGGAAAAGATATTGTAAACTATAAAAAAGGATATAAATTCAATATAGATTAAAATATAGTTAATACTTTTGTAAGTTCAGCTTCATTAGAAGAATAACCAAAAGAACTTAGAACTGCAGATGGCCATCTTGTCTATGAATGTAAACAAGGAAGTATTAGATCTTTTTGTGCCAATGATCATTTTTTAGCCATATTAGAAAGAGATCTATAAAGCTAAATTTCAGATAGATTAATAATTATGAAAGAAAAGAAGAATCATGAAATGGTTATACAAGAATCTTAATATTCTATAAACTTAGAGTCTAATTAGATTAAAGAATCTAATTGTTTATATTTTCATTTGATTTGCCCATATAAGCCATTTCAAATATTGAAATATAATATTGATATAAAGGCAATATCTTTACATTTTTCTGAATAATTGCCAGGATTTGATTATAATAAACTTTAAGTGGATACTTTTAAGATAACATAAGAATTCAATGTTTGTGTATCATTTTTATAGGATTTACCTGTGTAATTTGTTTTGATACAATTAATTGATTAAGAATAATACTAATCTTTAAGTTAAGAAGATGTAGTACTTTATGAGAATGGTTGTGCAATCTGTTAAATTATTGTTAATCCTAGTTGTTAGTAATAAATTTTGGATAATCTTTAAAAGGTGTTTTAAGAAGTTTCAGTACTTTCTGATAAAGTTATATTAAAAACTAAAGGAGCATTATCTGGTTTGATTGGGAGTTATACACATTTTTTTGTTCAATAATTTTATGGATTTTTATGTCATGTAAAATAAATAAATAAATAGATTAGAATGGATTATTTGATAATTAAAAAAATATGATTGATTTACCAATAAGTTCTTATGATATTACAAAGGTTCCTAGTTTGAGAAATACATTTATAAGTTATACATTGAATGATGAATTGACATATCAATCTTAGAAAATGGTTGCATTATTAAGAGAAAATAAAGATAATGAAGTAGATTTAAAGTATTTATATTAATATTTTTAGAAAGTAATTTGGAGTTGTATTATAATAATGTGAGTCAGATATTGATGAAGCTATCTTTAGATTAACATTTTTAATGTCTATTTTATGATTATTAAGAGTATATTATTAATATAATAAAGAAACAAATTTTGAATTAACATAATTAGAAAATACTTATTATGAATTTGTATTTTGTGTAATAATAACTCATTCTTAAGCAGCATCCTATTTTGCCTTGAATTCTTTCTCTTATTGTAGGGCATAATCAATAGTTCGCTGAAAGATAGATTAGAAATTCTTACTTTTTTGTTGTTGAATTAATAAACCCAGAGCCATGGATAATAACATAATGAAAAGATTATAACAGAATTAGCAAAAATATAGACTTACCAAGCCCAAGGATTATCAGCAACATTTCTTCCTAAGAATCTCCAGAAAGCTTTGACTTTTGGATCAGCATTCAATCTAGAAACAACTTATGGTTTTCTGACTAAAGATTGTTATTTTATTTAATCATACCAAAACTTGGTTTGACTGTTTATTAATAAGGGATAGTCTTAAACCATTAAGGAGTGTAATCCTTTACATTGTTATAAATCAATCTGCCGTAAACCATTAATAAATATATTAATCAAAATTATATATATTGGAGGATAGCAGATAATTCAAATAGATCGAAAGGCTTGGCAATAAAATAGTCAATTCCTGAATTAAAACAATTTAATTTAAGTTCCATATCACTATAACTAGCCATTGCAATTATGAAGCCTCTATCGACTTACTAAGTTCGAAATAAACCTTTTATTTCTTTGATCAATTCTACTCCTGATTGCTAATATAGATTATAATAGATACAGGTAAATAGGCATCTATGAAATATAATAAGTATGCTCCATTTTTACATCTGCAAGGATTTTCTTATTTGTTTCTTATAAGTTATAATGTTTATTGTTGAGTAAATGCTTTATCTGATCTAACTTCGTATTTATTTAATAAAATCTATAGAACTTAAACATTTAAGTAATCATTATCAGCAATAATAACTTTTGAACAACATTGATTAGTAAGTTTAAATTTTATGACAGAATGTAAAAATTTTGGACTTAATTCAGGAGGATCAAGATTAGGATTGGTACTATCTCCAAAATCCAAAGTACTTGTTGGAGGTTTAGATGAAATATTAACACCTGAATCACTTTTGACCACTCGAGAGGGATTGTTATTTAAACTTTTAGGAAATAAAGAATCTTAAAATTTATTAGTTCCACCTGAATTGCTTTAATGTTACGATCCCAATGGTTTTATCTAAGGTGATTCTTATTTGATTTTTGATATTTATGAAAAGTGAGCACTTTATAAATCAAAGGGTGTATCAGGTTTTAATGAATATTGTTTGGATATTTAAGTAAATGACATATATTTTGATTCTTCATTTTTATAATGTGAGCTATCTTAAGCTTATGCTAATAACATAGATAAAGATGTTTCAAATGGTCTTTTAGGTTTCATCTATTAAGCATAGTATGCTTATTTACTATTAATTGGAAGTGATTCAACAGTAAATGTAAATGTTCCTGACATATGATTATCAAATGTTAATTCTAATGATTTCCGTAATGATCCAGATAATAAAAATGCTATCATTGCAGAAACCTACAATTCCAAGAGATTACTCATATCAAAATCTTTACAATTTGTCTTCATCAATTAAGCTGTATTCCTTAATACAGTTGAATAACCTAATTAAGAAATCTCATCTCTAAATGGAATATCTTTAATTTAAAATTAATAGTTATTTGGTGAAACTTAATGTATGTCAATTCTAATTTTTTAAGTGACTGTGTATTTTATAGCAATTTCAAATAAACACTTTAAAACTTGTTTAGTCTATCATATCAATTAATATTAATATTACTCTTTCAGAATCATTATATACTAGCATATCTTAGTCAATAATTGGAATTATAGAGATCTCCTTTATTTTTAAGCAATCATCATATATAAGTTATAATTCATCCAAAATATCAGTTATTTTAAATGTTGAATTACGAAATGTAAGCTAATTTGTTAATTATAAAGTCAGATCCTTCATAGTACCTAAGAACATCATGAATTTTTAAGTGCTCATACGCATTTACTTTAGATAATCTTTCTAAACTTTTCCATTATTCTTTTCTATATCATGAGAACACAATAAAATCAACAAATGAATAGCATTAATATAATTGTTTGATTCAGATAAAAAGGTTTAAAATACATTTTGAAATTAAAGAGGCTCATCTAAGACTCTTTTTTAATTTGCTTTTTGAATTGGTTCAAACATAAATAGTGTATATAGTTTTGATTTCACTTCTGTCACTAATACTTTAACATTCAAATTATCAAAATCTAATTCATCATTTTTAATCTTAAAAAGAGTGAATGTAAAGAATTTCCATCTAAAATTAATTCTTAAATTACTTTGAATAATTATTATATAATTGACCTATCATTTATTTAATCTTATGTAATCCACCCTTTATTTTATATCTACTATGAACTGTATTATCTAAAAACAAGGAACTATGAAATCATATGATATATTATAATTACTTATCTTAATCTAAATCAATTTCAGAATTTCCAAATAGATCATTAACTTCTCGACTTCCTATTTCGATTATAGATTCTAAGAAAGTTGATTCATAATCAATTTGTAATCCTTTATTTTGATTTTTATTGAGTTTTCCTAAGAAAAAATTCTAATAAACAATTTCAAAGTTTTGATTGTAAACTAAAATGGATTAATTATGTATCCAAGCCCTAAAAATTATATTAAAAAAATACATTTATGCAAGAACATCATCCTCTTCATTACATTATAAATCCATAATTATAGGACTATTCTATATATCAGGATATTCTCCATCTGGAGAACGAAGGATATTATCTTGAATCTATTGTTGAGATGCTTATTTATCAAATTAAATTGACTTCTACTTAAAAGTAATTAGATTCGTCTGTTAATTCTAAATAGATTCTTTTTTCTCCTTAACCTCTCTTGTTCTGCTGTCATACAACATTACACTTATAACTATTATCATATATGGAATTGTAAAGTAGAACTTAAATATATTTGGCTGCAAAATAGAATTAATTGATGAACCAACACCAACAATAATTTTGAACACTTTATCTGCATCTGTTAATATTATGATTTGTGCACATACTTATTATTAAAAGCAATCCAATGATAATTAAGAATAAATTGCCAACCATTATAAATAAGTTAATGTTTGTTCTAATTTTTAGATATTGAAATAATTGTGATGCTTTAAATATTGATTTAGTAGTATTAGTGTAATATTAATGGAAAGCAAAAGATTTTGATATAACAAAAAGGAAGGATTGATTAGACTAATGATTATTAACAATTATTTTCTAAAATATTTCATTATATAAAGAATTGTATAAAACATAATTATTTTACTTAATTAAAGAGCAGTATTTAATTAAAGGTGTAGAATTTTGAGTTATTTTTCATTTTAGACAATTATTATTTTTAAAAATCTCTTGAATTTAGACAATATGAATATTATTTATTTTTTGGTATATTTTTGAAAAACAGAAATAACTCCTTTTAATTAATATATTATTTTAATCATTCCAAATTTACGTTATTTTTAAATCCTTACTATTCGTTTTTTAATTCTTTCATTAAGCTCAATTTCCATCTTTCTGATTTGATGTATGCTTATCTATACATTTATTTTTTTTTATTTATTCTCATTAATTTTTAGATACTATTAGGTTTTTTAACTTGATATAAACATAAAGTACATTAGAATTTTTGATTTTTAATTTAGACATGACTCTATTAGTTCTATTTTGTCTTTCTATTATAGCACACTCATTAAGAGTATCTTATAACAATTAGTGTACCTGCTCTAAATTCACAACAGATTCAAGTTGTTTAGAATAAACTGATTGTATATGGTAAAGTGAAGGTTGCCGAACAAGAGTTTGTACTGAATACTACAATAAAGATAAATGTAATAGAGTTGCTTCTTGCTCATGGAATGTTTCAAAATGTGAAAAATTTACTAAATGTTCTGATTACTTTATGAACGATTCATTTGATTGCTACAAAATAGGTGATCAAAATTAAAATCTATTTTGTGAGCCTTCAGATGTAGGAAACAAATGTTAAGTATATTAAACTTAATAATGTGGGGATGTTGAAGAAGATTGTACAGGTTTCGAAAGTTAATGGAGGATGTGTTACTGGGATAATAAAAGTTGTAAAGTAGTGGATATCAGATATTGTGATGAATTATATAATGAAGAATTATGTTTCATCTATGGAGAAGGACTTGGATGTCAATGGAAGGATAATAAATGCACAGTCATATCATGTTCAGATTACACTTCTGAGAGTACATGTGTTTTATAGAGATAAAATTTTATAGAAGATGATCCTCTTCTCTGTAGATGGACTGATATCAAATGTGAAGAAGCTCAAGATGTCTCTCATCTTGATTATTCTAACTGTCTTGTTAACTCCTTCTATAATTACATTTGGGATTCAACTAATAAATAATGTGTTTATTGTTAAACATACGTTCCTCCAACTACAACAAAAACCCCTTGATCTGACACATTATTATTTTTTTTTAGATATATTTTCATATAATTAGTTTTAATTGATTATTTATTAATAACACTTGTTATCCATTAATATAAAAATAATAAGAAAGTATTAAATTATACAATTATCTTGAATTAATGTGTATTCATATGAAAGATTATTAATCTTCAAATTATAATCGTTTAATTTTTATTTTATATATGAACTAAGTAAATCTTAGTAAAACTATCAAATTGTTTAATGTTATTTGAATAAAAAGTAAAATTATATCTGTTTATAGAATTTTAATCATTTTGATTTTTTATAATTTTTATTATAATGTATCTGATACGATTTAGTAATCCAGATTTTTTGTTAAAGCTAAAGAAAACGAAAATACAAATCAAGAAACTATAAATATTTTCAGTTATTAATAATATAAATAATAAGTTATATTTAAAATAATCGGAAAAGTATGCAATTATTTATACCATATAAATGAGAATTTCAAGTTAACATTAAATCAATATTTGAAAGCAATCAAAATGGCTATTCATCAATTTTCAAATAAACTAGATTCCAAAAAAATGATAATCAAGCCTAAAATGATTTTCTTATTTTCAATATGAAATTGGGTTATTTTCAACAATTCTTAACATAGAAATCAAGAAAATTTATAATAGTGGCTAAGCTTTTGTTGAATTTATCATGCTTTAATTTCTCAAGATTGAAAGTAATAAAATTATATTTTGAAATTACTTTTCAAAGCCAATTATTGATAATCACTTTCAAGTAATAAAATGAGAGAATTATTTTATTATTAAATAGATTAAGGTTGTTTTTAATTTTCTTTTATTTTCTTATTATTATTAATAATTAAGAGTTGATACAGGGATATATTATTGTTTTATGAGCTTTGTTTTAATGTTAATTTTTTATTATTTTAAGTTGATATCTATATAATATAATAAATTTTATTTAAAATTTTATATTTCATTTTCTGAGATCATTAAGTGCATAGACTTATTAAATTTGTGAGGTATCCTTAAATATTGCATCTATTATGAAAAATTAGATAAAAATCAACAAATTTTATTTGGTAAAGTTTAGATAATTATATTTTTAAGAATATATTCATAGAATAAGAATCTAAAACTTATTTTCTTTGAAAAAAAACTAGATAAGTTAATGACATTTGAAGTGCTTTATCTGTTTGAAACACTTGAACAAAAGAAATTAATAAAGATGAGTTAATTATAAAAAAAAAGAGATCTTAATTTGAACATAAATTATTGACATCATTAATATTAATTTAAAAGTACATATTATAAAAAATAATGGGGATTAAATGTTCTAAACGCAAAAACAGGTCTTTTCAAAATGAAATTATTTAAGCCTAACCTATTCAAATAAGCTAAACTACTTCGAAGGAGGCATTAGCATTTTGTGATTCCTAAGATTTAGCAAATTTTATGAGAACTAAGCCGGCCAAGTCTTATTTATAAGAAGTTATTTAGAAGTAATAAATCTACTTTGATTCTTGCGATTAATTGACTCATATAATTGAAGGGAAATCTGAAATTCTGTTAAGGTGTTATAATGATTTTACTGAAAAAGCATTAAAAATTAAACTCATGGTCCTAAAGTACTATAAGGAGAATTTTTTGGTTTATTAGGAATAGGAACCCGGATGCATTTTAAATAAAGATTAAATAGCAAATGAAACAATGCAAGTATGATATCTGATTTGCATGATAAGATACTCATTGAGACTAACATTATCTTAAATTGTTTGATGGATAAAAATTTTGATGTTGAATAGGAATTATGGTGGGGAAATGATTATTTTAAAGATAGAAGAATAAGTCTTGGAGAGATTGAGGATGATAAAATATAAAATGACCAAATTGTTTAACCTATTGTTCAATATTTATAAGCATTAAAAAATAAAGTTACATAATCTATACCAATAAATTAATAATACTAAAAACCTTTTCAGTAGAATTAATCTGTTGTAAATAGTACAGCAATAGCTCAAGTTCATTTAACTAAATTTTATAATGATCTTAAGTTAGAATTTGCAAAAGATGCTGGTGAAGAATAGATTGTTTCTTGATTGAATTGAATAAATAATTATTTTTATAAATATATTTTAATTTATGAATTAGCCTTATCTACATCCAGCAAATCAAATTATTCAGGATTCAGCACCCAAAGAAACACTTTATATAACTGGATTGAATGATAAAATTAAACTAGAAGACTTGAAATTCGTATTATACATACTCTTTTCATAATTTGGAGAGGTCCTTTAAATTGTTATGAAGAAAACATAAAAATTAAGAGGATAAGCATTTATAGTATTTTAAAACATTACTTATGCTACTAATGCAAAAGCAGCTTTGTCAGGTATGATTGTTTATGACAAACCATTGGTATCTATTCCTGATATTTTAGATTATTGAATTTGCATACAAAAAGAGTGTTATTTTTGATAGAATCGAAGGAAAATTTTATTATAAATAAAAACAACACAAAGAATTGTAACCTAATTTGCCAAATGAATTGATGAAAGAAAAGAAATAAAAAAAATTTGATGAGAAAATACAAAACAGTAGCCATTTAAATTAGGGAGATATCAATAATGTTTTATTGATAGAATCATTACCTCCCTTTGTTACTGAAATCATGTTATCAGAGCTATTTAGGTAATACCCTGGTTATTCACTGATTAAGTTGATACCTGCTAGAGGCTTGGCATTTGTTGAATATTAGAATGATGATCAAGCAACAGTTGCATTAAAGGGCTTGAGTAACTTTAAAATCACTCCAGAATGTCAATTAAAAGTAAAATATGCCAAAAAGTGAAGAGTATTTAATAACATATTTTTTATACCTTATTAATATTCATTAGTCTATTCAATAATTTTATATTGACTCTACTAAATCTAAATATCTTTACTTTTACAGTATAAAATAGATAACTATAGGGCTTAAAAAATCTAAATATAATTTCATATCATGAACTTTTCCATATAAAATTTAATTTATTTAGGTTATTCCTTAATTAAATTGAATAAATTTTTTATTATGAAACTTTCACCTAATTAATGTCAAACTATTTATTCTTTTGGTAAAAACTTGATTATGAAATTATTAATTCCTGATAATTATAAGAGGACTATATGGATGTTCAATTTTAATTTTAGAAATAATTACATATTAATAAAAGGAAATAAAGAATATTTTTAGAATGTTCATCTGAGATTATTTTCTCGATTCTCTTTCAAATTTCATTCTTTTTATATATATTTATTAATTTAAAATAAGTGATTATAATTCATTGTTTTTCTGTATCTAGATCTGGAATTTTAGTTGTTTATGGAACAGATTTAGAAATTTTAACATTTGAACATTTAGTAGATATCCAATATAATGCATGATCAATTTTTATTTCCCAATAGCAAACTTAGTTATAAAAGTAATGTGCAAAAATATATCCTGCTGGTACCTATAATTATTTTTTATTATATTTACATCAATTGTATAATGAATTCTAAAAGAAATAACAATAAAAGCTTAAAAGAAGGATGATATAAAAAAAAATAAGGCAAACCATTTCTTTCTCAATTTTCTCATTTCCAATGCACAAATCACTAAAAATCCTACATGACCCTAAATTAAGAATAAATTCTTACAGAGTAAAAGAAATCTGAATAATTCCCATATTTTACAACAAAGGTTGGCACTCCTGGATCCTTCCAATAGTAATTATCAGCAAACTGAAGTTTAAAAATATTCAAATGAATTGCCCTGATTCCATAGAATATGATTAAAGCTGCAAATAATCTAAAATTTCTAACATAAAACACCCAGTAAAGACTCACATAGAAAAAGGCAAAGTCTAAAATTAGGCCAGAGATAACTTGCATTAGAGAAGCAAACCTAAATACAATTTAAATTAAATAAGTACCATTCATGAGAATGATATAATTAGTTGATTCCTTCTGTGTAATTATGTCCTACATCAAATATTCCTTTGATGTCATCTTATGGTGTACCCAAAATCTCACCAATTTGAGTAATAACAATATAACTGAAAAAAATGAAAATTCTAAATCGAAAGTTATAGCAAGGGTTATCAGGTACAGCACTTTATCTATAATCGAATTTTGAAAGGGCCTATAGTTTTTGCACATCACTTCCATGATAAATTGACAAATCTTCTGATTATTTATTTGAGATATGCATTTTAATAATATTATTTATTAAATTAATCATCATTCATAAAGTGTGTATTTATATTGTGATTTAAATTTTTATTTAAATAAGAATAAATTATTTAATTCCTTTTTTATATATCCTTAAAAAATAAGAATATATATATAAATCAATATACAATTTATATAATTATTATAATATTCATTCTCTGATCCCTAATGCTATATGCAATTTATCTACCAAAAGTGCCCCACCAATTTCAATAGCTGCACTATATAAATCAGCAATCTATAATTTCATTCTCACCAAACATTAAGTTTGCTTTTCAATCTTCTCTTCTAACTCTTTTACTTAATTTTTATATTTATTTTCAATTTAAGTATTTGTTTAAAGGGCTTTTTCCAATATTGTCTAATACTCTTTTGACATTTTAAATCTATCATCCGTTAAATTTATATTTTAATCTTCTAATTCCTTAGGTTTTAATTTTTCATTCCCTTAATTACTATTAATTAAGTTAAGTTAATTTGTTGCCTCTTCTAATTATTAGATTGCTAAGGATTCTCTATGATTAATTAATATACTGGTTCTAATTTAAGCAATACTATTTCTTTGGATAGTTTTATCTAATTTCTAAATTTAGAAATCTGATAATTAAAATTCTAATTCTGCTATCTTTTACTCATAAAATTAAATCTTATCTTTGCAATTACATTATTGTTGTTGTTTTTCTTCTATTTTTGGTTACTCATTTTTAAGATTCTTTGTTTAATCCTCCTTCAAAGATTTAATTTATTGTTATAATTCTGATCTAAGCTTTTTTTCTTTTTCATAGGCTTATTTCATTTATGTATTCTATATCTTATACTAATCTAGAGTTTATGAAAGAGCCTCTTCCATTTAAATATTAAATTGTTCAAGTTCAGCTATGAGTTCCTATTCTTTTTGAATTTCCTGATTTTTTTCTTTTAACGCTTTTTATTACTCTGCATTTTTGGCTTATAATATAACTTTTTCCTACATAGTTTCTGCTAATTATTATTTAACTTTTGCAAAATTCGTTCTCAAGCTTGCAAGTTAAACTTTGGCTTCCTCTGATTACTTTTATTGTTCTAAATCTTTCAACTTGTATTGATCTACTTATTATTGAAGAATTTTCAATTGTTCTACCTTTCTAAAATAATTAATATAATTTTCATACTGTTGTAAGGCTTTATTGAGGTGAGAGACTTCATCAATAAACATATGCATCTATGGTTCAAATGTCTAATCAGAACACTCAATATTAAATATTAGATTACTTATTAACTTTCTTCCAATTTCATTTAATACTAACACACTTCTAATTCCTATTCTAATTTTTAAACTCTCTACTCTAAATGTTATTCAATTAATTAATGATTCTATAGTTTTTCTTAAATGGCTCTTCTTAGTAAAAATAAAGGTTCTACAAGGTCTTCTTGATCCTCTAAAAATATTTGTACATCTTCAATTGATCTTTACAAATGTTGAATTTAATTATTAAAATCACTAAGTTCTTTATGACTACTCTCATATTTGGATTGCCATATCTATATTTGGTTTTTTAATCTATTTATTTATTATTCTTATTTAGGTTTTATATTTGTATCATATATCAATTTTTCAGATTAAATAATTTAAGTCTATGATACATAACTTGATCTAGTTATATTAATTTCTTTCAATTCAACTTCATCCAACCTTAATTATAAATTTTGAATTAATTCATCCTTCTTCTATAATTCTATTTCATATTTTTATTGTAAAGTTTCATAATCCTATTATTTATGTCTTAAAGTAGATTATAATTCTTCAATTAATTTTCCAGTTTCATTTATAATCTCTTCACCAGGTTATTGCTATATTTATAAAATAACAAATATTACATTAATATTTATTAATGTTTAACCAAAACCTATTTATTTTGATTGCTAATTCTCTAATATTTCAATTTTTTGATTCAATTCTGAGATTTATTAATTTTTATCTGAAATTTATTTATATAAGGTCTATATTTCTATATTAAAGTTTTAAATTTATTGAACCATAGACTATTTTGATTATTCATTTTCTAAGTTTTGTTATTGATTTTCTAATTATAAATTAATTTATTCGTTATTATTCTATATTAATTTATACTTATTTTCTTGATCCTATAATTATTATTCGTATTTATTTATCATATTTTCATGGATTTGTTTTTCAATCATGTCATTAATTTTACTTTTAAGCTGCTAAATTTATAAGTTTTATTCATTAATTTGAATATCTTTATTATTTATTAATTAATTTTCTTATTTCTATTATTTAGATCCAGATTCATCTATTTTATTATCAGATAATAATAATATCTACTCTGAAGCATCCTTTGAATTTTAATTTGTATGTGATTCAAGACCAGAAGGACTAACTGAAACTTATGTTAAATCTATAAAATGATCTTTAGTTTCACTACTGTTATTGTAAATTAAATATATACTCTTTTTCAAATTCCCCTATTTTAGTAATTTTAAAGTTAATCAATAATTTTGCCTTTTTGTCAGGGCACTTGTCTAGTGCTAATGTCTCTTGGTATTCTAAATTAAATATTAAAAGTAATCTAATTTACATGTGTTTGATTAATTCAAATATTGAGCAAAGTCAAGGCTATGAAAACCTGCATTTTTCATACCTTTTTCTGTGACTAATATCACAATTAATTATGCTTTTTTTTCTTCTAAGTTTCCATCCTGATTAAGATTGGCATTTATATTAAATTAAAGAGTCTCATTAATTATAGCAATTCCTTTTTGTAATTCATAATGGGACCTAGTCTCTAACTTTTAAGAACCTAAGATAATTAAAAAATTTTAAAGTACCATATTTTATGACAACTTATATCTTGCACGGAATATGTACCAATAATTATACATTCAAGATAGTTGCTTCAACTTAGAACCTATATCCATTTCTATTCATTTAAGATATAATATAACAAAAAAATTACAAAATTAATTTAGAAACAAATAATTTAATTATTATTTAAGAAAAATAATGAGACAGTTGTTATACTTAATATCTAGACTATATTAATCTATTACTCATTTTTATTAAATTATATAATCTAATAATAATAGTAGCTCTTTTATTATGTCATCTACCAAAAATTTATTATTTATTAATTATTAAGATAGTCAATATAATCTTGTTCTAAAAAAAGAATTTCTATTAATCAAATAATGCAATTGATTAAAACAATTTTGTACAAACTTTCCCCACTCTTATCATTAACTTTTCAATAATTTCAGGATGATAATCCATATATAATGAAATATCAGACACATTTTTCTTTTTAAAATTATCCATACATCTATAATTTTAGAAACTTTTTCAGCAATATAATTCTTAAAAGTAGGTCTATTCATGGTTATAAAACATACTACATTTTTACTCATTGTAAGTATACTTTTTCTTTCTTTACCACTTCTTCTAATGGAAGTAGGTGAGAAATGAATCTGTTTTCTGTATAATTAAGTTTACTTGACAAAACATACTTTTGCTTTAATTGAAAAAATTATAGCATTTTGATATTTGTTCCTATTTGATTTCTTTTGATTGAGTTATAAATCTATACATAATTTTTCAAATCTTAAGCTAAAATGTATATCTCTTTTAAAATTGAAATAATAATCAATCAAATTTTTTTACTCATGGAACTATTAAAACATATATCTGATGTCTATTCATTGCACTAAAAATAATTTTATACATTTTATCAAGTATTTTATCAGATATTGAGAATAATATATAATGCATTATTTGATAATTTAGGTTAATAAGAAGCTCATCTTTTGCTTTCTTTAAATTTATAACTTATTCTATTCTATTTTATTAAATCTTCTGTAACAATCAAACTTTTCTTCAATAAGGGATATGCAATGTTCAATTAAATAATTATTTTAGAATTTGATAACTATTTCTAAATTTATTATTATAATAAAATTCTTTAAATAAAGAGATTATTATTTAATACTAAAATTGATTAGAATAAAATTATTTAATGAAGTTTTTTTATTAAAAAGTATGTGTTAATAATAAAATTTCTATTTTAATTTAAATTATAAATAATATTGTAGCATTTTGAACACATTATTTCTAATTTTATTAACATTTCTATTATATTCAATTTTGCAATGATAGAAAATTTAAAAGAAATGAAAGTATAATTAAAATAATTTATAATATATATGTATTATTTTAGATCTAAGCTAAAGACTATTAGATTTTGATTGAATTAATTATATTTATATATGTTTTAATTCAAAAATTGAGGATTTTATTTAGTTAGTGGCAAATTCAATTACAACCATTTATTATTTAAAATTCTAATAATAATGAGCAGTATTGACTTAAAGGACTAAAATCAAGAAAATTAATAAAACTAATAAAGTAAATCATAAAAAAAACAACGAAAAATCATTGACAAACTAACTCAACTTACTGAGGAGTATTTTTAGTAATCATAAGTAATTATAGATTTTAAGTAGAATATAAATTAGGATGGAATCTCCTCTAGTAAGTCTTTGGCTTAGATATCTAACAATTAATTAAGAAAACAATAAATCAACCGATTAGTTGAGGAATGCTGTAAAATGAAGAATGTATCCAAAAGCATAATCATTAGCTTAAAGAAATTCCTCCAGAATAGGTTTTAAAAATGGTTAAAACTTACGATATGTTATTTGCTAGTCAATCCAAATAGGTAATAATAAATGAATTCAATATTTAAATTATCGATATCAAATTGAGAGTCCATCATGAATTTGAAGATTATTTATATTCTTAACACCCCTTAATCCATAATACATTCAGAAGAGGCCTATGCTATTTAATATAAGACAATGAATATTCAATTATAAGGAGAGGACTTAAAAAATTCTTTGATATGTAATATTATATTGATTCAAAAGAAATTTAAAGTAATTTTACAGCTAAGGCAATTCAAATTTGACCAATAAGACAGATTAAATAATAAATAATTATACATTATCTTGTTTGCCAAAGGAGTCTGAAATCAAAATAACTTAAATGGAAAAGGTTAATGGAGAAAATGCATAAATTTCTTATATTAGAACTTTGGATCGTTGGGTTATAGGATCAAAGAATGTGACATTATTATGTATAGATGAATCTGAACTAAAATAATATGATTCTTAAATTACTAATGATCCTCTTGATTCAAGATACAAATATGCTATAAAAATTGCATAGGAATGGTTAAAAATAATTGCATTATCTAAAAATGTTGATACCATAAAGAATTATTTAAATGAACATACATTAATTGGAGAATATTGTGGAAATATTGAATATTAGCACCTTGTATAATATGATCATGTATAACTTAAATTTTATGCATTGGTTCCTAAATTAAGTAATGAATCTTCAGTAACTTGTCTTCATCCAGATTTTACTTTAAATTTATTATAATCATTAGAATTAAATATAGTTAAGTTCAATCATATTATTGCTGAAAATTATTAAGATTTTATAAAGAAGTTATTGGATTTAACTAGGAATATTTCAATATCAAAATTATAAGATGATGGTGAAGGAAATGTATTATATTTTAGTGATTCACAAAAAGAGTGTTTCTCTTTAGCTAAATTAAAAACACTAGAATGTAATTTAATATTAACAATTTTAGATAGATTTAAAAGAAAAATAAGAGAAAAATTAAGATTGATTATAACTAAGAATCAAGATCCAAATTTAACATTAGATAAATATGTGGATGAAGTAACATAATTATTGAAGGAGCTTAATCAAATTTATGAAGATCCTATTTAAATAGATCTAAATATAGATTTAGCTAAAAAATGCTTTGAAGCTGCTAAAATTGAGAGTATTCAAAAAAATACAGATTTTAAGAATTTTTGTTTAGAATTAATTGATAATAAATTCTTATCATTTTTGACAGAAATAGAACAAAATTAATAAGAAAATGTTTTTGAATTAGCATATTAGAGAAAAAATATAATTTGAGATATAATAATGTATATAAATAATACAAAAAATGATAAAAATTTCTCTGTATATATTCTACTCTTATTATTTTATATTATCATTTCCGGTATAGTCTAGTGGTTAGGATATCAGGTTTTCACCCTGGGGACCCGGGTTCAATCCCCGGTATCGGAATAATTTTTTATTTTAATATCAATTTTGCGTTTTTTTGGATCTATAATCAATGGTTTTGAGTAAGAATTTTAGAAAGATATTACTTTATAAATAATCAAGCAATATTCACAAAACAATTTTTAAATTTTTGATTGGCTATTTCCTTAATCTTTTATCTAGTTTCTCTTTTATTTGATCCTGATGCCATAATTATTGCATTATATTCTGCTCCATGATTCCAAATATATATATCACTATTGAATTCTGAGAGTCTTTGTCTTATACTTGAGAAGTTTTCATTTGTTGCCAAGAGAAGTGCCTATATAGAAGTTTGGACCAATGGTGATAATTAAATCTATATATAAAAAAATATTTTACTATCATAATGATTGTGTTAGTAATGGCAATTATTGTACCTATAGCTGCATAAGACAAGGTATTATCAAGCATACATTCTAGAAATGTACCAATGTTAAAGAGTAGTTCACATAAAAATAACATTGTAATAGCATGCATATTCAAATAATGAGTATAGTAATAATTAGATGGATTTGAATTTATTAAATCTTTGTAGTTTTGTATAAATTATTAAATTAATTCATCAGTAACGAAATTTTATTGGATGTATTCAACAAATAAAAAGATCCCTGTAAATGACAAAACTATTCTAAATGAAGCATAGTACAATTCATTATGTTAATTTTCTTCATGTTTATCAGTAGGATGATTAATAAAATGAAGATCCTCTAAAATTTCATGTGCATTTCTTGATATTTGGAACATTGTTAATATTGATACATGGATACATAATGTGAATGAGGATAAATATTCTAATCTTTACATAGCAAAGGGAAAAGTTTTTGTTGGTTAAAATGTTTTTGCTTTAATTCCACAATAGATTGCAAATACAATTACTATTGAATTTAAAATACAATCAAAGCTCTCTTCTGTTAAATGTACACTTGAACTTGTTAATCCTGAATAAAAAGCTTAAATAGCTAAGGCAATATACAAAAATGCTATTATAGCTGCTTATTTATAATCTGAACTTCCAAATAAGAATTTGATAAACTCTGTATCTTGACTTTGTTCTAATTAAGATTCAAAATCATCATCATCATCATCATCATCATGGTAATCTTGATTATGATCATTATTATCTAAATAGATAGCACCCTGACATTCTCCACAATCACAAATGGTATATGAGATTTATTTAGACATTTAATTAAATAAATAATAATAATTGATGTTAATCATCATTTTGTTTAATTTATAAGTTGCAGTATACACGCGTTATGCAACAACACAAGTTAAAAATACTGTAGCTTTTAAATAATTTAAAGTTCATACAAGTGAGAATACAGTATCAAGAGCAGGACATAAAATTAATTTAGAATAAAATCTCATATTAGAAATTAGATAAGAAAACATTGATTAAGTTGATATTTAAATCTATGATGAGGCAAATAAGCATTTTAGAATACCATCAAGCCCTGTAATAGAATTCACTTATAATAGCCTTTCAATTACAATGATGTCAAAGACCCTTAATAATTTGATCATTATGATTATGAAATCAAAGTCTAATAAAATCCTATTGTGATACAAGTACAAAGAGATAAAACTACAATTTTTACAATAACAGATTTAATCTTTAGTGAAACCTATATTGAATTCACTCATATTCCACAAAATAAATAAATGTGGGGTTTAGGAGAAAGAAATTAAGTTGGATTTCGTTTTAAAGAAGGAATTTATACATTATTTGCTAGAGATGAACCAAATATAATAGAAGATGGTAAGAGACCTGGAAAACATGTTTATTCTAGTCACCCTGTCTTATTAAGTATGGAAGAAAGTGGTAAATTCAATGTGATGTTTTACAAAACATCATCTCCAATGGATGTACATTATGAAGATGATAAAATGAAATTTATAACTATAGGAGGAATAATACATATAAAATTATTCTTAGGTGATTCTTCTCCCAGAACAGCAATTAAAAAATATCATCAATATTTGGGAGGTTGGATGCTACCACCTTTTTGGGGATTTGGATTTCATTAATGTAGATGGGGATATTAAAATAGTAGTGTTTTAATAGATGTTGTATAATAATATTAAAAAAATCTGATACCTATTGATATTATTTGGACTGATCTTGACTATATGGATGATAGATAAATATTTTCAGTTGATAAAAGTAAATTTCCTTAAAAAGATTTTTAATATTTAAAAGGATTAGGTGTTAGATACATTCCATTATTAGATGTAGCTGTTGGTGTAAAATATGGGATTGAAGATGAAGGTTACAAAAAAGGAACAGAATATGATGTTTTTTTATATTCTCCATATACTGGATATCGTTTTTAGGGATATGTTTGGCCAGGCGATTCTTATTTCCCTGATTTCTTTCATCCAAACATCAGTTAATATTGGAATGATATGCATTAACACTTATATGATTAAGTAGAATTTGATGGTCTTTGGGTTGATATGAATGAGCCAGCAAATTTTTGTGAAGGAGAATGTGATTGGAATGAACATATTAGAGATCATCCAAAAAGAGAAGACAAATTGAATAATGAAATCATTTTTCCATACATTCCAGGAGAAATACCATTAGCTAATAAAACATTACCTCCTCATTTATTACATCATGGACAATATTTACATAAGGATGTTCATAATCTCTATGGAATAATGGATTCTTATTATACTTATTAAGCTCAAAAAGCTTTGGGGAAAGTACAACCATTTTAGATTACTAGATCTACATTTCCAGGTACTGGTAAATATGCTTAACATTGGACAGGGGATAATGGAGCATCATGGAATTTTCTTTATTTATCATTGGGACAAGTATTTTAATTTTAAATATTCGGAATTCCTATGGTTGGAGCTGATGTTTGTGGATTTATGGGTGATACAAATGATAAACTATGTTGTAGATGGATCTAATTGGCCTTCTTTTATCCATTTTTTAGAAATCATAATAATGATTTATCTAAACCATAAGAATTCTACAAACTTGGATTTCATGTTATTTAATCTGCTTAAAAAAATATACATTTAAGATATTCATTATTAAAATGGTTTTATTCAATTTTCATTCGAGAATAAAATCATGGTTCAAGTATATTATAATAATTAATTATTAGTAATTAATCCCTTATTTTTCATATTCCCTGAAGATTATCTTACATATAGAGATTTTGTAATGGATACTCAATTGTTAATAGGTGAAGAATTAATGGGTGCCCCAATCTTAAATGAGGGTGTAACAAGAATAGCATATTTCCCAGATTCAAATTGGTATGATCTGATCACTGGATTAGAATTAAAGGGTAAATAAGATCATACTCTGTATTGTTCATACAATGAAATAGTACCAATATTTATTAGAAGTGGTTATTTAGTAATACAAAATACAAAAGAAATAATAAAAAATCTGAAATCTTTAGATAATCATTATAGAATTATTGCTGCTCCAATAAATTAAGAAGCAAAAGGAGTATTTGCAGATTTAGATAATTTTGAAGATGAAGAAAAGGCACTTGAAGCTGAAATTATTAATATAAAATTATCAGTTGAAGAGAAAAATATAAAGATTACGATTTCTTAAAGTCATTCAGAACTTATAATTGATGAGATATTAATTTATGGATTAGAATGTACATATAAATAATGTTAACCTGGGTATTATAAATACAACTCAGTATTTAAGGGTCCATTTAGTTTGGGACAAGATAAAACTGAATTATTGCTAAAATGATTTATTCTTGTTCAATGTATAGATTTACTTTATAATTATAATGAAGATGTTTTTTATTAAATAAATATATATCATCTTTTATGATGTTTCTTATGATGTCTATCCTTTTTATGTTTATGTTTTTTGTGTTTCTTTCTTTTAGATCTACTTCTACTAGAATCTGAAGATGAATCAGATGATGAATCACTATCAGAATCAGAAGAACTACTGGATTCAGGTACTTTTTATTTGATTTCTACTGGTTTTGTAACTGTTGGTTAAATCGATTAAGTAGGTTATTAGATCTATTATTGTTATTGTTGAATTGGTTATGGTAATTATTCAGTAATACCCCATCTCAATTCTTCTTAAAACTTTTCAACATATGCATAATCTACTAATTTTATTCGAAGTTTTTCATTTTTATACTCAAATACCTTATTTCGGTCACTGATTAATCTTTTAGCATCTCTATCATTTTCATATCTAACAAATGCTACATTTCTGGTATTACCTGTTTGACGATCAATTGGAATTTTCAATTCTTTTATTTTGCCTTCTTTTCTAAATAATTCCATCAATTCTAAATGACTAGCTTTTTCAGGTAAATTCTTTATTAGAATTGTATCTTCTATAGCTCCAGATAATGTTGCTTTTAACTCTTCTTTACTCATTTTCCCTTTATTAATACGTTCCAATTATCTTACGTCATTACGTAATTTATCAATTTTATCTTTCAACCACTTCTTACAATCATCATAAGATATTAACACTTAATATATTCTAGTACTTTTAGCAAATTTAATTTTGTCTTCATTAGCCAATACCACTGGTAAATGGGGTTCAACAAATTATTCATTATGAAAAGTACCTCCCTTAGAACCTAAATCTACTAAACATATTTATGATTAATTATTGACAAATATTGCTGCATGTCTTCTAGATATAGAAGGATGAGCTAAATGAACATGATTTCTTTAATGAGATCCAAAATATAAAAAAGTTGAATGTTTCATTTCTATTTTTGGTAAATTTTCTCCCTCTATTAATTTATTTATTTATTATTTTACCTTTCAAAACCTTCAACTCAACTTTTGGTATCATTTTTGATTCTTATTCAATTGGAAATGTCATTAATAACCATTTATCTTAATCTTCATAATTATTAATGTCTGTTCTAATTTGTTCAAGTAATCTTCCTATTTGGTTCTAACCCTTTCCATCTACTACTCCCCAATATTGATTGCTTGGAGTAGAATGTGTAAATGTATGAATCAATTAATAGTTATTAGTGGCTCTCAACGAATCTCTAATATCAGCATTTCTCCTGAACTTGTCTCTTAACAATACCTCCATTATTCGCAATCTTTATTTTGTCCAATGTGGTGGATCATCAATATGTTGAGCTATCTAATAGACTTCTTAAACTGATTATGCCTATTCAACTCAAAAATAATATTTACATTCACAAACTTCTATCTCATTTCCTCATCCTAAGTTCTTGCAGATTAATAAGCAGCATATACTGAATTATAAATCAAACCCTATATTAATTAATTTACTCTTCTACTTAATAATAAACAGCACATGGATATTCATTTGCTAAAAATTCAAATTAATCCGTAAAGGATTCTATTCTTTCCATCCTTTACTTTCGAAATAGAAAGTCAGCCTGCTCTTCATATCTTTAGAGCTCTGCTTAAAATTAGGCATTCTTTTCCATTTAAGCGAAAAGAGACATCCTAATAAATATTTTATAATAATAATTGTTTTTATTTATGATATTTTTCATCTATAATTTCATTAATTTCAAGAATTCCTTATAATAAATGTGTGAAGTTTTAAATCGTATATCTAAATCTTGATTATCAAATTTTAATTAATTTTAATAAGAAAATTATTTACTAAAGATCAAATTATATAATTTTTACATTTTAATTTTAAAAGAAGCAAGTATCGAAATGTATAACTTTTTTAGAATGATGATCAAAGTACTTTTTAATAATTTCTATCCTTAATTACATGTAATTTACTTACATAGATAAGAATAAACAAATAGAAAATGTAAAAAAGAACTTAAAAATTAATGTAAATTCTAATAAATAATGTAAATAGTAATGTGTATGTTCTCTATGAGAATAAAATATGTTATCTCAAAGTAAATAATATTATTCATTTTTAAAGCTTCAATTTTCTTTCTGTGATTGTAACCAAAAATCAAGCTTATTGATACTATCATGTAAATTTTTTTCTTTAGAAAGATAGAAATTAATTATTTTTAATGTTATCTAATAATCACAATTTTTCTAAAATTTAACACCTTTTTTTGATTTATTACATATTATTATTCATTTAGTTAAGGTTACTATTTAGTAGTGTTAACTTTCTGACTTTATGCCTCTTTAAATTGTTTAATAAGCTATTCTAAATTTTTCATCACTTTGTTTAGTTGTGAAATACAATTTTCAATAAAGTCTTAGTAAATTGGTAAATCTCTAAAAATGAATATTGGACTTTGGATTCTAAATCCATTTATTTTTAGATTGTAGTTTATTCTTATTTTAATTCAATCAATTGCTAATTTATTTAATAATATCTCAAATTAATATTAAATTTATGGCATTTACCTTTTCTTTTTTTAAATGGATATTCCTTACTTGAAATGTAAATTCCATTTTCTTCAGATCTTTTTTTGCCTTACAAAAAATTATGATTTCTAAATGTATTAGAATTTTATGTTTAGTAATTTGATAAGAGAATTGATCCTTTTTATTCCTCTTATTCTTTTTATTTTCAAATTTCAGCCCAAATCTATTTTAATCTTCTATAGCTTAAACATAGATTATTAAGCTGAAATAATTTCATTGAAATTATAAATAAGATTATACTATTTAGACATTATGAATAATAATAATCATTTTTTATTTGGTTTATTTAACTTCTTAGCATTCTTATCTTTAGCTTAAGCTCCATATTTTTATTTTAATTTGGCTGTTACTTCTTAATCAATATCATCTTCAATTTCACCATCACTAACATCATCATCTTCTTTATCTTAAATTCTAACTCTAATATTTCTACTAACATTTTCTGGTTTAATGTCTATAATTAATAATACAAATATAAACTGTTATCTCTTAAATTCAAATTAATGAATTAATCAATATGTTCTTTATTGAAATCTTTCCAAGTTTATTTAAAATCTTATGCACGATAGGATGCATCATTCTTAATCAATTATAAAACGAGTTTCATTTTTTCAACAACCTAAGATAAACCATCAACTAATGTTTCATCAGATATAACAATATTAGGTTTTCCTTCTAATTTAAAGAATTCCAATTTCTCATACAAATGTTCAATACCAGCCTTTACATTAACTAATATCTTTTAAACTCTCTCATATTTTAATTTAGTTCTTTCACATTTATTAATAGCATTATTAACATTGTTTTCTATCTAATAATAATAAAATATTTTATTTACTTCATCAATTTATTTTCTTGTTAAAGCTTCTCCTCCTTCATACTTTAAATCATTTAAATGATCTCTCAATTTCTATCTTTCAGTTACTAATTATTCTATTTTATCTTAATATTCTCCTTTAAGATCACTCAAAGATTTGCTAGTCTCATCTTAACTTGTAAACTTTTAAATGATATCATTAACATCTCTAAATCCAGTAGCTTCTTTTAACTTATGAAATGCTTCCTCATAATCAGCCAACTTTTATTTCTATATATTTGTATCCACATTAGGATTAGATGACTCTTGAATAGGAATATTTGAAGTATTATATTCTACTTAAGTTTAAACATTATCCTTTTCTCTTTTCTCCAACTTCTATATCACTTTTTCTCTCTCTTCAATTGCTTTTCTCTTTGCATCTAAATATGTCTTTCTTAATTCTCTCACTGCTGCTTTCTTATGTTCATATTTCTTTAACTCAGCTTAAGCCAACTCTTTTGCATGTGTTGCATCATGAGCCAATAACAATAATTCTTCATAATCATGTTCCTTTCCTTTTAATGATCTTTCAATAGCTGCTAATTAATTATCATATCCAACTCTTTCTTCTTTCAATCTCTTTACTATTTATTCATATGTTTTTCTAATTGATTATGCTTCATTATATTTTATCATCACTTTATCTAAGTTATTTTCCAAAATTCGAATTTATCTCATCAAAGGTGATTCTTCTGGGACTCCAAATTTAGTGTCACTTACTTCATTCAATTTATCCTGTAATTGAATCAATCTTTCTTTTTTTGCTTTTGTTAAGTGTTTGGCATCATCTAATTTACGTCTCCAATAATTCTCATCTTTTATGTCTCCAGACCAAGATATGAATGCCCCTTATGTCTTTGCTAAAGAAGCACTTGCACCCTACTATTTGCAAACTCTTATACTCTTTTATTTGCAATTAATTCATCTTACAGTTTCTTTAAATCCCTATTCTCTTTTTTTAATTGTTCAATGATTTCATTGTTCTTACGCTTAGTCTCTTCAGCATTATTATAAAAATTCTTTCTATCAGCATCAAGAAGTCCTGATTTTTTTATTTAATGTTCTAACTCTTCCTCAATTGAACGTATATTTTATTAACTCTTTGCTGTTTGAACCCTTGACATATTTAATTAAATTTATAAACATATATTTTCAATTCAAGTTTTATTCAAATATATGGGAACTATCTAATTTACATTATAAGCAACCTTTATAACATATAGTACTTTATTAATTGAATTTTATTTCAATACAAATAAACAAACTTTTTAAATGAATTATTTAAATTAAGAATTTAGAATCATATTTTAAATTAATCCAATACTAAAATTACATTTAATCAAAAATCAGATCCAATTCTTTAAAATTCTCATATATTCTATATAGTATATAAACCTTAACTAGATGGAAATTTTATAATATATAGTAAACATGCTTTAAAATCCTACTAATCTAAACAAAAATCTTATATTAATTTTCTAATCATACAAGAAAAGAAGTTTAAGATAAACTTTAATGGATTAAAAATATATCTTAAGTGAAATATAAATTTAGTTTAATCTAATTTAAAATATTATAATAGTTTAATAATAAAAATGCCCTATTCATAATATAATATTCAATTTCTTTTTGATTTTTTATCTTTCCTTAATACATTAACAATATATTTGTAGGAGAGGAACAAGAATTTTAATAAAATAATAAAATGCCATATTCTTAAACAATAAAGAGTTTATCAGTTGAAAGCTGAATAAAAATTAATTAAAATTTGAATAATGAGCCGCGGCAATGAATTAGACGATTTGCTATTCAAAAGAAGAGATTAAAACTCAAAATAGGGTGAAGATTTGAAATAGATTATAGAGAATATTCCTTATCCTCATGCAGATATAACTATAACTTCTTATAGTGAATTCTCTGATAACACACCATAGAAATATCTCCATAAATTAGTTCATACAGAAAATACAGAAGTTCAACCTCAAAAGGTTAAACGAAATCGAACTTAAGTAGATGCCTATGCTACTGATAGTGAAGTTGATCAAAGGGAATTGAAATCCTAAAAAGTAGATTAAAAAAGAAAACCTCTTCAATAATAACCAATAAACCAATAGGAAATTAAACCTCCTTTAGTACCTCAATAATAATAATAACAATTATAAGATTTCTATGCATCAGGAGGATCTTATTTAGAATCAATGACTCCATAACGAATGAATAAGATTGTAGATTGGTCAAAATAACATGTAACACCAGGGGATGCTAAGAATATCTTTCCTTAAGTAATAGCTCCTAGTATTGAATTTTCGAATGAAAACTCTCTATCTCTTTAATTTAAAAATGTTGATCCTGAACCGAAGAAACCATAAATTCTGTCTCATTAAAATCAAAATAATTAAAATTCTCGTTTGGAAAATAGAGTCTGGGAGAAATAGAAAAGATATATGGAGAGTGAAATACAAGGAATGAAAAAGTAATAAAGAAAAATAGAAAACGAAAATTTAGTATTAGTTTAAAAATTAGAAGAATAAGAAGAAATGACAAAGTTGTTATAAGAAAAACATAAGGATTATTCATGTTTAGAAATATTAAGAGGTAAATATTTGGAAATGGCAAAGTAGTAAATGAAATAACTTAAGTAATAATTGGAATTGAAAGATTAAAAATTAAGAGACTTAAATGAATAAACAAAAGGAATGATAGAAAATGAAAAAAGAATGTAAGAGGCTATAGAATTAGAATTAAGAGAATTACATGCTTAATTAGATATTAAGGATTAAATGGTTAGAGCACTAAAAAATCAATAAAATAATGAAGATAATGAAAGATAAAAGGCATTATAAGAATATGAGAAAACTATGAGTGATGGTAATAAATTTATTGCAAAATTGAAAAGCTAAATTGAAACATAAATGAAAGCTTTAGAGGAGAAGGAATCAATCATAACATCATAAGATGCATAAATTTAAAATTTATAAGTCAGATTATTAAAAGAAACTGAATATAGAAAGTAAGATGAAAAAGTAATTAATGAATTTAAATCTAAAGAAGCATTACTTTATTAATAAGTGACTGGGAATACTATGCCAGAGGTACATAATAGAGCTATAGAAGAACTTTAAGCAGAATGTATTAATTAAAAGATCTTAATTTCTCAGCTTTAAAGTTAATTAACATAATAGATGTAAATGCATTAATTATAACATATTAATTCTAATTCTTATAAGGAATGTGAGTAATGTAAATTATGTAAAGATGAATTAGCAAATATTATATAAGAATGTTCTTTAGAAGAGGAAGCTAAAACTATAGATGCTAATTAAAGTATTGCTCAGATTGCAAGAGAAGTTGTTACTCTATTATTAACTAAGTAAAGGGAATAAATAGATCATGCCTTTTTATAATATGAAGAATAAATTAAAGAGTTAACTTAATAAATAGATTATTTTAAAGAATAAAATGATGAAGTTATGTAAGAAAATTAAAAGATTTCTGATTAAATTTAAGTGATTTTAGAGAAGAAAGAAGAATAAGAATAATAAATATTTGAAGAATATGAAAAACTTAGATAAATTAATTAAAATTTATTGTCTGAAAATAAAACACTTAAATTAGAATTGGAATAAATTAAATAATAACTTAGAAATGAAACTTAAGTATATACTAATGAAATCAAACAATTAAAACATGAAATTTAAATTAATAAATAAACACTCTTATAATCTAAATAAAATGAGACTAAATTAGTTGTTTAACAAAGTCAATTAAAGAGTGAAGAAAAGATGTTGATTAATTAAGAAATGGAAAATATGAAAACACTTTTCTAAAATTAAATTTAAGAACTATATAATAAACTTCATAATCAAGATGAATAAATTTAAGAATTAACTAAAGAATTATATTCAAAAAAAAAATAAATAGATGAAATGTAATAATAATAAACTTCATCCATTAAAAAGTAAAAAAAAGAAAAAGAATAAAAAGAAACTAAAGAATAAACTCAACTTAAAACTTATGCTTAATAATTAAGTGATCTTAATGATGAAAAAAGTAAACTCTTATAGAAAATTTAACATCTAGAATAATAATAAACTTATTAAACAAAAAGATTAGATGATGAAAAAAATGATAAATTTGAAAAATTAAATTAATAAATTAAAGAAAAAGATAAAAAAAATATAGATCTCTATAATCAAAATAGAACTCTTTAATCTTTATAAAAAGAACTTGATGATTAAATTTCATCAATGAAGGATGAAATTGAAAAGTAAAAAAAATAAATATAACTAAAAAATACAGAAATTAAATCGTTATTAGAATAAAATAAATAGTTACAAGATAAAAATTAAGAAATTAATAATAGATTAAGTCTACTCTAATAATAAATGAATTAATTTGAAAATGAAATTAAACATTTTGAATAGAGTCCTTAAATACCAGAAAAATTAAGATCCTAAGCTTCTGTCAGAAGTTTTGATAAAACTCCTCATGCTGTCATAGAATTAGTTGAAGGGTTCAATCAATACTAATAGGAATTTCATCATTTAAAAAAAATGTTTACTGAAAAATTAAAGGCTTAAGAATAAGTAATTTATATAATTTATATATATATAGAATTTAACATCCTTATAATAAACTAATCAGTAAATTACTTAATAAAATCTTAAATTAATTCAAGAAAATAATGCATTAAAGGACGAAATATCATAAGCTAGTCATGGAAAAAATTATGATGATAGAGGATCAGCCTAAACTGGGGATTCTTTAAATATACGCTCGTTCTTGGATCAAGATCATAAAAAGACTCTCCCATGTAAAACACCTGAATAACATTTTTCTATTGTTGAATTAGTTTAACCAGAAATTATGTCAATTGATGATACAATTATGATTTTCAAAGAGATTTTGAGAAGGTCAGTAAAATCAGTAGAAATGATTAAAATGATTTGTCCTTTACCTGAAATTAAAGAATTATTGATGATCATTTTATAAGTAGAAGAAAAAATGTAATAATAAACTTAAATTACTGCAAATAAAAAATCTAAAATCATAAATTCTATTTTGGGAGCATCAAATATAAAAATGATAGATTAGTCTAGAAAAAAGAGTGCTTGTGGAGGAATTAGAGTTAAACAAAGTCATAGAAGTGAAACAGGAGTAGTTGAATTTTATGAATGATTTATTAATAGATTTTTTATATAATCTTCATTTAGTTAAATTATCATTTGATATTTATATTAATTAATCTATGTCTTTATTTAAATTATTACAAGATTTTTAGTGAAAAAAAGTAGAAGAATTCCATTTTATTTTAGATATTATTATTTTAAGAAATTTGAACATTCAATCGTATATAATTTAAATCTATATACAATAAAATGGATTATTGTTTACATAGTTTAGACAGTAAATTGATACACTATAAGCTAAAGTAACTTCTACTAGAAAATATAATATGTTATATATTTAATTAATTAACAGTATTATAAATATAAAGTGAAGATTAGTATGAATTTTATATTAATTTAAATATATATATTTATTAAGGGATGGAGTAAAAGCATTTAATGGTATAATATTATGAATAATGTTTAAGAGATATTATGTTGAAGAATAATAGGCATTACATAGAGCAGCTGCAGTTTATGGTTCTGGGTTGGCAATGCAATTAAATTTGGAAAGAAATATTTTAGGAGCTCCAGGATAATCATCATATATTCATTTAGAGATAGCTATGAATAAATTGAATGATATAGATGAATTAGATTTTATGGGAAATAAGAAATTTGAATAAGAATATGTGAAAGGATTTTAATAAATATGAACATTAGTATTAAATAAAAATTGGAATTTTTAAGTTATTATCATAATAATCTCAAGGATTTTCTAAGTTGTGTAATGTCTGTATTTATGTGTTCTTCAAAATAAACATTCATTATAAATTCACTTTTATTTGCTCTTTTTAAAATTGAAGGTAAAGTTTCTATAAGTTTTTATTTTTCTTAACAATTTAATTTGAATGATCCTACAAATGCACTTAAAGTTGCTGATGGTAATCCAAGTTAAGCCATTTCAAACCATTTAACAACAATTTCATCATAGACACTTACATCATACATAAGTAACACATGTATAAAATCATGAATCTTTTGTATATAATAAGAATTATACTTCTTTATATCTTTGATAAACGTATGCTAATTCTAAATCTGGAATGTATTTAACTATTGGTCTTTCACCACTAGAGAAATCTCTGTCTCTCATAAATTTTCCATATTAATAACTATATATTATATATGAATATACTACCCAAATGTATTTTCATCTAATTTTAATAATTCTTCTATTTTGAATGTTTCAGGTGTAACTCTAGGTTTATCATTTAATATTCTTTAACCAACAGGATGTTAAAGCATTCTTTAATGAATATCCTTTACACAATAAAAACCTGATAATTCTCCAAGTTGTGAAAGATGATTTCCACTTAATAAATAATTGTTAAATAATTATACTTTAAAGGGTATTTGTATGCATTTATAGCACATTAAAATAATGTTGATAATCGTTCAAAATTATTTTTTAAGGGAGTATGATTATTAATTAAATCTCTTAACATTTTAATTAATGTATATAAACTCTGAGAATTTATTACCAAAATTATAAGGAAAAGCATTTGGTATTGACATTGAATTTAGTAATGATCGAATCTGTCTTATATAAATATCTGATGGAGATTAAATATATTTGTTCGATCCTATAGCTTTGAATTTAGAGTAATACATGAAAGATTTTTTTAAAAATGATGCCATCAAAATATTTTATAGTGGTGCTCAAGACTTAAAATGGTTGAAAAATGAATATTAAATAGTAGTTAATAATTATTGTGATTTAAAAGTGTTAGCATAAAAAGAGCCAGATTAAAGTTTAATTGCATTATGGAAGAAATATTGTGGAGTATAATTTGAAAGAGAGGATAAAAAAAGATTATAAAGAAGTGATTGGTTTGCAAGACCATTAACTTAAGAATAATTATATTATGCTGCTCTTGATTGTAAGTATTTAGTAGCTTTAAGAGAAATTTTATTATAATAATATACAGAAGATGAATAAAATTGTATTCATTTCTCCACTGAACTTAAAGAACCTAAATTATTAAGATATTTAAAAAAGCAATTAGTTGATAATTAAGATGTTCTTTTGCCATAAAAGATTTATAGACATATCAAATTTCAAGATCCTTTTTAAACAGATGATTAAAAAGTTATAGGACTTATTGAATAATTGACTAAAAAACATCATGAAGATTATAAAGAATAGAAAAGACAAAGATTTTTATAATTTTAAGAAAAATTCACTACTCATAAACCAGTCTATAGTAATTGTCGTATTTTTAGTTTGAGTGGATAATAATTATGTTTTTGTGATTAAAAGAAAATATAATGGTATGTAAAGAATGGATTAGGAGAATATTTAGATGAAAAAAGTATTAAATTAAATTTTGATCCTGTATGTGAATTTGATGAAAAAGAAATGAAATTTTATAATGAAGAAAGGTCTAATCGATGTGTTATTTGTGGTGCTTCTTCTAATATATTGAAATACTAGATTATTCCATATATGTACAAGCATTACTTGCCCAATCATTATAAATCTCATAGAGCTCATGATGTTGTAATTTTATGTGCTCGTTGTCATGAAAAGGCTTCAGCTTTATAAGATAAGAAAAGAGCAGAAGTTGCTAAATTATATGGTGTTCCTTTATAATATTATGGAGAAGAAAAGTTAGTAGTTGATAAATTGACTTATATTCTAAAAAAATATGAAAGCCTTACAAAAGCAGGTAAACCTTTTGATATGGGTTAATATGAAGAAATCAGAAATTAATTTAAAGATCTAATTTAATTACCTATTGAATTTAATTAATAAGAGTTAAATAAAATTAATGATAAATTGAAAAAAGAATTAAAAAATTCACATGGTGAAGCTGTTGTTAAATAATTAGATACTGATGAGAAAATTGAAGAATTTATAATGATTTTTAGAAAACATTTCTTATCTTCTATGGATCCTTAATTTTTACCAAAAGAATGGGCTATTGATCATAGATTTAAAAGAAATTTTGGTGAAAAATCAGTTTATTATTAGAAATTAGAATAAAATGAATAAAAATAAGATTCACAATCAATAGATTAATAATTCTAAAAATAATGAAAATATTATATGTAATATACAAAATGATTAATTATTGTTGCTTATAATATTTTATTAATTTATTTATATTGAATGAGATATATTAATGTGATTTAGACTCCAAAAAGTGAATAATAATAAATAATATTACCAAATGTTAGAGTACGATCTAATACTATGCAATAAAATAAATAACAAGTTAATTATAAGAAATAAATTACTTTAAATAATGATTAATCATACAATATTGGAAATGAACTTAATTCATCAAGAATAAATAATATATTCTAAATGGAAATTATGACTCATAAATTTGAATAGTTAAAAGTTTCATTATCTCATTCTACTTAAGAAGATGTTAATAAAACAAATATAATTAAAAGTAAAAAGAAAAAGACCATATAAAAGACTTAATGTAATGAATCAATTTATAGAATAAATGAATATTAGTTATTTAAAAAGAAAATAGAAGATACCATTTAAACAGAATTAAAGTAAATTTAAGAATCTCGATAAAAATTGATGAAATGTGTCTTAAACACACGTTAAAGAAATAGATCCTTATAACTATATGGTGATGATTTAACACCAGTTATATAAAACGAAAAAACAATCCTATAAAATTAAAAAGATGAAAAAGGTTATTAAATACATCATCAATAGAATAGAGATACTTGCTTGATTCCATTAAAAAATAGTATACGCAAAGATCACCTATGGGTAATGCTTACTGTTGTTTGAAAGCCTTAAAAAAGACTTAGTAAAAAAAAGTATTTTTAAAGTTGTGTTGATTATGGTTTGAAGTGCTGTTTTTTTATAGAAATAGCTGATTATTTTTTTATTAATTATTTTAAATAATTCATTTTACAATAAATTTTAATGAGCAATCCAACTTTGAAATTAAAAGCAAAAATAACACAAAAAAAAAATTAAAAAGTGGAAATTTGGAAAAGCCTTAACAAATAAATTAATGGTATTTAAGAGTCTGACTTTAATTCATTTAATTATGAAGCATTTGCTTAAGAAGAAATAGAAACTAAAATTTAATAATAATAGGTGTATCATTTAATTAGAAATGAAATGTAAGAAACCCGTGATGATTGATTTAAAAATGATACAATAAATAGGAATATAAAATAAATAATTTGTCAAATGAAAAATATTTAGAACATATTTGACATTTTTTCTTATTTATATTAATATTTTTACATAAATCGCTCATTTATTTTGTTATGCTAAAATGGATACTTAAGAACATGAAGAAATTTAGTTTGGGTATTTCTTGGCAAATTATTTTTACTTTTTCATTAACTATAAATGTGAAGACATTAAAATTCTATCCATTTTTATTGTATTTTTAAATATTTTAGAAATCATCAATTACTTTACTTGATAAAAAAATAGCTTAGGCTGATCATAAATTATATATTATGAAATAATCATAAAATGCAAGGAAGTATTGTTGTTTCATTAATTTATCTAGAATTTTTTTAACGAGAAAATGGTGACGCGTTCTAAAATAAAATAGGCATGATAATTTATTTTCTTATTTTTTCTTGTAAGATATTATTAACAGGTAGTTTGCTAAGTTTACGAGGTAAAGATCCTTCTGATAGTATTTTATTTAGTGAATTATGATTTTATTTGAGACTCTCAAGGTCAAGTCTATTTAAATTATAATTTTTATGAATCTTTTAGGCTTAATCTATATAAATATACATATATTTCATACTATTTTTTTCATATTAAGAAAGTCTAGTTGGATTAGAATGCATGGAGTCATTTCCTCCTAATGTTGCTAATCTTTTCCTTAAAGAAGTATCTTATTCATTTTTGTTTTATAAATCAGTTTTATATTTATATGTAGACTTTGGGAATAAGTTTTAATAACTTTTGTTTTTTGGAAATTAAATAGTTTTTATTAACTATCCAGTATTTTGACAAGTATCATTTTAGAATTTTTGGAAACAAATTAATTCAAGTAATTATGATGCAGTTGGTCTCAAAGTTGTAGATACTTATAACATCATTCTTATTAAATTTTATAATTCATATGTATAAGATTTTGGAAGTTTTTGATAATAACCTAAATTATATAAAATAAATTACCTTTAATTACTTTCTTATAGAGTCCATCCATATCATCTGCTAAAAAAGGTAATTTTAATGATGCCATTTCATATAATACACAACCCAAAGACCAAATATCTGATTTAAAATCATAAGGTTAATCTTTCCATACTTCTGGACTTGCATAATAAGGTGTACCAGTTTAAGTATAAAGTAATCCTTATTTTGCTACTTTAGACACATTTAGATCTCCTAATTTTACTTCATTATTTATTAAAAAAATGTTAGCACTTTTAATATCTCTATGCATCACCTTCATTTCATGTAGTATTTTTAAGGCATTTAATATTTGGAAAGCATAACTTAAGATTTCACTTTCTTAGAAAAAACTATTTGTTTTTATACATTTTTATATCTTCTACTATAAATCTCCATCAGTAGCAAGTTCCATAATAATACTATATATTATATATTTAATTTTTACCATAATGAATTACTGACTGGATCAAAAAAGGCTTCTTTATAACTAATAATATTTGAATGATGAATTGAAGCTAGAATCCTTACCTCATTCAAAGCATTTTGCTTTTCTTTGTCAGATAAATTACTTAAATTTACTTTTTTAAGAGCATATTCAAGATGATCTTCTATTCTTCTTACTTTGTAAACATTAGAGTAAGATCCGTCACCTTTTATATCTATATCCAATACCTAATTTTGATAATATTTTAAAATCCTTTAATGACATGAATTGTTATTCTCAAATGGAATAAATGATTTTGATTTATTTTAATAAGTAAATTTTATTATGAAACAATTAATTTATCAAATATTTTGAATTGAATTTGTTAAAAATTATTAAGAGAGAAAATTAATTCAAAAGAACCAATAAATATAATCTTATAGAGTATTTAATAATAAATTTGAATAAAATTTATAAATTTCCATTCAACCTAAATTCTTATCATTTTTTTTCTAGCTATTGTTTGCATTATTTGTTTATGTTTTATTTGCCCCTTAATAAAATCCAGTTTAACCACCTAATAAAGCAGCTTTTTATTAATCATTCATATGGACAGTCTAAACAAAGGATTTCATAACAAATGTCAATACAGTTCTACCAACCTGAAAAATTATAATTTTTATTAGATTACTTGAATTGCTATTTTATCCATGCATAAAAGATATGGAGATTAAAGACGAACTAAAGTACCGAATTTACTATTATTATCAACTATAACGAAATTGCCTTTCTCATATTTGATAAAAGCATGTAATCTTGATACTGATATATCTGATATCCTGATTTCACATTAATGTCCACGTCCTAATTTTATTTGGTCATCTGGAGTTCCTTTAATAAGATAGATTCCTCTTTAAGCCTTCTTATCCTTTTCTGATATTTATGTGTTTTCAAGAATTATATATGGTTGATTGGGTCTTTCCAAAGCTGCCAAATCTAGAACTTTTCCTTTGAATCTAATTTATTGTGGCAATAATTCCTAACATACTTCACATTCTAATCTAAATAATATATAATTATTGATACTTCTTCCATCTATATGAAATAGTATTGCCAGATTCTTTTTTATAGCCTCTACTTTCTAACCATTATTTAAGGCAATTAAAATGCACATAAGCACAACTTCCATTGCATTTACAAGGAGTTATAAATGGATCTTCTGGGGTTTCTTCTTCATTTAAACATATTTTGCATTATTAAATTACACTTCCATCTATAGAAGGTGTAATTTTAGCTTCTGACTAGAAAACATCCTTTACTGTTCTTATTTATCCTTTACTGTCTCTGATTTCTATCACATGATATTCAACTCTGCCTAATTTTAGAAGATCTCCCTCTTATAATATATAACCCTAAACTGTAATCAATATTAATACCTTCTAAACACCATCAGCATTTTTTAAACTACGAACAATTAAATAATTTTCATTCTCTGTTGAGTTTTAATTAGGTTGAATAAAATATTAGTCTGAATATTAATAAGAATTATACCTCCTTAAGCTTAAATGGATGTTAGAGGTAAGTGTGCCTCATCCTTAATCTTTCCATCTTATATAACTATTTCATTCTCTATTATATTACTAACACTTTCAAACCTTCTCTGCTAACTTTGCATGATCCTTCAACCCTATGTTTTTTAACGCTTAAAGATTTAGTCTCATAATCAAACAATCCATGAGAATCTTTTTGCCATGTAACAGCTTTCATTTCCACACTACAAATATATTGATTATATACTAATTCTTATTCTTAGATATAAAAGGTAGGGTAGTTGCCATTTATTCTTTTTTTTTTTTTTGATTTTAATATAAATTAATATTCACATTAAAAACTCATATCCACCTCAATATTAATATTATATCGTCAATTAACACTTGTTAATTTAGAATTCTAAATACTCAACCCTATAGTTTGATTCAGAATGGTTTTACCTTTTTTCAATATTTTTAATGAATCATATCTATTGAAATATATTTATAGAAAATCAAATAGTAAACTTATGATTTGTAATGTAAATTATATCTATATTTATAATAATTTCATATATGGTTCATTTATCAAATGTAATATAATTGATAGTTTTAACTATTATTTAGATATAATTTGGATTTGATCAATTTTAATGTTCAAAAAAATGAAATATTATAAAATTTATCTTCTTAAAATAACTTAATAAATATTACTTTGAGATTTTAAAGTCATATATTTATATATGAAAACTAATGTTTGATTATCGAAAATCCAATTGAAATTATAAAAAAAAAATAATCATTTAATAAACACAGTACTGAATGGAATATATTTAACTTAGGTTTCAATTTTTTAAATTAAATATTAAATTAATGGGATCTCAATGTTGTTCTGCTCCTTAAAAATAATAAACTATTGAACTGATTATAGATGTTAAAGGAAGTTTTCATTCTTAAACAAAAAAAAACCTTAATAGTAATATAAATGATTAAGTAAGATTGTAATGAAGAGATAAAAGACTAAAATGAAGATTTTAAGGTTATGGGAAATAGTCCTGTAATTATTTTAGGTGTAGAAGATAAATGTGTATAGTAAAGTAAGGCTTATATGTAGTAGGATGAAAGTAAAAATTACTCATTTATCTTGAGAATCACTAAATTATGGTCAAAAGAGGAAATTATCAATGTCATCAGTTGGAACTGTAAAACTTGGAGTAGATGTTTTTGTGAATCTAAAATAAGGAAGCATTCATAAATATTATGTAAAAGGGGAAGTTTTAGGGTAAGGAGCATATGGGAAGGTTTGGAAGGTGACTCATAAGAATAGTGGTAAGAAATGTGTATGATAAAAAAGGGATGGTGAGAGCAATGAAATAACTTAAGAAAAGCTCTTTAATACTTGAAGAATAGAAGAGACTTTTTGCAGAAATGAATATACTAAGAAATTTGGATCATCCTCATATAGTTAAATTATATGAGTTATATTAAGATGAATAGAATTACTATTTAATAACAGAATATTTATCAGGCAAAGAGTTATTTGATAGGATAAAAGAGATGAGTTATTTTAGTGAAAGGAAGGCTGCTTCATTTATGAGAGATATATTATCTGCAGTTGTTTATTGTCATGAATAAAATATAGTACATCGAGATCTAAAGCCAGAAAATATATTATTTGCTAATGAATCACAAAATTCGCCATTAAAAATAATTGATTTTGGAACATCTAGAAAATATGATGCTGATAAAAAAATGACTAAAAAACTTGGAACTGTAAATAATGATTTCATTATTATAGGCTTATTATATAGCTCCAGAAGTGTTGAGAAAAGACTATAATGAAAAATGTGATGTATGGTCATGTGGAGTAATTTTATATATTCTTTTGTGTGGATATCCTCCATTTACTGGTATAAATGACAAAGTTATAATGTAAAGAATAAGTGATGGCAATTTCATTTTTGATGGTAAACAATATTCGAGAAATAGGGTAGATAATGATTGGGCCTTGATATCAAAAGATGCAAAAAATCTTATTACTAATATGCTTTAAGTGGATCCTAATTAAAGAATCTCAGCAAAATAAGCATTAGCAGATCCTTGGATAGATAAACATAATTCAAATGAAGAAGTTAATCGCATAGTATTATAAAATTTACAACGATTTTAAGTATATTTATTAACAATATAAATTAAGGCAAAATCTGTGTTCACTCAAGCAGTTCTTTCATATATTGCTTGTTAGATGACAACTAATCAAGAATAAGAAGAATTAATTAAAGCATTTCAAGTTTTAGACAAGGATTAAAATGGAATTATATCCAAAGATGAACTAATTGAAGGTTATTCATAAGTTTTAAAAGATAAAGAATTAGCAATGCAAGAGGTTAATAAGATATTACATATAATTGATCTAAATTAGAGTGGTTAAGTTGATTTTTCAGGTAATTTAATAGAATATATATATAATTATAGAATTTTTGATGGCTTCAATGAATTAGGAGAAACTTGTATCTTTAGAAAGAGTGAAGGCAGCATTCAAAATGTTTGATGCAAATGATGATGGTAAAATTTCAAAAGAAGAACTTGAAATGATGATTGGGAATCTAGAGGAAAATATATGGTAACAAATTCTAGTTGAATGTAAAGCATAAGGAGAAATAACAGAGGAAGAATTTATAGATATATTACTTAATTAGAAACTTTGATTTTTTAATTTATATCTTAGTTATTTAATAAATCTTAACAGCAATTATAATTTAATTTAATTGAGAATTCTTAAATTTAGAATTTTATGTTAACTCTAATATTGCAATAAAAAATGGATTTTAAGTATTATTGTATCTAGATGAAATCATTTATTTCTATCTTTTTTTATAAAGACATAGAATAATATTTTTTCAAAGTAATCTGAAAGATACATAATATGACTCAACTAATAGATTTAATCAATAAACTTAATCAATAGACTCAACCAATCAATTAGTAAAATTTTGGTATAATAACCATCTAAAAACTTAAAAAGGTTAAATATATTGGTTAATAAAATTAAGTTCTCAAGAAATAAAAAATTAGAACTTAATAATTTTTATTACCATTTTGAATTGTTTCTATTAATTGTTAATGTTTTATGATATAAATTTGTAAAGTTTACTTAAATATGATTAGATAATAATAATTAATATATAAAATTTCAATTATGTAATAACAGATTATTAATTCTCGAAAATATAATAATTCTTATGGGATAAGAAAATTCTAATGCAAAACTTAGTTAAAATTTCATTGTTTTTGGAGTCAATTTGTTATTAGATGAGAAGCTTATGGGTTCTGAATGGTAAAAAGATTAAAGTACTAATTAAATATTTATTATTTTAGTCAATTCTTGTTAGGATTTTACATTGTATAAAAACATTAGTGAGAAACCTAATCAACTTTTATGGTGTCCAAAATATTGTGAAATATTATAGAATACAGTCGAATCTATTATATTAAATATAGAATTCGAGGGTGTTTTATATGTTTTTGAACACACTTAGGATTAAAAGGTTTTGAATGATCATAGAAAATTATTAAAGTGGTTAATGAGTGAAGATTCAATGAGATAATGCTCATTAATTCTATTGTGTGTGTCTAAGTCAAATGATTTAGCTATAAACATTAAATCATAAATGGAAATAGAATTAGATCTAGAATCTATGGATTCTAAATAAGCAAGAAATTTGATCATAAAATAAAAAGACAAGGAAAGCCACTTAAAATTTTAAAAGATAATATAACAATTGATTAAAATGAAGATTGATTCATGAAATTAAATGATTAAATATTTTTAGAGCTTTCATTCTATGCATAGGATAAAAAATGCAATATTACTCAATATAAATGTAGAAAGGTACATGATGACAATCTAAGTTTCATACTCTACATAACCATCTAGTTGTCTATCTAAAATTTTAGGTTGAAGTGTTTAACAAGCTTAACAATTATTATTTACCCACTTATAATTTGCAGCAGTTTATTTAGAGCAAGTTTCTCTATTCAAATGTTTAGCATTTATAGCTTCATAACATTGACCATTCTACCAAACACATAAATAAAAAATTTATTCTCCATGTTTTACTATTCTTGCATTTGTACAATCATTCTCTTACTTCTTATCACTACAAGTTAAAGACTCACAATTTCCTTAAGCATTTTTTTTACATTCAATAAGATTTACATCACATACTTTGAATCCTGTTAGTGATGTACAATCAACTAAACTCTACCCTTTGCATTAATTATCATTACTCCATAAACATTCCTGTTCTCCAGATTAAATTCCTCTACAGGTTTATTCACTTTTGTAATTTTCACATTATTGTAAACCATCAATACAAATCTTATCCTAAATTGAACAATTCTTATTATAAATTGGACAATATTATTCATTGTAATCTTGACAACTTGTAAAATCATTACACATTTCAGTAGAATTCCAAAAACAATGTGGTTTAAGTCTAGAACAATCATACAAATTTTTGAATTAACTACATTCAAACTTTTAAGCTTCATATCTATTTAAATCACTATTCCAATTGCATATATAAGTACGAATATCAGCTTAACCTTCTACTTAACATTCATAAATATAATCTTAACACTTTTGATTAACCCATTTACAATTCATTATTGTATTACAATCTTCTTGCAGTAAAATCTCAGAACATGCACATCTTTAATTAGCATCAACTATAATGCTGCTTCCACATGACAAAAGAGTTAAAAAGAAAAATATCATTTATAAATTTATTTATTTAATAAAATTCTATTAGGTTCTCCAATAACCTGATTGAAAATTCAGTATGAATATGTAAATTTTATTCATTTAGCTTATTAAAATTTTACATCTCAATTATCTCTAAATCTTGAAAAAAATATACATTGAAAAATCTATTAAGATTAATCTGAGAAATGATATAACAAATTCATTAATATTTAAACCTATTGGATAGATCTTGCTTTGATAAAGTATTGTATAGATTCAAAGATTCAATTAAATTTATCCAGTGTAAGAATATAAAAAATGTCAATTTAAAAAGAAGATTTCTTAGAACCGAAAATATTAAATTTATAATGCATATAGAATTAAATAAAAATACATTCATTTAACAATTATCAAATAGAGAATTAAAGAGAAAACCGTTGAAAATTATAGCCCTTTTATAAATATAATATTTTTGTAGAATTGATAAATTAAAATATAAGATTAATATTACTATTGAAAAAAAATAAATATTAACTTTATTATTATTGTATAATATCTTTATATTTAAGATACCTTGTTTAAAGTGGATATAATTTCAAAAACCAAATTAAATATATCCACTAAACATTTTATGATGGCCAATAATATCTAATTTAAGTAATAAATTCTTTTTAATTATTCTGGGATACTTTATATTGAAAATGAAAGCATAATATTTTGTTAAACATTATTCATAAAGAATAAAATAAATATACTGCATCTTTAAACTATTTAATTTATGTATATGAAATTTTTTGTGAAAATAATCTTATAAATTTTATAACATTATAGATAATAAGCCTTATTGATAAAATTGATTAATATAATAATAATAATAATTTAGCATAATAAATAGATCAAATGTTATTTTTTTCTGTAAAATTTTTCAGATTTCTGGAAATGTAAATCATCATAAAAATAGATTAAAAATTAATTTTGCATAAGTTGCTTATATCTTAATCAGGAAATGAATCCATAATGATTGAAATGGACAGATTATTGATATTGATAATTTCTTAATATATTTTTAGTGATGAATTTACTCTTAGAATAATAATAAATTATTTAATGCTTTGAGCAATTTTGAATTGCATACAATTATAAGATAACTAAGATTTAATAGATATAATTAGTTTTTATATTTGATCAATATCATTTTTATATTGATCAAATATATTAGCAATATTTATTAAAATGAATTGAGTAGAGCATATCAGTATGTATTTTAATTTAATCTTAGTACTACTTTTATATTCTGATATTTGATATAGAAGTCTAAGAGATTTATAAATAAAAGTATTTTTATAATATAGAAGTATAAATATAATAAAATTTATATAAATACAATGGTACATAAAGAATTTGGGGATATCTTTAAAAGATTCATATAAATTCCTATTCTTAAAAATACATATGCAGAGCATTTCTATTCAGCATTTTAATTTTTACCAGGACATGCTTTAGAAAGAAATTCTAATCATCTGATTTTGAGATACAAGGTTCCTTAAGAGATTATGAATATGAATGGATCTGTTCATGGTGGTGCTTTAGCTACAATTTTAGATTGTGCTACAACTATAGCTATTCTAAGAGGAGATAGAAATCTATCTAGAACAGTCAGGTATATATTATATAGAATTTAGTATTGAATTGGGATTGTCATTTATAAGTCCTGCAAAATTGAATGATTCTCTTATTGTACATGCAGTTTGTTAAAAAGTAGGTAAGAATGTTGCATATTCAATTTGTGATATATATGAAGAATCAGGGATGAAATTAGTCACAACAGGTAGACATATTAAAGCTGTATTGCCTGGAACATTTTTTGATTCAGATTTTAAAAAGATATCATGAAATATTTATAATAATTTATTCTAAATACCATAATAATAATAATAATAAAAACATCTGAATGAATAAAAAATTAATTATTAGTTTTTATTTCATATTGATTTTTGAATATACATATATATAATATTATTAAAATAGATATGAAACATCGCAAAATTGATACACCTGAGTAAGATTCTGTCAGTTCAGGATATTCAACACCTGATGAGAAGAGTGTTTAAAAGCAGGCTAAAATCAAACACTTACGAAAGCATGCATTTGTCAATAGGATTTCATTCTTAGATGATATGGATAAGGATTCAGATTTAAATAAGAATAAATTAGTTGGCTTTTATAATATGTTATATGTTGTGGCCTTCTATTACTTTATAATAAATCCAATTATGACATATTGGAAGACTGGTTAATGGATTGAAACATCATTGTACAATTAAATGCGTAGAGATCTCTTTATGTGTATTGTAACATGGCCATTAGTAATTGATTTATCATTATAAATAGTTCTATGCATGGAGTCACATAGCCTTGTTGATTCAATATTTAGCAATGATGAACATACCAAAGTTATTAATCTTTTTAATTCAACATGTCAGTCAAATATGTATGTTTGTATATGCACATTATTTGGTTTTAACTAGAGATTGGTACTTACCTTAAGGTGCTTTTGTTACATTTTAATCATGTGTATTCTTCTTTAAAATGCATTCTTATACAATGACAAATTATAAAATGAGAAGAGAGTGGATTGATTAAGGATGTCCAAAAAGTAATGATCCATTCAGTTATCCAAATAACATTAATTTTAGGAATTTTACTAAATTTATAATGACTCCTGTATTGGTTTATGAACCACAATATCCATAATCTGGTAAGATTAGATGGTGGTATGTAATTGTTAAATTTATAAATACAATATCAATGTTAATTATGGGATATATGATAAGTTCAAATCATATATATCCTATAATTTTGAATGTAAATGCTTTAACATTAGTTGATTCAATATTTTAAATGACTCTACCTTTAATATTTTTATGTTTAACATTATTTAACATGATATTTGAGAATTATTGTAATTTTTGGGCTGAACTTACTCATTTTGGAGATCGTTAATTTTATACAGATTGGTGGAATTCAACAGATTATGAAGAATTTAATAGAAATTGGAATAGACCAGTTTATGAATTTCTATATCGTCATGTATATTTGGAACTAATATTTGAATTTGGTTTTGGAGTAAGGAAAGCATAATTAGCTACATTTTTATTTTCAGCTATGTTACATGAATATACATTAGCAGTAAGTTTAAAATAGATTACTCCAATAATGGTAATGTTTATGATGATCTAAATTCCAGTAATGTTATGTACAAAGAGAATAAAAGGAACTAAATTTGGTAATCTATTTTTTTGGTGGGGAATCATTTAAGGATTACCATTAATTTTAAATTTATATCTTAGATTCAATGAATTACCAAAATTATTATTTGAATGAGTATGTTATAAATTATGTAAATATAATCAAATTATTTCTTTAATTCATAACTAAATTATAGATATATTTAATATTTTTAGAATATGATGATATTCAATAATTTTCAGAATTTTATTAGTTTATCAATCCAAAAACTTATATACATATATATTATCTTTTAATAATTTAAGTTTATTGAGATTATAAATTCTTTGCATAAACAATATAATATTAAATTTAGATTTTCTATACTATTATGATATAATATAATTAGCTATTAATTAATGTAACAAAAAATAGGATAAGAGAATATTAGTTTTTAAAAAATAATTATCTTCATTCATTATATTATAAATATATAAAAAATAATCATTATTATTGATAATTTTAATTAAAAACTTTCAGTTGATGGTTCTATATTTACATATGGTAATGATTTACATTCACCATATCTTATACAAGATACACAATAATTTTCATTAAAGAATTTAGATCCTGCACCAAATAAATAACAATCTCTCTCATTTGTAGGTAAAGTTTCAATACAATCCTCTCCAAATAATCTACAATATTTATAATCTTTTAATTGTAATCCTATTATAGGTTTACATTAAGTTGAATTCAAGTCAGAACAACTAAGATTTTAACAAGTGTTATTATATTTTTTACAAATATGACTAAAATTTGAACATATAGATATATCTATATCAGAACAAGTAGTAGCTTTAGATTCAATTTATTTTAAGTTATATAGTGTACAATATCCTTCTAAACCTATTTCTGTTTAATTTAATTAAGCACAACTTTTTCTGATATCACAAATTCCATTTTTATATGTCCAAAAACTACTTATTAATTCACATTCATTATTTATAATTTATTCTCTTTCTTTGTAATTTAAACATTTTCTTATTTCTGAATTCCAAACACATGGTTAATTTGTTATATCTTTGAAACAAGTTGTTTCACTTTAATAATTATCACAATTTAGATATAAAGTTATACATTTACTATTAAAAATGGCACAACCACGAGATAATATACAATAATTCTACATTATTTAATCTCCATTTTCAATACTATATATTTAATTACAGTTTAATTCTAATATATCCACACAAATATTATTACGAAATACACAAGATGGTTTCAATTTCTAACAAGAAGATTTATTTTATAATTATGAACATTTAGTTGCAGATTAACAATAATTTTAATCTTAATTCCAATAACATGGAATAGTAGAATATAATTATTAATTCTATTCACATTCTAATTAAGTACTAGCATATATGCATTCCTATTTATTGATTGTACATTTTTAACAATTACAATTTTAAATTGTTTTATTAATATTTAAACATTCATCTTATGCTATTTAAATACAATTTATATTCTTTTATTCACAATACTTTAATTCTTAACAATAATCTTAAAATATCTCCATATTTTTATATTATTATTTTAAATCATTTTCACAATTTAATTTAATACATTTATCATTTTATAATATGCAAATCCCATCTATTCCAACTGTACCTTAACATAATGATTTTGAATATACTGAACATAATTATAATGGAATAAGTGAACATGTTCTTCCATCAAAATAACAATTTTATTCTATTGTATTTTAACATTATGATTTTATTTTAACATTACTACGTTCACATTTCTATTTCTATTGACATATTTTATTTTAATCAAAATAACAATCTAATCTATATTAATTGCATTAAGTTTAATTATTATAACCTCCACATCTTTTAGCCCTACAATTATTTTCATAATAATCACATTATCCATCTACTCCAATTAATTTTCGGCAATTTTCTGGTGTTGTCTAATATTAATTACAACTTCCTAAAGATTCTACACATTCAATTTGATTAAAAATGCATTAACTTGAATATTTAGGACACCCATCTTGACTTCTCCAACCTAAATCAGCTAAACTACAATCTCTCTATTATTTTATATTACCCCTATAATCATAATAGGGACTACGTACACATCTTTGTTTTTCTTCATCCCAACTACAAAGATAAGATATATTCAAACAATCTTAATCTGAATAAGATTAATAAGCATCACAACCTAAAAACTTTATACACATATTATTATAAAATGAACAGCCATATGTTTTTGAACATTTATCTTTATTATATGAACAGAATTAAGTGATTTATGATTAATAGATATCTATTTATGGTTCCATATATCCTTTTATACAAGTACGATTATTAAAATTCCAAGAACATAAAGGTTTAAGTGAATCACATTTAGTGGGATCATTAAAGAATTAGCATCCTAGAGAACAAAAATCTATGGATTAAGCATTCAAATTAAGAGTGAAGAGTAAAATCATCATCATAATTAATATATATTACAATATTTATAATGAGATTTTGAAATAGATAGCTAAAATTTTATAATTAATTCTTAATTTAAGGTACATTATTAATTTTATTATTCAAATATAAATTAATATTATTCAAGTATTTTTGAATAATGATATTATTTTATCTCTATTTTCTTAAGAATTGCAATAATAATCATCTTTATAATTATTTTATAAACATGTTTAATTAAGTGATGAAGAAGTTGAGTGTCTACGATTCTTACATTCATTGAAATCATAATCAAAAATACATGTATGATTATATTTTTCATTTTAACATTAACTAATTGAAAGTATTTAACAATTCATTATATCCATACAATATTATCCATTCCAAAAACAAAAAGAATTAATTGATTTATAACAACTAATTTTTGATAAGTATAAACTACATCTTGATTTTATAGTAATGCAATAATTATTTGATTAGACACACATATTTTATCTACAAACTTAAGGATTCATACATAAATTTTTGGAATCACAATCATTCATAACTTTTATTTCTTCACATTTTTTTAAATGACATCCATTAGAATCCCATTAACAAATACTTAGATCTAATTAAAAATTACAAGAATTTTTATCTTTATATGATGTACACAGTTTTTCAGCAATCTCACATGTTTTACCATTTGTATTACATACACTAGAAGCTTTATAACATTTTTCTACTTCTGAATATGATAGTTAAGAACAAGATGTCATAGGTCGACATTCTGAATTAATATTTACACATTAAACATTATCATATTATTTCATACTTTAACAATTGTAACTATAATTTTTGCATTAACTTTTTAAAACACAATTTTTAGTATCTGAACTATACATTAGTTTATCAGAAAAATATTAACAAACAGTATTTTCATCTTACCCTAATGTTTTGCTTAAACTTTAAATATCTTTATAAATCTCATATGCACTATAACATTTTCCCATTATATAGAAGCAATTTAATCTAATGCAATCTTTTATTTCTAATCCTTCACAAGAGATAAATTTTTTATTTTAACAATATTTACCTATATATCTACATTCTTCTAAATTATTACATTAATAAATGTCATTATTAAAATCTTCACATTTACCATATCTACAAGAGTTATTCTCCCAAATACATATATATTATAAATCAATAATAAAATTATCAGAATTATTTGTACATTCTTATTTTGTCTAATAACCATTACATCCTTATATTTAAACACAACATCCATAAATATTATTTTAACAAGGGATTTATTTACAACCTAAATTCAATTCATCACAAGTCTTCTCTGTAGAATCAAAATTTAATTCATAATCAGAACATTAATTAATTGTTTAACAAGTATTCTTAATCCATTAACATTTTTTCAATTCTATTGTCTCTATTGTATTACATTCTTATTCATTTAAACTAGTATTACATTCTCTTCTTTCTAAATCTATATTACCTTCTTAACAAAAACTTATTTTTTAATCATATTTCTATGAGTTTATTCCAAAACATTTAGATATCAATAAATATTAATTACAAGATTTATCTTACATCTCAACCATACATTTACCTACTTATGTCTTATAATCTATTTCTAGACATATTCCCCCAAAATAATTCTTATTATAAATACATTAAGATCCATATTAACCAAAATGTTTTTAACATTTCTCATAGCTATCTTCAAAATAATTATAACATGATGCATTCATACAACTTTATTTAATAGAATTTAATTAGCATTTACCTGTAATTGCTGTAATTTAATTGCAATTATATAGATATGAAGAACAATATTATAATTTTATTTTACATTCTATTCCATCAAATTTACAAACATTATGAAATTTTTAACATTTTAATTCAGACAGTTATCCAAATTCATTTACCTTTTCACATCCTGTAAATTAACATTTATCATCTTTCCATTCACATGACTCTTTACTGCCTTATTAATGATCAATCTAACCACAATATTTACTCTCAGATATTTATATACAATTTATTGGTTTCTATATACAAACAGGTTCATCTGTAATAGAAATACAATTAATTGATACTCTTGGACAATTTGATCCTATATTTTAATATGTTTAACATCCAAAAAAAGGTTCACATTTACCATTATAAAATGCACATATTGGATTTTATCTACATTATTCTTCATTAAAATTATTGGAATTGCAATAATTTTATGCTTTTTTTGTTTGACATTACTCATTCTCCCATTCACATGAATCAATACAACAATCCTTGTTTAAAATAGTATTACATTATTAATTTAGTTGTATTGATATGTTAAGGAGTGAAAATATTATTATAAACATAAATTAATATAATTTTATCATTTAATTCATAATGAATATTTTATCAAATTTTTTTTTTGAATTATTTAAAATATTCTATTAAATATGCAAAAATCAATCAAACTCACATTTAACTTAATCTTAATTCTATTCATTCTTATTTTAACTCATTCATTCTTATAAAACAATATTTAGATTCCTTTTATCTAAAGAAACTCAAAACATATCAAAATTTATATTCTCAAATGATTTATCATATTATCCAGAATAACTCTATATTTGAAGATCATTTTATAGAAGATTCTTAAAATTCTATCACCTCAGTAAGATATTATTGATTAGATAAATAAAAATATCAAATAATCATAGTAAATATTCATGTTGATGATTAATTATATTGCTTTTCCATTATTCTTTTATACTATAATAAATAAATACTTAATAACATAAGATTTCTGGAATGTTTAAACTTTAAGACGTTAAAGAAGAAGAAAAGTATAATCCAGCAATTACATAGTGTACTAGCATAGTAAATATACTTCAATAAGTTAGATAAAAGTTTAAAAATCAGATAATTCTACTATGTTACAATAGTATTCAAAAACTATTGAAAAGTTTTAGTTTGCATTGATAAGACTATAAGAAGCTTAATATCAAGATCAAAATTAAGTAATACCAAAATATCCTTTTGTGTTTTAATACGCATTCAATGAGATAATGGTATATTTTTAGAATAATTTTTTTGTAGGTTCATCTAGGAGGTCATTAAATATAATTAAAACAGATAGAAGATTTAAAAAAATATGAATATTAATAATAATATTACTAAACAACTAAGCCTATACCTCAACTAAAACTCTCTGTTTAAAAAAGAAAGGGATTTTCAACTTTAGAACAAAAAGACTCTAAAAATATCCCGAAGAATTACTGTAAGGCAATAATCACTTATGCTTAAAAAAATTAACCTCTATGCAGAGAAATTCTTAAGGAAGAATTAAAAGTAGCTTAATTTATAGAATACTTAACAACTCAAAAGAAGAAATTACTCAATATAAGAGTATTCAAAGCATTATTACAATAATGTGATGATCCACTTTAAAATGAATTCAATAGAACTTTTAGAATAATAAGGTAACTTATTTCTATTAAAATAGTTAAATCTTTATAAAGAAATACGCAATTAATTATATTTTTAATTCAAAAATTGTATAGCATAATTGGCATATTAGATATAGATAATAAATATATAAAGGAATCAGAAATCCAAAAAGCTTTTCACATATTAAGAAACTTTGAAATATTATAATGTAACAAAATTTGAATAAGCTTTTTTTGTAAATAATCAAATTCACCAATCAATTCTATAAAATATAAATATTATAGATTAAGTAATGAATATTATATATGTTATCTTCTTATTAATTGAAATGAATCAGAATAATTTAAATATTAATTAAAATAAATTCAATTAAAAAAGATGAAAGTAAGAACTCAAGTATAGAAACAAACAAAAATTTGATTAGTTCAAAAATAATATTGATTAAATTTATAAAAACATTTAAACTCATACTTAATATCATTGGAATTTAAATTATTCAAATATGATCTGTATCAGTGATAGTAACGTAATGAATATAAATTTAAGACCATCTGAAAATGATCAGTAAATTCTTCAACATTCTAAGACCTCTATCAAAAATATTAAAGTGAATAATAAATATATAAGGTAATTAATAACATATATTAATAGGAAGCGAGGAAGGAGAAATAAAATAAAAATAAAGTTAACGAAAATATTCATAAATAATTCAATTTAGAAATTATATTAAGAGGATGGCTATAAGTATAAAACTATTGCAGGGTTCTGCATTTTCACCACATACATACTAATATTAAATTAATATTGATACTCCACTTGTAAAATCGATACATGAAACACAAATGTTATTTCTTAAGGCAAATCCATACATACATGTTTTACAAATTCCAGAATCATTATATTCTGCACAAAAGATAGTTCCTATAGTACAACCATTATTCTATAGAATATAAAGATGAATTTCTTACTCTTAAAATAAAACCAGGTAAACATTCTGAACATTGTTATCCATTAGGATTACAGTTAGAACAACCATAAGGACAAAGCATACAATTATTTTAACTATCAATTGATTTTAAATAGTATCCTGGTTAACATACTTGACAAGTTTAAGAGGTACAAGTTTTGCATGCTTATTATTGACATTCAACACATTATCCATTTTATAAATAATAGCCATTTAGACAAGAATTACATGCAGTTGCTGAACATGTTAAACATCCTTAATTACAAAGAGTACAACCATTATTATTAATATCTAAATAATAATTATTACCATTTTAATTATTGGAAGAGCAAGAAGAACAAACTAAATTAATATTATTATCAACACAAGCAGTGCATCCTAATATCTTTTATTAACATTATACACATGTTCCTTAAAATAGTACATAATTAGGATAACATTAAGAACATAATTAATCACTATTAATCATCATCATACAATTATTAATATTTTAACTACAAATAAGATTATTAGTATTATTTATATCAGGTACCAATAAATATCCTTAAATACATTAAGTAGGTGTTCCAGTTTCATCATTACAATATTAACTATTTTAAGCACAAATTTAACAAGATCCTGATTTCAAATAATATCCATTATCACACATAGTACATGTAGTATTTGTACATTAAACACAACCTTCACTACAAGTAAAACATTATCCTTTTGATAAATACATATTTGTTGCACATTATAAACAATAACCACTTTGATAACAATTTAAACATTTCATTTCTAATAAAGTGTTGCTATTACAAAGTATACAACTTGAATTCTATAAATAATATCCATTTTAACAACTTGAACAATTATCAGATGAAGTTTTACAAGCAATACATTCAACATTACAAGGTTCACATTATGTTTAAGCATTATTCATATAATATCCTTATGCACATGAAGATGAAAATGAAGGTGTACATTATGTGGCATTTGGATCCTTGCATTTGACACAACTACCACTTCCTATATATATTATAAATATTAATTATTCTACCATATTGATAAAATCCACTTTGCAATCGCTAACCAGCATTCAATATAGCTGTATTCTCATTAGCCACTGGACTATAAAAATATCCATCCATACAATACAAACAAGTTCCCCTTTGACTACATATACATCCTGTTGGACATTGTTCACATTAATTAAATTCATTCAAAAAATAGTTATCTGGACATTTTGAACAAAGTGATGTACTAGAATCTAATTCTTAGCATATAGCAAATTTATTATTTAATGGTTGACTGTATGGATTATTATAGACCATATATACTTCTTTCAATTATGATGTTCTGATTTGAAAAACTGTCAATTCCACACACATTTTACCTTAAATCTGATTTATTAAATTTACCTATTAATTAATATCCATCTTCGCATTCTTAGCAACTTTTAATATTCATCTCATAACCTAATTTGCATTCTTTACAACCTTTGGGACAAGGGATACATATTTTTGTTTTCTAATAAGCTACATGACCAATAGGACAACTGATTTAAGTACACCCCATGTATTCTGTACAAGTACACCAAGGTTAACATTAAATACATTGTTATTAATTCCAATAACCCCAGATTTAGACTTTCTTAAATCTAAATTTTTACCAATTATATTATTCTAATAAGGTATAAAGTTGCATTGATTCTTAAATCTAGTGAATTATTAAGTTTAATTGGAGACTTGAATCAAAACTAAAATAAAAAGAAGTATTATAAATTTCATTATAAAAATTAATGAGTTCAGAAATCAACATAAGACAACTGCTTTATTATAAACAAGTTAATCCCAGTATTATTTTAACTTTATTGTGTAGATCCAACTTAGTAATCACTTAGAACAGTTAAAACTATGCAACATAGACTTAATTAATTGAGATCTACTGCTTAAAGTGATTTTAGACTTACCACTCTACAAACTTAAACACCCATTCATAACTTTAGATATGGATTTAATGTAGATGAACATCAGAATTAAAATTCTTAAATCCATTTCTTAGAGGGTTTTGATCATCCATTCATACATATTAATGTAATAGAATATTAATTCAGAGTTATATTACAGAGAGTAAAAAGAATATAGCACAATTACGTGATTAGTCGAATAGAATACGTTTGGAAATGTCGAATATTATATCTAAACAAGAATCTGAATTAAATCAATTATAAATAAATTTTAGAGAGTCTCTAAACTAAAAATATAAACTATTGAAAGAGGATAATGTGTAATTTATTGAGGAATAATATAAATTATCTAAAGAATACTAAAGACTAGCTAAATCAAAATAAATTATGGAAGAAAAACATCAATTATTATTAAGAAGAGTAGTATAATTAGAAAACATTTTGCAAGGAGTAACACTTGAATTATAACAATGATTAAAAATTTTGATTTCTTTACATATGATAAATTGATATTTGATTATATTTTGATTATTTGAAGCAATTCATGATTTATCATACAGAATAAAAAGAAAGTACATACTTTAATTTATAATCTATCAGCTCTTGACACTTCAAAGACTAATTTTCATTATAAAAAACCAGGCATCTTTTTTGTTTCACTCAATCCCAAAATAATTAGTTTGAAAAATTAAAATTTAAATAATTATTATAATATCAATACTCGCTAGTTTCTTACATTTCCATAGTGATTGAACTAAAATGAGGCATCTTTAGTTATAAAATTTAGAATTCTTATCCATCATCATATAATTGAAAAACTAAATTAAAACCCCACTCTTATTAATTAATTTTATCATTTAGGTTATCTGGATGAATTGTAGTTATTTTATTCCTTAATTGCCAGTTATTCATTTTGTTTAAAATAGTCTATCAAGGTATTTATTAATTTGATTTCATTTCATTAATTTATATATTATTTTTCTTTTAGGGGTAGTATTGGGATTAAATTTTTTAATTCTTAAATAACATAAAAGCAATTATATGCATTTTTTTTATTGAATTTAGCACATTATTATAAATAGGCTGCGGTTCAGATGCCTAACAGCGATCACCTTATTGAAATTTTTTATTCCGAAATTAGAAATATATTTTATAAGTCAAGAATATGCATATGTCATGTATATAATAATAACAATAAAAATAGGTAAAAATGGAATAATATGCTAGAATAAATCATTGGAAACCTTCTTAACTGAAAATACCTGTGACTTTGATGGTGCCCCACGAGTGTTATGTATATTATGTATATAAGTAATAAATAATATTTGCTTAAAATAATAATGTTTTTTTACAAAACCAATAATTACTAAAGGAAGTATTCTATCCATTTTCTTTTTATATTTACTAGGGTATTAAATTTTATTTTAAGGCTACTCTAACAATATCTTTCATAATTTACGGTGAACAGAATTTGATTATAGTCATAGAAACTATATTTATTTAATAACATATTCTTTATTTAAAGCTTAATATGATGTATTTTAGATGTTTATTTATATGTAAATAAATTCTGTTTATTTATATGTAAATAAATTCACTTAATCAGCGAATTCTGATTCTAGAGAGTCTACAGCTATTATTCCAAAATCTATAACTTAAATCTCTAGGAGAGTAATTAATTATCATACACAATGCTCTAAAAACAAGATTGAGGTACAATCTTCTACTTTGAAAATTCATTAAAGAAGATAAGCTATTAAACTTATTATAGATTATATCTAGTATTAGTATTCACATCAAGCAAATGCGATAGCAAATCCTTAGCTTAAGTTGAAATGGAACTATTTTCATATCGAATTTGAATTTGATCTGCATTGAATCCTATTACTTTTAATAAAGTACAATTCCAAAACCCTAAACATCATATTATTAGTATGTCCTTGATTTCCTAAACCTCAGGTTTTAAATAATCAATGGTTCTGCATTGTGAGAATTACAGTCCATCATTTATAGTTGATAATCCAAAGTCTATAAGTTTGATATATCCTTTCTAAAATAAGTTATTTTAAGGCTTTGAGAATCTCTGTATACTATACTATTTTAATTTAGACATTCTAAAGATAATAATATCTAGGCAGCATAAAACTTGGCTATTTCCTCTGAAAATTTTTCATTTTGTTTCAAATAATATAATAGTTCACCTTTACTTATATATTCCCCGACCAAAGTTTCTATCAAGTTTGAAAAGTTTTATTTAATTTAACAAAGAAAGGACTGTCCAAAATTTCAAATAATTACTTCATCCATTTAGATTTATCATGTTAATTATCTTCATAGCGTATAATAATTAATCTATTAATATATTCAAATTGTAATTACTATTCTATTTATGTTAAATTAATATCACTTTGCCAAATCCTCTTCTTCCTATATGCTTTTTAGAATTGATGAAGTGTTTTAATCATTCAATTTCTTAAATGCATAAAAATCATGAGAAATAGGGTTTCTGATTTGCATTCTTTATGATGATATTTAATGCTTTTGTTTACCATTTAAACTAATTATATTTATATATAATTTAATTAAATAACTATGACTGATCAAACAGATATAAAAAGAATAAATGTATACATTCCCTTCATTGAAATTTATCTTCAATTAGAAATTAAGATTACTAGTAAGCTTCAATAATTGGCAGAGATTATTCATTAAGTTACTAGCAATGATAATGAATTGAATATATTTAGGTAATCCTTTAAATATATTTATTTGATTTAAATTTAGAGGAGAATTACTTGGTATGAATCAAGTGATAGCTTAAATACAAGGAATTACTTCGGGTGATCCAAAATGCTATTTAACAGCATATGCTGAAATGACTGGTGCATGATTCATGTTAAATTCTATAATTAACAATAAAAATCACATTTATATTAAAATTATGTTTATTTAGAATTAAATAATCAAGCAAAATAGTTGTCAATTTTATTCTACAGCCATTAATAAAATTCTGGATTTTCTTATGTTTTCTTATACCAAGGATATTTCTCAAAACTTTTAGTGTATTTCACAATTTTCTCAATAAGTTAAAAAGCGAACTAATTAAAAATATATAAAAATACTTTTCTTGCAATTAATGCTACTAACCATGTTGGTACAAAAGACAATTATGGATTAGAATTATTGACAGCTTTAATTTTACATCTTGTTTTATTGATTGGAGTTATTTAAAAGATGTAATAATTTAATTGCAATCTTACATTCTTTGATTTATTAAGTTATAAATTATAGTAATCTAGAAATTATTGATCTTAATCGATTGATTTACATAAGAACAAAATAGTTCCATTTTCTTCTAATCTATCTATACCTTATCCTAAAAATATTGTCTCTCTATTAGAAATAACTGGAAAATATAATTAACTCAGACAAACCTTCTTTGTCTTTGATATTGTTTTTATTGTTGTTGCATGATTACAAAAAGGAACATATTCTGAAAATAATTCCACTTCTGTAATCAATGACATGAGCTTAGCACAATCTGCTTCTATTTCTGCTTCCATTAATAAAGAGACTGTAGATGATTTAGGTGGAAATTTATAAGAAATACTAATTCCATGACTTTTTTTATCCAATGTCCATCCACTTGAATCCAGTTCTATTAAATTTTTCATCATAAATTCATATGAACTCTCTATTACAGATAATTTGATTATCTAATCTTAAGAGAGTTAACTTCTATCTATTTATTATATAGTTTAATATGCCTAGAATATGTAAGAACAATACTTTATCCAATTTGGAGTCATTATCATAATTTAATACAATATTATACAGTTCTTGGCAAGAGGGAACAAATTGAATCTCTGAAAGAATTTATTGATTTTCAATTTATAAAATATTAGTTTCTTGGGCCGAAAATACTATATTAGTTTAACTATTAAGAATTTAGGGAGTTAGTAATTCTTATTATTTTCTTTTTTCTCTCTCAGTGTGTGTTTAAAAATTCTTCAATTATTATGGTCGTGGTGGAAAGTGTTCTAAAGCGCATTCACTAACCAAAATACTTACAGTCCCTATAGAAATCAAAAAATTTGATCATTTATTCATTGGTGTCAAGATCATTGATTAAATCAGTAAGTTGTTCCTTATAAGAATATTTAAGAATGTTCTTACTTTATCAAAACCTTATATGCACACTAATTTTTCTCTTCCAATCACATAAATCTGATAAGCTTCATAGAAGTCATCTCTATTTTAGTACTATTTATGAATTAGCTGTATCTACAACAAATATTTGATAAAACATACGAATTTTTAAAGATCAGATTTCAATTCTTCATAAGTTAATTTATCGAAGAAATTACATTAGAATTCATTTGCAATAATCGAATCAATTTTATTTGAGTTAGACATCTTAGTAATTTATTTATTCTAAATTATTAGATATTTAAGGGATTATTTTTATAATTTTTTACATAATTAGTTTAATGTTGTATTTTACAAAGTTTATATATTTATTAAGTAAGAAAAAGTTGAATAAAAAGGTGAATTTATAAGAGCTTTATAATTCAATTTCATAAAATATAATCAAATGTAATAAATGATAACATATAATTTATGTAAATAATATATTTGTATAAATAATTATTGTCATTTTTTTGCAATCAAAAAATTGTTCAGAAATATAAACATACTAAAAATTATATTTCAGAATTAATTTTTTAAATATAAGAATTAAATATCAATCAAGAATATTAAGTAAATTCTTACAAGAATTTTTATTCTGAAATCATAATTTTAAGCTTTCTATTTTCTCAAATTTATAGTATTAAAAGGAAATTAAAATTATATCCAGCAGTAATATTAATGAAAACAATTAAAATTTCTAAAAATAGAATAATATGAAAATCATTTCAAAAATTTTGGAAGCATTTTTTGATTTTTTAAAATATTTATGTATTAATATATAACAGTGCTATTTAATAATAAATAATTAATTATAAATAAAATACATTATATATTTTCAGCATTCAATTATTTTAGTTAATTAAAAATTATTATTCAAAAATAATTATATTCATAAAAAAAAATTCTTATAAATCTTAGACAATTAGATTTGACAAATAATTACAATGATTTACTTTTAGACCTTTTCATATTTTAATAAAATTATTTGCAAGTCTCTTAATTTATCAAATAGACTTTCTCATAATTTTTAAATTAAAATATTATTTTTCAAATATATATTAATGGAAATAGATATATCACATAATATAGACCTCTAAAATAGATAGAATCAGGTTGGATAAAATAGGTTTTAGTATTTTTAAATGAATCCTATAAGTACAATCTTAGAAAAATCAAAAAAATATATCAAAAATTTAATTCTACTAACAAAAGTCTAATAATATCAATCATGAATCTAATGTTTCCATTAAATTTATGATCTTTCAATAATTATTCTTCAAGAATTTATAAATATATATAAATATGTATTAAGGATCAAATTTTTTTAATTTATCAATTCTTTGATCCGAACCAGATTGAGTTGAATCTGAAGTAGGGTTCAAGTTCAACTTTGTTTTCTTCTAAAAATGTTTTTCCCCATTAAAGATTGCCAAAGAAAATTTGAGAAATTTGTTTGAGTTATTAACAATTTTTTAATGAATTTTCTAAGGTTTGTTTACAAGCCTTTTCTGGTTTAGTAGCTAAGAACTTCTTAATGTCTGCATTTTGTAATACACTAGAGTCAAAGTTGGAGACTAAATATAAGAAAAATAAGATACTTATAAACTATTTTAGGGCTCTAGTATAATTTTTAGGAATATTTTTGCTTTCACCAGGTAACATATGCACTTCCTTTTTTGATATTAGTTTCTTTATTTGAGGTATTTCTTTTTCCTATTAAGCTGATATCTTTTCTAGTGCAGTATCTATTGAGGGCTTCATTTTTCCGCTATAAAGGTTTTTTATTTTCGTAGTGCCAGAGCATACTTCAAAATTTTCTTCAGACTCTTGAACTATTATTTCTTTCTAAATTATTTAAAATAAAATAAATACCTTTGCAGGATAAATTGGATATTAGTCAGATTCTGACATCCATCTATATTCATTCTCACTTCTTAAAGGGGAATTACAGTAAGAGACAACAGGGGAATTGAAGTAAGAGTCACATCCAAATAAAATTTGGGGCTTCGAAAACATTAAATTTTATTATTATTTATGTTTTTGATAATAATAATCAATTATGCTTAAATATAATTTTATGCCCAATAAATTCTTAATTCGTCATTTAATTTATTAATGTGAAAGAAAAAACTTTATAATCCCGGTAAATCCTTATGGGAAAATTAATAAAATTTAAATCTCTTAATAATTAGATAAATAAGTAAATTAAATACCATGGGATCACTCTTTACAAAATTATATTCATCTTTGTTCAATAAAAAATAGATTAGATTAATAATGATCGGATTAGATGCAGTAGGAAAAACAACTATACTTTATAGATTAAATTTGAATTAAGAATTAAAAGCCCCTATCCCAACTATTGGATTTAATGTTGAAAAAATTAATTTTTAAAATATATAATTTACTTGTTTCGATATAGGAGGTGGATATAAAATAAGATTATTATGGAAATAATATATAGAAGAAGGCACAGGAATAATTTTTATAATAGATTCATCTGATCCAAATAGATTACCAGAAGCAAAATAGGAGTTAATGAGGTTTCTTAATGAGAATGAAACAAAAGGGGCACCATTATTAGTTTTAGCTAATAAGTAAGATATTGCTAAATTTACTGTTGATGAGTTAAAACAATTTTTGGATCTTCCATATCAAAATAGATAATGTTATATATAACCTTGTTGTGCTAAAACTGGAGAAGGACTTTACGAAGGTTTGAGCTGGTTAACAAGAATATACAATTCCAAATGATAATATTAGTTTATAGAATTATATTTACACATAAAAATAAATTAAGAGAATGAATTAAAAAATAACAGAATAATAGTATTTATTTAAATCAGAGTTCAATATTAAATCTAATTTAAGAATTTGTTTTAAATTATATAATATGCAGTAATTAGTATTTTAAAAAGTTAAGTAAAATCTCATTAAATTAAATCAAATATATAAAAATTTATAGATAATATATTATTATATTCAAATGATTAATAGTTAATTATTTAATCTAATTTTTAGATTTCTTTCATTTTTATAATTAAGCATTGAAATTACTTGATATATATTATAAATAAAAATGAGATAAAATGATAAACATCCTATCAAATCAAAAATTCCTGTTGCAAAAGGCAAACATGCTTTTGAATGTGGCGGTTAAAGTATTTTCTTAATATTTAGGTCAGACATTTGTGGTGGATGAGAAATATGAATTCATTAAGTAAATAGGATAAGGAGCTTATGGTGTAGTATGCTCTGCTAAAAATAAAAAGAACGGATAGATGGTTGCAGTTAAGAAAGTATATTATATAATTAGTTAAGATTCCAAATGCATTTGAAGATTTAGTGGATGCTAAAAGAATAGTGAGGGAGATTAAATTGCTTAGTAATTCAAATTTGCTATTTTTAGAGTTTTTTGATCATGAGAACATTATTTCCTTAGTTGATTTACCTAGACCAGAGTCAAAAACAGGATTCAATGATATTTATATAATAACAGACTTAATGGGCACAGATTTGCATAAAGTCATTTATTCATCATAAGCTTTGACAGATGAACATATTTAATATTTTGCATATCAAATGTTAAGAGGGTTACTATATATACATACAGCAAATGTTATACATAGAGATTTAAAACCTAGCAATATCCTTTTGAATAAAGATTGCGACTTGAAAATTTGTGATTTAGGATTAGCCAGAGGTTATGAAACTGAGGAGGAATTTAAAACTGAATATGTGATAACAAGATGGTATAGAGCACCAGAAGTTATTTTGAATGCATCTGAATATACAAAAGCAGTTGACATTTATGCAGCAGGATGTATTATAGCAGAACTTTTAGGTCGTACTCCATTGTTTCCAGGTAATTATTAAATTAATTAATAAAGGTGAGGACTATTTAGATTAAGTATAAAGAATTATTTCAGTCTTAGGAACACCTACTCCTGATGATATGAAATATATTGGAAATCCAAATGCTATAAACTATATAAAAAGTTTACCTAAACGAACAAAATAGTCATTTACTTAACTATATCCTAAAGCTAATCCAAAAGTTTGTGAATTATTAACTAAGATGATTACATTTAATCCAGATAAAAGATACACTGTTGAATAATGTTTGGAACATGATTATTTTGATGGATTACATAATCCAGAAGCTGAACCTAGATGTGACAAAGTATTTGATTGGAGTTGGGATAATTTTGAATTAAAAAGAGAAACTTTATAAAAAATGGTTTATGAAGAATCTTTATAATTTAATCCAGTCAAATTGTGAAATAACTATTAATATAAATTTTTATTTTTACTAAAGATCAAATATTTTTTGAATCCAATATTTCTATCTATTCCTATTTTATATAATTAATATCTTTTTACTTATTCTTAAAATTATACTATACACTAATAAATACTTTATATTATTTTTCATATAACAAAAATGATTATCTATTATCTTTTTAGTAATTCTTAAATTAAATTATCTCAAAAATATCTATTTATAAGTGAAACTTAAATAAATAATCCTTTTATTGATAAGAAAAAATTAATTATCAAAAGTCTTCATATTTTAATTTATAATTTTGTTTAAAAAATAGTTTTCCTATTTTTTTTTTATTTTTTTTGTGATAAAATTATTATAGAATAATCTAAATAAATATTAGAAAAAATCTAAATATTTAGCACTTAATCCATATTTAATTTTCTATTATAGTACTAATATAATTTAGATTTGACCAAAATACTATCTGAATTATATCGTGATGTAGATATACTATTTTTTGTATATCAAATAAAATTTTAAGCTCTAAATTTTCTTTTTTATAAATAGAATAAACAAAATAAGAAGTAATCTTCATTTAAAATCAATTATTGATTACTTATATCCATAAATATGCTAATATGATTAAATCATTTTAGATTATTTAGATCCATTATTTGATTGAAAAAGAAAAAATAGTTGTCAAATATAATTATCATTATTTATAAATTCAAGGCAAATCTATAAAATATAAGATAGTAGCAATTAATTAAACTTTTGAGTATTATAGGATTTTGGATCAAAAAGATGTAGAATATGAGATTCAATTGATGATTGGACTTATTATTTTAGAATTTATTTAAGGCATGACCAAAATATCAATATATTTTATTACAATTAAATAAAAATGAGAGAGTAACAACATTTTCTAATTTAGTTTACAATCCGAATTGAGAACTCTTTATATCAAATTAGGCATTTTCTATGTGTTTTTAATATTTGATTTAATTTGGTCATCCTTCATTGAGCCAACGACAATGAATCAAATATCTTAAGATAATAAGGAAGGATAAACCTAAATTTTATGGATGAGTTCCGTCCACATAATTATAACAGGTATAATTTTTGTATTATTCTGCACTTTGATGTGGTAGACATAGCCACTAAAGTTGGGAATGATTAAACTCTTAATTAAGTATTCAAGCTTTTCTATATTTAGAGATTTTATGTATGTTTTTTTAATTAGTGGGGCTATGCTTATTATTGTTGTAATTGAAAGAGTGGCTATATTCATAACTAATACGAAATCAAATGCAATTGTATCTGAAATAATTTAATCGAATTGGTCCAGTTTTTTTTATTAATTATTTTATTTTATCAGATATCTTTTGAGACCACTCTACATTTTTGTGATGCTGCATGGTTCTATGAAAATTACAAAACCTTATTATCACATGAGAAATCCAGAACTTTTCATAAATTGAAATCTAAATTATGTAGTGAATTATAAATTTAACATATAAATAATTATGTTGTAATTTTGGTATTTTCCTACTCCAAAATTTTATACTCTTCCTAATCACCTAAATAAAATATAAAAAAAATATATAGATCTAGTTAGTGTTATCTTAAATTTTGATTTGTATTTTTAAAACAAAATGTTAAAATATTCAGGAATTTTATTTTCAAAAATATCTTAAATATATTTTAAGTCAACTATCAAATTTTAAGGAATCAAATAGATAACATTTTTTAAATATGGAATTAAATTTTCAAAGGTTTATACTTAGGATATTATCTATTTTAATTTAATTATTAAAACTATATTGAATGCCTAAGATATCCTTATAAAAAATATATTTTTAAGAAATATACATAGAATTTATTTATTATACATTAGATCATATCTTAACTGAAGCTATGATATAAAATAGATAAACAATTATTTTTTATTCTTTTTTTAAATATTTGATGAAGATTTATATTAATATGGATAGTAGAAATAATTTATTATTTAATATTTAATCTTAAAAGTTAAAATTAGATTATCTGAGAAAACAATATCATCATAATTTAAGATTAGATACTTAAAATTCATTAAGGAAAGAGAGGCATAAAATGATAAATTGCATTTATACCCTTAAATAAAAATACATAGAAATAAAGGTTTTATATATATTCAATTTCGTTATCATCTACTAAACTATGAAAAAAAAGCAGCTTCTTTTGAAAATAGATTTTGTACAGCTTATGGATTAATTCCATCATTTTTATAATTATCTGTAACTGATTCTTGTGGTGTCGCAAATGATTATTTAATATTGACTTTTTTTTTAGATTTTTAGTTTTATTATTTATTTCCATTTTATAGATTTTTTTATTATTATGCTTACTTCTTACTATTGTTAAGTTTATCATAGATGTATTCTTTGTACATTGCTTACCATACTAATTGTTTACATGCTTTTTCTTATTCACTAAGGATATATTCTTACTCATCTGATTCACTTAAAGAAGATAAAACTTCACAATCTTTTTATTCATTAACTGCTTCAGAAAATGAAGTAGGATCTTCTTATTTTTAATTATTTTCTAATTTGTACACTTCAGGTTAAACCTTTAGTAATTCTATCATTTCTAATGCTTTTTTTAATGTGCTTTCTTCCAATTATTTAATCTCATCTTCTGTCAATCCTTTTCTCATTTCTTCCTCTTATTGTTTGATCCTTCTATATGAGGGAGGATCATTCACTGGTCCTGGGATTCCAGTTTCAATATTCTCAATTTATTCAAATTATTCTCTTGTCAATTAGGATAATCCTGTTTAATTAAATTCAGCTAATCTTTTTCTAATAGTTTCATCACAAACTTAAACTGTTTTACAAACTTAAGAAGTTGATACATTTTCTCCATGAAATCTAGCAGATATTAACAATGCAGCACCACATAATGATGAAGGTCTTCTTCCATAAGCCATCCAATCTAACATCATTCTTTTAATTAATTTCATAGCTGTATCAACAATTTGCTTATGTTTATCTCGGCTAAGAATTATATTGATTGAAATACCCTATTTCTAATAGTCTTACAAATTTAGGTATATAAATAGAAGGATCTAAATATTATAAACTTTTTGCTAATTGAACAATTTAAGGGACTTTAGCATCTAATTTTACAAATTTTAATAGTTTTAAATAACATTTTGCTACTTTTGTTGCAGACTCTTTCTTTATCAATTCTGAAATCTCTATAAGTAAGTATGGGGCATTTTTGCATCTGAACCCAAAATATAATGCTTTGAAATTATTATAAATTCATTACCTGCACCAGCAAAATATTACCCATTTCTAATTGAATTTTCACTTTTATAGAATTTCAATAATCTTCTGGCTATTTCAAATGCCTCTTTGTACTCTTCATCAACAGCTAGCTCTTAATCTAATTATTTTAAGGTTTTCTCAGTTTCATGAGGTAATTAATCTTGATCCTAAAACCTAGTATCTTACTAGTGAGCCACTTTTCCACCATTTAAAAATTCTGCTTGTTCGTATAAGTCAGACATTAATTAAATAAATATTAATTAAATAATCTTTTCTTTACAGCTTATCAATGTAATTTTAAGTATATCTATATGATTAAAAAATATCTAATCTATTAGAATGATATACTCCAACATTATTGATTTATATCCCCTATAATTTAATTATAATGATTATGCTTATATCATCTTTAATATTAATATTAGTTGTAGACTTTAAATATTAAAGTAATACCTATTATCAATAAATTTGATAAATAACTTATATTATTTAATTGTAATTATTCATTTTATTTAATGATTATCACTCTTAGATAATTTGAATAAGACATAAACTTCTTATTATATATATAAATATATGATCATAATTTTAGTCATACTTTAACCAATAAGTAAAGAAGAATACTCAATTTAATTGAAGTAATCAAATATTCAAAATATAATTAATACAAACATTAGAATTACAAATTAATTACTAACTTTAGAGAGAAAAATGAGTATCTTGATAGATTCTTTTCTTTTTTTATATATATTGTTAATTTGTATGTTTTTTATTTGAATATTTAAAATAGACCTAGTTGTTCTATTATGTTTTTTGGAGAAACATTTGATCTGTAATGAATGAATATATTTAATAAAGTAATTGATCATAAGGTAATGAACAATGAAAGAACCTTCAAATTTATAGTAAGAGATGCTTTAATTGTTGGCTGCAAATAGCTAAGATATAATAATTAATTATAATGTTTCCTAAATCTTGTGATGAATTATTTTAATGTCGTCTCTTCAAAAAAAAGTTTTTGGGAACTTCTGCAAGATATTTTTATGTCTTTTTGGATAAAGTTGTTGTAAATAAGGTAAAATAGTGAGTAAATTCATTTAATAGGAGTCTAATCGTAAAAGAACAGATCGTGTTTTTAATATAGAAAATACTAACAGAATTATTTGGAAATACACGACAGAACAACCAATCAAATTGAAGGGAATCACATTAGACAATGGTAATTAACAATAAGAATACTTTGGAGAAGATGATGTACTTCGTGAATTAAAAAGACATATTTCTAAGTTATTCTTTTAGGCTAAAGTTCAAGAGGAATATGTGGCTATTCAAGTAATTGGATAAGGAAATTATGCTTTAGTATAAATTTAACTCATTTAATATTAGGTTCTTGAATTATAACATTTACATTCAAATCAAAAGTTTGCTTCAAAATGTATAGATAAGAAAAAATTATAGGCAATTGAATAAGGAATGGTAATTAATCTATTTATATCCTATAGGAATCTGTAATGAATGAAATTTAAATAATGAGAATTTTAAGTCCCCATGAGTAACTCATTAATTTGATTGAGGTCTATGAAGGAGATAATAATATTTATTTGATAATGGATTTGGCTTAGGGAGGTAGTTTATATAAGGAAATGAAAAATAAGTTGACCTTATATAGTAGATAAGAAGTCTAGAAAGTAAATATTATAATTTAAATAAAAGATTATGTATTAGATATTATCAGGATTAAAATATATTCATTCTAAAGGAATTATGCATAGAGATCTAAAACCAGAAAATATTCTCTTCAAAGAAAAGGGGAATCTAAACACTTTAACGATTGCTGATTTTGGTTTATCTGTTAAAGTTGATTCATATCCATATCTATATCCTAAATGTGGAACTCCAGGATTTGTAGCCCCAGAAATTGTAAATATGATAGACAAAACTTAATCCTATACAACAGCATGTGATATATTTTCAGCTGGAGTTATTTTCCATATTTTGTTATTGGGAGAAGGCTTATTTATTGGAAATGGACATTAAGAGATTTTGAGTATGAACAAATAATTCTAAGTTGATTTTGGAAGAAATAAATATCAATAATTAGATTCAGATGCCAGAGACTTATTGTATTGTATTAAAGACTATTATTAGATTTAAGATGATAGCCTAAGATGCTGAACAAAGATACACAGCAACATAATGTCTTAATCATACATTTTTTTAAAATGAAATGGTTCCATAATTAAAATTAAAAATGTAAGATTTTATTATTTAAAAATTAGTTAAGAGAGTCCAACTAAAGTTACTTTTGATCATTATTTAGATACATACAATAGTCCTGATTAAAAATTAATGAATAAGGATAAAAAGAATTTATCAATTGTTACTCGTACTCCCATATATGCTCCTAAGGCTAGCACTCCTGAATTACCAAAATAAAGATCTATTATGGAAGAACTTAGTCCAATAAGTTCATTTTCTTTAGATTAACAACGTAATGAATCAAATAAAGAAGATTAATTTTAATTTATTATTACTAAATGATTATTATTTATATATTATAAAAACTATTAGATATTTAATTATATCATAAATTTTAAGTCTTATAATATATAAAATCAAGTATTATAAATCTATAACATAAAAATAAATAATCATAAATGATATTCTTAAATAAGTTTTTAAACTTTATCTTTTAAAATTGGTTTAATTATAAAACATTTAATTCCTAACTTTTCACCTTCTTATTTCAATTTATTATCATCATATCCAGAAACAATAAATATTTTAATATTTGGTTTAATCTTCAGTATTTATTCTGAAGCTATCATTCCATTCATAACTGGCATTTCTAAATCCATAAATATGGCTTAATATCCAGGGCATTATTCATTGCATTTTTTTGAATTTACACATTTTATTGCTTCTAAACCATTAAATGATTTATCTATTGTAGATTTTGTACTAAAATTAAATTAAGAATCATATTACAATTATGATATTTACATCTCTAAAATATTTTAATTAAAGACATTATCATCAACAATTAAAATATGTTAGCATATTGATTTTGGCATTATATCAAGTACTTTTTATTAAAAAATAGAATCATTATATTCAAAATTTTCTTTAATAGGATTTTGATCATAAGATATTGGAAAATCAATAGAATTACTTAATTATTCTATTTTATTTGATGTTACTTTAATATGAAAATCTTAAATATTTAATGTTAAATAAAAGAAAGATCCATGATTCTTTTCATCATTACTATTAGAAATCACTTATAAACCTTAATTATTATATGATAATTATTAAGCTATTTTATTACTTATTAATAATCCCAATCCTACTCCTTATTCATTCAACTTTTAATTTTGAGCATCTTTTATTTTCCCAAAAGCCTTAAATAGCATTTTTTATCCATCTTCTGATATACCTATACCAGAATCTTTTACTCCAACATTAACCAGTAATCCTTTCTATTCAAATTTTATAATAATTAAACCAAACTATGTAAATTTCATAGCATTAGCTATTAAATTAATAAAAATCTATTTTAATCTATTTCTATCAGAATATAAAAATAATGGTCTAGTATTTGTTTAAATCTTGAGATCTATCTTTTTTTATTCTGCTTATAATTTAAACATCTCAAGACACTCTTCTCCTAACTCTAATAAATTAAAGCTTTTTAAATTCAAATTAAATGTCTCTGCTTTTATCTGAGCTAAATCAAGTAGATCATTAGCTAAATTTAACATATATGCAGCATTTTCTTTAACTATCTAAACACTTTTAAAAATATGTTTATTCTAAAAAGAACCTTCTTTTAATTCACTCAAAATATTTAGCATTACATTTAATGGAGAACGAAATTCGTGACTTACAAAAGATAATGTCTTAGATTTTGATTAATTAATATCCAATAATTCTTTAATATTTTTTCTATGAACAACATCACGAGCTATAATTAATAAAATATTCTCTCCCCCAAAAGTTATAATTAATTCTATCTATTTTTTATTATTGTCTATCTCAAAACTTGTCTCAATAATCATAGCCTCCACTTTTCCATTAATCTCAAATTTAAGCTTCTTTGTTGTAAATACATATAGTATACATCTTAAAACTGTATTAAGCTAAATTAATGAAAATTAAATAAATTACTTAATATGAAAATGAGCCCGCTCCTGGAGATTAAGTACTAATTCTATTTTATTTACTATCCTTTTTAGAATCTTAAGAAATTGAATAAACAGCATTCAATACTGATGTTCTTTTAGGAATATTTTTATACTGTTAAGAAGCAAAACTCTATAATAATACTAGAGAACTTCTAGCTAACATAGGAGATTCATCTTAGAGTACTTCACTTGGCATTTTCTCAAATAATTATAAAAGTTCTTTATTTGTCTTTTAAAACATTTTCTTACTAAGTTAATTTTAATACTCCACTTTAAGATTAGGTTAATTTAGATCATCTGATTTTTCAAAATGAACTAAAATCACACCTTCTTAAAGTGCTTCTAATATCAAATTAAAATCAATATTCTAATGAAGAATACTTTTGCTAACAGTTTAAAAGTCCTCCATCATTTCACTGACATGAGAGGATGATGATTTTTAAGTAAAACAACGTTTTATTTAATTTTCATTTTAAACATGAGTAAATTAACATTTTTCTCCTTATAAAGATCCTATTTTTTATATTTGAGACTCTTTATTATTATTTTTCTAATTCTAAGATAATAAAAATATCATAAGTAAAATATGTATTTTATAGTTTATAAGACTTAAATATTCTAAATTTAATTTGATGTTTTTCTTCTAAAATTCTCCTTCAAATGAAAAGCCAAAAAATAGCAATAATAAAAGAGCGTATTTAGCAATTTACAATTACACTTTTGATGTTTTCTCATTATGTAAATCTCCTTAAACATATATAATAATAATAAAAACAAAATTTTAATGAACCTCATTAAAACCATAAATTATGGACTCGATTTGAAAAACTATAAAATCTACAAGTATAATAGAATATTATAACAAATATTGAAAGAGGGTTTTTTTTGAATAGCATAATATTTCTAGAGTAATTTGCAATATAAATAAAACCATCATAAAAGTAATGTATTAATCCTTCTCTCTATATAACAATAACAATCTAATAAAATGAAAGATAAGTAAAATTATCATTGAAATTTAAAGCCTCCTTGAAGTTGATAAATTTATATTCATTTTAATAATAAATATTCTTAGAAAACATTTATATTATGGTTTAGATTGATCTAAATTTAATTAATTATCCATAGAAACCCTCTCATATACTAAATCTATTCAATTAAGTGAATAAAAATTTAGTTGTAAAATCTAATCAGTAAATAATTTTCAATATGAGAGTCTATTTTTAACTTGATATACATAATTTGATGTTATAATTAAAGAGAATATGATTCTGTTAAGAATATAATAAAAGAATGATTGATAGAGAAATTATAATATAAAATTGAAAAAATACCATAGTTAATATAATTATCTAAAGAAATTAATATAAATATATTAATTATAATAGAAAAAAAAATAATATTTATAAAAAATAAATAATATCGTCTTCACTTTAATATTTAAAAAAAATATTTATATGAATTGATTGAGGATTAATGAATTAAACATTATACAAAAGCTTAGAGATCAATAGTTTAAAGGTAATGAATTACAATTATTAATATTTTTAATTATAATCAAAGTAATATTCTCTTATTGTAAGTTTTTTCTAAATTGTTTATATATTCTTGATGATGGATGTAGAAATCTTCAATAAAATTAGGAGGAAGATTAAAGCTGTGTTCTGGCTCTACTTCATCTTAAAATTTAGCTTCTAATATTTTTTTCTAAGATTAAACACATTTAGATTACTGCTAATTCTTCTCTTTCAATTTTTGATCCTCCATTATGTTTTAGTCTAATATGTAAATTCAATGAAATGTCAGTCCCATATATTTTATCACATTTTTGATAAGGACACTATTAATGTGTATAAAAAAAAAGTACTTAAAAATCTCTTTTGATAAGGTTGGCAGTTCTACGTTTTTTTTTGTTTTCTTATTTTTATGGTTAAACGAGGGTGTAATGTTCTGTGATTGATTCCTAACAAAACTCATCAAATCTGGCTTACTTCCAAATAATCAAGGCGTTTAGCCAACTGATTTAAATCCTAATCTAAATCATCAATGTTCCTGGAGATTTGTTAAAAATTCATCATAAGCTTTTCTATTGTACTTTTAGTACATGCTGGTGGTTTTTTACCCAAGAACTCTATTTACTCTTTTTCGCTTAACATACTAATTTTCTAAACTATTAATTAAATTGAGGATGTTTGCATACTTAGTATTTCTACAATATTTCAATATTATTACTTTAAATTAAAAATCACAAAACCAAAGAGAATTGTTTAAATAATAATTAATAATAACAAGGACAAATGTTCATAATAGGTTTTAGAATATTAAATATTTAAAAAATATGATTATGATAAACATTAAATTGAATATCTTAGAGAATATAAGAAGATAATTTAAGTAATATAATTATACTATATTATTGAAATATAATTATTAATATAAACTTATAATTATATTAAGAAATTATAATATTAATATCTATAAGAAAAATAGATTTGAAATAATATGTATATTTGTATTTTAATAATGATTCTAATCAATTTGCTAATAATTTTCTCTTAAGTTATCCTAATTTCGAAGAAATCAAATCAACAGCTACAGCAACAGATCTTTTTTATTTAATTCTAAAATTATCAATAATATAAATACCTGCTAGCAGTGTCAGTTTCATATTCTTGTCTCTTCAATCTACAATCATTTTCTCTGTTTTCTTTTTCTTTAGATTTAATTGTAATCTTTTAATCAACTTCAAATTTTTCATTTTTAGCTTACTGAATTCTATTTGATAATGAATCAATCAATCCTTAAATTGATATATATATAATTATACCTTCCATATAAGTTTTATCTTAATTGGCTTTAACCAATTAATCTGATAATAAAGTTCTCAAATCTTCATAAGAACTTTATCTAAGATTTTCAGCTTGATCTTCTCTAATTCTTTCTGATTAAATGTAATTTTCTATTTATTTAAGGATGGATAAAACTTTTCTAGTTAATACTTCACATTAACTTGGTTCATCTGCTGATGTTTATGCTTTACTAGCTAATTGACTTAAAATTTCAATTATGGATTTATAACCTTCTAAATGAACCTTGTATAATAATTTTAATTGATTACATGATGTTTTAATTTATTAACTTTTTGTGCAACTTAAGCAAATGAAGAGATTCCTTTAGAATCAATATCTTCTTCTACATCTTCATCATTATATTAGAATGTGAAATCTTCTTAAAGGAATGATGGTTATGGTTATTAGAATCTATTTCTATTTTTAACCAATACATCTAAATATTTATTAAAATATCCTTTAACTTAATTAACTCCAAATAATGCTTATTCAAGATTATCAAGAATTGTTTAATAAGTAGCTGATTCTTTTTATCTCTTTAAAGTCTAATAATCTAATTCTGCTTTTAAATCTGCAATTTCTAGATTCTTTCTTTCTAAACTAGCAACTGCTTAGACTTTTTATGGATTTAATGAATCTAAATCACTCTTTAAAGTAAGTGATGTGACAGTGCTTGTATTAATAATTTCTGTCAATTAGCTCAAAGCAATATCACAGTTTTATTTGAACCTTACAATTCTTTCATCATCTCGTTTTTATTCTCCTTCTAATGTTTGTTCTAAGTGTTGCATAATATCAACTAAATTAGAGACAACTGGATCATCTGTTTACATCTCCATTTGAATTGTTTGTAAAATTGTTTATCCAAATTAAGTTTCTTCGAGTTCAGCAAATTAATCTTCAAATTCTGTTGCTAGACTACCCACAATTACCAATACAAGAAGCAATGCTATTTTCATTTTTAATATAATTAACAATAAAAATCCGTTTTACACTCTATTTATTAATATGCTTATATATAAGATAAAGTTAATCTTCTAATACAATATATTCATTTTTAGATCATTCTCTTTCTCTTCTAATAACTCATATACAAATAATTCAATAATATTATAAGTAAAGATAAGTTGATATACAATTAGATTTATTAAATAAACTTATATAAGTAAAATTGATCAATAATAGTGTGCTATTTTTAATTAACTATAAAAAAGTTTATTTTCATACAAAATTTAGAATATAAATTTAATTTTTTAAATGAACTCAGAAATTATTGAAGTGTGTTAACATTAAAAAGATAATATTCTTGTTAAATTGAAGAATGGAGAAAAGAAATGGTTTAAATTTGATGAGGTTCTTAAATAACAACCTAAAATGCTTGCTTAATGGCTTGAAAAATAAGTATTTTTTAGAGAAGTAGAAGAAGATAAATTATATTGATATGTTTTTGTTTTATTTAAATTCATAGATGATAACTCAATTTTAAATTAATCTATTTAATATTAAAAAAGCTAATTAACCTTATTATTACTAATTGTTCCTTAAATTTTATTATAATTTCAATAATGAATAATTGATTCTCAAAAATCATTATCATATTAATCTAATTCAAAACTTAAATTTAGTAAATACATTTTGTATATAAACAATTAAAATTACATTATTTTGCTCATTAATTTATTTTACAATCAAATATACATAATATAATATAAATGTGTTATAAGCATTTATAAAATTATATTTTGTTTAATTTATAATTATTTTCAAGTTTATTACTTTTTCTAGTAAATTCTTTTTAATAAGAGTTGTGATTCTAAGCAAAATTTATATAAATTATCTTCATATTCTAATCTGATTAATTAAGATACATAAGTAAATGGAGAACAAATAGTTTCAATTAATACAAGTTGAAAAACTTAGTGTAAGTAATATAATATAAAATTTGAGAATGATCGTCATCAATATATTAAAATGATATGCTATATCATATAATTAATGTTTTTTTTTCAATAATATCATTCAAAAATATATCAATTTATTAAAACAACAAAATAATCCTAGAAATGAAGAAAGAGTAGCATAAAATCAATGAAAACACTTAACCTAAAAGTGCATTAAAAAAAGAAATTAAAAAAGGGAATTAGAGTATTCAGATCAAAATAACTTAAGCTAAAAGGTTTGATAGAAAAGGACAAGAAATTAAATAAGGTTCAAAATATGAGATCACTATCAATGATAAAGCAGAATTATTCACTCTGAATAGTGAATAAAATCAAATCGTTAATCTAGATTCATCAAATTCTTCTAAATAAGAGAATACAGAATGCTATACTAAAACTAGCTTAAAGACTTTAAAAAGCTTAGAACTCAATTCAAAGGAGGAAGCGTTTTTGAAAATGTTGAGTTATAATTTCGAAAAAAATAAGAGGAAAGGAAAAAGAAAAGAATGCTGCGTTATTTGGTGAAAACAATCACTTATTGTATATATTATTTTAATTTATTAATAATAATATAATAAAATAGAGTCAAAAATATTCTTATACCATTTATATATATAACTTTTAAAACTTAAAAGAGCAAGCGACTTTTTTAAAATAGAAAGAGATATATTCAAAGTCAACAATTTAATTTTGCATCTTAAATGCTTGATATTACAACAAAATTGTATAAAAGCTGTGTTACGAAAATTTTAATTTTTTAATACCTATTATTATATTGAAGAATTAAATTTAATGAAATAATCAAATCTAAATCAGTTATATCATTTTACTTTCTATTTTCATGTATCGATTTCTTGAAATAGTATTTTAAGAGATTTTGATAAAGTATTTCTGTATTTAAATTAAATCATCCTACATTAACCATTTATAAAATAGTTGAGACATCTAAATTTTATTTATAAAGAATTTAAGAAAATGATTATTCATAACTCATATTTGAGACATCATCAACTTTATTTATTGTATCTATTGCTATAATCCACTAATTAATGCAATCTTCTCTTCCAATTCATTTCGAGAGACTTCAAAATAATTTAGAATAGTCTTTTTAGGTTGAATGTCACTTGACACTTTTTCTGAGTTCTGATTTTTATATAGTTTTTTCATTACTCTCTTCTTTCTTATTCGTTTTTATCTTAATTTAGGTGCCAAGAGTTGTTAAGAAACAGTACAAATATTTTTTAACTGTTGACAGATTGATTCAAATTTTTGATTTTCTGTCATACTAAAATCTAGATTTGAGTTATTGATTATCATGTCATCCTTAATCATTTGCATATTATTATGATAAGGAAAATTTTGGAAAAATTAAATTATATTATTTTCTATATAGCATATATTAAATCCGTTTTAATATATTTTTAGAAATTAATAGACACATACAAAAAGGATCTAAACTATGATATTTCTACATTTATTATAAATATAATAATTATTATAATTAATATTTCAATAAAATAAAGAATTATAAAGTTAAACTATTTAAAATCTAATATTATTAAATATAAATCTAAAAAACTCATTTTTACATCACATTCAAAGTTTTACCATTAATTCTTTATTAAATTATTAATTCAATTTGCTTAACCATCAACTATTAACTCTATTAAAGAAATATAAGAAGTTTATATGTAATTATTGTCTACTTTATTATAAAAATAAATCTGTAGAAGTTCAAAATATTTATAATACTTAAATTTCTAACATATAATTAAACCTTTCTATATCAAAAAAAGTTGATTTAGACACTTAAATAGATGATCTTTAACTTTGATATTCTTTGATAAATATTGAACTTATTACGAGCAAGTTCTATTTATCTAATTTTATACTTAAGTAGACTGATAAATTTAATTTATAATTATAAATTAATGTAAAAATTCTCTCCCTTAGCCAATTCTTAGAGATCTGCACCCTCATAAATGAAAACATTGGGTTCAATGGGTCATTCCAATGTAGAAGTACTTTTGAATGAATATTTTAATTTACCTATGATATCAACTAAAAGCTAAATAGGAAATTAAGGAACTCCTATAATTAAGCTGAACAAAATATCTAAAATTGAAAATTTGAATGAATTAAATTAATCACTTACTTAATAGAACAATAATATACCACTATAAGCTTTGATTAGTTAAGGAGAAAAAAGTCTTAAGCTTCCAAATTACAATTTTCTAGAGAAGTACTATTAAAACAAAGTCCTTAATATCACTAAATAAAGAAAAATAGAACCAACAAAGTCTACTAGACTTTAATATGAAAACATAAGAGAAAGAAGATATTCTACTCAAGAAAAATAATGTGTTCAAAATTTCAGCAAATCAAATAATGGTTCACTATATTCTTTAGACAAAAACTTAAAAATAGAATAAGATTAATATAAAACAATTAGTAATGAATATAGGACCCAATAATTGATTCCAGATTTGAATTTAGTTTCTCATCATAATTAAAAATCAAATGAAATTGAGAAGTTGACTTAAAGAATTGATTTTATAAGAAGAAAGTTAAACATATATGTAATTTTTGTCTTTTCAGCTATGGTCATTTCAAAAAAATTTAGGTATTTATAAAAATCATATTTAAAGATTTCTTAAAAAAGATGATACTCAAATTATATTCAAACTAAATACTAAACTTTCAAGTTGCTAGAGAATCATAAACTAAAATGGATTAAAATATATTGAAGAATAATAATAATAATTTGTTTAAGTAATTGCAAATAAAGTCATTTATTATTTTAATAGTCAAAAATATATTGATGAATGTAATTAGAGTGATGAATTATCTAATCCTATTTTAAGTATGGACTTTAAAAAACTTAGAGTTCAAAGTTTTTCTAAGTTAATATACCAAAATTTGGAATTACTTACTAGAGAAAATAATTTTCCTGAATTTTTAAAATGTTAATTGATAACTAGTCTTTATAAAACATCAAAACAATAGACTTCATTTTTTGTAGGAGAGAGATGTCATTTCTATTAAACAAATAGAATCCATATTTTAAGGGAATAAAAATTAGCAATAGCTATGGAATATTTACTTTTTTAAATAATAATTCCAAATTTACTTTAATTAGTGAATAAATAATAATTGAAACTAAGAAATCATCATATATCTGTACATTCTAATAATAATAAATGTAAAATTTAAACTTAAAAAATATTTATTATTATTGCTAGTTTAATACATCAATAATTTATAAATAGATTTTAAAATATGAGAAAAGTCAAAAATCCTAATGGTTATATGGTCAATAAAAGATTAAATATAGAATATTTAGAAAATAATTTATTTAATATTGAGATTAAGGTTGCATATAATATAGGTGATAATAACTAAGTTCTTGAAGGACTTATTGAATAAGAATAACTCTAATAATTTGAAAAATCAAAGCCTATTTGGAAATCATAATTAGATAGATTATTTGATAAGATCTTATAAAATACTGAATCTCTTATAGACTTTTGATTTTTTATATATTATTCACTTTATTATTATATTATGTTAATAATCGTTTTTATATAGTTGATTTTAGTGAATTCGAGTGTAATTCGTAGATCAGAAACAAAAGTAGATGAATAAGGAAGAAAATATCATTATAGTGAGAAATATGAGGAGGAATTTTCTTATGAAATTTAGAAGAGATGTTCTGATGATGATTCAGAAGGTTAATTAGAATTTGAAAATGGTATTAAATTAAATAATATTCAGATTTGAAGTATGATGAAGACTTAGAAGGTAATGTAGAAGGAAAACATATAGATGGAAATGAGGAACTTCAATAATAAAGAGATGATCAATAAAATGAGAATGAAGATGAATAATAAAAGGAAGATGAAAAAGTAGAATTAAAAAGAGAGAAATAGAAACATATTAGAAAAGAGAAAGAAATTGATGATTATGTGTTATTACTTTAAAATGAGAGTTTAAAATTACATTTGATTGCTAATTGATGAGAGAAACAATTATTTACACATTTGATTAAGATTGAGTATTTATATTTAGATCATCTATCATTTGCATTAATTAAATATAGAAATCAATAAATACAAATAAATAGAAAAATCAAAATTATAAATTTATTTAATTATATGAATTAAGAAGTGGAAAACAAAGAAACTAAAGAATAGAAAGACTAAATTGAATAAGAATCAGATGATAACGAGAAAAATGAGAAAAAAGAATAGATATTATAATAAGAATAGAAAAAAAAGAAAAAGAAAAATAAAAAGAAAAAGAAATGGGGAGAAGAAGGTATTCTTGAAATAATAAAAATTAGAAGAAATTATGACTGATTTTGATGATGATTGGTAAAATAAAGTTAAGACATCTCATATTTTACAAGATCCTGATCTACCTTAGCATATTAAAGAAAAATATGCTATTTATGAAAATAATCCTTATATGATGATAATATCAAATGTACCTCTAAATGTATAATTAAAAGAATTGGAAGAATATTTTAATACTCTTATCACATCTCTTGATCCAAAAATCAGTATTTATATAATTATAAATAAGCCGAAAGACCCATTAAATCTATTGAATATGGTGCTACAAAGTCTTGGGTAGTTTTGGAATGTAGTTCAAAAGAAGCTAAAAGGGCATTAGTTACTTAAGATTAGGTTTAATTTGTGAATAATTGTAAAATAAAAGTAGAAAGACCAAGAAAATTTCTAGAAAGGATTTTAAATCCATAAACTAAAGAAGGGGAATTAAATGCTGAATAAAAATAGGAAGATAATACAAGATTGTATTTGGGAGGGTTACCTACTTATCTAAGAGATGAAGATGTGATGAAATTAATATAATCATTTGGAACAATTAAATACTTTAATTTAGTTAAAGATACTACATCAAATACAGAGATTTCTAAAGGTTATTGTTTTTTTGAATATGAAAACACTGTTTCAACTGCAAAAGCTTTAAAAGCCCTCAATAATTTATAAATTGGAGACAAGAAATTAAAAATATGTAAGGTTTAAGGAGAACCATAATAAAATAAGAAAATTAATGGAAGAGATTAACCTTCTAATTATGCTGGATCATTTTTAGCATCATGTGATTTGTTGCGAATGCCATAAGTGTAATAAATGTTAACAATCCCTTAGTCTGCTTTGATTCCAAGTAAGGTTGTATAATTTTTGAATATGGTATCAATTAAATGATATATTAAAAAGTGTTCAATTGAAGATTTATATGAAGATGATATATATGAAGAATTAATGGAGGATATAAGAAGTGAATGCATACGTTTTGGATAGATAGAGAAGATAGAAATACCAAGACCAGACAAAGAATCAGGGTAAGATATTATTTATTATAATAGATTTTGTAATCCAGCTGTGGGAAAGATTTTTGTTAAATTTTATTATTAAATACCTGCTAAAAAAGCTAAATTCCATTTAGCTGGTCGTACATATAATAAGAGAACTGTTATTACTTCTTTTTATCCTGAGGAATAATTTGATTATAAGGATTATTTGATAAATGGATGATTATTTATGTTTTATAATATTTTTATAATTCTATTGATGATAAATAGATTATAAATTATAATCATCCTCCTCTTCTAAATCTTCTATCTCTTTTAGGTAAATCTACTCCATTACCTGCACAATTTTATTCAGAATATGTATTCAGATTAGGATATGGTTGTCTATCTGAATACTTTCTCATATCTTCTGTTGATTACTCAGCATATTTAGTAAAATGTTTTCTTGCTTATTCTGCATATGTTGGATCATGTTTTTGACCATTCAAATCAGTTGCAGGTAAACAATCTAAATTCAATCTCTTTCTTTACTTGTTTCCATATAACTAATCTCTTTGGTTGTTATTACAAAAACCAAAGCAAACACTAGTAAATATTTCATTATTGAAAACAAAAAAACGATATAATTAATATTAAATCACTTCTTTTCTGGTTCATATCCTTATCTTTAATGAGCAACTTCTCTTGCTTTAACCAATCCTTATTCTCTATAATTTTACCATTCATATCCATGATATTTTGTGAATGATCTTCTATATAAATCTGATGTTGCTTTTGCAAACCCTTTTAAGAATTTTACTAAATCAGCTCTACATATTATTAATATTATTTTATACCTTTCCTCTGCACTCTCTAATAATTCTCCTCTTTATAAACATTTTGTTCCTTTACACATAGCTTAAGGATCTTTAGGCCACATATATAGATTATAACTATTCCAAAATATTTTTGAATCCAATAAGGCCATTGTATATTCTTCATATACTCTCTAACTAGCTGCTGGTTTATTATAAATTTGAGCTAAAGATGGTCCACTAGATTCTTAAAATGAAAAATCTGCTGCATATGGTTTTCCTGTAAATATTTCCAAAGAATGACAAGAAGCACATGCACGCATAAATACTTTTGCTCCTTATTTTAAATCACCATCAACTGGTACTAATTTAGATTTATCAGCATTTGTATTAGGATTTGTTAAATTTCTATATGTCTTTTTTGCCTTAATTGTTTATAATAAAGCTTCTCTAGTTATTGCTTCATCAATCATTTGCTATTCTTTATGCATAGCTCTTATTTCATTCTAAACATCATCTTTACTTTTTCCATAAGGATTTAATAGAATCTTTTTCCATTTCTCATTTGGATCTTCTGACATTCTATAGTTTAATTTATTATCACATATAAAAATTCATATTTTCAATTCATCTTTCAACCTTTTTTCCAATTCCTCATCAGTCTCCTTTCTTATTAAATCTTCTTAATTTTATACAATTTCCTCATAAATGTATCCACTAACATCCTCTCCTGTAATAATATCTTAAAGCAATTTTATATTAGGAATTTCAGCATTGTCTTTTGTTACTAATACTCTCAAATCTTCATATAATTTACTATCATATTTTGTCTCAAATTATATAACATAATTTGATTATCTATATTTTTCATTCTTTATAATACTTTATTAGTTACCACTTCTTCTTCTATCTTATTGTTTGATACTGATATCACATCACTAATATTTAATAATTCATTATCTATAACATTGACATCTAAAACTTTTTTATTTCCTAATTCAATTAAACATTTTTTTTAATCCTTAGCCAAAGTTATTGATTAAACCAATTTACCCAAATATTTTCTACCAGTTACATATGATGATATTGTTTAAATTGAAAAAAATGCAGGAATCAATGTAACCAAAGGATTTATATAAAAATAGGAAAGTCCACCTGCCATACCCCATAGAGTAATATATATTGCTGCAGATCTATTCAATTTGGTTGAAAATCCTTATTTTTAAGCAAATTCTAAGTACCATCTACATTAATTTTGTTTTAGAAAACTATGTAATTATTGAATATTTTATTGTTCTGAGTATTGAAAGCTGCAGCCATTTTGTCTATTTATTAAGATAGATAGTCTTCATGGTCTAGAATCTTATCTATCTTTTCTTTTGAAAATCTGAAAATGACTCTTCTAAACAACATTATTAAAATTTAATAAGAATTGCTACATAAAATATGAGAAATATAAAGGATTAATATCTTGAGAAAAGAGATATTATATATTAGATGCAGATATAATCTATTTTTAAGTAGTGGTTATTTCAAAGTAACAGGGGATTACTAGAAATTTATTTGTCTCAATTTTATTATAATTTCTGTTATATCCTGACCAAGAATAATAGATAGATAGCAATCCCATATTAATTAGCAAAGGAACTAAAGTAAAATAACACAAATTTGTTCAGATAAGCGCATATAGAATAATATAATAGATTGTAATTGGAGATTAATAACATATTTAGAAGATACATATTTATTTTTGAATATGAGTAAATGGGAAATAATATAGAATTTATACTTTATTAGGATATAAGAAAATCACAATATATAAAAGTGATCATTATGGAATATTTACTAATAAAGAATATTATGATGAAATTAATTGTATCATTAAATATATTTAAGTAATTAATTTGCTCTTTGACATGTAATTTCATGTTTGCAATGGATGACTATATCATTTAAATATAATGTTATTTTATTTTGCTTTAAAAAGTTCACTATTCGATTATCACTAGAATTATGTTATAAAATAGAAAAGGTCACTAAATTAATAAAAGATTACATTTAATTAATTATTTGCAAAGGATATAATCTTGCCATTCCTTCATTTCTTAATATGTTGATATCAAGAGAGTCAATAATCCATTGTTATATAGATCGATACATTACTCAAAAGTACTGTTTGAACATAAAAGAAATAAACCTTCTAATTAATGATATAAGACTTGACGATCCTCTAAGATTAATTAAATAATTACTTTCTCTTTCAACCAATTATAAAAATTATAAGGGAATTTAATTCAAATGAATATTTTAGATTATGTATTAAGATTAATCACAAAACAACTATTTCATTATAATAGATGCTTAAGTTCTTATACATTTATCAGTAGTTTTATTATTTGACTGATGATGATCAATAATAATAAGTAACTAAAAGAATATATCTGGATGTTTTTCAATGATATCAAATTTCAATTATTAATCATTTAATTTCATAGATTCAGATATTACTTATAAAGCAGTTTATCTAAGTGAATACTATTCTTAAACTATAAATGCTAAAGTTGTGAGTATTATCCAAAAATTTTGATAGAGTGTAAGATTAATTGTGAATTGAGATTTATCAACAAAGTAGCGAGCAAATAAGAGTATTCTACTTAAAAAAGAGTGTTTAGTCTCAGAATATTTTTCATTATTTTCTAAATCTAGTTCAATGTCTAAATAATTAATGCTTCTTAATTTCTTGCATAATTTATCTAAAATTGATATAAATTATTTAACATCCTAAAAAGGTATTCTACTATTAGGTTCAACAAATGTAGTTATCAGATACATAAATGTAGACATAAGATTATCATCAGACTCAATTTCAAGATCTACTATTTTGTTTAAACTTTGAACAATTTAAATTTATATTAATGTAGCTTAACAAAGCAATGATGATTATGATAGTTATCCAAGTAGATATAATTATTCATCTAAATATACTAAATTCTATTCTTTCTCACAAATTCCCAATATTCTTTAGCCTAAATGATAATCTTCAAAGAGGGTTTCTAAATCATCTATTTATTTAGACTCTTTGCACTTCTTCACAATTAATTATATAAACAAAATTGTTGAATTTGTTAAATCTCTCTCTAAAATTGTTTTTAGAAGAGGTATTTTCAAAATATTAAAATTTTAATCTGCTTCTACTTGATTGCATAATTCAACTATTTCATCATCCATCTAATCTTAATATTATTAAACATCATTTTTTAACATATTTTTTTTCCTACTTTCCATTAAAAATGCCTCTAATCTTTGCTTTCTAATTTGATTCCTAAATTACTCTTTTTTTTAAGATAACATATATTTATTAATATTATATTAACCTTATTTTTCTTTAATCATTCTTTTATTATAGAACAATATGAATCTATACATATTACTTAATTGAAATATATAATATTTATAAATGGATTACAATCTATATTTGTTTTTATGAAGTCCTTTCAAAATCAATCTTATTTTCTTAAAAATACAGAAACAGAAACAGAAACAAAAGCTAGAAGCATTTTAATTAAGCATATAAATTTTTTTTTATTTTAAGAAATAATACTATCTATAAGTTGGATTATGAAGTTGAGTGAGATTAGTAATAAATTCTATGAGTCAAATATATTTTACAATTCATTCTAATAAATTGAAAATGGATAATATGTAGACTTATATGAATTCTTTTATGATATACATTTAAAATTTGAAGGAGATGAACAAAATGATTAATAGTTATAATCAAAGCTATTAAATATTCTTTACTTCAATTCTATTTATTGATATTAAATCTCATTATATATATATATATGAAACTAATCTAATCATTTCTTCATAGTATTTGCCATCCATTCCATACCTTCACTTAAACCTAAACCTGTTAATGCACTACATTTAACTCTAATTTTTGTATATATAATAATTCACATACATTGTCCAATTTCTTGATTTCTCTTCTTCTAATTTCAAAAACTCACAAATTTCTATTTCACTCAAGGCTCCTTACATATCCTGCAAAATTAAATATATAACCATAATAAAACTTGTTTATTTGCCAAAATCAATAATGGAACATTTTTGAGTTCTTCCTCTTATAATAAGGTCATTAACTCTTCTTTTGATGTTTTTAGTCTACCTTAATCAAAAGAGTCTATCACATAAATAATACCATTTGTATTTGGGTAATAAGATCTCCAATATAATCTACACGTATACATTTAGTTGAATACCTTATAGCATTTTGACCTCCCAAATCCCAAACTTGAAACTTTAGATTTTTATAAGTAAGTGTTTCCACATTAAATCCCATAGCTTTATAATAATTATTATAGTTTATTTACTTGGTGCAGTTTAGATTACTTCATTCAAATGTAATTTATCTTTTAAATAGATTAATAATAAATACATAATATAGTTGTCTTTCCAGAGTTATCTAATCCTAAAATTAGAATACGCATTTCCTTTTATCCTAATAGTGAATTGAATATTTTAGAAAATACAAATCCCATTATTATTAATTTAATGAATTAAGTCAATATGGATAAATTACTTTATCCAATAATGATGTCAATACGTAGTCTCAGAACCTATTTCAAATAAGAAGATGATAATAATCGCATAATCCTAGTATTGATTCCTAATTGATTAAGGATTGCCAAAATAAGGTGGAAGCATTTGTGCTTTCCATAATGCATTTCCTTCTTGATTTAATAGTTAACGGTTCAGATCATACATCAATATCTTTCAATAAAAATGCACAATAATTATAAAGAGAATTAAGAAACAAACTTGATTGTATTCAAGACTTTGTATAAAGCAAAGATGTAGCAAATTTAAAAAAGAATATTTTGAAATTTTATGACTTTAAAGAAGGCTTTAGTGAATCAGAGAGTGAAGATGATGGAGTTAGTCTTTAAATCAAATTGGTATGAGCNATGAAACTAATCTAATCATTTCTTCATAGTATTTGCCATCCATTCCATACCTTCACTTAAACCTAAACCTGTTAATGCACTACATTTAACTCTAATTTTTGTATATATAATAATTCACATACATTGTCCAATTTCTTGATTTCTCTTCTTCTAATTTCAAAAACTCACAAATTTCTATTTCACTCAAGGCTCCTTACATATCCTGCAAAATTAAATATATAACCATAATAAAACTTGTTTATTTGCCAAAATCAATAATGGAACATTTTTGAGTTCTTCCTCTTATAATAAGGTCATTAACTCTTCTTTTGATGTTTTTAGTCTACCTTAATCAAAAGAGTCTATCACATAAATAATACCATTTGTATTTGGGTAATAAGATCTCCAATATAATCTACACGTATACATTTAGTTGAATACCTTATAGCATTTTGACCTCCCAAATCCCAAACTTGAAACTTTAGATTTTTATAAGTAAGTGTTTCCACATTAAATCCCATAGCTTTATAATAATTATTATAGTTTATTTACTTGGTGCAGTTTAGATTACTTCATTCAAATGTAATTTATCTTTTAAATAGATTAATAATAAATACATAATATAGTTGTCTTTCCAGAGTTATCTAATCCTAAAATTAGAATACGCATTTCCTTTTATCCTAATAGTGAATTGAATATTTTAGAAAATACAAATCCCATTATTATTAATTTAATGAATTAAGTCAATATGGATAAATTACTTTATCCAATAATGATGTCAATACGTAGTCTCAGAACCTATTTCAAATAAGAAGATGATAATAATCGCATAATCCTAGTATTGATTCCTAATTGATTAAGGATTGCCAAAATAAGGTGGAAGCATTTGTGCTTTCCATAATGCATTTCCTTCTTGATTTAATAGTTAACGGTTCAGATCATACATCAATATCTTTCAATAAAAATGCACAATAATTATAAAGAGAATTAAGAAACAAACTTGATTGTATTCAAGACTTTGTATAAAGCAAAGATGTAGCAAATTTAAAAAAGAATATTTTGAAATTTTATGACTTTAAAGAAGGCTTTAGTGAATCAGAGAGTGAAGATGATGGAGTTAGTCTTTAAATCAAATTGGTATGAGCTAGGTCCACTTATAAGGCAGACGGGTAAGATGAAAGAGTTTAACCCTGAAATACAGTCACTTCGTATTGAATTAGACCAAAAAGAGTAAACCATAGAAGCATTGAAATAGAAACTGAAGTATCGTTAGAGCAGTATGGAATAAATGGCACATAATCATCATAAAGAAGTTTCTGTTCTCAAAGCACATTTTGTATTAAATCCATAACCAGAAGATCCATAATCTATTTTTGATATTAAGTATTTTGATTCAACATAAATGCTTGATCCAGAAATAGTTGCTTTAATGAATGAAAAGATTAATGATATTAAAAATCAATATGAGCGTTATGTAAAATAATTTATGGATAAATTTTAAAAACAGAGAGTTCAAAATAATATTGAAGAAAACATTAAGTAACCATCATTGTAAGATTTTACATCAAAAGATCTACTAAAGATTGCTCTTGATAAAGAGAATAATCCTTATATTTTCTTTAAGAATATATAAGATCTTAAATCTATAAATTATATTTTAAATGTTTTGAGTAATTAATAAAATTAATATGGTATTGACTATGATAAAATTAATAAAGCTTTTAAAACAAAAGAAGAAGATTTAAAAAAAATAATAGACACTAGAATTATGATGGAAGATTGTTAAGCATAAATAAATGCAATATATCTTGTTGATTTAGAGAAAAAGTAAGAAGAAATATAAGAGTTAAATTAAATGATTACTTAATAAGATATTGAATATAAGTAATAATTGAAATTAATTGACGATTTAATTTAAAATAATAATGAAAATTCTAAATAAATGATTCTAAATTAATAATAAAAGATTGATCATATGAGATCTGAAAATCATAATCTTTCAACTATGTTGTTAAATTAAAAATAACATTCATAATAATTGAAATAACAAAATTAATTTTTGATGAATAACTTAAAACATATATTAAATATTTTACTTAAGAAATAAAGTTAAAGTATTTAAGGATTAGATAAATATGATTTAATAAAAGAGAAATCTGCTCCAATTAAAGATATTCTTAGTAAATTAAATAATTTAGAAGGGTATGATCTTGTTACTTTAATTTAAGAAGTTAGATTTATTTTATATTAAATTGAATCTGTTAAAGTTGTAAATTAAATTTTAGGAAGAGGTAAACTTAATAAATAAACTTAAACTATTAATTATAATTAAGAATTAATTGAATATAAAGAAGAGAAAAAAACTAAAGATAAAAAAGAATAAAAAATAGTTCTGAAACATTTAGAAGAAATTAAATAAGAAACTATTAAAAAAAATAAATTAAAGATTGCTTCTACTTAAACTGATATTATGAATGAATTTAATTCTACTTAATATCATGAAAATATTTAAGATTAAAAAACTATTATATCATAAAGTGAAAAATGTGGAACTGTTTCATTAAATATGTTATTGAAATAATTACAATGTTCAATAGAATAAAAACCAAATAGCATTAGAGATTTGACTCCTGAACCTTCAATAGAAAAGCATAATTCAGTTTTTGATAAATTATATATTCAATAGAAATAAGAAAATCCTAGATGGCATTAATTGAAACCATTAATTGAAAAACTTACAGAAGAAGAATTCAATGAAGTTATCAATACTTTAGGAATATATTCATCTAGACAATAATAATAATAAACATAGAATACAACTATGGAAATACCATTATATGATATAAGTAGAGTATAATAATCTATGATTTAAAAAAGTTCATATAAAAAAAGAAGAGATTCAAGTGTTGATTAAACTAGAAAGTATATTTTATTAATTTATTAAAGTGTATTTATTGAATTAGATGAACAAAGAGAAAATGCATTAAAATTGTTTGAATAATAGAGGATTGATAATTATAGAAGAAGAATTAAAAGATTAGTACCTGTTTAACCTAGTTAATGTTTATAAGTTGAAGAAAAGTTAAGACCAAAAAGTTAAATTAGAAGTACTTAGTAAAAGCCTGGTTACTGAATTTAATATATATCATTTCTTCTATAAGAATTTTAGTAGTTGAGAGCTTTGATTATTTTATAGACGAGTATTTGAAATTTATCTTTGCAATGCTTATAAACTTTTACCAACTTAATCAAAACTTTGACTAGATAATGTTTATTCTGGTTTTTACTTATTTAGAATATAATAATAAATACTCTAATTAATGGTGATTCTTTTTTCTTGCTTTTGTTATATTTAGTCAATTTCTCTGTACTTAAAGATTATTATGATTGTTCATTTAATTTTTCGGATTTTTAAAGTCTATGTCGTTTCTCTCCTTTTGAATCCCTTTATCTTTCTGTTGCTGTCATTTTGGGCTCTAAATTTCTTTATATATACATATCTTTACTGAGTTTCTTCATTTATTCTCTAATAACCACATTCTCTTTTAGCAGATAATTATTTTCTTCCCTTTGAGAGAGAACGATCTTTCTCTGTATTACATATTTTTAATAAAGCTTTAAAATTGGCTTCATTATTCGAATTTTATAGACTTTTTTAAGATTTGTTGGAGACTAATTTACTCAATCTTTCAAAAGCAGATGGTGTCTTTTTATGATGAATCTCTTTAGGTGAATTATCCTATAATTTTTTATGTTAATCCTATTATAAAATTTATAAATCTTTTACCTTAATGACTTATTCTAAAGATTTTATTTTTTCTTATTATTATTTTATAATAATATCCTTTTCAGATGTGATTTCATCTACTTTTTATAATAAAGCATCAATTTGCAATTTCTATTATTGTTCAACTCTAATATGAATTCTTATAGATGCTTCAAGTTTTTAGATTACTGCCTCGTAATCATTGTTTAAATGTTCTTCTAATTATTCTTCAAATACAGTTTTTACTCTTTTGCATATTAATTAGTAGGGTACCTATTTAAATAAGCAATGATTTAAAGTATATATTCATATTATTACTTTTCTGATTATTCACAAACTTACTTTACACTCACTTAAATGATTTGTTGATAAGTTTAAATAATGTCCTAATTCAAAGAAGATAAATTACTCTGTCTATTATATCTGCAATATCCAACAATAATTACTTTATAGTATTACTTTGCATATATATATATATATATTAATTAATCAAAATTGCAAACCAGATCTAGTTAAGTGAATATTACTATACTAAGGGATTGAACCTTTTAATTATAATATTATCTTTTTAGTCTTTCTCTGATCAACACTTACTTATTCATCTCTTTATGTTTAAGAGCATGAATAATCTTATTTTATAACAGATTATTAGAGTCTGCTTTTTTAAAAGCATATTTATCTCTTCTTGTTATCTTATTGTAATAATTTAGTATCAATTGATTTTCTCAAAGGATAAGACGTTTTTCTTTAAGAAAGTGAACGTTCATCTTAATTTAAGAAACCATTGGTATTAAGTATATTCTATTAAGATTTGTTTGACATTAATTTATTAATCTTTTCATAAGCTGATGGTGTTTTTTTCTGTGTATTTAAATCCAATTGAGAAAAATGATTCAGAAAATTAGTTTATTAATTTCCTACACTTTCAGTATATTTCTCTTACAACTGCAATTACAATTTATGAATTTTTTCCTCAAATTACTTCACCTAAATTTCTTTCTCTTTTATTAGTTCCTCTATTTTGCTATTTAGTAATTCAATCTGAAGATTCAGTTAATATTATGTTCTAATATGCTTTCTTACAGAGGCTTCTAAATTTTATATAACAGTCTCATAATCATTTTTAATATGCTCATTTAATTATTACTGTAATTATTAACGCATCTAATCGATTGATTTAAAGAGCTATATTATATTATATGACAATGATGTATCATCTTAATTAAGTATTTACGACTAATCAATATCATTATCGATTATACTCTCTAATTTATGTTTATTCATACATTGTCCATCTCCTAAATCAAATCAAAATACAATTATGCTATAAGTGAAGGTTTCTTATTCCTTTTATTCATTAATATAATATAATTTCTTAATTTTATACTTAAATTAAATACTAATTTATTTATCATCAAATACTTTCTTAACACATTATTACTTCAAATCTAATACATAATTATACATAGATAATTTCTTCTTAAACAAAAACATTTGGATCTAAACCATTAATTTATCTCAACTGTATATTAATTATTGAGAATTTCAATATAATATTTTACTTTAAATTAGCTAAATATTTATCAAACAAAAATATTTAAGAATGAAACTTATTAAATATAAATATATTAATAAAATTAAACTAGAAATATTATTATTATCTAGATAAAATGACATTATTTTATTTAAAAATATATTATTTTCATCCACTTTTATAAAGGATAATGGAAACTTATCCCAAATAGAATACTATAAAATGTTCTATCTCATTTGTGATATATTAATTGAAGTTTCTACCTACAATACAATACCAAGTTGGATTATATTTTAAATCAAACTCCATTTTTATAAATGCCTAATATTAATATTATAATACAGCTATTTCTTTTTCAATTAAAAATTTTTCTAATGCTTAATTTGCACATTTAATTGCATCTTATTACATCTCATCTGACATAAAAACATTTTTTACATAAACTTTTCTATCTATTTAAGCCATCTTTTAGTTTATTATTTAAATTTATTAATAATATATTTTTTCAATTTTTTCAATTTTTTTTTTAAACCTGCCTATTTGAAATTGAATTTTTATCCTTTTTATAGTATCTTTTATATAAATATATTAAAGATACTATAATATTACAAATAATTCATTATAATAAAATTTTAAACTAAATTTATAATTAATGTAATATGATTTTAATTTTATATAAAAATTTTTAATACTAAATATTAATCAATATGGTCTAGGTACATTAGTTTATTCTTAATATCTTTTAGTTTTAGGTTTACATTCCGAAGCTTTAAATTCAACAATACTATTTGCTTCACTTATAGGCATTAATTATTATTGTTGTATTATAGATTTGCTTAGATTAATGATATAAGAATGAGTCATCTATTTTTCTTCTGGTATTTCTCTTGATTTAATATATTATTTATTTGAAATGTTATTTGAAAATAATGAACTATCCTTAAATTGATCTAGGGTAATATTGCATTTCTTTCCAAATATAGCAAAAGTGAGTAAATCATAATCGAAATTGTTAAATTAAATTTTTTTGTTTTTCATATAATTTAGAAGAGTTGTACAGTTTATTATATCATTATGTTCACTTAGATTTTAAAAGATCTATAAATAGGATATATTAGATTACTTTAAACATATTGAATTCATCATTGTTAATTATTTATAATTAGCTATCCTTAATTTATTTAATCACTCTGATTTATTGAACAAGTAATTTTAGAAGCTATACTTATAGATCATTGTTTGTATGGTCAATGATAGTATTTGATTTATGAAGTAAAAGTTTCGTTAAGTAATTCTATGATTTTTAAAAGTTTAACAATTACATTAAATTATTGTTTACTGATAGTAAATCTATCTTTATCACCTATAAACCATATAAATTCTATAATATCCTTATAATTGATAGGATAGAGATTCTAAACGAAAAAGTTTAACAAAGTATTTTTCGTAATAGAATCTTCATTGTTAGACAATAACACAAAAGATCTATCTATATTGTCAATATTATTAGAGTATAGAGTTTGTTTGATAGTTTAGAGTTTCTGTTCATAATAGGAGATCATTTTCAGATAAAGTGCAATTTATTAGTCCATTATTAAATTAAATATATATAAATTCATATTATCAATTCTTATTATTGTTATTATGAATGTTCTGTGTCATTAGATTTGATATCAGAAATACATTTATCACTGGATAAAGATTATTCTAATTTATCAAATTTATTTAATCTTAATCTTAAGTTTAAGATTTTATCACTTAATTTTAATTACTCTTCTTTTGTATCTTAAATCTTTTTTATTAATTCTTATTTCTCTAAAATACAAGTTCTAGTTATCTCTTATATTTAGAATGTCAATTATTCTATTTTTTTTGTATATTCTTCAATTAACATAGTTTTTTCTTATAAAATTTCATCTGGAGTCTTTTAAATTATAGCTACAGCATTAGGTTTTTATTTATTTCTTTAAGCTTTAGGCATCTCATTAAAATCAAGATTTGGTTATTTTTATCTAATCTTTTACTCTGTCTTTTTATAATATTCATCAAATAGTTAAATTTTTCTCTTTAATTGTTATTTTTAAGCATTCAACTTTAAACTTAATCCTTATTAAACTTCCAATTCAAAATATTATACCTTATTCAAATTATGTAACTGTATAGTTTCCTATTTCAATTATTATTTCTTTTCTTGTAATAATTTTATTTAATCATCACTTGTATTCTCCTTTTTACCTTGTCGTACTAATTACAAACAATATTCTTTAATTAGATCTTCAACATAATCATTCATTTAATCTCCTTCCTTTTTGTAAAGTTCTATTTTTTTCTCAACCTATGAATATTCATTTATTTTTTCTTATAAATAGTCCTATAGCATTTTTATTTGCTGTACTAAATGTATCAATTATTAATACATCTTTTCTCCCTAATGGTTACAAAACCTATTTATTATTTTTATCAGAAATTATGGATTCTAATGATTTCAACTTTGCTGTGTTCAGTCTTTAATAATCTGTTCTACTAGAACCCAATCCTGTTGTTTTATTAGCCTATTTCTCACTTGTGATTGATTTTAATTACATTACTATTTTAATTTAATTTATTAATAAAATTTACTATTTAATATCAAACTTAAAATTCTTTATAGAAACTATTCAATTGTGTATAGTAAGTAATGTATAAATAATAATTACAAATATCATTATTTTAGTTCTATTTTCAGCATTCTATTTTCCTCTTTAATCATAATACAACTTTGTTTATTCTATGTAGATTGGTTCTTAATTGATATTATTGAAATTCTATTTGGAATTTTTTACTCCTAGATCATTCATTCAAAGTATATCTAAACATTTAAGAGTTTAAAAAAGCCATCTAGTACTTCCATTAAAAGAGATTGATACTTAGCTTTTCATATTTCATACACTCTGTTATTTAATCGTCATATTTTCTCCCTATTTTTCGATCATTCTTTTAATGATATAAATTTTGATTGTTAGATTATGTAATTTCTTATTAGAATCATATCTTTTTTAAATTACATTAAATCATTTAATTTTGCAATTTTCGTTTTCAATCTCTTAAAACTTGTTGTGATTTATCTTCTTTAACTTTATCTAATTCTCTCTCTGATAATTCTCAATTTCAGCAATCAATAATTCTTTTAATATTTATTTCAACTATATAATAATTAATTATTATTCTTTTCTTCTAAATTTTAAGTTAGTATATTCTTAGATATCATTTTATAAATCATTTATTTAATCCTAATCCTTGAATTTTCCATACTTCAGTTTAGTTATATGCAAAGAAACAAAAATTTAATCACAGACATATTCTTGTGTTGAGTTGATTTCCAATGCATGATCATAATTGTATTCTTTCCTATTATCAAAAATAACAAAATTATGAGTAGTAATCACACAAAGATTGGTTCCAAGTGAGTTTCTCATAAATTAAGTAGTCCAACTCAAATCATCACTCTTACTTTTTGAATTGAAAATACATTCAATTTAAACTATTTAACGAATTAATTTAAACAAATAATGCAATAATACGAAGGATTGATTGAGGAGAACACTCAATTAAAGAAAGCTATCATTTCTTCTAAGGCTGTGATAGGCAGAAAGATTAGTAATTAAATTCATTATTATTTAAGATGAATATGAGACTTTATAGGCAATAAATGATGAATTGAAATAGAATCTTGATAAAATGAGATTAGAGAATTAGGATTTATTATAGAAGTATAAAATAGCTATGCATGATAAAAAATAAACAGAATAATAATTTGATAATGCTACTAAGAATTGGAAACTTTTAATTGAATAAAAACAAAGAGAAATAGAAGAGATCTAAAGTAGATTGACACCTGCTTTTGATTAGGATATGATGAGAATTAAATTATTGAATGAATTAGATTTACCACATAGATAATAATTGGAATAAAAGTAATTAGAGATTGAAAAGTTGAATGAAATAATATATTAATTAAAAAGAAAGATTGATTTGGAATTATCAAGAGTAGAAACTATATAAGTAGATAAAGATAAGGAAATGAAATTATTATCAGAAAAACATAAATTAGATATGGCAGATCTTTAACATCAAATATCAGATTTAACAAGATAAGTAGAAGACAATAAAGATAGAGATACAATAAGAAGATTAAGAAAAGATTTGGAAGAATATAAATTAAAATTTAATGCTACTGATACTGAAAATGAAGAATTAAGAAATGAAAGAGATAAAATTAGAGAAGAAAAAAATGATATTATGATTAAATTTGCCAGATAACTTGATACTGAAAGAAATGATAAAAGATAATTTAAAAGTGATTTTGATAAATTATAAGTGAGAACTAGATTTTTAGAAGATGAATTTAGAAAAGAAAAATAAAGAAGAGAATAAATAGCAACTGATTTTGAAATTTTAAAAACAGAAAAAGATTAATTATTGACTGATTTGAGAAAAAAAGATGATACAATCCATTATTTATAAAGAAAAATTACAGATATGGAAGAAGAATAATTGGAATAAGAATAAAAAGTTCAAGATAAATTAACACGTTTGTATTAAGATGAACATGATAAGTATTTATAGGAAAGAAATAAAGCTGTTACACTTTAAAAAGATCTTGATAACTTAAAAAAAAGATTTAGTGATCTTTAAGATGATTATAAAGTATTGAGGGATCGATATCAAAAAGAAAATATAGATAATAAAGATTCAACTAGAATTTAGAATGAAGAAATTGAAAAATTGAAGAAAACACTATCTCAACAAACAAAAGAGATTGGAGATTTAGAAAGATCAAATAAAAATAAAGAAGAATAAATTCATGATTTAGAAAATGAAAATGAAACAGTTAAAAGAAGAAATAGAGAACTTCAACATAGAATCTAATTAATAGAAGTAAATCCTATTCCAAATCCAATCTAAACTCAACCTATTATGAGTTAATCTTAAGTTCCTACACTTAGTTAAGTACCTTAATTTGCATAATAAATTTAAGAACAATATGATACTACAAAACCTATTAAGTAATAAACTCCATTATAATCAGAAAATGATCCATAAAATCAATAATAAATGTAGGCTTAAAAATAATCTCTTTAACAAATTAGTGAAGAAAATAGAACTTTAATTTCTAAAAATAAAAAACTCAATAAAAAACTTAAAATTGCAAATGAGAAAATTCTTGAACTCTCTATGAAAAATACTATCTTAGAGAAATAAATATAGAGATAACACTCATAAACACCAATATAAGATTTTGATAGATCTAATTTTGGTCTACATGCTCATTCTTAATCTCCATTTAGATAAGAGGCTTATTAATAATTAAGCAATTAAACAGTTGAATAAAGGCCATAATAATAAACTATTCATACTGATACTAGATTAGATAGATATGATAAATAAGATAAATAAGAGAGATAAACTAGATAAGATAGATTCACTTAATAATCATAAGATAAATATAGACCAAGAGGTTAATCTGGAGTTGATGCACGTGGAGTCTAAGGTCATCCAATTGATATAAAAGATGACGAATTATTGAATAAAGTAATGATGCTTACAGATGCTTCTGGATAGAACAAATACTGGTGACTTTTCTTTATATAAATATATATATTTAAGATATAAATATGTTTTGTATTATGATAATAAATATATTTTATAATTTATGATTTCAGGAATCTTCCCTTTCCCATTTAGAAACAACTTGTAACAGATTTTCCATTTTTTATTTTTCATATTCTTCTAAAGGCATATTCTCAAATTCTTTAGGTACTTTGCCATCAGGGAAATTAGATGCTTTAACTCCAGCTATAATTTTATTAGCTCAGTTATACATTTTGTTAAATTAGGACTTAATTTAAGTAATGTAATTCCTCCATGAGTATCACCTACTAAGATAATTGGATCTCTTTGATTAAATGCAATATTAGTCAATCTAGGTTGTTTAGAAGGTTTTTATTCTGCAAGTTTTCCAATTTTATCAACATTTAAATCATAAACAAAAATTTTGTCTTAAGTAGCACAAGCAAAAACTAAAAATAGACAATTAATAAGTACCTGTAGAACTATAAGGTGCCCACATAGCATCAACAACTTACATTCCCTATTCAAAACTCATAATTTGTGTAGAGATTTTAGAATCCCAAATTTTAACAGTCCAATCAGCAGAAGCAGATATAAAAGTTCTTGGATGAAAATTATTCCATTTAACTTTATAAACTGCCAAATTATGACCCTAATAATAAAAATTATATTAATACAATATATGTTTCTTAATATTATCCTGAATAAGCTCTAGAACATTTATGTATTTTTCCTTCTTCAGTACCAACTAAGAAGATATGAGGTTCAAATTTATTGAAATCAAAACATAAACCACAAGCTAAACCAATCAAAGTACTTTCTTCCTCATTCTTACCAACCAATCTTAATCTAATGACTTCTTCAGGTTCTAATTTATTTTTCATCAAAACCCAATTCATTACTCTACCATCTGATGAAATTGAATAAAAATTATAATTTTTAGAGATATCTGGATTCCATCTAACTTACCATACTGGATCTGTATGTTTCTAAGTTCTTACTGTTGATTAATATATTGGTTTTTTATGTTTATTTCTAATATCATAAACTAACACTGTTCCATCATATAAACCCACAGCCAATAATGCAGGACTTTAAGGATGAAAATCTAAACACATAACTCCAGCTTCACATGTAAATGCATATTCTGGATGAGTTGTATTTTTAAGAGAATATAAACATATAAGACCCATTCTTTATTTTGAAAATTCATAGCTACCAAAACTAACAGCAAATAAATCCATATATCTTGGATTCCAACATAATGATGTTACATGTTTTTTCTTTTATTTCTCATTTGAAAATTTCCAAATTGGTAATAAATGTCTAATAATTTTTATTAATCTTACCCTTCATTTTTAGATGTTTCAACTACTTCTCCTTGACTCCAATAATATTTATAATCATTGTATTTCTCTTTCTAATCATTATGAACTACTGTTCTTTCCATAATTTTTAAACATCTCTTGAAAGATGGCTTATAAACTGTATTATCTGAAGTGTGATCTTTCTTTTTCTAACTTTCCTCCTTGGCTTTATTTTATATATAAGCATCAAAAATTTCCCATTATGTAATTTAACCTTTTAATGTATCACTAGGAGGAGGTTCAGTTGATACACCTCTTTCTCTAATGACTCTTCCATCTGTTTAGGCTTCTCTTGCATTATAATTAAACTTATTTCTCATTGTTTATTTAATTGCCTCTTTGTCCTTAGATGCTCCAGGATCTTCCATTTCTTAATTTCTTTCTGCCTCTTTAATCAATGCTTATTTTGTTTCCCATAATTCCTCTTGTATTCTAGATTCATTTGAGTCTTTATGAATGATTTCACCATCCATTCTGAAATGAATAATCAATTATTCAACTAATTCGTCTGTTTTATACTATCATTATGATGGGTAGTTACTTTTCTTTATAAATAATCATATTAAGTGATATTCTTTGGAGCTTGAGGATTGTTAGGTATCAACATTTTAGAAGGCATGTCTTCATTAAGTTCCTTCTCTGTTAATTATGGTCTTTCTCTTTCTCTCTATAAATATTTATTTATTTCAAAACTTCATGTTAATATTCTGATTCATCACCATCTGGCTCAGCTTCCTATTGATTTAAATTCTAGTTAGCTATTTTTGGTTGTTTTTTCTATCAATTATAATTAATAAACTTACAGGTTATGGTCTTCTAAGGGCTACTTTTTATTATTTAGGTGGCATTTTAATTATTAAATAAACTTAATCAAAAATGATTGTATTTATAATATATTCCACACAATTAATTACTACATTTCAGAAATTACCATCTGATGATAGTACACTTGGCCAAATCCAGAAATCTGAATTCTTATTGAAATAAGTTTCTAATTTTTATATAGAAAGAAGATCAAAAAATTTAAGATATTAGTTTTTTTAAAAGATTATTAAATTTTTTTTATTTACTTAAACTAAAAACACATTTAAAGTTAAAATATGATTTAATCTTAAAAGAAATTAATAGATATATCTAGATAATATCTAAATATAAACTAAAAAAGTAATTCATACTTTCATTTTTCTATTAATTAAATGAAATATTTATTTAACTTATCTTAAATCTCTTCATGTTAATAACATTCTCAGTTCAATTTCTCATAGAAATTTCTATTTATTTTTCCTTTCTCATTTACGATCTAATTTATATATATTTATATACATTAATAACTAATTTATGAATTTTTTCATAATAATTTAAGATTACTGATTGATTGTTGAAATATTTGGAATCAAATAAATAATAAAATTAATATCTATGCTTAATTTGAGTGTCCAATATTATTCATTTAACCATCTTGAAAAAGGTTCTGACATTATTACCTTTTTGAATATCGTATTTATCATCATGAGTAAATCTTAGATATTTCCTTTTTATATATCTCTTATAGTATAATTTCAATGCTTTTTTCTACAAGATCTTGAGTGACTGTTTTATATAATTAAAATACACCCAAAATCACAGATTATAGATTTAATCTTTATTAATGAACAACATTTTCAATACAATTTTAAATAAGTCTCATAAATTTCTATTTGTTAATAAGTAACTAATGTTTCTAATTTTGATTTATTGATCATTAAAATCCTGCTATTTTTTATTAGATAATAGGCATTAAAGTTAAGCTATATTATAAGTTATCAGTTTTTAAATCCATTTAAATTTTTTGCTCACAATTTTAGCTATTGAAAATTAAAATTTGAGAGTTATTTGATTCTCATTTCAAGTTATTTCTTGATAAGTAAATCATAAGCTTAATTTATAAATACCTATGGATCTTAAGGTATAAATAATATCTGCTATCAATGTTGGAAGGTTTGTCATGTTCTTAAACAGATAAATCCTCAAAGACATGAGAAATTAAAATTCATCTTGATCTTAAAATAGGTCTGATAGGTATTTAACAAATATAACTGTTTTAGATGATTAACTTGAATGAATATGCTGATTTAATACTTAGAGATAATCAAATACTTTAAATAATTCATCTTATGATATATTGATCTTCTTTAAATTAACAAAAGGTTGGAGCAATAGATGTTAGTTTCTATATTCTTTTTATCTATTTTGCTTATTGAGTAAAGAAAAGAATACTTTAATCATGAATTATAATTATTTAAATCAATATTATATATATATATTAAATTATATTAAAAGATGGCTAGAAATGCAGAAAAAGCAAAGGCAATGCTTTCAAGATGGTACAGATTGAAAAGAGATATACGTAATACTACAGATGGAAAGTATAAGTCTATTCCAAAAGTTTAAGAATGTGTCAATCTATAAGAATGTGAATTAGAGAGATAGGAAGTATTAAAGGTGGTTTCAAAATTGGTCTCTGATATTTAAAATGCTGGTTTGGGAGAGCATAGAATAAGGGAATTGAATGATGAAATTAATAAAGTCATATAAGAATTACGATGTTGGGAGGATAGAATAAAAGAATTAGGAGGACCTGATTATAGAAGATTAAGTGCTAAGATTTATGATACTCAAGGAATTGAATTGACAGGAAAAGAAGGATATAGATATTTTGGAGCTGCAAAAGATTTACCTGGAGTTCGTGAATTGTTTTTCTCAGAACCACCTTCTGAACCTAAAAAATCAAGAACTGAATTGTATAAGGTATTTCTTATTTAATTATGTAGAATATCTCATATAATTATTATGGAAGTCAGAATTAAGAATTGTAAGAGATTCTAGAAGAGGAAAAGGAATTGGAGAGGATAGCATAAGAAAAGGAATTACAAAGATTTATTTAAGATAATTAAGAACTAGTAAAAGATTTCAATACAAGAGAAGAAATTTTAAATTTTATCAAATATGAAATTGATAAAAGGGATGATGTATTGAAAAGAATGGAAGAAGAAAAATGTAAATTCTTTTTAATATTTATAGAATAACACTCTGATTCTGAAGAATATGAATAAGATTAATTAGAATAAAGAAAGTAAGAGTTGATAAGATAATATTATGCACCTGAAAAGATCCATTCATAATATGTTACTACAGTCGAAAAGGATGCAGATCTTGAATCATTTATTAGGGGAAATATGGCAAAATGATTAGTCGCATTTATATGTATAATTTATATTAATATAAATATATTCTTTCTAAATTTAATATGAATCTTAAAAATTATAAGCAAAATATACTTTATTATTTAATTTTTTATAATTCATAAAAGATTGTATAATTTTTTTAGTTTAATTTAATCATTCATCATATATTATTTTCAAAGTGATACTTAAAAGATAGATATGATATTATAAAATTAAAAATTTGGTTAAATCATTATTCTTATTTAATTCAATCAACAAATTTGAATTTTAGATATCTAATTCATTGTTTTCCTTTTTAGAATTGATAAAATATTGTTTTAGTTAAATTGTTCAAATTTACTTATCTTTGAAACTCTATTATGATGCTAATTATTTTATTGTATTTAGTATAATAATTTAAATATCAATGTCTTGTTTTATAAAATAAGATGTGATTAAAGTTTTAGTATTTTAAAAATATTTAAGAGTCATAGATATAACTTAATAAATTATAATAATAATAATTCAAATCATGCTTACTGCAAACACACTACAAATACAATGGAGAGTATTTTTTTATTGCTCTTGTTTTGCTTATTTATCTTTTGGCCAAGATATGATGATTTATCCATCAGCAACAGTATCCCACCATTGTGAAGTTGTAACAAATGCTCCTGCTCCATTTCTTTACATAATCATGCAATGTACAATATATCTTAAATTTCTAAAGAGAGTCTTACTTATATGGTTTTCCCAATTCAATTAATTATTATGTAACTTTTTCACAAATAGCATTGATCCAACCTTGAACCTAGAGTTATTGTAGGTATTTACTTTAGATTCATCATATTATACTTCTTTTAAGACACTTTCAATGGATTCTTATGTTATACGATCTACTTCTTCTTATGAATAGGTATTCTCTTCTAAATTTTGATTTTCTTCCATTAATTTTATTAATGAAACAATAACTAAATTACACGCTTTGGATTAGTTTTCTTGTTTCAACTGTTTTGATATATCTATTTTTCAGTTCAGGAGAATTTAGTTTTATATTAACACTTGCTTGTGGAATACAATGCTTTGGATTTGGATTAGTATTTACTACAATTTCAATAACCAAAGATACAAGTGGATTAAGTAAATAAACTTTTATCTGTTGTGCATAAGCATTATTAGCAAGATTATTTTCTATTCTAACTTTTGAAGTATATTAATTATGCATAAATTAGGGTTATTTACCTTCAGATGCAACAGGTGATTATGTGTATAGATTATTCGAAATATTATCACTTATCTTTTGCATATTGACTGCATTTAGCATAAAAAATAATAAAGAAGAATTGTTCAAATGGTATTACTTCACTCCTGTAATGTTGGTGACTGCTTATTATGTTCATCCAGGATTGAATTCACATTCATTTTGTGACATATCCTGGGTATTTGCATTATATATGGAATCATTTGCAATATTGCCATAGATACACCTTTTTACAAAGAGAGGTTAGAATTCAACAATAATATAGAGGGAATAATTGAATATCACACATCAAATTTTGTAATCACTCAAGCAATCAATAAAGTAATATGTGTGATTTTTTGGTTTTATTCTTATGAAGAACTTAATAGAAGTGCAGATGAATCAACAATAAGTGTGGCACCTTGGTTAAGTGGTTATTTTGTGATGGTGGCTTAAATGATATCAATTGTAATTAATTATAATAAAAATATATAGATCATAACAACAGATTTTGTGTATAAATATTTGCAAAGTTGGAAATAAGGTATTCCTTTGGTTATGTTACCTTCATGATGTAGAAAATAATCAAAATATTATAATATATATATATTATCATTTTGCAAGCATCTAGTCTTAATATTATTATCTTTTATTATTATTAAATTTATCCTATCCTATTGATTCCATATCAAATAATTTTGGTTGTAAACAAGGTTTAGGAATCATTTATTAAGTTTATTTTTTTACTGCTTATTTGACTCTTAAAAATGGAGGTTCAGATTATTATCTAGGTTAGATTTTGACACTTGATAATTTGCTCACTTTTGCACTAACTTATTCATCTTCTCCATGTACATTGATACTTTCAGGTCTAGGTATATTTTGTAGTTTAGGAAGATTATGAGCAGGAGTATTGGGTTTAAATGGAGCTCTAATTATATTATTCTTAGTTTATTATTATTATTATTATTATTATTATTATTATTATTATTATTATTATTATGCATTTTAAGAATCTTTTACATCTTTCTTTTAATTTCTTTTTATATCTAGAATTCATTAATATAAAATAATACTTGTTCCAGTCCAACTATCTTATAATGATGAAGCAAATTCTATATATTTATCATATTTTTAATAATCTTCAAGTGGATATATCTTAACATAATCTCCTAAATGTGCATTCTCATAATCATTCCTCTATTTTTCCCATTATTTCATTTATGAAATCTTTTCTTCCATTGACAACTTTATTTTTTTACCTGTTAATACTCTTTACTAAAGAGATTCTTTTCTTGATGCAATTATTTATTCTTTTGCTTTTAAACTTACATTCATTAATTTCAATGTATCTCTAATAAGATTTTTCTTTATCATTGAATCAAGAGGAGTATCTGTAGTGAAACTAGGAGTATGATTAACTTCTAATAAAATAGGCTATAATTTGTGATTTAAAAAGATATCAAAGCCTAAGATTTCAAAACACATATTATTTGCATAATTATCAGGTTGACATGATCTGTAATGATGACTTAATATTGGTTATACAGTACAAAAGGTTTTAATAAATAATTCATACATTTCTTACCAAAGTTTTTTTATATCATGACCTTCTTATTCTAATTTACTAAATACTGCCTTTATGGATCTCTTATGTCCAATATCCATTCTACTAGCATCTTTATTAAATACAAAATTTGGATTTTCTTTATTAATAGCATAATTTGTTAAATGCATACACATATCTTCTAAATTTGATGAATTAGGAGGTATGTATGGTTCCGTAGCAAATCTGACTAAACCATCTTAGTATACATATATTCTCATAGGATCAGTTCCAGCCAATAAAACATATACTCTCAAATCAAATTTTAATCCTTCAATTAAGAATGGTCTGTGTAAATATCTCTATGCTACATAATGATCATTTGGATTAATATCATTTATATTTCTAGTTAGAAATATACCTCTTCCTTAACAACTTGCTTCAGGTTTAATAATAAAAGTTTTAGCTTTTCCTTTTACAAATTAGTTTTTGAAGTCGCCATATTCAGCTGGCAATAACCATGTTTATGGAAAGAACTTATATTCTTCAGTGAATTATTTACGCATCTTCATTAGATTCCTTCCTAAATGATTCTTACGAGCAAGAGAATACATTCCAGGAAAATGATTAATTTTTTGGTATGCTATGATTTATTTATAAAAATACGTTGCATTTTTCCTAGAGTCTCAGGTTAAACAGCTGCATCTGTCCAAAACATATCCCAATTAGTTACATCAGACTCATATTGTAAAATCCATTTAAATAACTTTTTACCTACAAACTTCACAACATCATATTGAGTATCTAAAATAAAATAGACAAACTTCTAACCTGACACATTAATTATTAAGGTTGTCTTCTTCTTTGAATTGTCTTCAGTCTCACTTCCACTATCTTCAAATTCTCCATTAAAGTGTGGTTCCTTTGCTAATTATTATTTCATATTATTAATATAAATGGACTTATATCACTATCTCTTTAAATTCATAATTGTTGGAGATACAAGTAATTCTGATTATTTAAAAAAAAAATAAGGTGTAGGTAAGAGTTGCCTTCTCCTTAAATATACAGAAGGTAAATTTAAAGAAGAACATGATGCTACAATTGGTGTAGAATTTGGATCTTAAGTATTCAAATATAAAAACAAACAATTTAAAATATAAATTTGGGATACAGTACTATAATTATTTTAAAGTTAGGCTGGTTAAGAATCATTTAGATCTATTACACGTTCATATTATAAAGGGTTTATTTATATATATATAGTTAATTGTAGTTCAATAGGTGTATTACTTGTTTTTGATATTACAAATCGATAGTCATTCCATAATATTGTCAGATGGTACAATGAAATATTAGATTGTGCTCATGAATATGTAGATATAGTTATTGTTGGCAATAAAATAGATCTAGAGAGAGAGTAAATAAATAATATAAATAGACGCTAAGTTTCTGTAGAAGAAGGGAAACTTTTTGCAGAATAATATAAAATAAATTATATTGAAACATCAGCTAAAACAGGATAGTATGTTGACTCTGTATTTCAATAAATGGCAATGCGAATCTATGATAAAATAGAAAATAAATTAGTAGATTAGAACAATGAAAATTTAGGTATTAAATTAGGCACATTTTACAGAAATGATGAAGAAGATGATAAAGAATAGTAAACAAGTTTAGGATAAAAAAAGAAGAAAAAGAAGGATGATTGTTGTTGAATCTATATTTAATTATGACATTTTTCTCATTTTAAACGATTACATATATTTTATAATAGTTTCTATTTGTTTTACTAAATCTCCCTCTAACAAATCTTGAACCCAACTTCCTTATTTTCAAAATATGGAGAACAAGAAATGCAAACTATTCTAACTTCATTTGCCATATAATAAACTTTTCTTAAATTATATTATATAAAAAACTAAATTTCAATATTATCTAAGATCTTTATGAAATCTCAATAGAATTAAAAAAAAATAATAATAATAAATAATTAAATGTATGTAAATGCAAAATCTCTAGTTATCTAATGGCCATCTTAATCATCTTTAAAATATTTCTCTAGTATTTCTATATCACTAATATCTGTAACTAAAAAGTATCCTTCTTAAGAAACCCAAAAATATAAATTTAATCTACCTTCAAATAAATCTCTTATTTCTATACATACATTCTTTGATTTATATTTTGGATGAGTTATATACATCTAGGATATGAAAATACAAATAATCATCAAAAACACCATGATGATATACAGCATCATCTTCACATACTATAACTTAAGGATATTTTTTTAATGTTTCTGCCAATCTATCTAATTCTTCAAATGAAAATACTATAAAAAATATTACATTTATTAATTAATTTCCAATAGGATTTTATGGTAAATTCAAAATTATCATATTTGTCTTATCATTAAATATTTATTCAAGATAATTATAGTCCAGATGCCATTCATCTTCTTTTGAATATTTAATTTTTCCATTCTCAAATCTTTTTCAATACACTAATCTTACTATTTAATTGACTAGGTCTTAATGGAACTTCATTATGCTTATGATGAAATAGATATTACAATATTTATCTAATATATACAAGAAAGTAATAAAACTAGAATTTATTTTATGTTTATTTATTAAAATGTATTTAAAGTAGCTAGGATAAAACCTGGTAGATAGTATTTGAAATTATTTAAGAATAAAATTATAAGGGAATATTTATTTTTTTTGGCTTAATCAGATCACTCATTTCAATTCACCACAATCATAGATAACAACGTTCTTTTATGGTCTTCCTTATTAGGTTCCACAATATTCAATTGCATTTAATACTTCCAATCCAGATGCCACTTTTCCAAATACAGTATGATTTCCATTCAACCAAGGACATGGAACAGTGGTGATAAAAAATTAAGATCCATTTGTATTTGGTCCAGCATTAGCCATAGATAATAGTCCTGGTGTACTATGTTTTAATGTGAAATTTTCATCTGGAAATGTTCTTCCATAAATTGATTCTCCACCAGTGCCATTATGATTTGTAAAATCTCCACCTTAACACATAAAAGATGGAATAATTCTATGGAATGCTGAACCTTTATAATGAAGAGTTTTTCCAGATATTTTAGACACTGTATCACCAATGCATAATTTTCTAAAATTTTCTGCAGTTTTAGGTGTGACATCTGCAAATAACTAAATATTTAAATAATTAATTTACTTCAAAGATGATTCTACCACTTGGGGCATTATTAATTGTAATATCAAAGAATACCTTTGGATTTTTAGTTGTGGCAGAAAATGAAAATCTAAATAATTTAGTAAACATTTTATATTATTATTATAAACAATTTAAAATGAGTTTACAAATTTTGATCATTAATAAGTATTTTTTATTTGCATACTAAATTCGCATCAGTACACCTAATATATGTTAATTTCATGGAAAATAAAATCAAAAATATATTTAAGTATTCTTAAAAATAATATACTAGTGATCTTTAACATTCAAATTATTGTTTGTGATAGCATATTAATTAGAAAATTAAATTAAAATTAAATATATATTTATATATGGAATCTTGTTAAAATGAAAAACATATAGGAAATCTGCTTTTTGGATATTGTTCAAATATGAATTGTAATAATAATTTAAAAACATTTTGTGATAAATGTAGATGTTATCATGATGAACATTTATAGGATTTACATTAATTAGATTCTTTAGATAATATCAAACTTAAGAATATTGAATATAATAATTAATTACTTAATTTTTTTGAAAATCAAAAACGATTTTGTTTAGAAATTTAAACACCTTTAATGTTAATAAATTAGAATAACAACTTAAAAATTGATTATTAAAATAAAGAAGTTCTGATTGATCAGATAAAATAAATTGTAACAATATAAAGTATTTTAAATGCTGTTTTACCAATGTTTCAAAACATAAATAAGTCTTGCACTTAAATAATATAAGAATTTAATAAATTACAATAATTTAATTATAACTTAGATATACAAAAACAAGAAATTAAAGAAAAGAAAAATATATTAAAGAAATAGAAAATAGTTAGAAAATAAGATTAAAAATCTAAATTATTGAGTGAAAAACAAAATATTACAGAAATAATATAATGGTAAAATCTTTAAATTCATTTTTCATAAAAATTTAAATACAAATGGATTAAAATTTTGAATAATGGATTAATTGCTTAAAATGAAGATGATCGAGGTATGGTAATATGTGAACCTATGCTTCCTAAAAAAGGATAATATAGATTTGCATTTGGTATTAATGATAATGCTTATTTAATTTGGATTGGAATCTGTCATAAAGAATATTTAATTCAAAACAACTACAAAACAAATTTTGGTATTTAATCTGATAATAAAAATGGGTAATTAATTAACTTAAACTTTAGGGTTTATTTAATTAATAATTATGGAGTAACTAATTCACATCTAAATCCTGATTTGAATGATCAAACTAATTCTTTCTTTTTTGAACTTGATGATCTAATAATTGTATATGTAGATATGGATATTGGAAATATTAAATGGGAAAGCAAAAAATCTAATAATTAATATGTATATCATTTAGCATTAATTATTTAGTCAATGTAATTTGATACATCTTAAGATGTTTATCCTTGTGCTGGTATAACTGCATTTTCGCCTATATTTATAGTTTAGGAATTTTGAAAGGATTCACTTTTGAATTATTAATTAATCATCTATTCTATTATTTTTTTAATTAAATTTTATGTAAAATGACATTTATTATTTATAATAATTATATTTGTTTATTAGAATATTGTTGTTATAAACTAATTTTAATTTCTATAAAGATACAGTCAAAATATTAAATAATAATAATTAGTTATATAATGAGAAACCAACATTGATATGTATTTAATTTAATAGAAAATGATAGGTAGGTTATATAATAAAAGATTATCAATTATTAAATGAGGTTATAATAGAGTAGAATTAAAATAAGTTATTATTATTTAGACATTTAATTAATTTATGATATTAGTAAAAAAAATTTAGAGTTTGCAAATCTTAAATACTTGAATATAAAAAAAAGGTTAAAACAATATTTTGAGTCAACAAAAAGATAGGAAGTAAACTTAAATTAATTAGGGTATTTATAGTTTGTTAATTATCTAAGAATTATTAATTTAATTTATTCTGATATAGGATTGAAGATAATTAAAATATTAGAGATAATAATATGTTTTCTTAAGATATTGGTAATTGAATAATATTATGTAGAGTATTTGAATTATCTAATAGAATTTCTATAAGATTTAAAATGTCAACAAAAAGATTATTGAGTTTTTAAAAAAATTAAAGTAAAATTCAGATGTCACTAAAATTAAGATGTTGACTATAAAAATTACAATTGATTGATTCATATAAAAATTGTAAAAATCAAATTTATTGAAATTAGTATTATTCCTATGAATTTGAGACTGTTTTTTGAGTGTTATTAAAATTTTTGAACATTTAGTTGGTAATGAAAATATATTATTGATTTCAATGAAAAAATAGTGAGTTAATTATTTTATAAAATGAAAGCACCCACACATAGGTGCCTACTATCAAGTTTAATTGAGAGTAATGAAAAGACTACTCGTTAAGCAAAGACACACGAATCTTTTGAGAGATTGAAGAATTCTTAACCGCAAACTGCAACTCCTAAGACTTAAATGACTAACAGGAAAAGCAAATAAATGAGTTTAGTACAAGTTCAACAGCTAATTTAATAACCTCTTTTACGAAAGAATCATACAGCTTTATCTGAAGTACCACATACTTGGAATACAAGTCGAAGTATAGAAAAGACAGTGGACTTACTTGCTATGCCTTAACATAAACGAATGAAATGGCTTGAAAAATAGAAATCATTACTTGCATAACAACAACCAGTGACAGAGCGTGTTTAAACAAGTCGTATAAAACAAATGGCAACTGCTGCTAATTATAACAATTTTCTTAAGAAATTCAATGGTGAATAAATGATGATATTGGATAAGACTAAAACAGGAGTACCACTTTAAAAAGTATAAAATGAAGCTTAAGAAAATAAAGAGAGGTAGTTCATTTTTAAGCAGCCATTACGTATAATAAAGGGATTAAGTGAACACATGCTTAGAATGAAGAGTATTACAAGATAACATGAATCATTACGTTCACCTCCTAGGAAACTTTCGAATCCTCGTTATGAATTGACTAATGCGAATAGAGTTCGCTTTTCTAAATATTATTAAGATGATAGTTTAAAAGTGTTGAAATCTCAGAAACGAGATCCAAATCTAATTTTTAAGGAATTGCATATAGAGGATATCCAATATACTGATTTAGACAGAGCATAGAATCATCCTATAAATATTGCTTTATTTAATATGTTAAAAGATGAGGAAATTATTCTAAGTATTTTATTTGTTAAATTCAGAGTAATAGTAACTTGAAGAAGCAGAAAAATATACTGCTTAAGAACTAATAAAATAGAGATAAGAGATTGAAAGATTTGATGAACTCACTAGATAAGAGTATCATCGAAAATGTTATGTTGATTTTAAATCTAAAGCTATTAATCCAAAATATCAACATAACTAATTACATTTAAATTAATCTTTATTAGAAATATTTCCAAAGAATTAAGATGGAAATTCAGAATAATTTAAAAAATTAAGAAGACATAAAATATTAAAGATGATAAAGATGTTTTTGTTTAGATTACATGAATTAAATCTTAATCTTGAAGATCTTATTAAACATAGAATCTATCCATTAGGAGCATATGCTAATGAAAGAGCTAAATTATTTTTTGATTTAGTAAAATCTAATAAGCTTGAATTAACTCATAGAGAATTATAAGAGAACAGATATTTAGTTTATGAATTTGATTCATCCAAATTAACTCCTCTTCATCATGCTGTTATTCGTAATCATGTAGAAATGATAGAATTGCTTATGGAATACCATGCTGATGTAAATCGTCGTGATATTGTACTTATTATTCTATTATCTAGCTTGGAAGAACTCCACTCTTCTTTGGAATTCGTTCAGGTTACAATGATTGTGTATAATAACTCTTATATCATTAAGCTATTCCTTGGTCTAACAAAAAGAATCAATATGATCTTTATTTAGATATGCTCAATGATAAAGTTAGAGATTAATATCGTAAAGCAAAAAATGTAATTTATTTTAATAATCTAAGTACCATTTATAAATGCAAATGATGCCTTATACAAAAAGAGCTGCTTTTTGGATGGAACGAAGATATTATTTTACTTAATGAATAATATAAATTTATAAAATTTATACATTTTAATATTTATAAAATTATTTAAATAAAAACAATTAAATATTTCTATCAAAAATAGATTCTATTTAAATTATATTAAGAAACTAATAATACAATCAATACTTATTCTTTTATCTTATCTTCTTATCATGTCTTTACTAAATTTCCATTTTCTCTTTCCTATCTTATGCTAAATTCAAATCCCCTGTCTTTATTGCAATTATGTCTTCTCTATAATTACTATCAGATGCTAAAGGATAATCTTCATATTTTAATTTATAAGGAAAATGCTTGAACCAATTCAACACTTCAACTCCATCAATTATCATTCCAGTTGTCCATCTACCACTTATTCTACAAAGTCTATCTTATTAAGATAATGTTTTGATTCCTTGATATTTACGATATGTTTCTTAATGGAATTTATTAACTTCTTTAACTGATCCCTTTATAATGTATCCTTCCATATAATCTTAAGGTATAACTTTTTTACTAAACATTCCTGGAAAAGCAGTAACTACAATATCACAGAAAAGCTTATTCTCCAAATCAACCATCCATCCAACACCATTATAATAAAATTATCTATGTCCTATGGTCATCCCTTAAATAACTCCTGGCATTACATTGAATATAATTGTAGTTTTATTTGTAAATGTAACTTACAAATATCCATAATTTTATCCTGTAATTGAATTTGCACTAAAATTTGCTTAAGATTCCAAATGACCAGTTAATTTAAAATTTCTTCCAAGAATATACAAACCTAATACTGGTGGATGATGAGAAATCTATTCACAATACAATAGATTTCCATTCATGATTCCTTAAAAGGTTTCTCCTAATATAGGATTGAATGGTTTCTCCATATTTAAAAACATTATATTATAAGCAAGAGAAAATTATGCCACCAATTTCATTTATTCAAGTGGATCTTATAATTCACCTGCCTTCTCTAATAACCAAATATAGCCTAAACTATAACAAGCTCTTTCAAGATTAGATCTTTTTTCAAAAATGTTAACTGGCAATGAGATACTAATTAAAGATTTACCCATAAGTAAATTAGATCCTAATTTCCTTAACATAAATGTTATAACTTCTTTTTAAATTTCAAGTTTCTTTTTATTTATAAATCTCAAACCACCTTTTTCTAAGATCTCCCAATCACTTTATAATATGATATTTTTATTTTCTGCAGTCTCTTTATAATAAATATTATCTGGTTCTAATGGTGACAATTGATAATAATGTATTGCTGACCAAAATATTATTCCAGTATTCTTAGTTACTAATTCTAATAATTACAAATAATCATTTTTATTAATCAACTCTGGTTCCTCTTCTAATACTATTTAAGACTAAAATTAGTTGCAATCCACATCAGATAAAGATGAATTCATCTAGACTTCATTTACTCTTTAAGGTTAATATTATTCTATTATCTCAATATTAAGAAGTTCTTTTGTAGCATCTTCAACTATCTATGGAGTTGGAATCTTAAAATACTTTTAAATTAAATAATATTCTAAATTCTATAATTCTTAGACATAATGTAATGACAATTAAGCATCATTTGCATATCCTCCATTTTTAGTTTCTGTTTCCAAAATTATCATAACTTAATCTTATTATGGAATAACAGCTATAATACTCAATTAAATATATCCCTCAAATTGATAGCCATTCTATTAATTATTTTGATAAGATAAACTCTTATCAATAATAAAAAAGTTATCTTTATCTTTGAAAACATACCTTAAATATATGTATAAGAACGTTTTAAATAAAGTAGACCGTATTTTTTACGTAATTCAGAAATTATCATAGAATTATTTTTTAACATTATATCTAAAACATTTGTCTAATCAATCTATGTATTCCAATTCTTCATTACATCTGGACAAACCAATGCTGATACTATCGGAATGATGTTATCACTATTTATATTCAAAATAGCTTTTATTTTTTCTTTTTATGTTTTATGTTGCAATATTCTAGTATTATTAGATGAATCAATACCTCAATTTATTTTTAAACCTTATCAATTAATATTCTGAATCATCCATTAATCTATCCATATAGAATAACTCTTTTTAATTTATTATATTCTATAGAAGAGTTGGAACCTTTTTTTCAAGTTAAATCACATTTTATTTATTTTCTTTATCATTTTATATAGATATAACAGAAAATTTTAATCCTTTTTTATTAATTATTATTATTAATCATTTTATTTTTGTGTATTATCCATATATTTTGTTTACACTTAAGATTAGGTTTTGTGATGAGTTTTTGCTGTTTCATCAATTATGTTCTAAGGCATAGATTAGATTATTTCTGAATGCTTTTAAGGATAAATATTAAGTGATTGATTTAAATCTTCAGATTATCGTAAAAATTATTTTTATTATCTTCATTTAATAATATTATAATCATACTTTATTTTTTTTAATTAATCATCATCTATAAAAGCACAACATTACCTTAAATAATCAAACCATCTCTCTGCTTATTATAAATCTTCACTTCCAAATAAGAATTTTTCTTTTCCTCAAATTTAGAAACAAAACTTATTTTTCATTGATTCACACCTTAATAAATATAAAAATAAAGTACACCATTTTAAAGATAAATCTAACAGTTTTAATTATTTCTATTTCTTCTTTGGATCATTCCTAGATATCAGAAGTTTATGATCCATCATATTTAATTTTTAAATTTTATCATTCCAAAACCATCCAGACTTTTTTTTCATTTCAAGACGTCCCTATACTTCATCTTCAAAATATATAAACGAGTTCACAATATCAATATACATGCGAATTTTCACAGGAATAGGTGGATTTATTAATTATTATATCTCTTCTTCTAACAATAACTTCGCTTTCCCTTACTTATGATTATCAATTGACGATTGGAGAACTTGCAATTTTTATTGCACCTTCCCTGGTACTCTATCAGGATAGTCTAATTTAGTCATTAACGCTACTTTAGATAAATCTCTGCAGCTTTTTAACACAATCAATATATTATTTTTGAACCTTTTCTTCCATTATATAATTTAGAATAAAATAAAAAATAGTAGGGAATTCTATAAATTTACATGGTTTACTGTTCTTTACTAAAACTAAAAGAAATTTTTATCTTTTTAACAAAATACAAAATATTTGTCAAAAATGAAAACTAATTTATGAATTATTTTTGTTAATAATCATTCCATCATAATATTAATAATTATCCATTTTTAATTTATAAATTTTAATGCTAAAATAAAAATTAATTAATAAGTATAGTGGTTTGTTCTATATTTTGATATGAAACTGATTTTCATTTCCATTTGATATTAATATCCAAGCATTTTAATCAATATTCCCGATTCTAAAATACTTTCAATAATCAAATGATAAATGAGTGACGTTCTATAATTTTTAATATTAATAATGAACTATAATTATGAATTTTTAATAATCAAGTATTAAACTATAAATAAATTGGATATGGAATTTTAATTATAATTATTGATTGGGTTTGCTAGAGAGAATGGTAAGACTTAAAGAATTAAATAAAAGATATATAAAATTTCACTTTAAATTATAATCCTATTTGGGACTTAAGGAGATGTAAAATTGAAAATTTGAATTTTTGTTGCCTAATAAAAATATCAATGTTTTGATCGAAAACAACTTTAAGACCTAAAGCACAACCTATTTTACCAATAATAAATTATATATATATATATATATCTATAAAAGTCATCCATATTTTTTGAGTCTAAATAATAAACAAATCTTCTATAAGCTATTTTAAATAGAAAAGACAACATTTAATACACATATATTTATCAAATTTCTGGCTTCCTTAATGGTGCTTTCCTTAGGACATGCGAATTTCTTTTTGATTTAATAAGTTTTTTTGGGGAAATGGATTTAATATGTTGAATATAATTGCCAATTTCTTTCACAGCACCTTAATTTTAGTTAATATTAGTTTTAAAAGTTGGTGTAGTGATTTCTGATTATTTGTTTAGTTGTTCAGCCATGTGCTCCATTTTAACTGAAAAATTGATCTTCTCTAACTCAAATAAATCAAAATCAAATGTTCTAGATTTCAAAGTTGTGACTGGTTAGTAGTTTAAATGGCACATTCTTGGCTTCATCATTAGATTAAAATTTAGATGAATATGAAAATGATTAAATATGCTTTGATTAATTGAGTTAAGTATTAAAAAGATAATAATTTAGAATAAGAAAAAAAATTATTCGTAATCCATTTGATACTTATTTTATTACCTAATATTAATAGTGTATTATTTAATTAATTAAGAATTATACAATTTTGATAATTAAAATTTTAAAGCTCACAATTATGAATATTATTAAATTTAAGGAGCACTATAAGTAAATAAGTGCTACATTCATTAAGTACTTTCCACTATTTTTAATTTAAATATAAATTGCTATTAAAACTACTAAAAAGTCATTATCTTTGTTAATGGAGATACTTCTACGTTACTTTATTATTTTATTTAATGAGCTTGAAAAACAAAGAAGAAAGATAATTTTTGCTATTTTAAGTAAAGTGAATTTAAGTTTTACCATATTGTTTTAAATATCTAAATATGGGCGTTTATGATCTAATGATATAAATATATAATATTATTTATTGTAATGATATCAATTTTTCTTAACTTAGGCCATTTTACCCCATCCTCTAGCAATTGTAAGAACATTGGCAATTCTCTATTATGTTGAAAGGAAGATTTACTTTTATTTTTTTGGATGCTCTATAATCTTTTAATTTTGCTTATAGATTGACAATAGATTTATGTGTGTTATTGACAAGCCAAGGATGTTTGAGAATTTTCTCAGTTGTGAGTCTTTTTGCTGGATCAATAGTTAATAAACCTTTAATCAAATCCTTTGCTAGAAATAGGATATTGAGATTTAACCTTCATTGCTAATTTAATCCCAATATGGAGAAGGAAAAACAAAGTTACCAGTTTTAATCATTTAAAAGAGCTTATCATTATCTTCGTCATAGAAAGGAGGGAATCCACATAACCTTAAATAAATGTTATTTATACATAATATAGAGAATAACACCAACAGACCAAAAATCAATGGCTTCAGTATATCCTTTGCCATTAATAATTTCAGGAGCCACATAACCTGGAGTACCACATTGCGTCATCATTACTTCTTCAGAACCAACAAAACGAGCAAGTCCAAAATCACTTACTTTTAATAAGGCTCCTGGTTCCATAGTTGAGTAAAGTAGATTTTCTGGTTTGAGATCTCGATGTACAATTCCCATCTTATGACAATATGCAAGTGCATCAATAATTGGTCTAAGTGTAGCTGCTGCTTCCTTTTCACTAAAATGATCTTTCTCGACTATTCTTTCAAATAGCTTAATATAATGATTGATTATTGAATACTTCTCCACCAGTCATTAATTCTAAGACCATATAAAAATATGTGTCATCTTCATAAATTTCATATAATTTCACAACATTAGGATGATCGATCTAAATAATTATTTATAATACTTAAGTAAGAATTTCCACTTCTGTTTACAAAGCTAATAAGTCTTCGTTAGATAAATTTTCCCTTCAATCAATATGGATCAAATACTTATTAATTATTTTTACAGCAAAATGTTCACCTGAACTCTTTTTAACTGCTCTTTTCACAACTCCAAAGGCTCCCCTTAACTTATATTAATTTAATACTCTCCTAAAGTTTTCTCCAAAGTGTACACTTTGTTAATATCTTCGTTTTATTACATTAATTATATTATTTATAAGTCAAATTGTATATGGTAAGTTCCTGCTTTCAAATATATTAATTTTCTTTAACATTATATATTTCTTAAATTATAGAAGCTATTTAGAATTCATATATATTATTAGATTCTAATTGAAAATTTAAATCTTATGATTTTAGAATTTCTTAAACTATTTTGAAATTAATATACTGTTAAATTAACAAGGGATTATAATAAATTTATATTCAAAACAGTTAAGGTAATATAAAAATTAGAGATGATATAAATATTTGTAAATTAAAAAAGGTAAATGATAAAACAAAAGAAAATTCTTATAAAGAATTTAATTAAAATAATTAGATAAAAATAAAGATAATAAATATAGAAGTTAGTGAAGCATTAATAAGTAAAGTTGATGTATACAGCGACTTATTTTTATAAGAATTTTAGTTGAAAAACTATAAAGCATAACTAAATTACATCTTTCTCCATAAAAAGAGATTATTTTGGAAAATCAACATATTCTTAAAGTCATTGATCAGTATGCTGGGTTAATTATTCTAAAATTAATTTATTTAAGAACATTTAGTTATTAGTTTATTGTGCATAAATATTACTAAATGAAAAGAATAATATATAAAGTTTGTAAAATTGTAAGATTTTATAATGAGTTGCCTAAATTATTAGAATTTATGTCATATTGAAAATATTGATCATCAATCCTCATATTTTGAATGATTCACACATTTATCAAACCTATATATACAAACCTATATATACAGATTTATTCAAATTTTTGATTTACTAAAAAGGATAATTTAACCCGCTTGCTTAAAAATCAGAATGAATTAGAAGGTATCACTAAAATTAAATCAACTTTGTTATAAGATATAAATACTCTACTGAGATCTATAATCATAAATATGTTTAAATTATTTTACTATTAATAAATCCAGACATTTTCATGATCTAAGACTCCAAAAATAGGATTATAAAAAACTAAAAAATCAAAATGATTTTTGAGTTTTAAGTGAAATCTAAATTATGAATTAGAAGAAGTGTGGATTGATTATTTTATCTATATTATATATCGCCTTTTGATAATATCAAAAGAAAAAAATAATAATTACTAACAAAATATTGTGAATAAATTTGCTAATTAAATGATTCACAAAAATGTTGTATTTGGAAATCATATTACAGCTAATAAGTTAGAAAGATTAGTTAAAAAATAAAAGATATTGTTAAAGTCATCATATGATACAAAAGAAACAAAAAATAGAAAAATATGTAAATCTAAAAGCTTCAAATTCGAAATTCATCCACGCACTTTTTAAGAAACTCACAATTCTCCATTAAAAAATTAAATACAATTAGAGTTACCTAGCGAAAGAAGTCCTATTCGTCTTGCTTCTTCTAAGCCAATTTTAGAATTTTTTTCAAGGAGTTAAAAATCAATGACTAGCCTATAATTAAAAAACACCATTATTGCTAATAAGTTGCAAAGGAGATGGAGTAATTATGAATTAATTAGTGAAAAATAAAAGCGCCTCAATAACAAAGCTCCAAAATCAGTTATTAAATATTAATATCTTATGGCAGTAAAAGCGAAGAAAAAGAAAATTCAAAGAATGAAAATGTAATACAGTAAGTTCATTTTACTATATAGAGTTTTTGGGGAAAAAGAATAATAAAGTTAAAAAAACCAGAAGTAAAACTTAGCCATTAGATCCTGTTATTAAAATGAGACACAAAAGAGCTTAAACAGAAATTAAAGAATATAATGAAGGACTTATTTTTCCTTTGGAACATAGTTTAATTAGAAAAATTGTTAAATTAATAATGATGAAGAAAACAGCTGTTAAAAGATAAACTTGCTTTTAAATTCCAAAAGGAAGTATGCTACTTTCAAAAGAAAAATTAATTAGATTTTAATAATAAATTAATGAAAAATTGGTTTCATAATCAGAATCAGAGAGTTAAATTGATGGATCGCCTTGCTTAGATTCATTAAGAGCATATTAAAGAAGAGTTAATTTTGAAGAGAAAAAATTTTAGATTAAAATTATGTCAAGGAAGAAGAAAAACCTAATTAAAGCATTATAAAATAAACAAACATTCAGTATCATTAATTCTTATGTTTCAAACAAGGCTAAAACCTAAAATTCAATATAACAATAGAGTTTTTAGAATTCTCTTCATTAGAAGAGCACATAATAAACACTTTGTGATTTTATGTCTAAATAAGGAGATAGATTAACAACATTTCATAGTACTCATGAGTAGCCTTAAATTTAGTAAAAAACAAAACGATCAAATATGTTAACTAAATTATTTCCTTATCTACAACCTTAAAAAAATATCAGCAAATGATTTTAAATTTTCCAATTATTCTCATTAATTAATTAATTATTTATCTAAATCCTATGTTAACTTTTCTGATTTTTCATGTTTCTAAGAAGGTTGAAATAATTCCAAAATAGTTCTTTATTATTAAATACATTTTTTTAATCTTTATATATTTCAAATAACTATTTTTAATCCAAGATCAACAAATGCAAAGTATTATTGTACTACCAAGCTCTCTTAATTAATATTAAAGTAAATTCTAATTGAATTATTAATTACTCATAAATCTTAAAGCAATAGTTCAGCTATAAAAATAAGTAATCATCCTTAAAATCTATTAAAAAAATTATATTAGAAGTATCTTCATTAGAATGCAACTGTAAAGAAGTTAATCAAAGACAATATGATTTTTAATGAGTAAAAGTCTTTTTTTTTTCATCCCTTGACACAGAAAATTCTATTTAAATATAAGTTTTGCAACTTGCATTTGATTAAATCATATTTAAACTTAAACTGATATAATCACAATATCATATAACTAAATCCCTTTAAATTTTCTCAACATCTATAATTTAATTAAAAGAATTGGTATAAATTTTTATAATAAATTTAAATAATATTTTAATTCTTTCATGCCTTTATTATTAATTTGTGGCCCTCCAGCAAGTGGTAAAACATAAAGAGCAATAGAAATACAAAAATTCATTAAAGAAAAGATGAATAAGGAATCTATTATTATTAATGAGGAGAATTTACATTTAATAAAAGATGATGCATATAAAGATAATACAAGTGAAAAGATGACAAGAGGGTTTTTAAAATCTAATGTTGAGAAATATATATAGGCTGGTTAATTAGTCATATTTGATTCTATAAATTATATTAAAGGATTCAGATATGAGCTTTATTGTTTGGCAAGAGCTGCAAAAACTACTAATTGTCTAGTATATTATAATTATAGTTAGTTATACTTAAATGTACCATTGGAGATTTGTTAGAAGAACAATGAAAATCGTGAAAATAAATTTAATGATAACCTATTAATTGATTTATATAAAAGGATGGAAATTCCTAAATAGAAAGATAGATGGGAATGTCCTTATTTTGAAATTAGATTTCAAGAAAAAACACCCCTTGATGAGATGGCAGAAGTGCTTTTTTATGCAGAAAAAACTGCAAAGGATCCTATTGCTACAAAAAAAGTAATAATAAATAAATAAAATAGGAATAATAAAATGAAGGAAATTTTGTACATGAATAAGAAAAGAGAGTTTAAGATATTTTAGATTAGATCATAAATAAATAAGTTGAAAGTCTTTAAATTGGAAATGGAACAATTAAGTTTTAAGGGACAAAAGCATTACTGGTTTTAAAACGTGCTTTAAGCATAATTGAATTAAAAAAATTAAGATTAGAGTTTTTGAATATGCTCAGAATAACACCAGTAAAAACATTAGAGTAAACTAATGAGGCATTCATAAATTTTATCTAAGCTCAAGTAGAGAGATTGGGCCTTTGAGATTTTCTTATTTTTAACATATAATTATTTAATCATATGTTATAATTTTGGAAGATTTTAATTTCTCATTTCTCTAGAGACATAATTAAATGAAAAAAAAATATATTTATATTGTGATATCAGAATCTAATACATCTTAATTTTTTTCACTATCTTTTATCATTAAGTAATGAATCTATTCACAGACTCATAAGCGATCAAATTTTTAACAAATTGTGAAGACCTTTTAAATTCAACACTTGACCAAGGCTAACTTGATTAAATGTGTCATGAACTCATTGACTCTTTTTGTAATTTTTAGAAATATCTTTAGATTTATATTTAGAGGAAATATAAAACTACAAGAGTGAAATATGCTTTGAATTGAAATCAAAATAAGCTGAAATCGATATGCTTAACTTTTAGATTTCAAAATAAACAAATCAACTTGAAGATCAAAAAAGCGATTTAAATAGATAGATTGATATCTGCTAATAATTAGAATAATAGTTGCAATTCTTTGAAGAGAAATCTTTGAAATCTGAAAAAGAAATTTTAAAGGTAGAGACTGAATTGAGAAAAAAACTTCATTAGCAGAATTAATAATATCGAGATTAGATTTAAACATTAATGAGTGTACAATAAGAAATAGATAAACAGATTCTTCAACTCTCTAGAGAAAAAGGCTAACTTTAATTATAATTTGAACAACTCTAGAAGAAATATGAAGATTAGTAATTTTTGATATAAAATTTGGCTGAGTAATTGGCTAATGTACAAACCAATTCAAGTATTATTACTAAAATACAGTAAAATAATAATTCTATAGATGATAGTTAAGATGAATCAATTGAACTAAAATCATAACAAAAAGAAAGTTAGTATTCAAATTGTATATCACATAATTAAATTAATTTTAAATGGGAAAAAATTTAACCTAGTATATCATCCATTAGGAATTCTATAACAATAATAAATCCAACAAATACGAAATGCGACATATAATCAAGAGAAAAAATTAAATCCTTTGTACTTCTAAGTACTAGCAAAGAAAAGTAATATGATCCTTATTATGAATTTTTTAAATTGGTTATTTTTTTTAATAATTTTAGATTACTCAATGTGTTAAACTAGACTTAGGATAAGCTCATATATATACTATGAATTTTGATCATCTTTTCGAAAAGTTTAAAAAAGATTGTATACCTTTCAATCAATGGTATTAGAAAATAATAGACGAGATTTTTTCATGAAATATACTAAGTATTAATTTTATACAGTTTTAAATTAATTATTGCACATCTTATATTTTGCCGCTTAATCAAATTTTTTTTACATTTATTTATTTGAATTTGGAAAATTAATATTTAATAGAATTTACAAATTAATAGAATTAGAGAATGGAAATAAAGATTTGGAAAAAATATATCAATTAATATATTAAATGTAATACTTTTAAGAATTAGCAAAGAAATAATTGAGTGGTGATGGTCGTTTGATTGAATCTCCAAGACTCTGTAATGAATAAGGAACCAAATGGTTAATTGGATATAATCATATTATTGCAAGTGATGAGGATTATGAAAAATTTAAGAATGGAATAAATAAGGATCAAGCCGAAGAATTATTAGTTCAAGATATCAATAATGCTAAAATTGTACTTCAATATGACTATAATGAATAATATGGAGAAAATAGTTTTTAATAATTAAATATAGGCTGCTAATATTTACTACTGTCTATTCTTATGAATACAGGAAGGTTGTTATAATATACTTAATTGATAAAGGAGTGTTAAAAAAAGAATTTTTATGAAGCTTTGAAATTGAATGAAAGGAAGCATAATAGCGATGAGAATAAATAAAATATGTTAAAGCTTAACTACATAGAGGAACGAAAGTTTTTTTAAGAACATTTTGATCAAAATGGAAATCCAATAAAAGAGGGTGTATGGATATATGACATACCTTAAAAAAATGAAGAAGAACTAGCCTATGCTACTGAGAAGCTTGATGATATATTTACAACATTAGAGCAATTTTCTATATTTGCTATAAAAAGTGAATTAGAATTTTGTAATCGCAAGAGTTGTGAATGGATATAATTCTTAAGGGATTTGGAAGGAAAAAAGTATAATTATGTAAGTTACAATGAAGAATAAAAAAAGTGGTTTCCTGTAAATGTGAAGGATTAAGAATATTGTATAATTGGATACTCTCACATTTGTAAACCCGAAGAAGTATTAGGATATAAAGATGGTTTGGATGATGGATAAGTTAACTATTTATTTTTAGCTGATTATGATTAAAATTGTTTGAAATTAAGGAGGTTTTTGAAATAGGAATATCCAAATATAGATTTTGATAGTCTTAATTCTTAAGCTTAATTATTATTAATAGACTTATCTTTTAGAAATTGGCCATTAATATAATATAAAAAATCAATTGATCTTGTTTTATAAAATAAAATATAGGAAGCAATTATAGAAAGTTACATATATTACAGACCATGTGAGTCAGTTAATTCTCATTATTTAATTAGATAGGATGAAATTAACAAATTTATTAATTTGATTTCTTCAACTTATTAATTTTAACAAAAGGCTTAAAAAAATTTCTTAGAAAATCCTAATTTGAATAAAATAGTTGGTGTTAAAATAACTGAAAATAATTTCAGTTTTGTTCTCAATGAAGAAGCTGAAACTTAGATTTAGATATTAGATTTAATGACCTTTTTAAAAGTTTATTATGATCCAGAATTTGCAGATTAACAATTTGATATGACATTTTCATTAGAACCAGAAGAAGATGATTAAGAAATGAATAGTCAATATCAATAAAAAGTCTATTTCCCAAAATATTTAGAAGGGACACATGTAGGAGAAGTACTATATGAAGCTGATTTTCTTTTAAAATAAATGAGTTTGGGAATAGAAGTTTTGTCAAGAGAGCCATTATAAACTAGACCTTTTGATTATGGAAATTTAGATATATAGCCACTATATAAATTAGATCCAGAATATTTTGCTAGACTATTTCTTAAAATTGGAAAATTGAAGTTAAATATAGTAGAAGATAAACATAATCATATTCATAAATTAGAAATTGAGAAAATTTAATTAACTGTTGATGCAAGAATTGTTAATCAAGAACTTTAAGATGAAGTAGTTTAAGATGAAAATAGTGGAGCTTATAAATTTGCAATTTAATTTGCAAAAAATTATGATTAAATTGCTCAAAAATATCCTATCTTAATAAGACTAAGACAAGTGTTAATGGCTAATTATTTAGCCAAATACATGTTTGAAAAAGGGGTTTCAATTGAATATAAATTGATTGAAGAAATCTTCAATTAGAATCTTATTCCAAATTATTAACCTTTTATAAGTCCAACATTAAAATTAGATGTAGAAGATGAATATTAGATTATTAATGTAAGAGGTGGAATAGATGGAAATACAGATGAATTAAATATATAAGTAGAGTAAGGTATTAATGAGCTCAATAAAAACCCAAGTTTACAGAGTGTTGAAATATAATCAGAGATTGTTGATACTAAATTAAAAAGAGTAGATAGTGTATCTAGTGTTTCTACATAGGATTCAAATGAAGAAATGGTTGATTTATAATAGAAGATAGAATGTGTAAAATGTAAAAATAGTTTAGAATAAAGTGAAATAAAAAATGATGTTGAATCTAATATTTGTAAAAGTTGTTTAGGTTAAAAATGTTCAAAATGTTAATAATTCTTTAATTATTCTTTATAGAATATTGAAAATGAGATATATTGTAAAGAATGTATAAAATGTCATGAATGTAATAAATAAAAACCAAGATAAATGTCTGGATCCTTTTTTTATCATGAAGATTGTTTAAAGATATCATAAGATTCAATACTTAAAAAAGAAATGATTGCTTATATTAAGAAATCTTTTGGAACAAAATAAAAAAAAGGTGATAATAACAATTCAATTATTACTTTTTAATCTCAACTGTATCCTTGTTTAAATATAAAAGATTATTTAAGATATGTAATTGGTTATAATCATCCACTTATTAAGAGTAATATTCCAATTGATCCTAAAACATTTAAAATAACTTAAGAATAGGCTGATAACTATTTAAATGAAGATTTAGATTAATTTGAAAAGGAGTTATATGAATTTTATTGTAGAAAAAATAAAAAGCCATAGGACATTCCTGAAAACATGAGAATGTTACTGTTGTTTGTTCTATTCATTTTTAAAGATTTCAATACTATTCTCAATCTAGCTAATTAATAAAATTATAACCATCTTTACGTTGCAATTGAAAAATTTAAATATCCACTATAAGGTATAGATATTCTAAAGAGATAAGTTGATATGATTTTAGAATTCTTTAATGATCATTTTCATAAAGCAGATGGAAGTGTTAGACAAAAAGATTTAAAAAGTTAGTTTAAAAAATACCTACCTACCTATAAAAGAGATTGATAATTGTCAATAATTTATATGTAACAATAACACTTTTTAATGTTAATTAATATCATTCTAATTTCCTTCAATCAAATCATAATTAATCATGTTAATTTAGTCTTAATTTTAATTTAAATATATATATAAATTTGATTACAATATTATTAATAATAAAATGTAATAATAAAAATTAAATTAACAGCCTTAAAACATAAAAAAAATAGAGGGTTCATCAACTAGTCCTTATGGTAAGATAAAGTTTGAGAATAAGTAATCCTAAAATTCTCCAAGCATATTAGTATTAATATATTAATTTTTAGAAAGAAATTGGCTAATATGTTTATAATTTAAATGATGTAATTGGAACTGGAGAATTCAGTTCAGTGTACAAAGGTCAAGATTAAAATACAAATGAAATAGTGGCTATCAAGATTATTGATAGGAAAAGCATTTAAAACAATTAAATTTTTCGAAGTTTATTAGTTAATGAGATAAATATCCTAAAGTCAGTAGATAATAAATGTTTGCTTAAATTATACAATTATCTTGAAACAATGAATAATATCTATATTATAACTGAATTTTGTTCTGATGGTAATTAGTCTGTAGATTTTAGGTGATTTGCAATCAATAATAGAAAAAAAAGGATATTTACCAGAACATAATGCAGTAAAGATATTAAAACATCTTATTAAAGCATTACTTTATTTAAAGGAGAGAAATATTGTACATAGAGATATTAAGACATAAAATATTTTAGTTTCAAATTAAATACCTAAATTAGCAGATTTTGGATTTGCAATAGACTTGAATCAACCTCAAACAAAGTATATAAATAATATATGTAGAGATATTTTATAAATAGGAACTCCATTATATATGGCTCCAGAAATATATTCTCATTATTAATATTCTTCAAAAACAGATTTATGGGCACTTGGTATTGTATTTTATGAAATGCTATTTGGTATGAAATTATGAAATAATTAGGAAAGGTACCATTCAATGCTAAAAATCCGAAAGAACTAGAACAAATGTTTTAATTTCATAGAAAAAATTAATCAATATAATATGATAATGGTCCATAAAAAATCACAGAGGCAGCCTAAGATTTTCTTAATTCCATATTAGTGATTGATCCTAAATAAAGATTTGATATTTCATAGGCTGCTAATCATCCATTGATATAAAGTACTTTTTATAAATATAAAAGATCCACATCCACATGCAAATAAATAAAATTGATGTATTGTTAATAATCAATCAAATATCTATTATATATATTTAGAAAATAATTATAATTATCTATTTTATTAAATTATATTTTAATTAAATTCCTATCAAATGTGTTTTAAATATTTAGAGAAGAAAAGTACAACTATATGTTATAAATAAGTATGCAAATTAATAACATTTATTTGAATGTATAATTAAATCAAGGATCTCATTATCTTCAAAAATTCTATATAGTTTCTTTTTTCTGAAGGAATAAATTATCTTCAATATTCTAAATAATATTCTCAAATGAGAGGCAAAATTTATCAATAATTATGATGAACATACAAATAGGTATTATTTTTACTCTCATTAAAAAACTAATGAAAAAAATTAACTCATCCATATTTTGTTAAAAATTAATAAATATTCAAATAAAACTATAAATTAAATGAAAAAAGAATAGAGATATACAATAATTTATTTCATAATTTTTTTTAATACAATCTTAAAATTCAGTCTACAAGAATTTTAATTATTATAGTTGATTAATCCTCACCCCAAAAATATAAATTTATTTAATTTAATCTTTAAACCACAATTAATATTTATTCTATCATATTATGAGCAAAAAGTGTTTCATAATATTGTCCAAATGATAGTAAGTTAGAAAAAAAATTTAAAATAATTTTTCACTCTAACAAGGGTGTAAAATCGAACATTTATAAGATGACAAAATAAATAAATTATCTGATGTTGATATCAATTTGTATTAATAAAATAATTATCAATTTCTTTTAAAGGTAGGTAAGAATTTTTTAATCTAAATTTTTTAATCTTTTTGTCTATCACTTCCATCTGCTTTATGAAAACGATCATTAAAGAAATCTTATGCCTTTTCAACTCTTGCTTCTAGAAGTCCTATACCTTCTTATTTTGGATATTGTATTTTAGTAATTTCAACGTAGAGATTGTTATAATTTTTTTAATGAGCTAAATTGAGAATAATAGTATTGAAATCCTTAAAAATGAATAGAACAAACAACAGTAACATTCTCATGTTTTCAGGAATGTCCTATGGCTTTTTATTTTATCTTAAATAAAATTCATATAACTGTTTTTCAAATTAATCTAAATCTTCATTTAAATAGTTATCAGCCCATTCTTAAGTTATTTTAAATGTTTTAGGATCATTTTTTGTATTACTCTTAATAAGTGGATGATTATAACCAATCACATATCCCAAATAATCTTTTATATTTAGAAATGGATATGGCTCAGATTAAAAATTAATAATTGAATTGTTTTGATCACCTTTTTTTTATTTTGTTCCAAAGGATTTCTTAATATAAGCAATCATTTCTTTTTTAAGTATTGAATCTTATGATATCTTCAAACAATCTTCATGATAAAAAAAGGCTCCAGACATTTCTCTTGGTTTGTATTTATTACATTCATGACATTTTATACATTCTTTACAATATAACACATTTTCAATATTCTATAAAGAATAATTAAAGAATTATTAACATTTTGAACATTTTAAACCTAAACAACTTTTACAAATATTAGATTCAACATCATTTTTTATTTCACTTTATTCTAAACTATTTTTACATTTTACACATTATATTTTCTATTAGAAATCAACTATTTCTTCATTTGAAAAACATTTATCTTTTTCTTAATGAACTATTAATTCATTTTACTCTATGTTATTATTAGGATTGTTTAAACTTATTGATTCACAAAATTAATGGTCTAATTATTATGTTTACATTTTGATATCTTTAAATAATTCTTAGATTTAAAAATTAGAGTTTAAACTTCCTCTAATTCTGCTATCAATTAATATTGACAAGATAAATTCTTCTAGCCTATTTTCAAGATCACTAACATTGGTTGTTTATTATATATGATCTGAATGATCTAATGTCAAACAATCAATACAATAAAGTGCCCCTTTTAAGCATGAACTATTTTAACATATACCTATTATTTTATTTTCTTAATGCACCTTACAACTTAATTTAAGTAAGAAATTGTTCATTATTTAATTTAATCATATAATTCTTATGTAAATAGATTATTATAAATACTTGTATTTCTATTAAATTATAAATTAATTATAATTTATATCAATAATATTAAATAATAATAAAATCAATCATAAAAAATCTAATTCTCCATCATACTCTGCCATTTTAATGATTTAATCAATTATCTACATATGTGAGTAATCACTTGTATTTTTTTAAATATCTTATATAATGGGTTCACCTTAATATTTCAAGAATTCTCCAACATATCTTTCAGGATAAATTGCTAATTAATCAAAATTTCAGATACTTTCTCCAGTTTCTAGAACTGTAAATGCAATAAACAAATAATCATCAATTTTAATAAAATATTTATCATTTTAATAGAAATCGCTGATCAATTTGAAAATTGGAAATTCAATGATTGTTTATTCTTTGTATCTAGATTTTAATAATTAAAGAATCAAAATACAAGTATTAGGTGGAAATTCCTAAAATAAGTAGATAGATTACATAATTATTTTTATTGGCTATTTAAACTTGTCTTACAATTTTCTCAAAACATAAATCTTATTCATTTGATGCAAAATTATTATCATCCTCAATAATTTATAAAAATCCTTGATAGATTAATTTAATTATTGTTAAATCCTGACTAAGATTACTTGAAAGGGCATTAGAATAAAAAGTCAATAGATGATATTTTTCTAAAAGAAGCTTAATATGATATAAGCTTTACTTTCATCATTTATTTATTCTTTTCGTTTATTACATTTAACATTTTTAATGCTTAAATACCTAATTTGGTAGATTCCTAATGTTGAATCATATTATTGAATGCAGATAAAGCATCATCAATAATTAAATATTTATTAAATTGATTAATAACTTCAAATTAATTGATATAATTTGATCCTATAACTGCTCTCATAGTCTTAAAAGATTATAATTTAAGATCATCATCTACAGTTGATTAAGAGATATTATCTATTATTTCTAATATTTATTCCATATTTTGTTCTTTGTAATTATTAAAAAATAGATGAGCAATAATTTTGAGATAATTCATACTTAATTCTTCATGACATCCATGAGTTGTGTAACTATAGTAGATATTAGTTAATAATTATAAACTTTAAGCTAACTTTAAAGCTTCATCTGAATTTAATTCAACTATAAAATTGAATATGATTTTAGTCAACTATTTAGTTTAAGAACAATATTGTTACATTTTCTTTTAATTCATCTGAACTGCCATTCAAGAGATTATTCAAATTAACTATTTAACTTTAACTTAGTAATTATAACATCTATTCTCTTTTCATGTGGTATGTGAAATTAGTTAAAAGTTTAGAACATTCTTATGGGAAATATTATAATAAATCAAAGGCAATTTAGGCACCAGGTCTATTTTATTAAAAAAATATACATTAGAGCAGTGATAATTTAAGGACAAATATCTTTCTTGGAAGATAAAAAATCATTTAAGTTTTCTAAACATTGAGGAATATTTTATTTAGAAATCAATTGATCATAATCTAGTTTAGGAAAATCCAAGGGGATTGATTAAATAATGCTAGTTCTTTTTTTTGTGAATATCTCTTCATTTTTTTCTTTTCTGATTTAGACTCTGAATAATTCCCTCTTCTCTCTTATCATTTAATTAATATAAATATAAATGTTTAATAAAATATTCTTATCTTAATTCTCAAGTAATTTAAAAATAGTATATTCAATAAATTGATATAAAGAATTACTATTCAATTTACTTATCTATTCTATAAATCACATTCATCATCAAATAAAAATAAATATTTAAATTGTAAATTTAGGCTTTAGCTATTCTGCATCATCCGATTATATAAAAGAAATTCATTACTAAATTATATTCGTAAATAACATTACATAAAAGTAACTTCATCCCAACAACCAAATATGCAACCAATTATTTCCAATTCTTTATAATTAATGATTTGCATCTTATAGTAACAATTCCAATTACATAATTTAAATAATTAAATTTATGTATTATTAGGCACCAACTCCTATGATGCCACTGGCTCATGCTATGAACAACCCTCTTTAAGTTTAATAAGCAGCTAATATTCGCAAACCTGATTTTCCCCCAGATGTACCTATTAATGTTTAATTTTTAGATGTAACCAATCTTTGTAATTCCTTAAATTGCTCATATCAAATCCTAATTAAAACCAAAATGTCGTCCATATGATCCTATTTTGGGTATTGGAAGAAAAGCAGAGTGGATGTTCGATAAATTTGAAGATGAATATGAGCAGATGGAAAGAGAAGAAAGAGAAAAAGGTATTTGGAATCATAAAATATATAGATATTGTAAAGCCATCAAGATTACCACCTAAGATTTTGAAGAAATAAGAGAAGAAAAGATAACATAGTGAAGAAGTTAAGAAAAGATTGCAAACATGGAATCCTTTTGAAGATTCCAATATTACTTCGGATCCTTATAAAACATTATTTGTTGGGAGATTAAATTTCGCTACAACTGATAAAAAATTACGCAGAGAATTCGAAGAATACGGTCCAATAAAATCTGTAAGAATTGTGCGAGATTCAACTCATGATAAACCTAGAGGCTATGCATTCATTGGTAAGGGGGTGATCATAAATTAAAAGAGTATGAGAGCAAGAACAGTGTTAAATCAGCTTATAAATATGCAGTTGATAAGCGTATTGATGGTCGTAAAGTGATTGTTGATATCGAAAGAGGTAGAACAATTCTTAAATGGAGACCTCGTTATCTTGGTGGTGGATTGGGAGAATTGAGAAGATCAAGAAGTGAAGAATTATTGAAGAAGACTAAAGAAGATTAAGTAGAAAAAGAGGAAGAAGATAAAAGACGCAAAATTAAAAAAGGTAATTAATTATATCTAAATATATATAAAGATGAAGGGAAATCTTCCAAAAAGCCTAGATCTCGATCCAAGAGTGCCAAAAAACATAAGAAGAGAGATGAGAGTGAATTTAAGAAGAATAAAAAGAGAGAAAAATCCAAAAAGAAACATAAATGAGTGAGTGATGATGATGAATAACAAAAAAAAAGGTAAATTTATTTATGGTAAGTATTCTCTTTTCAAACATTTTTCTTCTCATTCATATGAATAGTTTATATAAAATATATTTAAGATACCAAGCTCTCATACGTGCCTTTAAATCTACTAAATTATATTCTTAGATATGCCTAATTTAAAGCAGAATAAGAAGACTAAAAGCTCAACAGAGTTTTGAGTTGAGCAGAATTTTATGGCAATACATTTTATCAAAATTATTCTTATTGTGGATTACCTACTAGAAGTGAAGAAAATATTAACATTATTAACACTATTATATAAGATTTAATGATGATAAAGAGAGAATAATTAATGATTTAGCATTTTATGATCGCCTTTATATTCAACAGAACAATCATCTACAGAAAAATAAGTAGAATAATTGCAAGTTCTATATTTTCATAATCAGTTTTTACAAAGAAAGCTTAGTTTTTTCAGGAGTTAGAGGATAGGATTAATAAAAAAAGAAGATGATATTAGAATTTTAATACTAGGAAAAATTAGAGAAGAATAATAGAATATAACTTAACTAGAATAAAAAATTTTAGTCGAAATTCTAAGGTATTTTCTAAAATAGCTGATAATTCTGAATTTAAATAAGAATCTCAGAATGACTAATGGTGGCTAAAATCAAAGTTTTGATTTTATAATATTAATTATATATAATTTAGTTAAGGATTCTGAGTTTTATAGTTGGTATATTCTTTATGACTTTTATATCTAAAATTTTACAGATTTTAGAAAACACTTAAAATTTAAAAGAACAGAAATAAAAAGCAGAAATTCATTAATTTGTATTGTTAATCAATATGTAATATAAGAGAAATAATTCCGTATTATTAATTTATTACGATTTGTTTATTGTACAATTATTAATTAAATTTTAATTATGATGGAATGTTTTATTACGCATTATTACACAATATATAAATTCTGAACAGTATTTACAATTTTAATTATGATTTTAAGAATTAATAAACAATTTTGGAAAACCTTCTGTTCAACTAAGCCCCCAGGTGAAGAAAAAAAGAACGTAATGTATGCAATGCCTCATCCCATCTGGAATGAAGAGGCTATGAATAATGTAAAAATCGATCACAAAGAGCCTTTGACTTTTGGTGATAGATTTGCTCATTTATTCATTCAGTCAATGAGAATAGGATTTGATGTTCTAAGCGGATATAGGAAGGTATTTCCTTGGTAGGACAACATAATATCAGAAAAGAAATGGATAAATAGGGTTCTATTTTTAGAGACAGTAGCAGGAGTACCAGGATTTGTTGCAGGAATGCATAGACATTTGAGATCCTTAAGAGGAATGAAAAGAGATTTGGGTTGGATCCATACATTACTAGAGGAGGCAGAAAATGAGAGAGTCCATTTATTGACTTTTCTTACAATTAAAAAACCATCATTAATTTTTAGAACAGGAGTGATTTTAGCTTAATTATGGTATGTTGCATTGTATTCAATCGCTTATATGATCCAACCAAGAGTATGTCATAGAATAGTTGGATATTTGGAGGAGGAAGCAGTGAAGACTTATACTCATATGATTGAGGAAATAGAAATTGAAGGTAGTTCAATACATTCTTGGAAAACTAGACCAGCACATTAAAATTCAATAGACTATTGGAAACTATCAGAAAATGCAACATTATTGGATGTGGTGAAAGCAATTAGAAAAGATGAAGAACATCATAAAGAAGTAAACCATAAGTTCGCTGATGATTATACTCAATAATCAGAGAATCCATTCCCTCCAGGATATTGATTTGAATTAATATCTATTTTAATATTGATGCTTATAATATTTTATAATGATCAAAATAATTGAACTGGTGACTTTATGGCATTTTTAAAATCGTAATAGATAGTAACAATAGGAGCAGTTTCTTGGGAATTTGATCCTTTGATTGCTAGAGCATCTCCAATTTTTTTATTGAATATGTATTGTAATCTAATGGAATTAATAATTTACTGATTTTGCTTTTCAGCATCCAAATATAATCTGATATCCGTAATACCTCCATGCCTATCTTACAATTCTTTATTTATAAACATGAGAGGATCATTATAAGCTACAATAATTTCAAAGTTTGGGTAAGGCCAATCTTTTTCTAGGATGACAAATTTAAGTTTGATATATTAATGTTATTCACTATCCCTTTCGAATGATGGCTAAAATAAGTATTTTATTAAGTATATATATGTACATAGATATTATTGGCGTTCATTTTAATTTTAATAATCAAATATACTATCATAATTCTTCAAACCCATCTTCAATTTATAGATTACGCTCTATTGTTTATGATTATTTTGGTTCAGTTTAGTCTTGTTAACCTTCTGTTTATTTTTTGATCCATTCTCGCGTTTTAACAAATCGTTCAGGGGTTTTAGGTTCAAAGTTGAGTTATCTGAATGCTTTTTCTCTTCTAAGACGACCTCCAAATTTAAAGAATTATTGAGACCAATGTTTAATTGCATTTTAAAGATCTACTATAGTTTTTGGTTCTTTCCACCAAGTAACTACTTTAGTGGCGCTGTTCTCTTGAACATAACTAAGAAATTCATAATAATCAATAAGCATTTTTAGTAACTCATCTTGAAAATCAATTTAGTGATTAATAAGTTCTTGAATTTGTTTATGTATTTAGAATTTCAAGAAATTAATCTGCTCTGAAAAGTCTTTCACCATGAAAGAAAGTGAGATAGAGAGAATTGATTATATTACTTCATCACAAGTTTAGAGTGTAGGATTATTTAGGGAAAAGTTACGGCTTAAACTAAGTTTATAGTTTGTTTCTTGATTTATAAGAGTTTCAATTTCAACTTGAGGATCTATCATAATCTCATTCTGATTTTACTCAACTTTTATGACCTCAATACTTGAACGAGGGCACAAAGCACCCATTTAATTAATTATATAAATGCAACATATTATATATATATCCATCACAGTATATCAGATGGTAAAGGCATCTCAAATATGAAATGACTAGCCATTATGCTAGCAGCTTCAGGTTGATCCATTGGAACCATGTGTCCAGCATTTCTTACAGAAACAAAGGTTAAGCCATCGATTTCCCATACATTACCAGCATTTTATTGTTCTGATCCTTTTTCTCCTGGTTTATACCAAGGTCTCCATTCTTCAATAGTTGGTAAATCTATAATATAACAATTATTATAGACTTAATTCCTTCTACAATTTATCAATCCAATACAAAGTACCAGTGATTGGTACTATTGCATCAACGTCTCCACTGAATTTCAAGATCCTAATTCCATTCTTGAGTAGTTTTGGATATAAATAATAAGTGGCTCCTGGATCCTTCTTATAATCAATATAAGAGCAATCATTCCAATATCCTGCATCATCTCTTATATGTAAAGCCTAGAATATATATATATGGATAAAAAAACCTTTCTAAAAGCAGCATTATTGAGATAGAGGAATAAGGCTTCTGATTCAGAACATTCATTGACCTATCCAACTACTCCTTCTTTCATTGGATGTAATTTGAATCTCTTCTCTTTCACCATTTGTCCCTTTTCATTATAAAATGGTAATTGATAGCATTTTCCATATACATTATATGGATTAAAATAGAAGTCACTATAATTATAACTTGAATAATATTACTCATCTCCATTAATTTATTCCATTACTTCTCCATAGATTTCCATGCATTCTGGATTTGATTTCATATGACATTTACTTGTCATTGCTACGATCTTATCATTTAATTTTTCACTAATGAATCCATGATTATGAAGGAACTTGTAAAAATGAATAGGGAAATTGAATCCTAAATCTGTGCATTCTGTTGGATCAGTACATCCATTACCAATCATCAAACCCTTTAATCTTATCTTATCACCAGCTGCTGCTTTTGCATTATAATCAATAATCTCATTTGCTAATGTTGGTATATATATTCCAGCCCAACTTTCTCCAGCAATATAAAAGTCAATGCTTTTGTATTCTGGGAATTTCTTAAAGAATTCAAGCACTGCCTTTAAATTATCTTTTGCTGTGCTCTTGTCATCTGTTGTTGTATTTCCAAAAGAAAATCCTACTCCTGCTGGACTTTCCAAATAAAACATATTGGCCTTTCAAAATATACATTCATTCTTACAAAATTTAACCAAGTGAATAGATTTTATTTGAAATTATTTGTACCCAATTCTACTGTAAATGGTCCATTTTCCACCATGGCTCCATATAGAGATGAGCATCCAGGACCTCCATTTAACCACAATACAAGTGGAAATGTAGCCTATAATGGTCCAGCTAAACTAAAAGCTGGAAAAGCAAAATAATGGAATTGCTTTTTACCAGCGTCATCGATTGGCAAATACCCAGAATACCTAAGAATTAAGTTTTATTCCTTACATTTTTCCTGAATATGGGATTTTGAACTTAGCCCATGTAGATCCATCAACTAAATCTTCAGCTGGGGCTCCTGCTACAAATCCAATAAAACAGAGTAGTGACAAAATCATAATTATGATAAATTATATTAAGTCATCATATATTGATATTTATTAATATCTTTATATTTAATTCAAACAAACAGATGTGCAAATTAATTAAATTGTTAGTTATTTCAATATCAATGTCTATCTAAAGTGACATCCCATTTGTTTAAATGCAAACAAAAACTACTCAACCTGTTCTTCATTCTACAAGATCTACTATTAAAATGGAGAAATAATCAAAACCTTAAGTCCTTTATAAAAATTCATCAGGAAATTAAACAATTAAGAAAAAAATCAAACGTAAAAGACTATTCACAGGATCAAAGCGTACTGTTGCTTACCAAAGACGTCGAATTCCGCTGTCTGAAACATTTACTCTTAGTGAAGATCGCTTAATACTCTCCTCGGTTATAAAATTAGGACCTAAATTCAAAGTCATATCCTCGTACTTTCCTATGAAGTCATTAAGCACTGTAAAAAATCGTTACTATAAATATTTGAGATATAGGTGGACTTAAATTATGGGAAAGTAATAATTTTATCAAACTTATAAGGGATTTTGAGAGTCTAGTTAAAGAAAATCAATAAATGATAAAACAAGATGATGAAATTGTAGACACATCAGAACTATTCCCAGAAGTAAAAGATATATTGAAAAACATGATCAGAAATATCAAATCTTTAGTTTAATCATGAATCTTATTAATCATTATTCCTAAATTAAGTGATTTTAATGTTTTTCTTATAGACTATGAAATAATTGCTATTTGTTAAGTGATCATACATTTTAATCGAAAATTAGGACAAATCGAATATATTTTTAACAATAAGTGTTTATTTATATAAGGTCTTAATATTAAAATAAATTAGATTATTATTTCTTCACATATAAAATACTGATTTTTTTGTTTTTTCTCTTATTTTTAGTGATTCATCATGCATCTAAAATATTATTGTAAATTTATATTTTATCCAAAATATATATCTAATTTCTTGTAATTATTTTTATTTCTTTTCTTTCAAAGAGACCTAAATTTTATTTCTTTAGTTTGTAAATGATAGATATGAATTGATAGTTAATTTTAATTAAAAATAAAACTCTATCAATAAATAGATTCAAAACTGAGTTAAACAAGATTAATTTAGAATAAAATAAATTTTAATTAATAAAGAACATTGAAATTATTTATAGATTAATAAAATTAACTCTATTAACTTTGTCAATCATAATTAACATAATATTAGATGTAAATAAATTCAATGTAATACCATTTTCTAAATATATATAAGGGTCAAAAAGAATATATACGAGTATATTTTTTATCTTGATTCTTATATTTTATATACAATTTGGAAGTAAATTTGTTTATAATTTAAATTAGTTTAAAAAAAATAAGTTTAGATAATTAAGAAAAAAAGAAAGAAAATATATAATTTTAATAAGATATCTCTTAATTATTCATCTTTATTTTGGAAGCCATAGTAAAGTGTATCCATAATCTTCTAATAATAGTTATCTATAGGTTAGCACAACTGAATCTGATATAATTTAACACATATCGTATAATTTCATCATTTTGTTTGCATAACCATCAAAATCTGTCTAATTACCATCGAATGCTTAAGTACCATGCTGTAGATAATTCATTACTGTAGCTCCTATAGAATCAAAGTAAATATTATCATAAGCAATTAAATCATCTTATAAACCTTTCTACCATTCTGAATAATAATCTTTAATATCATTAGCAGAAGTGATCTTGGATCGTTCTTTGTTTTTGATTTCATCTAGATATTTAAAAAGAAAGTGGAAAGTCTCTGCTTCTTTTGAGTAATTATAAAAGGATTCAGAATATGAGAATAGAATTCTACACATAGTCAAAAATATTTCTTCACTTTCTGTGACAAAAAATTTGATTAATTCTAATTTAATAGCATCATTAAGACTTCCAGTATAAAATATATTTTATTATTATTAAGTTAATAATTTAAGAGCTCTATTATTAGAATAAGGATAAAGTCTATTCCATAATTTAAATTCACTTAAATCAAAGAATACTCTAAAATAATTTTCACAAATATCTTCTTGTAATAAACTTTATAAATTTGATCCACTTTAATCAATATAATGTAAATTGATAATAAAATTAACATTTTTAAATCTTGTTTCTACTTTAAAAATAGTTTTAAAATATACTGCCTTACCTTCTGTAAATTTACTTAATAATCTTTGTCTAATTTCTGAAAGATCTTCTGCTTTTAATATCTCTTCAATAGTTAAAAAAGGTTCAAATCTATTTTTTTTAGTAAAGAATCCCATAACCATCATTTCTGTTGATACTTCTAACCATGAAACATATTTGAGAATAGTATCTATAAAGATTTATTAAGCATGAGGATAGGATGCACCTTTAATAATCCAATCCCAATGTAAGCTCCATTCACCATAAGTTCGATTGATGACATCAGCATCATGAAATAGATAAGTTCCTGAAACTGCTAAAATTGGCATAACTTTATAAGCTTCAGGAATAGGTCTTTTTAATGCTTTCCTCCATGGGAATTCATCTAAATAAGCTTTAAGTCCTGATATTTCAAAGACAGCTGCATAATATAAGCATTATTTCCATCCAATAATAGGTTTTAGATCCAAATCATCCATATCTTCAGTTATAAAATTGTATAATTCCATACTTGGATCATTTCCATAATTAATTCTCTTATCTTCACTTAATTAATTAATCATTTAATCATAAACTTCTTTTCTTTCAATTTCGAATAATTAATATTTAATAGCTTTTGTTTCAACTTTAAATTATGCAGTAGGTAAAGCATTAGGTAATTATTTGCCAAAAAAGATATCCCTTAAAATATAATACAAATTATCAAAAAGATCATATTCATTTAAGAACTATAATATAATGACATCTTCAATATCAGCTTCTTTTTTGAATTTAAATTCTTTATCTATTTTTTTTGCTTAAATTTCAGTACTAACATGTAACATTTTTTTAGGTGCTTTTAATGATTGAAATTCTTCATATGTATAATAACCAGAATTTTCTGAAATTAATTTATTCTATTTAAGAGAATCAAATATATATAATGATAAACTAACAGTAATAGCTCCAACTCTTTATAAATTACCTATACCTATAAATTTGGTAACTTTCACCATAGCCTTTAAAACTTGATATGAATTTTCTTCAATTAAGAATCCACCTTATCTATCTTCCATTTCTCTTAATAAACGAAATAAAAATTCTCTATATCTAATAATATCACTTCCAGATGATCTTCCAAATGTAACCATTAATTCTTATCTATAAACATTGTAAGTAGATGTTATAATTGGTCTTAATATTGCCTATTATTTTCTATCATATTCTTCCATTAACATTTAAAGAATGTTATTTAATTTTGTTAATTAAATTAAAGATGAATAATCACTACTAATAATTTAAATGATTGAATCTAATAGATCTCTTCTTTAATCAGCATTCTCAATATATAATGCTAAATAAAATAATTCCCAAGCAGATGCTCCAATATTTTATTCTTCCCATTTTTTTAATACTAACATTAAATGATTCTTTACAAAATCTTTATAATACACACTCTTATTAAAAGTTTCATTTTCTTTATAAAAATATGAAGCATAAATTTGAGCTTAACCTTCATCAAAGAATACTCCTTTAAGTAATGATCCTAATGGTTAATTCTAATAAGAAATTTTTTAAACTTATTGACCATCATTTTTAAATAAATGAAGATTATAGATTTTATAAACTTCAATATATTAAAATCCTTCTGGATTGTTGTCATCTATACCTTCCATAAGGTCAAGATTTTCAAATCCCTTTACTCTACAATATCCTTTCCAATAAATACTACTTCTATTTTTAGTATATTCTTTTATATCATTAAGAAATTTATTTTTATTTGTATTACTAATATTTTTCATTTTCCATGTAATTTTTTTTTATTCTTTTTTCTCTTAATCAAAATAATAGATTAAAAACACTTTAATAAGATTTAGATCTTATTTATTATTAATACTTTAACAATCTTCAAAAACAAAATTGGCAAACATATCAAAAGCAATATCATCTGAACTTGCTTATACAAAACATTCACAATTTATTTCCAAATCTTTTGGATGAGCTTTTGGATAAGTAATTAAACCAGATTTAATGATATATCCTCCAGATAATGAATTTACTACTTAGATTCTACCTTAAGGATATTCCTTAATAAATGATGGTAAAATATTTTATATTGCAAAATAAAATTCTTTTAAATTAGGCAGGAATACATATTCAAGCATTCTCTCATATCCATATACTTCAAATTTTTATTCTTCAAATACTTCTTCTAATTCATTCTAAGAATTAATTATTCTTGTCTTTTATTTAAAACTATAACTAATTTTGTAAATATTATATTTTCTAGTTTCTATACAAGGAGTCTTTCTAAAATTCTTTGCTAATTTTTCAAATGTTGTATAAATATCAGTTTTTAAATTTTATACTCCTAATGTCCTTGAAACTTCACACCATGGATTTTTAGGAACTAAATCACCTGAAATAGCAGCTCGTAATCCTGTAGTTAGTGCTTATTCTAATTGAGTAAATGCCAAATATTCATTAACTAACTATAAAGTGGATTAGGAAAATTATATACACTTTCATGTTTAGATTTCTATTCATTTTATTAGTCTCCATCATCATCATCTGAATCTAGTTGTTACTGTAGATTTTTTTTGAACTTCTCTGTTAAATCAGATGTCTTATTAGTCCTCTTTTTGATTGTCTTGAATTGAGTTTTGTGTCTACTCATAATAATTTAATATAATTCATCTAAATGTTTTTTAGCCCCTATTCTCAAAATGAGATTGAATCAAAGAATTTCGTTCATTTATTTTTTGATCTTGGCTTGGCTCTAGAGGTAATTGATATAGTCCAATCCAATCTTAACGTTTATTGGGATCAGGTTAAATGCATTAAGTAATGAAGGTCATTAAATTCTTGGAGTAGAATTAATCTAACCATTTCAAAGGATTTTCGAAAGCTTAAAACAATGTAAGACATTAAAGAAGTACAATTCTATATAATATATTATAATTACCCAAAAGCAAATACATCTACTTTAAATGGGTTAATTTATGCTGTTTCTAATAGACTAGCTTCTGAATTAATAAATGGTTTGGTTTCTGGAGCCAAAAATACTTAAATTTCAGGATCTTTCGTTTACTAATATTTAATGAAATTGCCCCATCTACCACCAATTAATTCTTAATCATAAACTCTATATAGAAGATACTCCTCATCAAAATAGATTGTCTTAGTAGTAATCATTCCATGAGGAATATTATTATTTTAAAAGAAATGCATAGCTTACATTACTCCTTTAATAAGACACCAAACTTCTGGTTCAGGTATCAAATATCGTTTGGCTTATCTTCTTTCAGTTAATTCATGCAAAGTTAATTGACCATATTCAAAAAAAACAAAAATCTAAAATACTTCTGACTATCCAAATTACCCGGGTTTCATTGTTTTTTGGCTTTCACTTTCAATCGTATAGAATATATGTGGTTGTTTGATCTTACAACGTTCTTTATATTGCTTAAGTAACTGTTATTATTGGTTAACATCCATCTATTAAACTGGAACAGAACACACCAATTTTGAAACCATATATCTGTTAGGAACGTACATTTGTACTTTGCAAAAGGATGGAATCGAAATAATCGTAATTGTCCACGCTATGGGCAGAAGATGTTGTCTACAAATTTCAATTCCTCGAAATTGTTCAGTACAAGTGTCTTTGGATCCCCTCTTTTCGCCATTCAATTTTAATTTTAATGTTATAATTACATATAAAATTTAAATTACTTTATTATAATAATAATAGTAAACTTGACTTACAAATTAATTAAAATCAAATAGATGTAGATTCTCTATCTATTATTAAACCAAAATACTTTAAGTAATATTTAGGCATATCATTTCAAATTTCATAATCATATAATTAAAATACCTTATATATAATTAAAGATTTTAATAATTTTTAGAAATCTCAAATGATCATCTTTCAATTATTTAAAAATTTGAAAGTAGAACAATAGATATAAATAAAATAGAAAAAATAATTGATTAACACCTAATAACTAATTTGACATTTACTATTCAATCTCTTCCTATTGATAAATTCATTTACCTCATTATATTCTCTGTTAGATTATATCACTGTTATCTTCTAATAGATCTCTATCATTAAAATTCAATACTATTAAAATATTTATTATAATCATATAATTATAATTTGCTAAAATAAATACTTAACAAATTATTTAATATATAATTTATTTATAGAATGATCAATGATTATCAGACTAGTACTAGAATTGATTTCTAAATATAATATTTTTGAATGGACTTCTAATTATTATTTTATTGATTTAGTTTTAATTGATTTTATATAAATTTAAATTATATATATTACATATATTAAGTAATTATGAGTAAATATAATTTATTTGATCTTTAAGATATTATTTTATGTATATTTGACAGCAAATTTTGAAAATAAAAAACTATAAAAAAAATAATATGATTTAAAAATAAGTTATATATCTCTTAGTGTTGATTATTATTGGTAATACTATTACAGTTGATACAACAGTACATTGCGATTGTAGTGAATTAAGATCATAAGATTGTTAATTTAGTAAATATTGTTATTGGAATGATAACTATTGTTAATCTTATCCAAATAAATGTGCGATATTCACAACATAATCATAATGTACTCCATCTCTAACAAATTACTTATGTAAATGGGATGATAACTCTTGTGTATCTCATTTATATAAATGCGAAGAATTCTCATCAAGCTCAGACTGTCCATGTTACTGGAACTTAGATAATGAATGTGCTGAATTCAAAGGATGTTCAAGTTATGATGAGAATAACTGTCCTGCTTCTTAAGGATGTGTATATAAAATAAGTGAATGTCAAGCAGAAGATTATATTGACTGTTCTGATCAGACATTGGCTACTTGTAGTGGTAAATAAGGAATGTTTTCAGCTTGTGCTGTTAATAATGATAATGAATGTGACTCATACTCTCTTTTTTCTGAATGCTCTGATTTAAATAATTTTAAAACTAAATGCGTAGAATTTGGTTGTAAATTTGAAAATAATGAATGTTAAAAAATAGTATGTGAAGATTTAAGTATAGAAAATTGTTCTAGTGTTAATGTTGATACAGAAACAAAAATGTTATGTGCAGTTTAGCAATAAAAATGTGTTGAAGCTTAAAACACAAACCATTTAAATATTGATTCTTGTTACATGTCAACTAATGGCAATTATAAATGGATTGGAAGTTGTGTCTAATGTGAATCATTAGTCTATTCTATTTTGCTAACTTATTTCAGTTTATTTTTAGTAGTTTATTTGTGAGATATCAATAAATGAATTTTTATTTAAATATTATCAATTTATTATGATTTATAATTAAATATTAAGATGGTCATAATCATCTAGATCATCACTTAAATCATAAAGTTTAACTGTGATAAATTTAATCCAAATTAATTTTCAACATCTCATATTAATTTATTTTTTAACTAAAGAGAATTTAGAATTCTTATATTTATCAATAATTATTGATAGAATTCTAATTTTATTCAATTCAATTAGTATAAAAATTAAATCTTACTATGACAAACTAGATTATAAAAATCCTAATATTTATTTATTTGTCAAAACCTATATGAATTATGTGAATATAATTTAGAAGATGATTAAAAAAGTTATTGTTAAATAATTTATTATCTCAATTAAGTTATTAAAATGAAAGTAATAAATATCTTGAATAGTATATTATTTATTAAACTAATTTCTTAACTGTGAAACTACTTTATTAAAAGATTATAATTACAATAATAAAGAGAATGTTGGAAATAAAATGTTTAATATCATATATTAAGATCTGATTATGATAATATTTTTAATTAATTGTTGTTTATTTTATAATTATATAATTTATAATTATATTTTTTAAAATAAATGGAAAAGGATAAAAAAGAATTTCAAAATAAATAGGCTTCTAAATTAGCTGATATTATGAGTAATTAGGCTCTTATAGAAGAAGAGAAGATTGTATTCTTAAAAAATATAAAACTTGGAAGTCATTTATATATAGATCCTTTAGTTGATACCGTTAAGAAGACCTTAAAATCAAAATTTCCATTCTAAACAAAATTTAATGCATTAATGGTAAATAAATTGTATTATTGTTAGCTTCTCAAAGATGCTATGGATACAAGAAACAAAGAAATAGCAAATTATGTAACTATTAAAGTATTGGATCGTTTAAAAGCAATAGCAAAATAATCACTAAAACCAGATAAAAACAAACTATTTACTCCACCAGAGTCTGGAGATGAGTTTTATTTACTATTATTAGAATGCTTATACAATTGGTCTATTTTTTTTCAATTACCTGCTGATTTGAAGATGTAACCAAGTGCATTTAAGAATGCATGTAGTGAATTATAATAAGCAGGTATTAGATTTCCTACTTAATTCAAATATTTTTAAAATATAGATCTATAGAATAAAAAACCAGAGCAAACAGACTCAAAGTAAAATTAATAACAGCAATAAAAATAATAATAATAATAATAATAATAAAAAGAAACACCTAAACCTTAGACTAAACCTTAAACTAAACCTTAATCTAAACCTAAGAAAAATGAAAAATAAGCATATTAAAAAGCAATCGATTCATTAATGAGTTTAACTGGTCTTTTTAAGATTATTATTGATATCTTAAGAGAAAATGAAGATATTTCATGTAATATTATAATATAATTTTATTAGATTTATAAGATTTCTGTTAAGAACTTTAATAAGTTATAAATCCAATTGAGACTCAAATGTTTGAATTAGAGGAAGAAGATTATCCAAATAAAGAATTGTTAACTGAGGATCTAATTAAACTTAGTTCTAAAGGAAATGAATTGGTTGCAGATATTTAAAAATGTTAAAAGAAATAGATGTCATGGAATGTTCTAAAAAATAAGCATCATCCTAAATTACAAGATTTTATTTAATCACTAAAATTTCCTTAAGATGATCCAAATTTAAATGAAAAACAAAATGATGTATAGGATTAACCAAAAGATATATAATAATCTGATTAAAAAATACAAGAAGGTCAAAAATAAATGCCTTAAAATGATAATCCATTTTTCTTCTCTTAAGTTGCTAATTTTGAAATAGAAGATATAGAAAAAACTAAGTCTGATTTAATTTAATAATAATTACAAAAGTAATAATAGTAATAATAACCTATTCCAACAGCTTAGATATAAAAATAATAAGAAACTCCTTAAAAATAATAAGAATAAACTACTCCTAAGATGGATTAATGGGATTCATAATAAGTACCTGTAATTTGGAATTAGCCAGAAAATACTAAAATTCCTGAAAATGATATCTAATTTCCTGGATTTGAATAAAGGTAGGCTACAGATCCAGATAATCAATTTTAAACTTAATGGAATATGCCTGAATAAAAATAAGAATATTTTGATAATCCATTTTAATTATAAAATTTTGATAGCAAAGATAAACATAATTTACCATTTGATTCAAAAAGACATAATACTGATCCTGATTCTTAAAATGGTTGGGGAGTATAAAAATAAGAATTTTAAGAATAATAATGGGATCCAGGATTTAATCCTTGGTAAAATATTAGAAAAGATTCAAAGTAAGATGAAGAAGTTGTTGTTGAGAAAATGAGACCTACAATAATCCCTTAACCATAAGAATAATAATAATAAAGAAAGAAAAATCTTAATCCATTTGAGAGATAATTATCAGTTACATCTGAAGATTAAAACTAATAATTTCCAAAGGATGGATTTACTGGTTTTTCTAAAGTTATGGATAATAAAAGTGAATTCAAGACAGAAGTTGATAGTAAACCAGATTCAAATATATTTAAGTTTAATGATTAAGATATTGATTTAGAGATTATGGCTGGATCATCTAAATTAAGTAAGTAAGATAGATCTAAAAGTGTTGATTCTTAATAAGGTATGCCTATGCCATAAAATTAATGGGAACCTTAATCAAATTTTTAAGATTTTAAAAATAAAGAAGTTGTTGCAGGATAAAATACAAATTTTTAATGGGAAGTGGAAATTAAAAAATAAGATCCTGATGATTTTGTAGACCCATATGTTAATAGATTTGAAGATGATTTTAATAAAAAAGAAGACAGATATGCTTACAATGATCATTTTGAAAATAGTACTAAATTTGATTAGTTTAATATAAATGATCAAAATAAATTTGATAATAAATATACTTTTGATATTTAACCAGAATTTAAAACAAATGATAATTAAAAGGATACAAAATTTCTAAAGATTTATAATAAGGTTATTGAATTTTCTATAGATAATTGTACAAAAACAGCAAGAAAGAGTGGGATTAGAATGGCTGATGCAGAAGTATAAGCATCAGAATAAATACTAACATTACTTAAAAATAATCCATAGTAAGAGATGGAACATTAAGAATAGAAATAAAAATTAATAAAAGAAATATAAAAATTGAAATAAGAGAATTATGAATATTAATAAGAAATTAAAGAATAAAATTAAATTATTGAAAAATATGAAAAAGATTTTTAATCATTTAAATAATAATCATCAAAATGGACAGATGCTTAAACATCTCTTAATAATTAATTAATAAATTTAAATGAATATTATAAATAATAAAAACAGTAGATATCTATTCTATAAGAGGAAATTTCAAAATTATCAAATGAAAATTAATAGTTAAATGATAAATATTGTGAAAGTATTAAATAGATTTCTGATTATAAATGTAATGAAGATTCATTAATGAATAAAATACGAATAATAGAGAAGTAATTTAAATAAATTAGTTTTAATCATAAATGTCCAATATAATAATATTTAGAATAATATCTCAAAGTTCCTAATTTAATTGATATTAATATGCCAACAAGACTTTCAGTTATACCTAAAGATAGTGAAAAAAAAACAACCAGAATAGAAGTTAAATATGATACTAGTTTATTTATGGATATTTTAAGAGGTTGTGCATAACCATATTCTAATGAAATTGATGATTTTAAATTTTCTATATTAATGTCTAGAGCAGTTTTATATGAAGATAAAGTTTTATAAATTGGATGTATAACTAAAATAAATGATGATGATTTAAGTCTATTATTACATATTAGAAATAAAAGCCAAAATAATATCTCAATTACAAAAATTAATTTGATTGCTCCTTCAAGTACAAATTAAAATTAAATATTTAGATAATTAGTTAAATAAATCCAATGTTTAAGATGGTAGTGTTCTTTAAAAATATACAAATTTTAAAATCTAATTGAAATTTTAATATTAAGAATTTATGAAATAACCAATTTTAGAATTTTCAATAGATGATAAATAATATCATATTTTGTTACCTGTTTCATTAATAAAATTTGGAATATCTGAAGTAATTGATATTGTATGTTTAAAAGAAAAATGGAAAATTAATAAAAGTAATTTCTAATTCTTACTATTTAGATATGAAATGTGTTATAAAATCTACTATCAATTAACCAAATCATAAATTTATTAATTAACTATTAGATTTTAAAAGATACTTTTAAACATTATAATAATTTGATAATTATTTGATGATGTAATTGAATATAAATTAAAGTGAATTTGGAATTAAATTTAAAGAAGACAGATAACGTTAATAATTAATAATAAAGGTTCAATCAAGTTAATTGTTGAAATCAAAAGCTGAAGAACTTATATAACAGTTATTATTCTTATTTAGTGAATGATTAATTATAAAAAATGAATTAAATTTTATTAAATTTATTATTTATGGAATTATAAATTATAAATAGCTAAATAGAAGGGGAACATAAATTAAAATCAATATAATGTGTAAGAATTAGCTATGAGCGATTAATTATGCTTGTAACTATTCTGTATATAAATAGGTATTATTATGCATATGTACTGGGTTTCTGGCTGCATTCTACTTTCGATGGTTTCCTACTTAATTTATTAATTTTTTGTACATAACAAGTACATTAGAAAAGGCAACACATGTTAAGACTAATCCATATAATGAGATATGTTAAGTATTTAGAGATGGAAGGAAAATCCATTTCAAATTTAGGTAATAAAACTAAAATGAAAGTTAGATTCTTAAAATATGAATTATAGGAAGATAAATTCAAACCTTTAGAATTTGAACCTAAAAATGCTAATTAATTAAATACTAAGGAAGTTTAAATTAGACAATTAGATTATGGATAAGCATTAATGAAAATTCCAATGATAGGATTTCTAGAATTTACATTAGAAGAACTTTCAACTCCATTTTATACATTATAATATTTATGTGTAGTAATTTGGTTGGTTTAAGGGTTTTTTTATTTTGCAATTGTAATGATGTCATGTTCTCTCATTTCAACTTTCATAAAATTTTATTTGCTTAGACAATCTTTAAAAAGATTATAATCATTGGCTGCAATTCATTAACAAGTAATTGTGATTAGAGATGATCAATTAATAAAAATAGATGTAAATGAACTTGTTCCAGGAGATATAATAAATTTATAAACAATGATTGTTCCTGCTGATTGTATAATTACTGGTATGGCGTTACTAAATGAAGCAACATTAACAGGTGAGAGTAATCCTGTACCTAAATAGACAGGATAAATATTATTTGAAGGTACAAAGATTCTCGAAGTAAATGCTGGATCATCAGCATAAATAATAAGAACTAATTATTCTACAATTAGAGGATAATATTTTAGAAATGTCTTATATCCACATAAAGTGACTCATAAATTTTATACATAAGCTATGAAATTTTTAGGTGGTTTTGTTATTTTCAATATTATAATAGCAGGTGCTACATTAGTAATTTATTTAGATTATACAACTGAATTAATTTTAGCAAATATATTTAGTACATTAACATGGATATTCCCACCTGCTATGCCTATTTTTTTTTCATTAACAGCTACAATAGCATTGCTTCGTTTAAAAAATGAGAATATTATTGGTAGTAATATGGATAAGATTCATATTTCAGGATAAGTTGATGTTGCATGTTTTGATAAGACAGGTACTTTGACAACTAATGAATTAACTGTAATTGGTTTATGGGATAAATAAGATTGTAATATATGTATAAGTTGTTGTCATCATATTTGTTAATCTGAAGGATAATTGGTTGGAGATATATTGGATCTTGAAATGTTTAGATATAGTTAATCAAAAATAATATTTGACAAGAATGATATTTAAATTACATCAAAAGATTAAAAGATTTATAAGATTATTAAAATATTTGATTTTAATTCTGAATTAATGATGATGTCAGTTATTGTTGAATGTGAAAATAAATATTATTTATGTTCAAAAGGTGCTCCTGAAAAGTTATAATCAAAATTAAATTCACATAATGAAGAAATGCTTTTACAATTATCCTTCTATGTAAATTAAGGATATCGTGTTATAAGTCTAGCTTAAAAAGAGATTAATCAAAAAGATCTCAATTTAGATAGAATGTAATTAGAAATCAATTTGAATTTCTTAGGATATCTTATATTTGAAAATCAATTAAAACATGATACTGCAGATGTAATGAAATAGTTAATAGAATCAAATTTAAAAGTGAAAGTAATTAATTTAATAATTTAGATTCTATCTGGTGACAATCCTTTAACAACTGTTAATACTGCATATAATATTGGTATAGCTAATGAAGTTGTAAAATTATTTGATATTCGAAATTCAGAAATAGTAGAGATTGATATAAAAAGAATAGAAGATAAATAATAAATTATATAATAAAAATCATACTTAATTGATGTTAAGGATTTGTAGAATTACATTTATACATTGAATCATTAATTTGCATTAACTGGAGATTTTATGGAATACTGTAATTTACATAAATTAGATGTTCCTTCTTTATATCAGAGAACTATTGTATTTGCAAGGGTTAAACCACATTAAAAAAAGGAAGTCATTTTTATGCATTAATAATTAAAATGTTGTGTAGCTATGATAGGAGATGGATCAAATGATTGTGTAATTATCTCTTTAATTAAAGTCAGCTATTTCTTAAGCAGATATTGGAGTCTCATTCTCTTAAGCTGATGCTTCATACACTGCTCATTTCTCATCATTAGATTAATCCATAAAATGTATAGTGACAATATTAGCATAAGGAAGAGCAACAGCATAGACCTTAAGTGAAATTTTTCCTCTCTATATTTTATTAAGTTTTCTAGCTACTTGTGCCTATACATGTTTGGCATTGGAAGGTCAAAATTATAGTGACTTTTAATTATTATTCCTTAGCTTTTTATGTTACATTCCAATTATGGCATCGATGACATTAACAAAAGCATTGCCAAATCTATCTAAAGAATTACCTTTAGATGATATGTATTAATGTAATGTTTATCAAATTTATTAAAGTAAATAATCAACTTTCATTTTATACTCATGTATTCATCTTTACTGGTGGTTTACTAGTATCTGTAGCAATCATCATGAATGCTGAGAATCATCATTTTGATTAACCAGATCCTCCTATTAAAGATTATCTTAGAAGAGGAATGCTCAATACTGCTACAGTCATTATTGCATAAATATACAGTCAATTCTTGCCTTTCATCTTTATAATTTCTAAACCTTTCAAAGAAGAATGTTATAAGAATTATGCTTATATGACATACTCTATTCTCTCATTTTCAATAACTATTTTATTTGTGTTTTGTAAACCAACTTAATAATTTTTGGATTTGGTTGATTTTAATTCTGAAATGTAATATTAATAATAAAAATATTATAGTGATCATTTTGATATATTTTTGCTATTAATAATGGCAGGTACGATCATTTTAGATATTATAATTTAAAATATATTATAAATAAGATTTCCAAGGAAAAGATATTTATGATATTATATTAATTAAATATATATAATTTATATTATATTATATAATATATCACATATGCACATAATTCTTAATAATTTTAAATTTTCATAATTTAGATACTATATTTTAATGAGTAAAATACTTTATTTAAAAGTAATACGTGAATCACCAAATTGTCTTCCATTTTATTTCAAAATTAAATACATAAGATTTTCATTTTTTAATATGATTTAACCTGTAGATTTTTAATTAAGTCTTTTTATTTCAATATCAATTTATTAACAATTAGTTTGACTAACAATCCAATTAATTAATTCTTAGTTTGTCTTCTTGCAATCTAGATTATCAAAAACAATCTTATATCCATCATCTTCTTATTCAACATATTCTTATTGATTATTCTTAAAATTATTAGTATAATCTGAATATTATTTTCCATTATTAAATTTGGCTTCTCTAACAAATAATTGAATATTATTGCTTATATATTTGCCATCCTATTATTAACTTTTCCAATAATACTTACTTTCTCTTTCAATCTAAATTTTCTACCTTCCAAAATTAATAATTTCTACACTTTGTCTGCTCCACTAACTACTACATATCCTTTTGTAGCTTACTTCTATACTTTTTTACATTCTTCAATCTCACCCTACTATAAATCACATCTCTCTAATATATAATTTATAATTTAGATAGGTACTGTATTAGATGGTAGATTTTATATTTCAACAACTAATAATTTATATTCATAAATATATACCAAATTTTTATTTAGAGTTGTCTGGAATACTATCTAAATATTTTTATTTCTTTTTGATTTCTCTTTCAATAGATATACCACCCTTATAACCACCTGATATTCTATATCCAGTCATATTATAAAAATTATAATCTTTATCAAAATATCCTGCTGGTTCTCCATCTCTGTCATAATAATTTAATTCTTTATCAACCCAACCACCATAATCATCAAGTATATAAATATCAGATTAATTATCAGATTATGCAATTCTAAATCCTTCACCTTCAAGACCATCATATTCAATATATTTATCAAAAAGTGCTTAATTATGAGATGGTTTTTGTGTCATTAATAAAATAAATAATATATTATTATTATTATTATTATATATAACAATTACTATCAAATACTTTTCTAATTAATGAATTAGTATTTATATCTTGTTTTAGGAGTCACTTTTTAACAATATATATGGTTTTGTACTGATTATAAATTTTTATAAAATAAATAATATTAATGAAGTCTAAATAAGTGATACCCAAGGGGAAACATGCTTTTGATTGTAATGGATAAACCTTTATTGTTGATGATAAATATCAATTTATAAAGTAAATTGGGCATGGAGCTTATGGAGTAGTGTGTTCAGCTTTAAATAAAAAGAGTCAATAATTGGTGGCAATCAAAAAAATATCAGATGCTTTTTCAGATCTAATTGATGCTAAAAGAATAGTGCGTGAAATTAAATTATTAAGTATTAAGCATATAAATATGATTGAATAGAATTTTTTGATCATGAGAATATCGTTTCATTACTTGATTTACAAAGACCAGAACATCCACAAAATTATAAAGACATATATATAATTACTGATCTTATGGAAACAGATCTACATAGAGTTATTTATTCAAAACAAGAATTAACAGATGAACACATTTAATATTTTCTTTATTAAGCCTTAAGAGGATTATTGTATATTCACTCTGCCAACATTATCCATAGAGATCTTAAACCAAGCAATCTATTATTAAATAAGAATTGTGATTTGAAAATTTGTGATTTTGGCTTAGCTCGTGGTTATGAAGATGAGAGTGAATTTAAAACTGAGTATCAATGATGGATTTATTTAGATATGTAGTTACTCGATGGTATAGAGCACCTGAAGTTATATTGAATGCTTCTGAATATAATAAATCAGTTGATATTTATGCTTTGGGTTGCATTATGGCAGAATTATTAGGTAGACAACCACTCTTTCCTGGTGAAGATTATTTAGATTAAGTATAAAGAATAATCTAAGTATTGGGTACTCCTACCAATGAAGATGTTAGATTCATTGGAAATAAGAATGCACTTACTTATTTGAAGAGTTTGCCAAAGAAACCAAAATAATAATGGAAAAACTTATATCCTCATGCTTAACCATTGGCTTTGGATTTATTAGATAAAATGGTTACTTTCAATCCAGATAAGCGTTTGACAGTTTAGGAATGTCTAGCACATCCATATTTTGAAGGATTACATAATCCAGAAGAAGAACCTATTTGCGAATGTACATTTGATTGGGGATGGGATAGTTTCAAACCTACCGAAGCTATACTAAAGTAAATGGTATATGAGGAATCATTGTCATTTCATCCACTTAAGTGATTTATTTTAATTAATATAACATGGATCTAAGTTCCTAACTAAATTAGATGAAATTTATAAAAGGTCTTGATTTTCGAAAGAATCTTATAGACAATGGACATTTAGGCCAAGGCAACAATATGGTATATAATGTTTCAGTCAATGGTAAAATGTATGCACTAAAAGTAAAGCATTCTTATTTATTAAGTAAGTAATAATGAATTCGTACAACATTGAAAATGAAATCAAAATTATGTAATCATTATCCAACTCTCAATATGTTATCAATCTTATTGATTATATGATATTAGAAACAGTCTCTTAAGATAAATATACTTAAAATCAGTAATTTGTATATTTGCTGATGGAAAAGGGTTAGTAGAATCTTGAGTAATATCTTAAATAAAGAGAGCAGTAATATTTAGAAGTTGAAGAATTGCATAAAATATTGGAATAATTATTAAATATATTTGAAGATCTCTAACAAAAAAATATAGCTCATCGAGATATAAAATTAGTTAATATTCTAATTATGGAACCATTTTAACTCAAAGCATGTGATGTTGGATGCAGTTCTCAAATAGAAACTATTTAAACTATCAGTGTAGTAGGTACAAAGTCTTATTTAGCTCCTGAATTATTGAATGCTGAAACTCATAGACTTAAACATAATCCCTTTAAAAGTGATGTTTATTCTTTGGGATTATGCTTTTTATATATAGTTACTCTATAATTATGGAATACAAGATAGATAGTTAGTTCTTAAATTGAAGAAGAGATAATAGCAGATTATTTAAGACATGTTAAAAGAATTACTGCTGATGATAATATTATTATCTCAATCCTTAAAAAAATGTTATAAATTAATCCAAATAATCGACCTGATTTTATTGAGTTAAAATAGATTTATATACAATTGAAAGAAAATTAAAATCAATAGACTAATTTATCTAAAGGAACTACATTTGAATCCTTTGAATCACCTAAAAAGACTCCTTTGTAATTTGATTATCTTTCACCTGATATTGTAGTTAATAGAAGTAGAAATACAGGATCCAATTTTTATAAAGAAGAAAGATAAAAATCAGTAAGAAATCTACCATCCAATTTAAGTAATTCCAAAAAATAAAAATCTTAAGCTAATTTATTATCAGAAACTACAAGAAAATAATAAATAACCAAATCACCTAAAAATTAATCTACTACTAATTTACAATTAAAAGATACATAATAATTCTTTAGTAATAAACCACCTACACCAAATTCACTCAAATTTACATAATCTACTAAAGCTAAATCCTTTTAAGGTTCTGGATCACCAAATCATACTCAAACTAATTTCTAACAAAGACAATTCTCTAAATTTCATCAATCTGTAATAGAAAATAAGAAAATTCATACTGAAAGCTTTTCTTAGACTATGCCAACAATTTAAACAAGTATGTTAGCTGAATTAAAACCTTATGATGATTTCTTATATTGCAATTATGAAGACTTAAATAATTTATACCAATTTTAAAATTATGTATGCCTTTTTTCAAATGGATAAAAATCTAATATAAAAAAATGTTAATTACCTAATAGTTGTAAATTATTAAATTTAAAACTCAATAATTAAACTCCAGAACTTCACTTATCTACTGTAAATGATATACAAATATTAATTCTTGAATTAATTGATGATTGTAATGAAAAAAATCTTAATTATAAATGGTCTGAAAATCTAGGTTCTATGTACTTTTAAGCAATAACATCACTTGAAATTATTGTTAATACTCAATAACCTTAAACTAATAATATTATATAATTTCTTACTAAAATATAGCATATCCCTAAAATTAAATTAATATATCGATCTGAAATATCAGAATAAGATCACAGAACTATTATGTGGAAATTAAGTAAATATAATTGTACTTCCTTTGATTTCAGAATACCTAATATTAAATTGAATTTAACCTAAATCTCTTAATTATGGTAATTTAATTAATCTTTGGAAGAATTATCACTAGATTATGAAGATTGTGATATACATTAAACATTTTCATTCCTTGTTACATCAATAAGAACAGTTTTGTTCAAGAAGTTTTATATTAATTTAACAAAATTACAATCTAAAAATTCAGAAATAAGTTTAATGCTTGAATATTTAGGATCTAAATATTTATTAAAAGATTTAACATTAATTATGGATTACATTACAAATTATGATAAAATGGTATAAGAGAAACTCAAAAATAATATATCTAAACTTAAAAATTTAGAAAAACTCTATATATCTATTATTGGTAATAACATTAATTTTGAATTTATTGAAAAACTCTTTAATATTTTTGAATAACTCAAAGAACTTAAGATAATAATTTTAAGGATTGATAGGATATTTGAAAAACAAAAAATAAGAGAACTTAAAAAGATATTTCCTTTTTTGCATCCTTTTGTTTTATAGTTTTATGGTACAAATAAAACATTAACAATTATTATGCATAACAATGAAGTATAAAAATTATAAGATTATGGAACCACTAAATGTAATTAAGGAAAATAAGTTAAATTGAGTTATATGTATGAATGTCTAAAATGTTCTAAAGCTCATTCTTTTTTTTTAAAACATTAATTTCAAATATGTAGTACATGTGTTACAAATTGTCATTCTAAATGTGACAACTTTAATTTGAATAATAATGAAGCAATAACAGTTAGTTCAGATTCTTAATTATAATGCTAAAATACAGTAAATATAATTAAGAAGAATCACACTTTTTTTGAATCAAATGACACAAGAGATTTTAAATGTTACTGTAATCTATTGGGAACATGTACTCAAGCAATATGCAATAAGGATAGAAATAGAAATGAGATTTAATATAAGTATAAAATTATATTATTTTAAGATGCAAAACATGCAACAAAATATTATGTCGAATGTGCTCTTTTGATTGTCATTCTTGTCATACCAGTAAAGAAATGTATATAAATAACTTTAGATGTGAATGTGATTGTGATAAACATATATGAAATAATACAAAATGTAATTAATTTCATATTAATCTAAATCCAATTAAATATCTTTTGGATAAAACTTATGTTAGTTCTTTTGAAGTACATATTTTTTTAATTGTACTACTAGTCAATTAATTATAAATTTACAACATACAAGGTCTAATAATAATTATTAATTTATACTCAATTATAATTTGTAAGTCTTTATTATTAATTTCAATTTCTTTTATCTATGAACTCAAAATACCATTATTAATATGTTCTTCTGTAATTTCCATAGGTTATTCAGTAATTTCTGGTAAATTTAATTTAATTTTTGTTCCCTTTTTAAAATCTTTATAATCAAAAGCCTCTGGAGGCATATCAAAATTAAGAACAACATATTAATCAAGAATCTATTACATATTATTGTTATTTAACAAAATAAATATTGAATCCAATTCTTAAAGAGTTGGAGAATACATTTTAATTATTTTTTATGATTTTTTCTCTCTTATTAATATTTAAGTAGGTAAAAAATCACATGTATAATAAGTATTTTCAAAATTTACTACTTTTCTAATCATTTTTCTTTATAAAATCTTTTCAGGAAATTCATGTTTTTCTATAAAAATATTATAATTTACCATCAATAATCAGAATTCCTAATTCTTTATGAACTGGTAATCCAGTTTAAATTATATTTTATATAGCATTATCTTAATTATTAGGTATTTTATCCATTTGAATATCTGATTATGAAATTTATTATTAAGATTGTGGTTCATTTAATTCTTTTAAAATAAGTCCATCATCAGGTTTACTTTATATATACAATTGCAATTTTTCATGATCAAATTATTCAACAAATGATTGCATTTCAAAGAAATTATTTTTAACAATATCAAAAAGCTTTTAAGGAGATAATTCAATCGTTTATATATGTTAATGCTCTTATTAATATAATTGAATAATTGGAAAATAAATTCTGAAGAATCCTTATCCAGATTAATTCTTAATAACAACAACTCTTTGAAATTCTTCTGTATCAAATTACTTAACTTTATATTTCAATCTATTTAAACCCTTTTACTTTAATGCAACAGTATTTCTTTCTAATAATTATAAGTTTTTTTAGAAGAAATCTAAGGGATCTGTATGAGTGTTAAATATTGCTAAAGCTATTTAAAAAGTTAATTAAAGAGGTTTAGTTGATTTCTTATTTACTTCATCTTCAAATTCCCTTATCCATTCTATTTCGAAAGATTTTATTAAAGCAAGTATGGGCATCTTTTGATATTTGTAAATTTTCTTATAATATGTTCTATCCTCTTTAGGAATAGATTCATTATCTTCTACATCAGTAAGTTCTGCAACTATATGTCTATTTAAAGGTTCTAAACGTGCAGTAGAATGACCAAATTTTTGAGTATAATGAAATTTAGACAAACCTTAAAAACCTCTATCACAAGCAGCACCAAAATGTCTTGAACTAAAATCAAGACTATTCACAAGTCCTTCTATAAATTGTCTGTTTACTTTGAACAATCAATTGTTTTGAATTTGGAGTCTGTTATAAGATGGAACTTCTTTGAATAAGAGGTAGCATTTTGCTTTCATTATGACTGAATTTGCTTTATGTATTCCTTAGATAAGTAGGTTCAAGCAATTTATGTTGAGTAGTCATAAGTTTAGGAAGAATATCAAATTTTGTATGACTATTGTTGTTCATTAATATAATAATCAAGGAATAATGCCATTTGTCAATTTTTAAAAATCGTCATAGTATTTGGTATATCTATTGTTGGCACTTTGGGAAACTAATTTATGTACATGTTCCTCAAGTTGTTATTCATTAAGTTCTAATTTGAATCTATCTTTGAAGGTTTTCATATCAAATTTTTCTAAACATGGTAATTCATTATCAATTTTCATGGCTTCTAAGATAAATGCAAATTTATCAACATTCTTTCTTAATTCCAAATAACCTAATAATAATTTGCTTTTGAATAATTAAAACATGCAACTTTCTTATCCATCAAGTAATTCAATATATTCTTTTGTTAATTTAAATGGGGCTGATTCAAATTTAATTCCACCAGGTGCAATAGTTAAGATGAATCCAAAATCAATATGTATTATATGACCTTGATTATCAATTAGAATATTTCCATTATGTCTATCCTTAATTTAGAATAGATATTAAAGTAAACTATAGGAAGTTAAACTTAATATAAAATTAAGTTATGCTTCTTCAAAATTATCTCCAAAGATGTTATTAAAGATTTCTTTAAGAGTCATAGAAGGCATAGATTTTTTAAGTTAATCCATAGACATAGTATCATTACAGAATTCTAAAATTCCTGAATCGACTGAAGTGATAATGATATCATAAGATTTGACATATAAACCAACTTAAGTTAAAATCTATAAATTATAATAAAAATATAAATTACATCTTCAGAAACTTTAATGATTTACATCATCATTTATTCTTATCTTAAATCATCTCCTCCTTTAATTAATAAACTTCTTAAACAATAGGAATTGAATTGGCCATAAGGAGATAAAGATTTGATCACTTATCTTTTATCTTCCCATTATTCACTAAATGGACCATTTTTTAAATCATTTTAAGATGGAGATTATAATTATTATATTTCTTATTGTTGAATAATGTTTTTAGGATCATTTAACTATTTTTAAATCTTCTCAATTGTTCCTTTTTTATTGGGATATTCTAAGATATATAAATAATAAAAATACCATTAACAATTTAATCAAGAAATGTAATATTATCTAATTCTTTATCACTATGTTTTAATTAATCTTCTTATTTAAATAATTCTTTAAAATCTTTCTCATATAATTATTTATTAGTATATGATTAGATTTTATCAATACAACTTCTTCTACGTATAATTAATTCCTTTTTAAGAGGTGGAAATTGTTAATCAAATCTCTTTTTATTTTAATTAATAATTTATTACCTAGCTAACTAAATAAAAAAACCTATATTAATACCTTATCTTTATTTTCCTATAAGAAATCTTCAAATACAGTATAATCAAATTAATGCATAACATCAAATTCTAAAAAAGCTTAAGAATCTATTGATAATTATTTTTAAAGAGTGACAATTTATTGTTCACGTTATTCATACTCATCCATATCAACAGTTTCAACCACTAATTTATATGGTACTCTCTTTTTTGTATTAAATGATTATGCTTCTGTATCAATAATACGAACAACCATTTATGACCTACCTTTAAAAGGTAAGATAATTCCTTTGCAGTATCTGATGCCTGGATTATTACGACGAAAACTCTCCAAAGCTCTATTTCCTTTTATGAGATTTCGTCTCAAATATAGTTATCTTTCATTAAGAGGTACATTTTTAAGATGTAATGATAAGACAGTTAAACAAGTCACAAATCTTTGAATAGAATTCACATAATTTGATCTACTCTCTTTTTCTTGATATTGATTCTCTGAAATTCGATTTACCATTGCTTCTTCTATTTTTTAATCAAATACAGTGACACTATTTTCAGAGCTTTGTCTCTCTTTAAAAGTATAAGCTTCATAAGACCATTTGATCTAGTAATGAGAAATTTGAATATACTATCTCATAAAATGCTATATGTTCTGCACACTTATCCAATAAATACTCACCAAGTTGAGGCCATCTCTTTCTGGTGAATAGATAGCTAACTTAATAAAATCAAATCAATACACCAATCCTGATAAGTATGTACTAGTTTCATCATAATTTAATTAATTTAGTCTTTCTAAAAACTCCATTAAAGTTTATTCTTAAACATCCTTACATATAATCTTTCTAAAGGATTCATCTATGCTAATCTAAATGTTTTAATTCATTAATTTATTCTTATATAATTAAATGAACCCTATTTTTATAAATTGATTATTCTATCTCATTCTTTAAGTTCTTCTAGGATCAATTATACACAATTATTATGTTTAATGAGCCCAAAAGTCAGATATAAAACATCATACTAAACCTATTTATTATATATTGTAGATATGTCTTCACTAAAATATTATAAAATAATAATGAAGATAAAAGGATTTGATTCTCCTTACATTTAAAGATTGACTGCCATTATTTTTGAATTCAATAGGTATCTTTTAATTATAAATTGCATTCAGTTCACAAAATAGGATGGTATCTATGTAACCGACTTAGAAATGCTAAAGTAATAATCTTATCTTAAAAAGACTATGAAAATATATAAGAATTATGAATAAATGATCTGTTAAAAACATAAATGTTAAAATTAAATCATTAAAATAGTGTGAATATTATGAGATTTGTGTTGTTATTCATATTAAAATTGAGTGTTTCATTTAATATATGAAATCATTTTACATAACTATAGTCAATTAGTGAAATATTTTATTAATTTTATGTCAAAAAAGAGATTAGATCGTTTGGATGCTGGATAATGTTCTACTGATCGTAGTCATCATAAAAATAATAACAGTACTGATCTCAATTTTGTAAATCCTTTATTTACTATTATTGTAGACTCTCCATTAGAGATTAAATAGCAATGTTGATGAGTAACTACAATCTAAAATTACACTATTTTCTAAATTCAAATAAAAAGAATTACCTTAAGTTAATGATTCTCTATAGGGGATGGCTCAAACATTATCTAAAGTGTCATTTAATGAAATTCAGCATCATCAATTATAAAGAGATTATGAAAAGATTAAAACAGAATTAGCATAATTTAGAGCATAATAAATCAAATTATATTCCACAATTACTAAATTGTAAAAAGACAATCAAACACTTATTGAGAAATTAAAATTTTATGATGAAGAAAAACTTAATTTATAAAGAAAAATTTAAATTGAACAGAAGTAAAATGAAGAATTAACTAAAAAACTTAAAAGATCTGAATAACGAATTTAAATCATTCTAGAATCTAATATCATATTTTAAAAGGATCAAATTAAAACTACACTTTTAGATACCTTACATGAAAATGAACATTATAAAATGGAAGCAATTCAAAAATAAAAGGATTTATAAAAGTATTATATAATTATCAATCTTAGACTTTAAATTAATAATAATAATCTAAATCATAAATTAAATAGATTAACTAATAGAATTGTTGCAGCATAAAGACATTAAACAGAATCTGAATTTATTGATCAAGATAAAATGGTAATTACATTCACAGAAATTCCAACAAACTTTATATTTAGACACATCTTTCAAAATATAGAATGTAAATAATTTATATCTACATCACTTGAATAAACTCCAGAATAATTTGGTTCTCACTTCAATCTTATACCTTAGGATCAAAAGAAAATTCATTTAATTTGGTTATTTAATCATATGGTGAATTATCGTGAATTCAGTTAACAGCATAATAATTTTATAATTAAATTGACTGATTTAATTGTCATTAAGTATTTAAATTATTAAATTATTATTACTAGAACATATTCAGATTTATATGCATTCATTTAAAACATGTCCTAATTCTTAAAAGTATAAAGATTAACACTATGGCTAAGAGATTATTGGACTGGGTTTTTTGAAACAATATAAGAAGGGTAATCTTAAAAAATCATTTGTTCTAAAGGAGCATTTAAAGATTGTTTAGAATAAAGAGAAGCTGTCAATAGTAATATATATATATAATTATTATATTAATAGAACTCACTGCACAAAGACATCTCTTATATTAAGATAGCAAAGGAGATGACATTTATCAAGAGAACACTTATCTATATCCCTTAATTACTGATACTGTATTACCTGCTGGTCTTTTAGAAGTGTTTTAACCTACATAAAATAATTCTTATTCAGATATATAATACTTTACTTCTTTATTAGGCACATTTGTAAAAATAGTAGTTTAAAAAATTGAAAATGATATTGTGATTTAAAATGTGGCCAAATAAAAAGATATACTAATAAGTCAATTCTTATGTTTGATGTAATCTAATGATAAGTTATAATTCACAAACTCAGTAAAGGAAATGTAATCTAAATTATTATAAATTTCAACATGTGATATTATCTTTATAGAAAATAATCAAATGTTCAAATATAATCGTTAAGGTTTATAATCTATTAGTTGTATTGCAGGAGTTTGTGGTCAGATTGCTTAAGATAAAAAACCTGCCTTCTTTTCCAATCTTACAAAATAAGTACATTATAATCAATTGATTGATATGTATACACTTGCTCCAGTGTATATTTATCCTATCCTTAAAGATAATGAATGTAAAGCTGTTATTGAATTAACATTGACTAATAAACAAATAGATCGTCATCGTTTTAGAGATCCATTGACTAGTTTGAATTAATAATCTAATTAAGCTCGAATGTTTTGTGAATGTGTGCAAACAGCCTATTTATGCAAATTTAATTGAATAAATTGATTAAATGTTATATAAATAACTTTATAGTCTTTATAAATAGACATAAAAATAATCTAAATATAATATTCTTGCTTAATTAGTTTCTTAAAGAAGAGTACAAACTTAACTATTTAAAAATTAATTCTAAATAAAAATAAGAAATCTATTATATTATTTTTAAGCAACAAAAATTAACTAATTAATATATGATAATTAAATAACACATTAAATTTTCATAATCTTTATTGTTGGATAACATATTTTAAATTGTTTCTATACTTAATTTTGATTCTTAAGTAGGATTAGTGAATGTCATAAATAAAAAATGGCCTTTGAATTATTGATTAAATATGATATATAATTAAAATTAAACTAGTTTCACGTAATAATGGATATAGGTGATGATTATTTTAAAGCATTAAGCTATTACATCTAAATGGTTATCATTACTAATGTAATTAATTATGCTGATGCAACCTCTTTTTATGATAATTGAAAATGGAATAGAAGAGTGGAATCCTGATTATTCTTTTTTACATCTAATTACCTTATTGATATTCAGATAAGATGTGCTTCTTTTAGATTATGACATTGCTTATACTAGAGTATATTTAGTAGTTTTGATAATATTTACAATTCAAAAAGCATGGCAATTTACCATAACATATTTACTTTATCGAATAAAAGAACGTGAGCGGTAATTTTAGAAGATGGAAGAATGTACTCCTTTGAGAATTTCATTAATAATACTTGCAGTATATACATAATTTTCAATAACAATATTGCACTTAATATTTTCAACTCTCTGTATAATTAGTTTTGCTTTTTGTATTAAAAATGGATAGGAATATGTTCATCTAATTTTGTCTTTACTGACATATATTCTTTGGTAGGTTGATTATTTAATTACATATACTATCTTCAGTACATCTTTAACATTTAAGCACAATTTTTTAGATATCTCATAAACTACACTATTTACTTATTTTGCCTATCTTTTTTAGTAATTACAAATTGTAATTTTTTGTATTTTATAAAATCAAAATAGTGTAAGATTATCAAATATTATACTAATGTTATTTGATATACTATCATAAATAGTAAATCAATTTTTATTTTAAACTTATATCTTCAAAGAATCACGATAAATATTATATTTCACTTGTTCAATCAAATTTGTTTTATGTTTTTATTATTTGGGGAAATCAATCGATTAAAAATAAATGTTTGAATATCTAATAATTCCATTATTGTTGTTACCAATAATATATTATGGACTCATTTCAATTGATATTAAAATTCATTATGAGTCATTTGTTAATATATTCAAAGAAGAACCAAATCTTAATAAACTTGTGTATTAATTGAAACTTATCTTAAATTAATGTGATATAGATAAATAAATGATTCCTTTAAAATCATCTTTAATTAATAAATCTCATCGTTAGTAATGTCATAATTAATTATGTATATGTTCAAATAAAATATTTATATCTGAAATTTCATAAGCAAATGCCATAACATAAACTATTTTAAAGTAATTTATTTATAATAAAATTTCATTTATATTACATTCCAAAGAAGCACAAAAGAGTCACTAATATAATTAATTAGTAATAGTACAAACTTTATTATTATATGATTTTGGTTGGCTAACAGACTCAATTAAAAATCTCACTTAATTATTGAATTGTTAATTTAATAATTAAAATTTTGTTATAAGAAAGGAAATATAAAGAAAAATTGTTTATGATGAATCTTGTAATGAAACATCAACAAGGAAAGATAAATCTGATGAACATTAAACATAATTCATTAGATTAAAAGTCTAGATTAGTTTAATTGATTAATGTAGAATTAATTATATTCTATATTTAGCAAAGTTTAAATTAAAATCATAACTTGGAACATCAATGCATGCTTATTAATAATTAATGGTAACAGATTTTATTCAATCATTTCTTACTTATGATTTATCTCTAAAATAAATATAAACATAGATGATGGAGGCTATTAATGATAAAATTGAATTTTATTATAAAATAATAAAGGATGAAAAATAAAATTTAAATGTTTTAGGAAAATGTACTAAAGAAATATGTTTTAAACTTAATAAAGTTAAAAAATAACTTAAATAAATATTTGCAGCATATCCATGTTCTAGTATCTAAAGATGTATATGTTTTTTTTAATGTGAATTATTAAATAATTATTATGAAGCCAATAAAACATCTACACTTACATCTATGTAGGATGATAAAATGTTTAGAAATAAGAAAATAACTAATTATGACATATAAGTTGATTAGACTGCCTATGCTATATTATCAATTAAAGGAGAGTTAGATGATTTCCATATAGAATAAGTGTCTTCTTATTTTTTAAAATTGATTGGTAAAACATCAAATAAGGATATCCATTTTTTTTAATTATTACCTCGTTTTATGAAGAATTGGCATCCTTCTTTTATTCATAATTTTTTTAATGATGGATAATCACGATATTATAAGAGTTTTAATTAAAGTTTTATTTCCACAAATACTGGATTACTTAAAACTGTTTATTTATGTTATGATATCACTAAAATTTTATCAAATTAAAATCTTGTATTTGCAGCATTTTTATAAGAATTACCTGATTAAAAATGTTTTTTATTATCATATGGAACAAATTAAAGATTAACATTTTCAGAGAATTTCTTTAAAAAGATAGGATTTCATTAAAAAATAATACTTGGACTCCCTTAAGTATTGACAATAGTTAATGGACTCTATTTATAATATTTAATACCTTCATTTCCATAAGGAGATATAGAAAATGATACATTTTAATTAAATACAGAGATGAGATTTTTGGATGATAAACATTTAAAAGATATATAAAATGAAGGAGTAGATTTAGGTATGTATATTTTAGATCCTAAATAATGGTAAAAGGAAGATTAAGTATAATTTTATTCAGTTTCAATAATTGTTACTAAAAGACATGTAAGTTAATAATCATATTTATTAATTGAATTTTCAACTATTACAAAAATAGCTAAAAATTTAACTGAAAATTCTAAATTTTAAACTATTTAAAATAATGATATAACATCACTTTAATCTTAAGAAGCTGAATTTATTAATGATAGTTTTGCATCATTAATGAATTTGAGTGATGAAGCTGAACCAAAAAAGGTAAATATTTTTGATGTAAGAATGAAAGAATTTCTATAAAATGAAATATAAGATGAAGAAGCTGCTAATATTGTTTCATATAGGAAAGATGAATTTTAGAATAATGTATTTCCATAAAGTCATAGATTATTACTTTCAGAAAGAAAAAAAGAAATTTAATAAGAATTTTATAATATAGAATAGATGCGTATGGATTCATTAAAATAATCATCAATTTATGAATCTCATAAGTAAAGACCAATAGAACATAATGTTATTGATGAAATATAATCATAATAATCTTCAGTAGGTGGTGTTAAAGAATCTTAATTATTTAAGAAATTTGAAATGATAGAGAAGATAATCAAGAAAAAGAAATTTGATAAAATGTCAGTATATCTAATATTACTTTTATTACAAACAGCTTTCTTTATATCGTTTGCATTAATTGTAATAACTTTGATATCAACAGAATTGCTTATGTTTATATAAGAGATAGATATGATATCATTACATGCAAGTATAATGGCACCTCATGATTTATATCTATCAATTAAAGTAACAATATCAGCATATTAATAATAATATCGTGAAAAATATATAGATAATGCAACCTTATATAAATTGATAGATCCATTGTATTAATTTAATGCTCCATATTATTTTGATTTGCAAAATAATTTATTTGATGTATTGTAGAATGAACATTTATCAGCATTCTTTACTGACCAATAAGTTACAGTATATTTTATGGGTAATAATGATTCTGTAACATATTCAAAGGAAATGTCTTTTAGAGAGGAATTGTTAGCAATATTACATGCTTAATATTAATTTAAACGAGTTTTTGATGCTCGTAAAAATGCAAATGGTTAAGCTTGTTAAGTACTACAATTTGCAAATTATTTTAATTTATAAGATAAATTAGAAGAATTAACAGATGAGATTTTGGAATATTCAAAAAATAGAAGTTTAGCAGCTGCTGATTAATGGTTTATCATATGGTTAATTTATTAATTGATTGCTATTTGTATTGGACTTACTACTTTATTTTATAAAAGAAGTATATTGAAAACATATGAGAAATTATTAAGTTTATTTTATTTTTCAGATAAAAATTCACTTGAATAAGAAATATAGAAATTAAAAAATTTGAATACTTTAATTTAATAGAATTAAGATTTGTTATCAAAATATGATTTTAATTTTAGAGAAAGAGAAGAATTAGTAAATAGAAAGAAGAAAGAAAGTTAATCAATAAAATAAGAGAAACCAAAAAAGTAAGGTGAGCAAAAGTTGTAAAAAATTATACCAATAATAGCCTTTTTTTGCATTTATATCTACTTTTTAGTATATTCTGTGATTATTCATGAAGAAACTAAGATCTATTTGACAAAATATAAATAGACAACTGATTTTTATAGATTAGTTTAAGATCTTAGATTTAGAAGTGGGAATATTTATGTTTATAGAGAAATCTTTTTTAGATGGTCTAATTTTACATACTTAAATAAATCTGATTTAAATCGTTTATATGGTTTAGTTGAGAAATCTTAGAATGTAATGTAAATTTATGTGAATGGTTTATCACAACAATAAAATGATGAATACTTGTTTTCAACTAATTATATCAATTTTATAAGTTAAGTGGAGAATTCAAATCTTTGTAATTTCATAGATTCAGTAAAGTATTTAATTTACAATAGAAGTACCTGAATCTAACTCCTTATTGTGAATATGCCTTGGATGGAGTCTTATAGAAAGGAATGATACCTAGTTTGAATTACATATCTTAATCAATTCGAAGTTAATAGGAAATTAACAATTTTACAAAGAGAGCAGAAGTCCATTTTTATGAATTGGAAGGAGCTTAGGTAATTTGTTTAGCCTTTCAGAATGTATCAGAATAATTAAAATAAAGTATGATAGAATTGACTCAAAGTTTTAATTAAACAAATGAGGTATGTAAAATTAATGAATATATAATTAGGTTCTATCTTACTTATTTTTACTATCTTAATTATTATTTTCAATTATTTTTGTGACATGTTTTAGAAGACTATTAATTACAGAATTCACTATGTATAAGAAATCTCTGTAATTAATTCCTATTCAAGTATTGTTAGGTGATGATTCTTTAGAAAGAGCTTTGCGTCAATTTGAATTTACAGAAAAAATATGATTATTAATTAATTTTATTCCTATCACAATTTATAACCCAATTTCAGTTCAATTTGTTTCAAGTATCTTTCAAAGAAGTCATTTTTCAAGATGTCACTTTATGGTATCATCAAAACTCCAAATTTGATTAATTAAAGATGTTATTTCAAATTAGTATAATGGAAATTCACAACATAAAAACAAATAATACCTAAAGCAATTAAAAAGAATATAGACAATAACTTATAATAAAATCAAATATATTACTTAATTTTAATAATTAAAGCTTTCTGTTTTATTAATTATTCCTTTTTATAAGTTTTCATTCATAAATGAAAATACTCTACTTGCTACTTACCCACCTTCTACTTCATATAAAATATCTTCTGCTCTATAAGTGAAATTATTTATAGCTTATTAAGTAATAATTGTTTAGTGAATATATGTTAAAGCAGGAAGCATTCCTTTCATTAAAGAACCATCAAATGATTTCAGACAATATGGAGTAAGCACTCTTTTATAATTTTCATCTAAAAAATTACATACATCAGTATTTTAAACTGTAAGAAAGAATTCATAGAAATTTTCAGGAACTAAAAGAGTTTCCAAATTTATTCTTGGAGCCTAATCAACATATTCCATAATTTTAGATTATGCAATATCAATTAAATTATATAATCTTAATCCATCTGTTTTATTTAAATATGTAAGATTACCCCATAACATAAACATTTCTCTATATAAAAACATATTACCACTTCGAAAAGATAAATCTGCTATCAATTTATAAAAATCAGCAGTTGATTAATATTTATTTAAAAAACTTTGTGTTTAAAATGTAATTAAACAAGAGTAGATTAAAAATATTACAAATATAACAAATGAAAATATTATTGATCTAAACTTTGATGCTCTAATCAATATTTTTCTTTTATTTTTTCTAAGTACATCATTTTCCCCTTTATTTTAAATATTCTATTATATTTCAGTTTATAATTCTAATTAATAACTATTAATATAATCAGTTTAAGATAATAAGTTATTTAATAAAATTTTATGTTTTTCTGTTTCTTTTAAAATACTTTATTCTGTTATATGTGTTATTATTTCCATTATGGTATCATACTAAAATAATATCCCTGTTTTTAAATAATATATTAAAAGAGATAATACAAAACAAACTACAATGAAAACAATCCAAATTGTTATCCATTTATCAATTATTTATGTACCTTTATCTCTTGAAAATTCTAAAATTTATTGAGACATAAGTTCTAAATTATCTTAAAGATTGAAATAATTAGAAAATTGAAAAACTTAACAAGGACAACCTTTTGTTGGAATCCTTTTATCAAAAATTATTTTAAAATCATATTGATAATTAAGTAATTAATGAGTAAATTCTCTAAAAGTGATATTTTTTGAATAAATGATTTTATCAGTCATACCCATAAAAAATGTATTTGTATAAACATCTTTAAAGAATTCCTTTAAATCACTCTCTAATAAAGATATATATGTATTTTGTTTTAATTCATTATAACACACTCCTATTATAGAATAAAGTGGTTCTACTAAATCACTTGTTTACTATTAACTAATTTTTTTAGCTGTATATAACCCTTAGTAATAATAAATTTATGCTCTTATAGCAAGGTATCTATCATAAGGAGCTACAATATCTGCTTAAAAAGATAGCATCTCTATCTCTTAAATTTTAGTTTGTAAATCATTACTTAAGAGAGATAGAATTATTACTGAAAATATGCCAAACACTATAAGAGTGAAAATAATAAAGAATACCATAATCTATTGTTATGAAAAATTGAAATTGCTATAAAATGAATCTATAATTTCAAACTTTTTCATATAAATAGGTCTTTTTATAGAACCTAAACTAGATTCAGATTATTATTATTATAAATCATCTTACTTTTAAACTTACTATAATTGAGGATGTTTCTCTTTACTAGAAGCCTCAGCATTATAAAAAGCAGGTTATTAACAATAATATTCTTATTAAAATGAGCTATTGTGTCTTTATACAGTATTTATCATATTTTAACTTTTATCAATCAAATTAGATACACTATTGTTAGGACTAAGCATAACTTAATAGATTTTATCAAAATCTTATTATTTTGAAAGTTCTTTTAATGCTATTGAATAATTCTCTCGTTCTTAAATATTCAAAGTATTTACATGTTTAGCAGCTCCTTCATCTATAGATAATATAATAGAATCAATATCAAATATTGCTGATTCTGCATTATGTTAAGTTTATTTAAATTAAGTACATGAAAATACTGCATTATTTTAATGTGAAGATTCAATCAAATGAGCAGATTCTAATTCAATTATAAAATAATAAAATCCAAATATCTCTCTTTTCATAATAAATAAATTTGCTGCATATTCTTTTGTATATCTACTATCCTACCAAACTCTACCTAATTGTGAATGATTTTCAATTGAAGATTTACTATAATTTTCCCTTTGAAATTGTAAAATATCAACAAATAAAAATTTTACATTATCAAGTTTTTATTCTTATAATTCCGACCAAGGTATATTATTAAAGACTGGAATTATTTAATTGATTTCAACTTCATAAAATGAATAAAATTCATCTATATTTAATATATCTTCTTCTGAAAATCCCAATTTTCTCAAACACATAAAGGTCATACCAGATAATAATCCATTTACATTTACTAAGAGATAAGCTTTTTATTCAAGTACATCTTGAATAATAGATGCAAATACTACTCTATTATCATTTAATAATGTGACTGTATCAAAAGTCTATTCCATTTATTTGGATAAACCATTTTATTGTTTCACAAATGTTAGACTAAGATTTCTGTAATATCTTGCTTTACCAGTTTAAACAAATCTCTAAACCATAGCAGGATGTTCCTCTCTTATAAATTCAGGTAAGATATCATTAAATTATATAAGATGTTCATTAGGTTATCGACCAATGATTTTAAGAAAATTACTTGAATGAGATTTAATTCTTAAATTTTATAAATCATCTTGCAATTAAAATAAAACATACATAATCTTATCAGAATAAAAGTCAATAACTTAATTACTAAAAATATATTTCTATTATTAATTGTTATTAATTTATTTGAATTTTTAAGCCTTTTAATAACTATTATAAATTCTTGAATAAAAGAATATTATCATTTATTTCATTTTAATACTTTAATAAGCTTCATATTTTTATAGAAGTTTCTCTTCTAAATCTAATACTTATGTAAAGTATTTCATTTTATAAATAAAAATTTTATCAGCATTCATAGCATCACATTTCAAAAGATAAGTGTAGAATTCAATTTTCAATTTTATTATCTTAATAATCATTTACACTAGGTCATCCATTTAAAATTCACTTTTTAAGTAAAAATTTAAATATTCTGACATTTACAATTATTAAGCTGTGCAAATGGCATTTGTAAAATTTTCATTTAAATAAACTTATGCCTATTTCAATAAATATTATATTTTTATTAGTTTAAGTGTTGAAACTTAAAAATTTCTATTAATAACATCATATTTTAAGACTTTTTTATGTTAATTGTTAATAATATCCTAAATTTATGAATCAACTTAACTTTATTTTATTTTTTTTTATGGTCTATTAGTTAGAGACTTCTCACTTGATATAACTCTTACTCTATAATCATTAGATGAATTATTTAAAAATCTATTATAATTCTTAATAGCTATTAATACAAATCCTTGTCTCATGAATAAGGTAGCTTAAGCAATTTCATAGAATGCAGTATCTAAATTATGAATGTTTCTATTTTCATATATTTACTTAGTAATGTGTTTTATTTTTGTGTAAATAAACTATTTAAAAATTTATTCAGTAATAATATTAGCTTATTTAACATCCAATATATTGAATGTTTGATCCTTGCAAGAGCAAGTTACATTAGAACATTTAGCTTTGTGTTAAGACCAAATGAGACTATTTTGAAAGGGTTAAATTTCATTTTGATAACAATTATTTGAAAATTTGATTAATTAATAAACATACATAGTAATAGGTTGTTTAGTATTAATAAATATTGAATAGATTGAATTAATTTAGTATTGATAATCAATATACAAAATAATACTGGCTAAAAGAGGCCAAATAATGATGGAATTATTTTTTAGATTAATAAATGCATAACATGAGTATGAAATGATCATAGAATTAATAAAGTATAAAATTATCCTTTGAGTTTTATATATATATCCTTGATACATAAGTTAATTTATAATTTTTAATAGAGCTATGATAAGTGTTAAAGCAATTTAAGCAAATTAAGAAAATTCTTGTTTAATTATAGTTCCAAAAAGTATAATTTGTAGTAATTCAATTGCATAAATAATAATATCTAAGGAAGTTACAAGGGATTTTTCAAAACCTTTAATATGGAAATTAGATGATGGGAAACATATAAATAGATTTAATAGAGTCTCAATTTCTATAATAAAGAAAATAATGATTCCAAATAAAAGTAAAGCAAAATAAGCGGAATTTTAATTTTAAAATTATTTTAGGGTATTACTTATAGAACAAATTAGTAATGTTTAAATAGGGTAATGTAGAATAATGCATAATAATTATTAATAATATGATGTGAATGTTATAAACATGTTTTTAAGAATGCTAGGATTCTTTTATTTATTTGAATATCTTTAATTTTCATTTGCTAAGTTAAATATGATTCCTAATTTTGCAATAAATATGATCACTAATATTATATATGGTATAATTAGTATTACTATGTTTGGAAAATACTTGAATAAAAGTATTTCAGGTCTAAAGAAGTAAAATATCATCTATTGAATAGTAGTATTTGGTATTTTTTCTTAAAATTAATCATAATCGTAATAGTAGAGATAAAATACTGGTTAACACATACTTACAATAAAAATAAATATCTTAAATGGTTCATAGCAATAGAATTAGTCATTAATTTGAAGCATATTGCACACAATTTGATTTAAGAAATTGGAGTCTTCCTTTTTTATAATTTGTCTCATTTTAATTAAAATTCAAGCTACAAAGAAGAATCAAATTACTCATCAATAAGTGATATTAATATTATTTTAAATATGATAAAATATTCATTTTCAAATCTATGCTTATGGAAATACATCAGGATGCTATAGAAAAATATATTAACAATAAATACTTATCCAGGCCTATACGATGCTGCACTAGATCGAACTCCTGATTTGGACAGTTCGTTCTATTTCTTCTTTAATGAATCTAATTCAGCAGAGGTAACAACCAATTCTTCTTATACTTGATGATATTCTCTGTTGAGTTCTTAGAATTTATTTTTCCAAATTTAAACATCATTTGTAAGTTTTGTAACTTCTTCATAACTTGTATTGTTATTTTAATATTCATATTCTAAATCTTGATACATTTTATCTAATTCATTATATTTAGATTTCCAATCTTCAATTTCAATATTCAATTATTGAATTTAACTTCTAAGTCTATCAATTTATTCTTTGTCTTCATTATTAGATTAAAAAGATGGTTTAAAATTCATTTAATTGGCTTTAAGAGAATCATTCTCTTATTTCATTTATAAAATTTTATTGTCTAATTCTGTAATCTTACTATTTAAATATTTAATAGTCAATTCTTATTATTAGATTTATGATCTTAAACGATTAGTTTCATCATTCTTTAATCTCAATTCATTCTATAATCTCTCAATTTCAAGTTGTAAATTCTATAATTTACCATCATTTTCAAATTAAGAATTTAATTTAAGTGATTCAATTTCTCTATTTCGATTATCAACCATTTCTTTTAATCTCCTAATTTCAACCTCATATTAAGCAGAATCTCTTAATTATGCTTCAAGTCTTTAATATTTTAATTTCCATTCTTCAGTTTCTGCCCTTTAACTGTTAATGGAGAATTAAGCTCTATCAATTTCTTATCTTAATTAAGAGAGTGTAGCTTCATATTCCTTAAGTGACAATTAATGTCTACTATCAGCCATAGATAATTCTAGAATACGATATCTTTTAGAGAGTTCTTCATTTTAATCTCTAAGTCTAACAATTTCAGCATTTAACATAGCTTCATTCTCTATCATAATTGATCTCATTTTATCAATATCTATTTCTGCTTATTATCTTGCTTATTTATCAGTTGCCATATATAATTTATGTTTATATTGATCTAATTCTAAAGACATATCCAACAAACACTTATTTAATCTATCAATTTCTAGATACAATTAATTTATCTATGGTAAAATAATTTGAATTCTTATACCTTTAAAGTATCTTCAACATAAGTGATTTTTTCAGTAGCACCAATTCCTCTTAGTCTCATCACTTCTGTTTGACATTCTGTTAATGCTTATTCTAATTATGAGCATTTGGCTTTCCAAACACTTTCAATCTCATCTCGAGTAACTACTGTAATTGGTGCTTCTCGATGATACATTTCTCTAACATGTGGATGAGTAACTGTGTGACTTTATGCATTGTCGTTCGGTTTATAGGATTGCTTATATATTAATGATTTTAATACATAGGGTGGTCGTGCAGATTGTTATGGTTAAGAATATCCATATGCTTATCCATATTGTTAAGAAGCTGGACTATATCTCATTTTATACTGTTAAATAATTAATATAACAGAAATTCATCTGATTTTGTTTATAATCACCTAAATCTAAATCATATTCAATATTTTTAAACTTCTTATATCATAACTATGAATTTGAATTATTTATAATTAATTTTCATTAACAGTGATCTTAGAATAAATAGATTTAATTTCTAATAATATTTTATGACAATATTATTTTTTCATTTACTAAAAATGATTATGATATGTAATTAAATTATAAAAAACAACAATTATTATATTCCTAAATGACAATTAATGAAGAAAACAAATTATTTTATTAATTTCATAAAATTAATTGTATAATTATGAATTTGATTTTAAATGAATATTCCAATCAGATTCCCCTTAAATTCAATTTTTAAGCCAGAATCGTAAATTTATGAGATTACTTCTCATACAACTATGTAAGTGCTAATGGTTTATTCAAACATTCTTAACTTTCCTTCAAAATGATTTTTTCACCTGTAAAATCTTCTTTATTATAAAGTCTGACTGAATATCCTTTAGGAATTTGAACTGATTTAATATCATGATCAAAATTACTATGTTTATTAAAATATATACTCAATTTCTCTTTGAGATTCACATATTTTAAGTGAGTCTCCTTTAAAATGACATTATGAATAGATTACTATACAATCAGAATTTTCAGCATTTTATTCACTTTCAGCTAACGTTAAATTACATTAATACATATGTTATTTAAATCTTATTAACTAAGTGCTTAAGTACCTTAAGTATCAATCATATCTAATTATGGTATATCGTTTAAACCCTCTTTATTAAAAGATTTCATACTTGAATTTAATTATCATCATTTGATATTGAAGTTATTTCAGAATTGAGAGTAGAAATATTCTGGTGGTCTAAAATAAAATTATTAGGATCTTCAATAGATTTATTGTTTTCAATGTTTTAAGTCACTTCTGTGTTCTAATGAATGAATGTGCCATCAAAATCAAAATATCCCTGCTCTTATTATGTTTAATCGACATTTCTTTGATAGCCATCAAAATTAACCATTGTAGGTATAGGATTGGTTTCAATCTCACTCAATTCCACATTAGATTAAGCCAGCACTAAAGCTGAAATAAGAATAATTCCAAACATAGAAGCCTTTATTCGCATGGTAAAACGGATTAATTTAATATTATATAATGTTTCTCAAATAAGCTCAATCTCAATTTAATTATCTTTTTGATTAAACACTAATACTCCTGGAAATATTGTTTAACTGTTTTAGAACATTAACCCAACTAAAACACAACTAACAATTCCAACTTTTTATTTAGTAGTGGGTATGATTTTTACTTTCAAATAGCTATGATGATTTATAACATTAAATATTTTTGTTTATATAACATTATCCCTACTTGATAAAATATATTTAACTTAAGCTTTTGGTTCATTCAAATTCTGACTGTTGAATAAATATAAAATATTATCATGAGCCAATGAGAAGTCTATATTAAAATTTGAAACAGAGAATATATTTTAACTTAATTATGAGATTTTTTATTCTGAAATATTAAATTCTTATAAATATGCACGTCCCTTCATATCAATTGATTCTTAATCTACTAAATAAATTTATTAATCATATATTAAGGCCAATTAAGTAGTTTCATTTAAATATGGTATTTTTATGTCTTCATTCATTTCAACATTCTTTTTTATTTAATCCTCAATAGTTAATGATGCTTCACCTAATTTAATTAATAATGATAATTAATACTTCCAATCATTAATAAGTGTTTTTGATATTATATTAATCTCGATTCTCCTAATAATGTGTATCCATCCAATTCTGTAATATAAAATATAGGTTCATTCTCTTCAAAAATTTGATTAATACTTCCTCTATATAATTAAGATAAGTTTTCTTGTTAGATTATCAAATAAATAAAATTATTAATCAAAATTACTTACTTTATTTTAATATAATCACTATCTTAATTATCAATCTTTATGCAATTTTTTTTATTTGTATTATCATAGATATCAAATTCCAACTTTATTTTTAAAAAGTGATAAAATAGAATTAATTTAAAATTAATTATTCCTATTAAAGTAGGAATTTTATCTAATTAACTTTTTCTAAAGATTTGAAAGATATCATTATTTCTCTAATTTATTGATACTTTTTACCTCTGTATTCAATCTCTAAATAAATTCCAAGGATAATTTATTGCCATTGAGTATTTTTGAATTAAATTACTTTTGTAATTCTAATACATTTTACTACTCACTTAATACTGAATAAGTAAAACTTTATTTCTACATTCTTAAGATCTATTGATTAGATTTCTCAACAATAAATTAATTATTCTCATCTTTTATTTCATTTATTAAGTAAGCCACATCTGATCTAAGTGTACCCTATATATGACATACAGGACATATAAATTATTTTGATTCATCTTATTACAATTAAGTTTGTATTTGTTCATCCAATTCATAATAATTAAATTAGCAACCCTTAGCTTCATGGAAACAAGGGGCTGTAAGAGAATTAAGAGTCATTTATGAGTAATTCTATATAATTCTATAATCCCCTTTCTTCATTAAGGAAGCAATAAAAAATTAATTATAATCATTATAAAAATTTTAAATATGGAAAATCCTCTTATACTTATTTATTTAATCATATATCTTTGATGAATTTAAAATTTTAAGGCTCTTTTAGGGCCCTTAATAGATTTTGTCTGTATTTTAAATGCCAAGCTGTGTTTGAAATACGTGAATTATATACATAAGCAATAGATTAGTTTTTTAAAAAATACTAGCTAAGATATAGATGAACAAAATACCTTATGATTCGAAAAACTCTATTAAATTCAGGGTTCTTTCCTCCATCAACCCATAGATCTCTAAGTTATTTTATATTTGTCATTTAATTTTTCTTTGTTTTCAATAATTAAATAAAATTATCATATTAATCCTTCTTCATAAATTCTAAAATCAATTCTTCATTATTAATAATATATGAGATAATTGCTTTTGAGAAATTCTTTGTAATATTCTTAGTATCATTTACTTTAGATCCTTTCTTTTTTCTATTAATCTTATAAGAATCTGAGCTTTCTTAAAATATACATCTCTTTCTAGTAGTACGTTTACTAATTTTGATTACTTTTTTATCATTTTTATTTTCATTCCAACTACTTTCACTCTTATTAACAACTTCACTTTCACAAGAGTCTTCTTGATTAAGTAATTTTAATTCCTCTTTTTTAAAATGGTTTAAGTTTGAATTCAATTGTAATTTTTAAATTGAAGGAGGTCTAACAATAAATTATGAAGGAGAATTAATTTAAGTTACTTTAAATTATCTATCTAAACTAGTATTAGAATATGGTGGTAATTCGTTTTGTTATTGTTGTTGTTGTAAGAATGGATAAAATGATTATCTAGGTGAGTTAAAAAAATAAGACATCATTGGATTGATTTGTCTATTTTAGGATTAAAAGATATCAAAAGGTTTTTGAATAAGTTTACTATCAAGAGAACTGTTGACAAATGGTCCTCTTAAATTGTTAAACATAAAATCATTATTGCCATCAAATGATACTCTTTGGGAAATATCAAATGTAGTATATTAAGGGTTGAAAAAGAGGTTGTTAGATAAAGGTTAATCAGTTGATAACTATTAAACCTGGGGATCGTGTGAACTTTAGACTCTTACTTTAAATTATCTCATAGGATCAAGTGAAGCATCCACAGATGCAATATCAGAAGGTCTTGCAATATAAGGAGTGAATGACTTCACATTCTTCTTTATCCCCTCGGACATATTTATTAATATGATATAATGATAAAAAATAAAAGAAAAATGTTGATAATTCAAATAGTTTAATGATTATGCCTTTATTTAAGAGTTACGATTTCTTGTTTTAATTTAGAAATATATTATAGAAGGATTCTTTCTCTGTTATTATATGAATCTAAAATGAGTTTCATCTTATTATAAATAGCCTAAAATTATCTATTAAGTCTTTAATTTTATAATGGTTTCTTCTTTTTAGTTTTAATTTAAGAATCCCCTAACTCTGAATAATCTATAGATCTTGTAATATATTTAGGATCTATAAAATTTCTATATATTTTAGATGATTATAAAGTCGTTGGTTGTTGAGACTATGAAAATCTTGGTTTACGATCCTAAACTGTATCTATGCTTTTAGCCCTAGTTTTAGAATTGAAAAGGATACTGGAGTGAAATCATTGCAGGCGTTTGAATTTTAATTGCTGCACTATATTAAGATCTAGGTTTCACTTCAGGTACCTTTTCAGAATCAATAGTTTTTGACATCCAATCAGAAATCGTAGCATATCGTTGTCTTATTTTAAATCTTATATCATCATCATAGTTCTTCAATTTCATTTTCTGTCTTTATAATTAATCTTGTATAAAACAGAAAAATATTAATTTGGAATGAAAGTTTAGATTGAAGATGTATGTTTCGATTTGGATCCTAAATTCAAAGATCATTCTGAATTATTGAATTAATTATATGATCCTACATCTAATGAAGTAAGAATCTCTATATAAATTAGCCAATTTAATTGCAAAGTAAATATGTCAATAAGGAAATTTGGAAAATAATTGAACACTATTATGTATTAAATAACTTTAAGCCTGTATAAACAGAAGTTAATTGTAATAAAATTAAACTATAAGAAAAGGTGATGATGAAAATAAAGTATTTACACCTCAAGATTTAGAAATATTAAGAATAATAAAGAATTCAAACATTTCAATTCATAGATTTTTATTAGCAGCAAGATATCTAAATTTACCTTCATTTTAGGGTGTAATTTAAATAGAACTTATTAGATCTATTAGTTAGTAAGTTGGCTACAGAATTTTATGTTGATGTTACAAAACCTAAGCAATCTCTTGAAAATTTATGTAAGAAATATCCTTAAGTTCCTGTGGTTACTAAAGAAGAAATCAAATAATATAATTAAGTGTTGTAATACTTAATTTGAGAATGCATTTTTCAATCTAATGTTCAATAATACCCATATCGTGTACTATTCTTAAAACTTTAATCCATGTTATTTCTTCTATACAATTGACTTGCATTCTACTAAACTTAAGTTCTTGTAGCTTATTGTTATAGTGTTTTGTAATAGTTCTAAATGATCTTTGATGATCCCAATCCAGAAAAGTCACTTTGATGAGTTTCCCTTATAATTAACAACTTTCTAATACTTAAATTGTTTGAATCTCATATATTCTAAATAGTCCTAATAATCTTATTGATCTTCAACTTTCTCATGACGAATTGGTTATTGATATTGATAATTAGGTTGCTATTAATATGGATCATAATATTAATTTGAATAATTCCAATATGGTGGAGGTCTTATTAATTTTATAATCTTACTAATAATATTGTTAAGGTGGATCAGTATTAACATGCATTCTATTCATAATACTTTTTGCTTAGAAGCATACTCCATGAATATCCCTTGCCAAAGATTAAACAGTTGCTAATCATAAATCAATTTTTATTCTATACGTTCCTAAGGTTTTTCTTCTTCTTCTTCTTCTTCCTCTTCTTCCTCTTCCTCTTCTTCTTCTTCTTCCTCTTCTTCATAATCTTTACATAACATATAATTCATACCTTCTTCATCACTCATTTATTATAAAAATATATATTATACAATCAGTTTATAATCTTAACTTGAAAATTATTTAACAAATTATCTTAAATCTAACATTAATAATATAAATAATTTTAATACAATCCAGTATAGAGGAATAAGAATATAAAAAAATTAACAAAAAATATGTTATTTCAATTTGTAATCTTAATAAATATTAACAATCAATAGATTATTTATTTTTTCACAAATTTTATGTTTAATAATAATATATATAGAATCAACTAGAACTTTGAAAGACAAGAAGTTTGATTTAACTATTTTATATTAATTATGAATCACAATAATGATTATTTTCTATTGACTTTAAATGATTATTATTTTTCATATAAAATGGGATTTAAATAGCATTTAGATACATTATTTATTAAAATTGATTTTTGATCATTGACCAAAAATTATATTACAATTAGTAGATGTTTTAATGAATTGTTGAAAAAATTAATAAAAACTAATTACAATATATTTATTAATATTTGTTAATAATGATATCTACACCTAATTGTATTGAATCTAAAATTTATGAAATATAAACTAACACACATACACCTAAATCAGAACATGAGGAATTCAAATAAATTTTAATAAAATTATGGATTTAGATCTCGAAATCTTTTAATGAAGACTTTGAAGAAATTTTATAACTTGGTATCAATTCAGATATCTAAGATGTTGTGAATGCTATACTAATTATTGAGGAGGCAAGATTAGAGTAAATAAAAGTATAAAATTATTTTATATTTTTTAAGAGCGATAGATATTAGATTTAGCTTCTTAAAGATGAAATTTAATTTCTTAAAGAATAAAGAAATATTAATTCTGGAAATGATGAATTTAAAGAGGTTTAACAATAGTATAGGGAATTAAGTGAGTTAGTTATTCAATTAAAATAATCAAATGAATAAAAAGATCATTAAATAATGGAATAAACTAATTTAAACTAATAACTATAAATTGAACTCAATCTATTGACATCTTAAATTAATAATTTATCATCAGCTTTGGTTGAGTCTAAAGAAGAAAAAATATTATACATGGAATAATCATAGAAATAAATTAAATAATTGATGGAGAAAGATCTATAATAAAACAAAATGATCTAAATTCTTTAGATATAAAAAATTGAATTGGAAAACATGATTAAAAAAACTAATCAAAGAAATTTTATTGAATCTTCTAATCATTAAATTTCACAAACTTAGAGAGAAGAAGATCAAGCCAGAATACTAAGTTGTTCACCAAGTACGATTTCAAAATATTTTAAGGAACTACTCATATTGATTTTTCAAAAATTGTCTTATAAAGTCTCCAAAACAAAAAAACTGAAATGGTTTCAGGATAATCGCTTACATAAATTCCATACAGATTTGGAAAATGATAATAATCATATAAATTGTTTATTAAAAATATTTTACAAACATATTTCTAGATTATATTATAAAAATTAAGTCAGTAGATTGTTATTTTTCAACATTTTAAAATCTTAATTTAGAAAAAAAACAAATATATTGAAAAAATAATATTATAAATATTTTTATGATATAGAGATTCAGAATAATTTATTCATTCCCATTTTATAAGGTTACAATTCTATTTTTTATTTTTACTTTTTATTCAAAATTACAACATCATCTTCTTTTTTTATAGGTTATCTCTTTTTAGGTCCTTTCTTTCCTTTTTTATCTTTTTTTTCTTCAAAATCTTCATCCTCTTATTCATCTTAACCAAATATACTTATTTATGTCTAACCATTCTTAGGAATAGAGTCATCCTCTATTATAATTGGAGATTATAAATGATTTTCTTATTTCTAAAATTAAATTTATTTTGAAGGCATTGTTTAAAAAGAAGCATTCTATTTACTCACTTAATTTAAATTAATCTTATTTGTATCAATTCTAAAATCTTCCTAAAATTTAGTAAACATTTAGCTTATATCAAATCCAAAATCAGTACAATAAAGTTATTCATATTTTGTTTTACCTTCAAAATTTTTAATAATTGCATCACGTATTTAAAAAATAAGAGACTCTTGATATTCTTTTTACTTTTTCACAATTTATAATATTCTATTATTATATTAAGGTATAATATTATCTTTAAATTTCTCAATTGTCTTTGGATATAAATCATTAAATAAATTAGACTTTTCCTTATTAGTTGATGATAAAAAGTTATCAAGAATGTTTAAGAAATCTCCTTATTCTATTATTTAAAAGTTTTATTAATACAACTTTTATGATAACTTAAAATATGAAATCTATAATTACCATATTTGAAAATTCATTCATCATAGTTTAATTTTGAGAATTAATTTCTACTTTACTTCTTAAAATATTATCAAATTATTAATTAAGTTAATTAGCTTATTCTTTTCGTTTTTATATTTAAGCTTATAGATTTGATTTCTTCTCCCAAAATTTAAATATTTAATCTGGATTTGATACTCTATCTGCAAATTTAGTTTCAATATATCTCATTCTCATTATTTCAAATCCAGAATACTCTACTTTAATTCTTAATAATGGTTTTTTCTATCTATATTAACTAGTTGAATAATAATTAATTAATTCTTTTTCAACAAAATCAAATAATAATTTTTCAGCTATTTCCTAATTATTAATATTTAAATTATTTTCAGCTGATTTTATTAATTCATTTAATTCAATATTCTTATAAATCATAGGTCTATAACTATTTTCAAGTTTAATGCTTTCAAATTTCATTTGATTCTTTGTAAGTGTAAATAATCCTGCTTATTTAATTAAAGATTCATATTCAATTATTGATGTTGCAACAGTACTTCCTGGATAAAATACTTAAAAATGTTCACATGTATCTAAAGTATATATTCTATAATAAAATCAATTTAATTTTTACGCTTCATGTTCATGACCCCAAATCAATAGATCAATTTTATAATTTTTAAAATAAATTGGATCTATAAAATTCTTTTCATCTTAAAAATGATTACCCTTATATTTATTTTAATGAATAATTAGAATATTAAAATTATTTTCATCTAATTAATCTAATACCAATTTCCCATCATTAATTATTTTATATAATTAATAATCTTTCATATAACCTAAACCATAGAGTGCAATCTTTTAATTATTCTTAACAAGAACAATAGGTTTTATACAAACATTTGATTAATCAGTGATTTTTCCAATATAATTTAAATATTTAGATTCATGAAGAATATCTAAAATGGAAACACTTTCATTTCTTTCAGTAACTATATCATCATGATTACCATTTATAATAAAGATAGGTAATTGTACATTAAAATTAGAACAACTAAAATTAGGTTAATAATTGAGTGAATTGACTTCCATTTAAATTCCTCCAAAATTATCTCCAAATACATGTCTTTATAGAATATCAACACATTTAAGTAAACAATGTTCTGTTGGATGTTTCTCATGAAATAAATCCCTTATTTTTAAATAGAACTCATACCCTCCCAATATAACAAAATCTACATTTTATTGTGAAGCTATTAAAAGGACTTCTTCAAAAGCATCAAAAGCATCTTAATATCTATTAGATTTTGGTCCCACATTTTCATTTGCTCCAAGATGATTATCAGAAGCAACTAAAAACTTATATATAATTTTCAAAGTCAAATACTTTAATGAATTGATTCCTATTAATTTACATTAAATAATAAAATTCTTAGAATTGATAATAATAATAATAATAATAATAATAATAATAATAATGATAAAGTACAATAAATCATAATTTATTATTACTTTTTAAGTTAATAAGCTTTTTATATTATTCACTATCCTACTTATAAGAGGTTAGATTTCTAAATATTAATATTAGAATAAATACCCGAAATTGATAATATTTTCATTTCCTTTATTGATTTGAATAGGTTGATCAAGAATAAGTTGTTATTTTATGAGTTATATGGATTCTTCATTTCTTCTTGTAATTTATTCTAATTACTCAAGTTTTTAAAGAGATTGATAGCCATACTAAAATCTTGGATTTATAAATTACATCTTATTATTTTTTGCTTTCATTTATAAAATCACAAAGTTAATGTTAAATATTTCTATTGAATTAATCTAATTAATCTTATCTCATTTTTATAGTATGAATATCTTTTTACATTTTATTCATTTGAAATTCCATTCTTCTATAAGATTCTTATTATTCAATATTCAATTTCTTATTACTATCTGCTCTAATTAGAGTATTAAATAGTGAGCTTGATAATTCAATTTTAGATTTCTAATGTTAATCAGATTTTTGTTTATGACTATTTAATTTGCTCCCATTTAATTCTACTCTATTCTTATCTGGTGTTAAACTAGAACTATTATTCTTATTATTTGATTATAATAAGATTTAACTATGTTTTTTTTATAGTTCATTCGTGAAGCTAAGATGTTTATTTTTATCCTATCCTTCACTATTTATTGTTTTTTAAGTTATTTCTTTTATGGGATGACTGCCTTTAATCATATATTAGATTTATGAAATAAGATTAGAACAACTTCCTTAATTTTTTAGATTTTCTTTTTATTCTTAGGAACGATTGTTTTTAATATTTTGATCAATAATTTGAGTCTTTTTAGCAGATTAAATTGATTATTCAGTTGATGATGCTATATCTGTCTACTCAGGTATTTAGAATAGCACATTACCAAAGCTTTGATTCTTTTGCATTATTTTGTGTGTATTATTTTCTTCTATTAATCCTGAAATTTTAGAACTTAAAATTTATTAGAAATCATTATTTGACATAGCCCTTCTATGATTATTTTTTGGCTTATTCATTCAAATTCAAAATAAATAATAATCGATTATATAGATTAAAATTATGTTTGGATATAAACTCTTCACAATAGTAAGAGAAAAAACTGTTGTTATTGTAGAACAATTAGGAAAATATCACAGAACCTTACAACCTGGTTTAAACTTCCTTATTCCACTCATTGACAGAGCAGCATACACTTAATCCTTAAAAGAAGAAATCTTACCTATTGAAAAATAATAAGTTATAACTAAAGATAATGTTGCCATTCATCTTGATGGTATAGCATTTATTCGTATTATTGATCCATTTAAAGCATCTTATTAGGTATATTACTATATTCATTTAAATAGGTAAGTGAACCATAAAATGCTATTAAATTGTTGTGTCAAACTATACTTAGATCAGAAATAGGTAAATTAAAATTAGATCAACTCCTCTAAGAACGATCTGCATTGAATCGTGCTTTGTAAAGTGGTCTAAGTAAGGCTGCAGCAGAATGGGGTTACACTAGTTTGGGGGTTGAAATATTACAAATTGATATACCAGAAGAAATAAGAGTTTCAATGTAAGCCTAAGTTGTTGCTGAAAGAAATAAAAGAAGAGAAATTTTAGAAAGTGAAGGCAAACAAATTAGCGAAATCAATATTGCTACAGGTGCAAAAACTGCTGCCATTAAAATTGCAGAAGGAGATGCTGAAGCAGTTAGACTTGTTTCATAAAATGAAGCTAAAGCCTTAAATTAAATTGGTGAAGCTCTATAAGAATAATCTAAAAAAAGAGTTTTAGATTATATACTTTTATAACATTACTTAAAAGGATATTCAAGCATTTTGAAATCATCCAAAGTAGTAGTTGTTCCTAAAGGAAAAGATGGATAAGGAAATGATTTTATGAGTTTGGCTGCTATGATGATGTTCAATAATTAAAATTCTCCAGTTTAAAAAATTAGAGAAGTTCCCTAAAAGCCTATAGATGTATCTAGTAATTCTACAGCTTCATAAACTGAAATAAGTAAGTTAACTTAAGAATAATTGGATAATCTTATTAAAAAGAATGTTTATTATAATGATCCAAGGTATTGATTTAAATAATCTTAGACTATATTCAGATGATGAGGAAAAAAGAACACATTGAGTATAAAATAAATAAATTTATAAACATTTTTAACAATAACAAACTGTTAATATCTAGATAAACTATTCATAATCTAACATTAAAAAGAATTTTTTAATAAAATCAAAATATTCTTAATTATAAAATTACTTATTTCAGATACATTAAATGTTTTTTTTTTATTTAAAATAATTTTAACCTATTTATAAATGTCTTTATGTTTATAATTCAATATATTACTGATAATTATAATATATCTATAAATTTTAAAAGATAGAATATTGATTTTATAAATTTTGTGTAAATAAATTTTTAAATCTAAGTTTATTTTTATTTATTAAGTATAAGAAATAAAGTGAAACTGATGAGAATTCTTTTGTAAAATATTTAGCTTTATGATTTAATAAATTTACTAATATTTTTAGAAGTATCTTAGATATTCTCATAAGATTTTTTGTTAATTATATTAGCAATATACTATTTTGTAATTCAATTATTTTTCTCGTCTGTAATTCAATGATTAATTTCTTTTTAGACATTGTTTCAGATGATGATTCAAATTACAAACATTAAAATTATAGGCACTATATTATAATATGAAATTCAAAAATTATATATAAATTGATACATTATTTTGATTTAATAGTAAAAGTTAAGCATTATATTAAAAATCTTATGATATTTTCTAAATAAATATATTATTAAAAAATAAATTACTATGTATTATACAAATATAAAATAAGAAATAATGGAAGTCTATTATATTCAATACTTACTTTATATTCATTAATTTGTTATTTTTTTATTTCTTTTTATTCTTAGATTCTATCTATTAACTTGATATCTAGATTCTATTTCTTATCAATAATTTAATTAAATGATGTTCGAAAGTATCTGTTAATTTGACAACCATGGATTAAAACCAATATTAGGAGTATGCACAAACTTAACATGCAAAAAATTTAGACCTTATTGTCATTAATGTTTGATAGAATTTCACTTTGATCATATTACAGAAATTAAGGATTTACATTAAATATCATTTTGGTCTTAAAGCTGTGCTCCTTTATAAGAACAATTGATTTAATCAATCAATTAATATAGCAGCATAGTTGATTAACTTACAAATCTAAAGAATTCTTTATAATTTGATTGTTCAATTGATCTATCACTACTCAGATTGTCAGATTTAAATAATCATATAAATTCTTTAGTAAACTTATCATCAATTTAAGATTTTATTCAAGATATATTTAATAAATCTCAAGATTAATTAGAAATGGTGACAATGTTGTGCAAAGAAACAATTTCTTTATAATGTATCATTTTATATAATTATATTTTAAGAATATAAAGAAAACATTTATTATTAAGAGGATAAGCCAGAAGAATTATTAGATGATATATAAATACTTGCTGAAATAAATGAGATAAAGATAGAATCGATTGAAAAAAAATCAAACATAGATATAGATACAAATTTAAGTTAAAATGATACTAATATTAAAACCCCAGAAAAATAACCAAGATTAAGTTTAAATGATTCTAATATCAAAACCCCAGAAAAATAAACAGGAAATTAAATGCCAAAAATTAGAAATTCAGAACAAAATAGCAAAGTAAAATCAAATTAGAATAATACTTCATAAATTAGATCTTAATCTTATAAAAATTAAATCTCAACAACTCAATAAAGAAATAGTATTAGTAATCTAAAAAAAATAATTAATTAACCAAAATAATAATAAGTTTAAACATTATCAAAAGAATAAAATTATATGTTGTAATTAAAAGTAATATAGCCTGAAAAAGATAAATAAAAAACAATAAAAACACAAGAAAATGAGATTACATCTCCTAGTAATTAGAGTTCAATATTTATTTAATAACAAGAACCATTAACAACAACAACTATAATATAATAACAAGGATTTAGATTCTCAGAAAACTTAAGATCTTAAAGGACTAAATTATAGAAAAATTGTAAAATAGCAATAGGTTCTGGAGGGTTTGTTCTTTGTGAACCTTGTATTCCAATGGAAGGACAAAGTTAATTTGAAATCTTAATTGATAAATGTGATCTAGTATATTTAGGAATTTGTAGTAAATTCATTGTATAAACTTATAATTTTGAACCTAATATTTAAGCATTTGATACTCATGGGTATTAATCTTTATTATTAATAAAATTAGTTCCTATCTTATAAGTAATAATGGATTTTCATATTCTTGTATGGAATAAGAATTAAATAATGTTAAGTAAAAGTTAAATTTTAGTTCAGGAGATAAAATTACAATAACTGTAAATTTTGTATCATCTTTAATTACATGGAAAACTATGTATAAAAAACTATTTGTATTATTTTGATTATTATATAAAGACTATGAGATTTGATAATACTAAGGAAATGTATGTTTGTGTTAAATTTCAGAGACTAAGATTTTCAAATGACTCTTAAGTAGAAATTTTGAATTATGAATTAAATAATTGATTATTATATAATATTTAAAATGAACAAATTGTCTTATCAACCTCTTGGTTTTGTTTTAAAATTCGATCCACCCATAATTGGATTATTATATCATCCCATAGAGAATAAGAAAGTAAATAAGAAAAAGAGGAAGTGCTATGCTATTCATTTGAATAATTTAATCTTCTTAGTTGAACCTGAAGATATTGTAGAGGCATTATTTAATGAACATTAAGAGTTCTTAGATCCTGATATTGTCAAACCCTAACAAGTACATTTGATCATTTAATAAGGTCTATAAATTAGTGTTGCGATTAGTTGCTTATAGAGATCATTAGTTAAGAAATATGCAAGAAATGGGAGAAGATATGGGTACTTTTATTTTACCATATTAAAGGTGATGGTTATTATGAAGAGGAAGAGGAAGTACCTGTCTAACCACCTAAAGGTAAAGGAGGAAAAGCATAAGCATAATAAAGAAGAACTAATGATAATAATAGATCATTTTGATTTTTTATATTATAACGATAATTACAATTTGAATTTAATTTATGAGGAGATAAAACCTCAAACAAGATCTTTATTCACAAATCTCGACAATTGGATAGTCATCCTCATCAAAAAGAAGCAACTTAAATATTGATGATTTGATTTATTAGTTCAAAATGAGAAAATCAAATTAGAAATTAGCAAAACAATACTCTGAAATCATTAAAATATTTGATAACAAGCAATCACCAAAATAACCTTTTGAATATTAAAGTGGCAAATTACAAACTAAAGTTAGATTAAGAACAGATGAATCTTAAGAACTACTATAATATTAAGAAACAAAATAAAGACTTTCACATTAAATAGATATTCATCAAATAATAAATGAGACATCTCCTATTAAGATTACACCTAGACTTAATTATGAGAATTTTAAGACATTTTAAGAAACTGAAAGAAAATCATATGAATCTAATAATTATAATACACATTTAGCTAATTTTGGTCCTTTATCTTCAAATCAATGTGAAACAGATGAAGAAATATAATAGATTTCATAATAAAGTGTTTAAAAATTATCAAAATTTAAAACTTTTGAATAGGAGTAATTTTAAAAATGTTTTGTATAAATTAGTTCTTAAATTGAAAAAATTAATATAAAATTCAAAAAGTAGGGATTCATAATGATTAAATTGTTTTCTAAATGGACTTTAAAAGAAAAGGCTACAAAAATGTATTTTAGATTTTTTGAACGCAAAATTTAATCATATTTTGATTTGTTTTAAATTTATGAACCATCAATAGAAGAAAATAATTATGATAATCAAAATACAAATTAAAGTATATTATCAGAAAATGTTTTGACTCCAATTAATTTGAATATTTAAAATTTTTAAATTCCTACACTTAAACCTGTAACTTAATTTGGTGCAATAAATGTAATATATTTAATTATAATTTAATATAGTTTGAGGAGTATTTGAAAAAGAAGAATCAGAATATTGAATGAATGTTTAATATTGATTTACTTAATTTATTAACAAAATATAAAATATATTCAAACAAAAATAAAATTCAGATAATCCAATTAGATCCATCTTCGAAATATTTTTATATTAGTTTATTATGGAATCTTGGATATTCAAAATATTATTCATATTCAAATAAATTTTGTTTATTTGGGTACAAACATTTAAATTGACCAAGTCTTAATTATTCTTCTAGCGATTGTATCATCACATCTAAATCTGTTTAATTTACTTTTTATCTAAAGTTTCTTGAATTAATTGATTAAATTTCATTGATATTTCTTTCAAATAGTCTCTTTTTTATCTATATCCTAAAAGCCTTTTTATAATAATATTCAATTCCTATCAAATGTAACATATCTGATATCAATTAAGTTTTTATTTAAGCATCTAATTCTGATGCTGAATTTAATGAAGGACTTACATTCACTTCTAATAACCAAGGTTTTAATGTTTCATCTATTAATATATCAAATCCAAATAATTCAAAATAATTATTTTTATGTTCAGAAGCTAATAATTATATAAGAATATAATTACTTTTTCCATTTCTATCAAGCAAAAGAGGTTCAGCAGCAATACAAGTTTTCAATACTACATCTTAGATTGATTTAAATAATATTTTATGGTTAATACCTTAAGCGATTAATTATTATTTATATTCTTTATGTGACCACTTTGAGGCTTTTACTTATTATTCCATATCTTAATTATTAGCTATAAAATTTGGAGATTGTTTATTAACTGAGAAATTAGTTAAATGTATGAATCTCTTTTTAATATCTGAACTTTTTAGTGAATATTCTTATGTAGCAAATCTAACCAATCCATCTTTATACATATAAACTCTTAAAGGATCAATTGATGTAATCAAAACATAAACTCTAAGATCATATTTAAAATTATTAATTAAATGAGGATTGGATATATAATCCATTACTAAATATCTTTTATCTGCAGTCAATTTAGTTTTTTTATTTATTAATTTTATTCCATTTCCTCTAGCACTAGCAACTGGTTTTTTAATCCATAATGTTTTTTTTGGAGCAGACTCTCTTATTCCTTCAAATCTCTCAAAATCATATTACAATAAATAAGTGTTTGGAATAAAGTAGTATTCTGTTGGAAATTTTCTTTTAACTTTCGAAAGATGAATCCATAAATTATCCTTTCTTCCTACACTCCAACAACCAGGAAAATGATTTGTTTTTTAATACTTTTTCATTTCTTTTAAAGTTTCTTTACTAGCTATTCCCCAATAAATTAACCAATTTTCTTCATCACTTCTTTCAAATCCAGCAGCCTCAAAAGCACTTAAAATGCATTTGAATGGTACCTATCCTTAGAGCTTATAATATAGTGGTTTTTTGATCTGCTCTACTAAAAATTGTTAAGATCTTGTTTATTGAAGCATTTCTTAAATATCATATAATTGTACATGGATATGGAAAATAGATAGTATATACATGAGGTCTATAAGGAGATTGCCAAACAAGTTAAGATTGTTATATACTAGTTGTAGTTGATGGTTCCATCAAAGAACAATCTATTTCTAAATTTCTCTCAGTCAATACTTTATTAGTACAAGTATCAGTTTATGAGAATATTTATTTTTGCTTTATATGTCTAGTTATTAATGATCGGTTGCGTATTTTTGGTTGTTTTTAAATGACTTTGATAGTGTTATTTTATGATTATGATTAAGATGTAGCTCTAGAATGAATAGTTAATGAAGATGTAGCTAGAGGAGCATAAACAGTTTATACTTTTCTACTCTCTATTTATACCCTTTTTTACATTTTATTAATTAAAATAAAATCATTAATTTTTTAGCGATGACGGTGTATGCCATGGTAAATCTATATTATATAATCGTTTAGTAGAATTGGAAGAACCATAAAATACAGTATTTTAATTCTTTTTATCTTATTGTTCATTCTCAAATATTTCAATTTCTTCATCTAATATTTATGGAATCTAAAATATATATATATTAATTAACCCTTGTTTAAGATAATCTTGGTTTCTAATGTTCTTGATTACTAATTGCTGTAATAGGTCTTGAAACTTTAGTATATGTAGGCATTACTAAAGCAGTTGATGGTCTCAAAGATGTTTAAGATTAAACTGCTAATTTTCCACTTGTATTTTTTCTCATTGATGCCTTAGTACTAACTGCACTTGATGCTCTTTATAAATATTCAGTCATAAAAGCTGGATCTTACATCATTTTTTTATGTTATTAAACATCTAATCTAATATCTTCAATAGCTTCAGATATCTATATTTTTTATGTTTATTTTTAAAATTAAGGATGTTCTTTTAATTATTTAATTGTAGGTATGCTTTTCCTTGATTCCTCTTATTATAATTATTTATTATGTTAACCACTTTGAGATTACAAAAATTCTTTTGAACCTGCAAATTCTTCTAATAATTATACTCTCAACATCTTTCCATTTAATTTAGAATGATTCAAAATTTATTAAGCATTTTTTAATTTAGATTTGATTTCAACATATAATTCAGGATCTCTTAAGAGTTTTTTAAATTCACCAATACCAGCATCTTTGTTTTTCAAAAATTATTAATGTTTTTATGTTCTTTTTTGAATGTAATATTCATTTCTATCTTTTAAGGATCTTCCCTTAAATACAGCCTTATCCATATTGTATTGATAATTCATATAATGTTAAATTTTGGCATCTGGATTCTTGGCAGTTTTATATCCAGTTTAATCAACTACATAGAGATTATCCTAAAGTAGTGTAATAATTAAACCATTTTTGGATCTCTAGTAAGATCCATTTTAGTTTTAGGAATTTTCTCATAATAAGCCCATCTGTCAACTGTATTGGCCATAAGGTAGAGAAACTCAAATTCTTAAATGAAACCTTTAATCTAAAGAAAATCAGTGCATCTCTTTATCCATTCTTCCAAAACACTACTACTTATAGCTTTTCCTATTGCCTGAAATGAAAATAATGAGAAAATGCATATACCCATAATAAATTGTTAATTTCAGTTGCATTACATGGTACACCTTCACTCATTAATTCTTATTCTCTAAGATGAAAAATAAGACAAGCATCTTTGATATCCTTCATTCTAGATAAAACAATATGTGATTACGTAAGGAGTCCATCATGATAAAGTTAAATGGCTGCTTTGATATTGCGAACATTAAGATGTGTTAAACGTCCATTTAGGAACTGTAATAGAGAATAAGTGATATACCCTAGGAACTTCATGTAAAAATGAAAGAGATCTAAAAGTTGAGTAAATAGTTTAGATATCAATTTTGATCTTTTCAACTATCTAAATTTAATGTTCTTGTTCAAGGATTTGAACAACCAAGAAAAAGATAGGTTACATCTACATATAATCTGATATGAGCATTCTTAGATCTTCATATTTGATTTAACCTCTTGCACTGAATTCACTTTGAATTCCATATATTGTAAATTCTTCTAATTGTTATGCTTCAGTCATTTATTAATAAATAATTTAATTAATCCAAATGGACAATGAATAGAATAATTATTAGGCATTCGATATTGAGATTGTAGATACTGAACAATAAAAAATAGATCATGCAAGATTAAGTTTCATCAGGAAGGTAAGATATTGCCTAATGAGGTATTTCTAATAATCTTATTTCAAATTGGATTTAATTTCATTACTACATTGATAGCATATTCTTAAAATCCAATAATTGATTACGTATGCAGCAAACCATTCTTATTTTGGATATTTATGGTTGTATTGATATTAGTAATATTTTTGCTAATCAGTTTTTAAAAGTAAGTTTACATGTAAATCAAGATTAGCCAAACAATATCCTTATAATTATATCTGTTATAGTTGTTTTACACTCTCCATCTCATACATATTTTTATATACTACTCATCATTATCCTACATACTCAAATCAGATCATTTCATTCATAACATTATAAATTGGCATCATCATATCACTTCTCACCTATTCCTACTTTGTAACATCAGAAATCAATCTAAATAAAGGTTTAATATACATTATTATCACTATTGCTCTGTTATTCATTTTCTTATTCTTCTACTTCTAAATGTCCTTGAAATATTTATTAATTTTATCATTCCTCAACATCTTATATGGAGTGCATATTATAATAGATACACTTCTTATTGTAAATGGAGAAGTAAGAAAATTATAATTATAATTAGAAACATGAATTAGATATAGATGACTATATTATTGCAGCCTTAATGACACAAGTTGACATTATTGGATTCATTTAAATACTTTTTCAAAAATTGATTTCATAAATATCAAAGATATAAATCAACAGTAACTGATAATATAAACAATCATTAATTTCTAGTATACTATTGTTTCCATTCCTCACATTCTCTATTCTTCATCTCTATCTAATATCTCAAAGTTCTATTCTCACTTTCTAATATTTCAACCTAAGATTCCATTTATCTTTTAATCTATTCAATCTGAGATCTCTTAATTTCTTCCTTTACTTATTCAGATACATCTTATTATTTCTATATCTCAATCAATTTTTATTTTTAACATTCTAAATCCACTTATAATCTTTATATTAATAACTAACTATTAAATTTAGAATTACATTATTCTCATTATTTCTTAATGCTAATTATCCCTTTTATTATCTACATTCATCAAATTCATTTGATCTCTATTCCAATAATTCAGACAATTAATTTACTTATTCATTTAATTATTCAATATCTTAATTTTACTCTTATATATCATTTTCATATTATAATTACAATGAATCATAATCATTTTAAACTTAATTTAATTAAGATGTTGTAGTTTATTAATGTTAATTCAAATTTTCTATTGCAATTTATAATTCTTAATTCAATTACTAATTTTATTATAATTGATTTTAAGTTTAATCCAATTATTAATTTAATTTTTATATCTCTTACAATAATTTATTAATCTATTATTAATATTCCATTTTCATATCTGAAATTGATTTTCTATATTTTTAATCTAAATCTTAAGTACTCAACTAATTCTACTCTTGTAAATTACAATTCTATTCCACTTGTGATTGTATTTCATCTTATAATCCTTATATTAAATCTATTATTATATTATTAATTATTTACTTTATTATTCTTATATTTATTGATTCAATATATTATTCTCATATTATAATTAATTAATTCTATCAACTAAACAATCCTTTTCATCTAGAAATTCTTTTTCTTATGATTTAATTTATTATTCATTTTATTATATTAATTTATTGACTTCTCTTTTCTTTTCCTCTTAAAGATCTTAATACTTTACTTTTAGAGATTCTAATTATTAAATTATATTCTTTTCTCCTGTTTTAATATCATTTATTATTTTATCCAATTATATAATTTCTTATTTCTAAAATTCATTGGTTTGATTTCTTCTTATTAATTCATCTTATAATTTCTAAATTTAATCATCCATTAATTATAATTATTCTAAATGTGTTTATTATATATCTTATAAATTTTAATTATATTTTTAATCTTTATGATATAATTGCATAGAAGCATCCTTGTCCATATTCACTTTTTCATTTTAAAGATACTTTAATTCTTATGAATAATCATTCAATTATTGTTTCTAAATATCTATTTATTTATTTAAACGAATTAATTGTGTATCCTTTTCTCTCAATTTACTACTATATTCATCATTTTATTATATAGAATTTTTTAATTCTTTTGTCAATTAATCTAAATGTTTCTCATATTCTAACATTGTTTATGTCTAATTAGATGTAATACACTATATTAAATAATTAAATAATACTCTAGTTTCTGCTTATTCATATCTACGTTTCCAATTATTGATTTCATGTTATTGTAATTCAACTAAATTCATTAATTTCTTAATCTCAAATTCTGGATTTATAAATGTATTGCTTTGTTTCATATCCATATCAATACTCTTTTCAAACTTACTAATATAATGGGAGTTCCTTAAACTTTATTAAGATTTCTATAAAGTAGATCCTAAAATTCTAACAAATCAAACCTTATTGTAACTCATTGTAATATGGACTTTTAGATTAAGTATTTGGAGATATAGTATTTCTTTATTTAGGTGGTGATGAAGCAACTGGTACTGGTTTTATAAATTATGACATCTCTTAATATTTCTTCTAACAGACAATTTATAATATTAATCTCATTACATCACTAAACAATTTATTCTTTAATCATATTTAAATTTCCCTTCATAAAATTTTTATTTACATAAATGGCATCATTATATATTAATTCTTCATTGTCTACATTTAATTTATAACTTAAACACTTCTTATACTTAAGAATCTACTGATATCATTCATTTGTAATTTTATAATGTTTATAATGCAAATATAATGTCTCTCTCCTTATCTAATAATGAATAATTTAGATGTATATTTTATTAATTATAAATATAAGGCAACTGGTATATTAATTTTTTTATTAAATGGGTTGTTCGGTAGCGAAATCAACTTAAAAAGAGCTTACCAAATACTAACAACATCAGTCACTCAGAGAACCAGAAATTTAAGATTAATCACATGTTATAATACCTAAATCAAGTTCAAAAAATATTCCTCTCTTTGTTTAACCAAATAGTTGTAGACGCACTTCAGATAATCTCGTTAGATTCAAGACTGAAATAGACTCCAAGGAGAATTTACTCTCTATCAAAAAAAATCCTATTTATCTTAGAAGGGCCAGTTCAAAAACTTAAGCAGATTAGAGCCATGATATATAAGCTAAAGAATGAGAAACAATCGAAATAATCTGATTTCGGTTTTTGTATGATTAACACATTTATATTTCAAAATATCTATCAACTCTCTCATCTTCTTTATACATTTTAATCATTATATTAGATTTAATATTAATCATGAATTACTTAATAAATTAATACTGAAACTTAATCAAATTGCAATATTTATATTTAATACCTATTCATATCGCAAAATATAAATTTAAACTTAAAAATAATTATTATATCAAATATTGAATTAGTATTAATCTTAATATTACAAAAGCTATAAAATAAATTGATATTTTCATTAAATAGTTCCCTTTCTAATTAAATAATAATTATAAATTATTATTTTTTCTCTTTATAATTATAATATATTTTATAATTAAGTAAATTATATGTGTATTAGATTAATTAAAATAATCATCATTCTTTAGTTTTAAGCAAATCTTATCAGAAAACTCTTTTAAAAAGAATTAAAAAGTATAGAAATCTATTCATAATAATCAAGAGGTGTTTTATAAGAATAACATACTATTCTTTTTTATTTCGAACCTTCATTTCTAATAATACTAAGATAAAAAATAACTAAGATGATTATAATGTTAAAAAAATGTAAAAAAAAAGATAAAATAATCAAAAAAGCCTAAAATTAAATAATTTTTAATTATTTGAAAGAAACCTCTTTAGATAAAAATTGAAAGAAAATCTTAAATTTTATTAAATAGATAATAAAGAATTATTAAATATTATTTTTAAATTAGGTTTCAAGACTAAAGGATGATGTTATATTTTAACCAGTTTTTTTTAATCACTTTTTAATAATATCATCATTTTTTGATTTAAATAAAATATTGGAATATATTTATTTTAGTTAGTTTTAACAGATTTTAATAGTTATAAATAAAATAAGATTCCTGGAAACATGAAGCTAAATAAATTAATAATAAAATTATTATTCTTAATATATTTATTATAACAAACCAAATAAATTTAGAATTATGACTTCAAAAACTTAAAGTAAATAAAAACTAAATTAATAGATTTACTCAAAACTTCATTAAAATTAGTAAAAGTAGAGCAATTACTCTTATGGTAATAGAATTATGAGAATACTAATGAGAAATGAGGAAAAAAAGATTGATTACAATTATACAACAATATCAATGAAGAAAATATTAGATAATATTAATTTTGAAGTACAAACATTTTCTATATTATTCTTGAATAATATTTATAAAATTAAAAAATATTATATTAAAATAACGTCATCAAGAATATCTATTTATATAAATACTGAATAAAATGATTTTATTAATAATTTTGAATAGGTTCTTTATTAATTATTCAAAATCATAGCTTAAACTCTCAAGCTACAAAATAAATATAAATTTTGAAATATTCTTACCTATCATACCTAAATAAAACACAGAAGTTATATTATAAATTTGATAAAAAAATTTAGTGTAATGAAACAAAATTGAAACTAATGAAAAATTTGTACAAATAAACAGATCTAATAAATATGTATAGTTTAAGTTTTTTTGTCGCATCTAATTTTCTTTAATTATATTTTAATTTATGGGCTGTGGGTCATCCTAAACAGAAGCTCCTGAGTTATAAAAAGGACACCATTCTTAAAAAACCAATATTTCTTCCCCTGATTCTGAATTAGCTGATAAATAAAAGCTTTATTAAAGAGGTACAATAGATTATTTTAGCTTTAGGAAACTATTTACTCAAAAAAGGAAAGTATGATTAAGCTATCAATTTATTTGACAGAGTCTTAGAAATTGATCCAGAATTTGCTGATGCATATTATTCAAAAGGTAACTTATTATATAATTTAGCAATTGTGGCTTTTGAATAAAATAAAATAGAAGATGCTTAAAATCTACTTTAAATAACCTTAGAAAAACAACCTGATCATGTTTATGCTTTAAATGAAGCAGGTTTTTTTTCATAACCATTTTAGGGTGCTTAATGATAAAATAACGAAAATTTACAGAAGCCTTAGATTATCTAGAAAAAGCCTTTGCAAAACAATAAAACTTCTCAGAAGTGAATTATAGTTTAGGTACATATAGATTAATTCTTTGTTAAGCTTATGCATTATCTAAATTAAATCGAAAAGAAGAGTCTTTAAAATATTATGATTTAGCCATTTAAGAGGACGCATAGCAAAAACATTTTTATATCAATAAGGCCACCACTTTGATTGAATTAAATAAACATGAAGAAGCTCTTAAATGTGTATCTGAAGCATTAAAATTAGATTCAAATTATATTGAAGCATTAATAACATAAGGTACAATATTTAATACAAAAACAAAGGGAATATATATAAAACTACATAGTAATATGAGAAAATGTATGGTGTATGCTTGGCAATATTGAAATTAGATAATGAAAATAAGTTGGTTCTCTAAATGAAATAAGAAGCTGAAAAAAATTTAAATATTTAAATAACTGATTAACAAACTAGTACTATTATTTCAATAGAAGATAAGTTAATTTTAGGTATTGTTTATATAATATAGTAAAGCTGAAAATTTACTATCAGAAAAATAATTTATACAAGCAAGAAAAGTTGTTGATTAAATTCTTCTGAAAGATCCTTTGCATTATTAATCCCTTAGATTAAAGACTAAGATTTAAGTTGAATAAGGATAATATGGTGATGCTTTGGCTAGTTTAAATAAGATGTTAAATGAATAACCAAAAGATATTGATGTTTTAAAAGAGAAAGGTAAATTTAATATATGAATATCTTAAAGCGTTTGTATTAGAAAAGTTGAAAAGATTAGAAGATGCTTTATAATGTCATAATTAAATCATAGAGGAAGAAACAAATTAAACAAAAAATGAAAAAAAAGGTATAGATTTATAAATAATTTTAGCTAATATTTATATGAAACTTGGAAAAGTCAAAGAAGCATCAGAAATATTTGAAAGTTTGAATATAAAACCAAATTTGGATGATCCATAAACATATATTTTTAAGGGTAATATTATAAAAAAGATAAAATTAGGAAAGTTATTATTATCATAAGAGAAATTTGAAGAAGGAATGAGTTTATTATAAGAAGGACTTGAAAAGAATAAGAATAATATAGAAATTATGTAATTACTTGCTTAGTTTTATAAAGCAAAAAAAAATGAAAAAGAAGCTTTAAATATTCATAAATAAGTTTTAGAGATTGATAAAAATAATGATTGTTCTAATTTTGAAAAAGGTAATATTTATAAAATAATTTAGGTGTGATTTATTGTGATTAGAATTTATATAAAAAAGCATTAGAATCTTTTAAGAAAATAAAACAATTGGATTTTAATGAGTTATGTTATTTTTACTTTGGATTATGTTATTATAAAATTGAAGATTATAAAAATGCTATCAAAAATTTATCTAATTATGTTAAATTGGGAAGGACAAAATTAGAGGAAACCTATTTTATGGTAATATATAAAATTTATGTATTTTATAGTTAGGTGGTGCTAATTTGTTTTAATTAAAATATGATGAAGCAGAAGAAAATTATTTAAATTGTATAAAGTAGAATCCAAATAATTCTGAAGCTCATTATTAATTAGGAAATGTTTTTAAATAAGATAAATAAATTGAAGAAGCTAAAAAATATTATGAATTAGCTCATAATATTGAACCATATAATGAAATATACAAATAGACTTATGGTATAATTATATTTATATTAAAAGAAACTTTTATAAATGAAAAAAACTATTTAGTTGATTATAGCAATAGTTTATTATTTACTATATCTACATTTATTGGAATATGTTAATTAAATCAAAAATAACAAGATTATGATTAATAAAAGATTGAGAAATATTTGAACATTTTACTTCTTTTAGAAACTCATTAAAAAAAAAGATTCAATTCTATTGAAAATCATTTTGAATAAATAAAATAATTAATAGCCAAATCATATGATATGTAATATACAGTTATAGATGATACTTTATTTCCAATAATGTAATATTGGCATAATTAAAAAATATGTAAAAAGAAGAAAGATGTTAATGATTTTGTAAATTCAATTATTAATGCAGTTAAATTATTAGTAAATATAAATAGTGAAAAGATACTTAATGTAATTAATAGTGAAAGAACTTTGAATAATAAATATTGTATTGAATTTGCTGAAAAAATCTAACATGAATCATATTAAAAAAGAAGTGGATGTTTAGGTTTGATTGATGGTATAAAAATACTTGGATTTCTATTAAAATATCATAAGGATTTTACTAAAGATCGAATGGTCTTTTAAGAACTTATTGCTACAAAATATTAAATAGAAGAAATATAGATATTTCATGAATCCTACTTTAAGTAATGAGATTATGAGAACTTCTTTATAAATATTAAATATATTCATATATTATTCTAAATTTTTAAAATAAATATATAAGAATATAAAATCATTTGCTTTCGAGATATTACTCATTTCGTTTTAAGTATTATAAAATTTAATTTTCATCTGTGTATTCCATAGCTTATAAATAGCCTTCATAAGTGAAGTTTTCTTTATCATACATTAATATAGGCAATTCAAAAATAATTAAAGAAGCTTAAGCTTATATTTGAAGTCTTAACCATTCTAAAGTTTATTTAGGTAATCCTTTTTTATCTTTAATATTCTAATATATTTATCCATGAAAATAAGTATAACATATATCTTTAATATCATCATCAATAAAATCATTTAAAAACCATTCAACTTTATCTTTTCTATTTTTATCTAATTTATCAGCTTTTGCTTTTGCTGTATTAAGTAATAAATTTAATTCATTTTAAACTTATTAATTATCTTATTTAACTTTATTGCAATAATTTTAAAATTCAAAACAAGATGTAATATAATCCCATTCATCTAAACCAAATGAATTAACTTTAGATTCTAATAATATTTCAATTTCTTTTCTTAATTATAACATTCTCTTAAAAACTAAAAATAAAGGAATAACCCAGAAATTTTATAGACCATTAAAAAAAGTGAGACATTTTGCAACTGTTTAACCAATAATATTAAGTGCATCCAAAGAACGATTATATTTCTAAGAAAATAGACTCAATTATTAAGTTGATCTTTTTATTAATTATATGTAATTCTCAGCATTACTAATTCTACTTTCATCTAAATTATGTTTTTACTATTAATTATCTTCCAAATCAGAACTATAAATAGCTTTGTATTATTCCATAGCATTTTCTGATTATTTATATAATTATTATAATTCATCTTAGTTTTTAGATTCTTTACTATAAACAACTTATTATTATCTATTTTAATCTGATTTTTAATTTTAAGATGATGAACTAAATCTTTATTTTGCTTACATTTTAATAGTATTACCTTAAACTGATGATATTCTCGCTCTAATTTTATCATAAAAGAATTCATTTTTTGTGAATGATTATGAAATCTATTTTTAAGAACCTTATTAATGTATTAATTCTTAACTATTATCATTTATTTTTCTAGATGAATCATATCCTGTATAAATTGTTGTATTTTAGGTCTAATTCCTAAAACTCTTTACTCCAGTATTACTATTATTTTATGATTTAATTTAAGGCTTTGGAAGTAGTTTAGTAGATGAAAAGAAGTTATTAAATTTATTACTACTATAAGTTTAAATCATTTAACGACTTTAATGAGATGATGACTTTTATCTACTCTATACTGATTAATATCTATTCCCAACTACATTTCTAACATTCTCTTAATGCATTTTCTACATATTACTAATCTTAGTTATCAAAGATTAATTTAATAAATTTTATTCAGATATCTTTTAATTCTTATTACAACTAGGTTATTATACCAAATTTATAAGAGAATTAGAATCATCTCTACTACTTATTCTTGATGATGATCTACATTTCACTTCCATTCTATTTAATCTTATTTAAAAATCTTTTAATATCTACTTACATGCATTATCTTCTCTAAATGCTGAATGATATGGAATTTAATGCCATGGAATTGGATTTTCAGGATTCAAGAGTGATGTAATTAAATTTTACACTGTTGGTTTCTTATTAGAAATTAAAGATCCTATATCTAAACGACCTCCTTGCAACCAGTCTGATATATGTCTATGTACTTCATTAAGTATATATGTTCCTTATGTCATTACCAAATAGAGTATGCCAAGAGACCATTAATATGATGATCTACAAGGTTTTCCTTTCAATATTAATGGATTCCAATAGACACAATAATTTTCTTGTCTCTTTTTTAAACCGAAATCTAAAATTACTATTGAATCACCATTCTTAACAATATTTTCAATTGTGCAATCTCTAGGGGAAAAACCTTAATATAGATCATATCCAAAGTAAATCAACAAGAGTTTCGACAAGTCACCATTAATCAGAAGCCATTATGAAACATTCTCTATTATCAAATCTGTATATGTATTCGTTCTTACAATCTACAAAATTGAAGGCAAGAGACCAATTTATGGTTTGAGCAACTTTGTCTCTGCATGAGGTTTAATTCTATGATAAGATTCCAAAAATGCTAATTCTTCATCTAAAAACCTTGTGTCATTCCATCGAGCAATAACTACTTATTCATCTGTTAACTTCAATCTACCCTTTAATGCAGACCATTATTCACATTACCAAATTGGAAATGTTATTGTATAAGGATGATTGGATTTCATTTATTTTATAATAAATTATTTTGTTTGAATTAATATATAATATATAATTCAATATTGATAGCAATATTAGAGTCATCTTAAGTTTCAAATACAGAAAACTCTATTTGATATTAAAAATAATATACTATTTTAAATAATTTTTATAATTATTATCATATTTTTAGATAAATTAAATAAGGAAATAAAAGAATATTATTATTTCTTCATTATTAATCTACATAAATATTATACTTTATTCATTTTATTTTTGTGTTTTATTATTTAGTCATTTTATTAATATTCATATATATTTGAGTATAGTTAATTAGTTACAAATTTTTTATTTTTTAGAATTTCATACTAAGAAGTTGGAATTTCAAAAATATTGTATTTTTTATTTAATTTATTTTTGATATATTTTTAAATATAAGAATAAGTTTCTAACTCATCATCTGTCTTAACAAAATAATTAGTTTTATAAGTCAAATGCTATCTATAATTCAGTCCTGACATTTCTAGTCATTCATTATTTAAACATAATTAATTAGTCTCTTTTTAAATTATTTTTTATAAAATATGGGTGCCACATGCAAGTTTAGAGAAAGAGAAAAAGATATTATATCTCAAGAATCGCTATCAAGTTTACCAAACTTAAACTCTGAGCCAGATGCATAAACTAACTTAAAATATAAGGTATACGGTAAAAGTAAGAATTCCAGAAATGTTGCTAATACTCCTGAAAATATGGAAAGGCCTCATTTTTTTATAATATATCCAAGAAATTAAAATTAACGAAATGATTTAATACTACAACTCTAAGACCTTAATCGCAATAACAATTATTATATTGAAGAATACTCTTAAATGACAAGTTAATCAATAGAATCTAAATATGAAAGTAATTTTTCATTGAATGAAGTATCTGAAGGATCTTTCAATGTTTTTCGTATATGAATGTACAATATTAGACAATGAAATTAGCTATGAATAAATGATGTAATCAGTTTTATTATCATAAATAACATTTTGTATTTTTTTTTTTCTGTTGTTATCAAAATATCAAATTAAGCTCAAAAAATTGTGTTCAGTTCTTCAGATTGTTATTAAAGATATAATATTTTTTAAGAATCAATTAAAAAATAATAGTTTTGGATACAATCATGCTGATTTTCTTATCTAAAACTATTTTTTAAAATCAATTCAGCTATGGTTTATTTATTACTTTACAATGAGAAATTACATATATTATCTTAAAAGAATATCATTTAAATTTATTATATAATTAGGATTTTTTTCTATTATCTTTGAGATTATTTCTAGTACAATAATTTATCAGTTATATTCAATTTAATTTAAAATAAATTGAATTAATAAAATTTAAATAAGAAACTTGAAACTTAAAACTCGAAAACTTGATCACTTTATGAAAATTGATACAAATACAAGTTTCTTAAGTATAATTTAATAATCTAATAATCTTAAAAAATTATTTAATTATAATTAATTAATTTAATTAATAAAGGTGATTACATTCAATTATTGATTATTTCAATTTTGGATTTTTCTTTATCCATATATTATATGAAATACCTTTAAGATTATACACTATACAATATAAGAGTTATCTCATTTATTCTTATTTATTTTCCTTTTAGTAATGTCAATTGTGTTTATAAGACTAACCCTACCATTTGATAAATAAAAATATAAATTATATATGTTATTGATATCTATAGTAAAAATTTAATATAATTCTAAATATCAAAAAATATTAGGAAAAAATATAGTAATAATATATTTTTATACAATAAATAAATAATTTGAAGTTTAAGTCATAATGAAAATAGTATGTTTATAAAAAGATCAATTCTTAAATATTACTTTATCTTTATCAAAACATAAATAGATTTTGTTTAATATCTAATATATTAATATTTTATAAGATGATACTTTTGAGATATATTTAATATCTTAAGAAGTTGAATGTACTTTAATTGTGAATTAAGTTAAGCTCTATTTATTAGTTAGTGTTTATAAATTGTAAAAAAATATTAAAAAATGGATTAATTTTAGACAAGTGAAGGCAAGCTCTTATATATTACATACAATTTATATAAATCTAATCGTATTGGAATAGAGTAAAAAAATGAAATAAAAGGTGAGATATATAAGTAAATCATAGATATGTTAATAGCAAAAGATTTTAGAATATAATAAGTGATGTAAGAAATCAAGAATGAAACTAATATACAAAAAATTGAAAGGATGTTAGAAAATATTAATGTATCATAATTTGTTGAACATTAGCCAGAGGAACATAGTCCAAGAGATATTGATGACAATTTAAGTCATACTTATAAATAAAAAAGACCAAAGCTCTTTAAATTCTAAAAATCCAATTTCTCAAAATTTATAGAAGCTAAAGCAAATGAAGATACTGATACTTTCTCATCATCCAATAAGTAATTAGAATTCAGATAAAGATTATATTCATTAGCAGCTGATTCTTGTTGATTTTATAATATTAAAAATATGAATAATTTGTTCAAGCAAGAAGTACTAGGATTATATTTCTGATTGGTATTAGGATATCTAAAAAGAATAAACTGGCTGCCTAATATTGATCTTTTAAAGTAAGTTTTGATGACTAAGAATATAAAATGAATATTTACTGTAGACACAAGTGATGTATCCCATACTAAGATTAATAAGAATCCACTTAGAACAAAAAGAGTAAAATTACTAAAGAGGAAATCTCTTAAAATTAAAGCAATAATAATTCCAATAATTCCATTCTTCATCATCTTACTTGAAATAACAAAATGAGTCTCAGCTACTTATTTATAGACATCTTAAACATCAAATAGTGATTTTAGCCTATTTATTGTCAAACACAAAAGTGATTAATTATGAATAATATATTTATTGTTTTACTAATGTTAATTAAATCTTTTACTTCGAATAAGTTTTTATTAAGATGTAATAAATATACTTATATATAAAAAGCTAATAACAAATGTGGTATATAATTAGAACTATTAAAAGAGATAAAATCCAGTATTCCTTTTAGACTAATAATGATTATGGAGTAATTCAGAAACTTTTATGCTGTAGATTTGATTTCAAGTTACCATTTAAAATATTTTTGATTCAAATAAAAAAATGAAACATTACCAATTAGATATATTAGTAATAATCTAAAATAATCAAAACCGATATACCCTAAGATAATTTAATATTTTATACATCTTGTTTATGAGATTTGGTGAGTACAAACTTATATGAATAGACTCATTAATGGATATGATAAATAGTGAAAAAGTCTCTATCTTTTTTTCTAAAATGATAAAAGATAAAACTTACAAATAATTAATAATTTCTAAATACTGATTGTAAAATTAAAAATAAAGGATACATGATAAAAGAACAGTAATATAAGTTTGTATAAACTGTGTTTTCTTGGGAACCACCATTATTCAAAATATCTTATTGATTATTGTATTAGTTTGGATATTCATACGTTTATTAACATCTTCCATATGTTTCACAATAAGTATGAAAATTTACTTTACTTTTAGGAGTATATTTCATATAGAAGAACCATTTATTACTAAGTAAAAATGTTGAAATAAATATTATTATTAATTGCGTAATTAATAATCTATAAAAATATTATGATTCTTCTTTTTGATTTTTTAATTAAGTATTAGTATTTCCAGATCCTATTTATTCTTCTTGATTATATTTAGATGGTTCTTATAATGTGATTTGTTCCTATAGGGCTGTCATTATGATTTAAAAAGTAAAATAAATTATATTATAATCGTTGATATATAATTATAGATTTGATTGACGTGGCAATTTTATATCATAAGAAAATCATGATTTATGAATGGAAATAGAATGAATCATTGTAGTAAATGTTATTGGCAATTGAAATATTAAATAACATTATTCAATCATCACTTTAAGGAGCTTCTTAATTTGATTCATCTTTTGGCACTCTTATAACTAAAAGAGGTACCTAATGATCTTTGACTTAATCAAATTAATTGAAGTTTCTTTAATTGCATTTCATTTGATTGATCCATCTAATTAAAAAATACATAAATACCTTAAATATTCCTTTTATGCTATTGTATACTCTTAATAAGCAATTTAAAGATATTTAAGATTTGATGCTTTAAGTCCAGAGGTTTCAAATTCTAGCTCAGGGAATTTCCTTGTTAATATTTTCATATCTTATTATTTAGTAACGTTTTTTGGGGATAGACATCTATTTTATTATTTTTTTGGTAATCTTCTTCGATTTTCTTCATTTTCTTATTCTTATTCAACTTCTTAAAGTATTTTATTTAGATCAATAAAAGAAGAGAAACTCTAATAGAATTCAGAATCAATAGGAGAATTTTCAGGTACTTATTCATCCTCTACTTTTTGATTACCATCATCAAGTGATTTCATAGAATTATTTGGTCTTTCTGCAAATCCTATGGCACTTTAAGCTTTGCTAACTTAAGATTAGAAACTGATTTCTGGTAATTCACTTTTTCTAGATGAATTTTTAAGAGTAGTTGAATCTTATTCATTTTATTTGTCATTTTGTAATAATTATTCTTTTTTTTCTTTTGCTTTTTTTCTAATGAGTTTAGCTTTAAGACTTCTTTCTTAGATTACTTTTTAAACGTATTATTTTCCTCCATTATATAATTAAAATTATTAGTAAATCTTTCTAATAATTTAAATGATATATGAATATTTGAGATATATCATATCATTTATTAATTGATCTCTTTCTTTTTATGAATAATCTTTAAAGAATGCATATTATAATTCTTTATTAATATCTCTAATTTTTTCAAATCCTGATTATAAAGATCTATGACGATGTTAAATTCTATAAATTAATAGATGTATAAATGTATTTCTAACTAAAGGACTCCAATGCATAAATATTTTAAAAAATAAATCAGTACTAAATAAGAAATCACATAATTCTTTTTTGGGTTCAGCTATATTAATATTGTTTAATAATTATTACTTGTTATTAAATGAAAATTATTATATAAGATTTATAAACTCTTACTAATAGAGACAGCATGATCTCCATTTAAGATTAATTTGATTCCCTTGAAGAAAAAGGAATAATCAAAATTAGTAGGTAAAACATGGTAATTTTGATTAACTTTTTGTAACCAAACATCTACAATATTTAAAGTATTAAACACTTATATTGCATCATACAATCTTGTTTAATTGAATAATATATGAATAAATTTACTAAGCAACATAGAATTGTTGATAATTGCACATGATGCTTCAATAAATTTATGATTTTTTAATTAGATATTAGATAGTAACAATTATACTATTTCATCATATCCTTATATATTTTACCAATTTACATTAAATCCAAATTTAGATTAAACAAAATTAACCCATTATATTACAAAAGGATAATAAAAATGTACAATTTATTTATCAGGCATTTCTAATTTTAATGATTCTAATTCTTTTTTTAATTATTATCCTTTTTCATTTTAAAATGCTTAATCATAAAATTTATGAATTAAAATATTTTCTATTTCTGGAAATAATGCTTGTTTAAATTATGGTACTCTAAAGTAGGAGAGTACAGCAAATTTAACAAAAAAATCATGTTCTTTATTTGAACAAGAAGTATCAACAACTCTTTATAAACAAAGAGGCATAACTTTAATCATTAAAGTGACAAATAATTAAGCATTATGAATACGTTCTATTTAAGTATCAATACTTAAATGATCTAAATCCATATCATCTCTATAAATAAGTTCACTAAGTACAGTAAAACATATTTCTTTAACCATTTCTGTTTATTATTTACTACTCTATTCTAATAAGTATTTCCATAATTTTATTTATACTGATTAACTATGTAACATATCATCAACACTTTAATATTTAATATTGTGATTTTCAGCCAAAGTTGATAGAATTTCATTTCTTATTTTTTCAGAATCTTTAATCTTTTTATCTCTCATTGTCTATGATAATGTTTCTACTTTTATTTATAATCCAATTAACCAATCAACTTCCTTATTTGTATTATTTTTAGATTTAGCTTTTTTTAATAATAAAGTAGATTAATTAACTATTCCTGTTTCTGTTTTCACTCCACTACATTGACTAACATATTAATTAGATCTAATAATAAATGTCCCTGCCCAATTACCAATATATGTACCATCAGAAATCAATTATTCATTTAATTATGCTTCTTAAATTAAAAGTGTATCAGTCTATGCAATTTAAGATGTATTATCATAAAAGAATTTATTAAAACTAATATATGTACTACCAATTCTTTTATATTCTTCTTATTTTGTTTATTTATTAGCATAAAGTACAAAAACAAATGTAGTTATTTGAAAATCATCTGCAAATATATCAAATTCCATAAATGGAGAATCTTCAGTTCTGAATTCCCAAAGTATTTCATTTTTTGCTTCTAATGCTTTTTTAGTTGAAACATGTCTTTATGAACCACCTTTAATATGTTGATATTTATATGGAACATCATCATTTTATGAATAGGTTGGATTCATATATTTGGGAGAGATTGCTGATTAAGATTCATTTTCTTAAGATTTAATTTTTAATAGAAAACTATAAGCTATATCACCTAATTGTTCTTCTAAGATACAACGTATATGTTTAGTATTAATCTTAAAATGCAATCTTTAAGCTACTTTGATATCAAAAATAATAGAGGATTAGTTCTAAATTATTAAATAACATTTACACTAAACAAAATATCATGATGTTATGGTCCACTGGCAATTTCATATATTGTATATTTGATCTTATAATGAACCTTATCTGAATCATCAAGGATTTGCTTATTTGGATATTTGAATATTGTACTAGTGTAAAGAATTGAGTTTGCATACTTTGAGGATCTATGTGCAAATCAAAAGTAAAGGTTTAGGGCCACTATACTAAAGGAGTAAGAGTACATGTGGATTTTTGGTATATCTTATCATGGTGGTCTTATGAAGATGTTCATTGACTTTTACAATCACATATGCACTTTACTGTTGTATATTTTTAACCTTGATACCAGAAATTACCATTCTAAACATTAGATTTTATTATCCAAATCTAATATCATTTAGATGCTACTTTCTTGTCTAGTGAGAATAACATGCAGTTCCCATTATTAATTTATAATATATTATGAATTACTCAATATTTCAATTTGGCAAATTGTAATACAATCTTCTCTTCATGTACTTCTTCAAATCTCTATCTAATCATCTATTCAAGTTGATTCACCAATTAAATTTCATTTCTTCTTGATTGAGTACCATAATTATATTCAGTTTAAAAAGTTGAACATAAAGCTTGAGCTTATTCTAATAATTATTGATTTCTTTATTATTTTGATTAAGCAGAATTTGATACTGCTTATTGAACTCCAATACAAGTTTATAATTTATCTAATTTAATTTATTATTTTTCATATTATTATTGTAATCTTGATAACACTTTGTTTACTTTCTCTTTTTATAAATTAAATAAAGCAACACTTTAACTATTTGATTCTGTAAATTAATTATATGCATTATTAATTGTGGATTTTAAATCATTAAGTAAATGTTCAACTTATTAAAGTAAACTCAAATCAATTGACTCTCCTTAATTTGCTAATTATATAAATGCATTAAAAATTGGAGCATATATTGAAGTTTTATTAATATCAAAAGATGTTTACAACATGCGTTGACTTACCTTACTTAATTCTGAAAAACTTCTATATCCAAATGATATTCCTTCTAATATTGTCAAAGCTTCTTCTATGGAATTTAATGAATCCTCATATTAACGGTTTCTCTTTTTAAAATACCCTTATTCTGAATCTGCTGTTTACAATATAGTATTCAAATGTTACTAGAAAGTATTTTCTTGTTACTAATTAATCTACTGTTAATCAATTGTTCTCTATTTTGAATATTAACAAGTGTTTAATTGAACATTAGAGTCTCTAAAAGTATTTTTTGAGTTTTGAATTTCAGCATTTCTAAAATCATATTCACTTTAACATTCATTTAATTCCACATTAAAGATTTAATCGTGATTGACTTATTCTTCATTGACAGAATCTCTAAATAATGTAAGTATATTCAAAACAGCATCTAATGGAGAATGAGATTTTATCTTCATCTCCACTTCAGCCATTACAGAAGTGATCGATCTCTATTTAGTGTAATTAAGTCTTTATTGATGATTTGTACCAGAAACTATAACTAAGATCAGCAAGAGAGCAAAGATCTTCATTAAATTAAATAGGTAAAAACGATTTAATTCATTTCAATAATTAAAACAAATCACTTAACCAAATATCCTTTATCATTATTTAAATATCAATAATATTTTAATTCTATAATTATACATATATATATATATATATATATTATTTTCCAGAACTTAACATCTATTACATATTAATGAAAAATTAACCTCATAAAAATTCATTTCATAAACATACTACATAAAGAATAAGGATGATTTAAAATTTTATATAATAAAATTGTATTTTAAAATACTAAAATAGATTCTTAATTCGATTGAATTAATAATATGTTTGAATATACTTTTTTTAAGGAATTCATTACATTTAATTAAAATTGTATCTCATAATATTACACAAATTTAAATAATTACCTCAAATATGTCAAATCTCTAAGTACAACTAATTAAGAAGCCTGATGCCAAATATCCTAGAGTGAATGATGTTTTCTAAGTTAAGACAACATCAACACCAACTGCTAATCAACTTAAAGATGGTGAAGTATTGTTGGAAAATCTATACTTCTCAATTGATGCAACAATGAGAGTATGGATTAGTGGGTATTTATTATAATATTAAATCATATTAGTGCTAAGACTTATGTAGATCCAGTCCTTCCTGGTAATACTATGTTTGGTTAAGCTGTGTCTAAAGTTCTAGCTTCAAAGAGTGAAAAATTCTAAAAAGGGGATTATGTGATTGGTCTTGTTAATTGGACACTCTATTAAATTATTAGTGATGCCAAACTACATCTTGTTAAGAGAGGAGGAGACATTGATGATTTGACTGGATATTCATTCTTAGGTCCATTAGGAATCAGTGGATTGACAGCTTATATTGGATTTGAAGCTATTGGTAAACCAAAAGAGGGAGAAACTGTTGTTATCTCTGCAGCTGCTGGAGCTGTTGGAGAAATTGCAGTCTAATTAGCAAAAACATATTACAAATGTAAAGTTATTGGAATTGCCGGTGGTCCAGAAAAATGTGATTATGTTAAGAAATAATTGGGTGCACATGATTGTATTGATTACAAAAATGAAAATCTTAGTAAAAGACTAAGAGAATTAACACCCAATGGAATACATGTATATTTTGATAATGTTGGTGGAGAAATGCTCGATGAAATATTGATGCATATTACAGATCATACTAGAATTATTCTTTGTGGAGCTATTGCCACATATAATTAAACTGGAGGTAAATTTATTTTTATTATCTATGTAGAACCATATAAAGTGAAGAATTACCCTAGATTAATTATAAAAAGAGCAGTCATGTAAGGTTTCCTTTATTTTGATCATCCTGAATTATTCAAACCAGGATAAGCAACTATAACTTAAATGATCAAATAAGGATAATTGAAAGTAAAACATATCATGTAAATATATTTAGATAAGATATGATGTTCAAAACGGATTAGAATAAGCTCCAAATGGATTAGCTAAATTATTATTAGGTTAAAATAATGGTAAAGTAGTAGTGAAAGCAAAATCAGATCAACCAAAGCTTTGATTATTTGAGTATATATAACAAATGTTAGATTAATAATATTATTTATATTCTTTAATATCAATTAAAATTAATATTGCGTATTAAAATTGATTAATATTATAATTATTATGTAATAATATTTTGAATCAATATTAATTATATTATAATTGTAATTTATTAATTAGTCTTCAAAAATCTAGATTATAAATGTATTATTTTAATCCACATTGAAATTAGGCTTAGATGAAAGAGAGAGATAAAAGATATAAAAATATATTCAAATAATTTATCAATTTTTAAATTATATAAATTTAAGTTCTTTTAGGTTCAATTTAAATGATTTCTGAATTAAATTTACAACAACTATCTTGGTTATATTATATGTTTTAATAAAAACTTGATTAATTAAAATGAAATAAGACAAATAAGTTCAAGATATTAAATCACTAGTTTAAACAATTATCATAAGATAATCTTAATAGAAATTCAAAAATAATACTCAACTTTGGAAACTTAATATTTTTTAAGAGATATTATGCTTAGAATAACTTAATAATAATAAGACATAGTTGATGGTTGCATTTCGTGACATCATAAATACATTATATATATATTATTAATAATTGTAATGATAATTTTACATATATAAAAATTTAGATTATACTAACTTTAACTTCATTATGCTTGCATCTATTGAGATATTAACTAAAAATGAAAGACTAAAAATAAGTCAAGAATCAGAAAGGAAAAAATTCAAAATAACAGGACAAACCATTTTGAAAGGTGATCATATTTCTAATTATGACTTTTCTAAAAGACTCTCTAATGAAAGTAAAAATATTAAACTAAAGTTAAAGGTGATAAAGGAAATCAATAAGCCTTACTTATGAAAATAGGGTATTCAGTTACAGATGATCATAATTAAGATTATGAACGAAGAAATAGAGGTTATTCAATTTCAACAGATATTTAATCAGGAAATAGATTAGCAACCCTTAAATCTGATAGTAACACAATTGTAAAAAGAGGTTAAAGTACAGAAATGAATAATAATTCCTAATTTATGAATTGTCAAAGAACCAATATATACAATGCAAGAACAATCAGAAAAACATTTTAATATGATGATTCTGATAGTGGTTTAGAGAATCTAAATGATAATACAAACAATAAGATTGATAATAATACTTAAATAATTAATAAAAAGGTTAGTTTCGAAAAAGAAAAAATATCAAATATTCCTACTATGATTAAGTTTAAGTTTTAAAGAATTAGAAGATGTTTTCAAATAATTAAAGCTTTATTTAGAATGAAGACACTTTGCAAGTATAATTATGTTAAAATCTTAGACAAAAGAAATCTTCTTGGGCATTAAAATAAGAGATTTTAAGAAGAAATTAAAGATCACTTAAATTTAATGAAAACCTTACAATGATAAAAATAAAATAATGGACATAAATGGTTTTTTCAAAGATGATTTCAATAATATAATAAAAAAAATTAGATAAATGCAAACTTAATTTCATTGTAATTTCTATCTTTTATATTAAAAGGACAATCCTGAGAGTATGTCATTATTAGAAAAAGATTAAGCAATCATTTTTATATTAAATATCTTCACTTTTTCAATGTCTAATTTAGTTATAATGTCATCAAGTACTAATTTATTAAAAGAATTATAAATCATAATGTATCAAGAACAATTTTTTGAATACAGAAAAATATTTAGTAAATTTGTTAGTTAAAGAGCTAATTATATCAATTAACAATATTAAGAATTAAATCAATAAGAAAAATAAATAATCTTATCAGAATGTATTATAATCAATTATTTGATTACAAGCTTAGTTAAATTAACAGAAACTATAGATATTTTGAAATGTAATAAATCAAGTATTGAATTTTTAATTAGATGTTTGATTTCTTTAATTCAGTATTTTTTTATTCAACACTTTATAAATTTTCCTAAAGTTGAGATGAAAAATTAAAAAATTACTTTCTCATAATATTAATTAGGAAGGAATAGTACTTCTATAATAATTCTGTAAACTAATCAAATTAAATCAGATGATCTGATTTTTGGTACTTACACTGAATAACAGCTAAAAGATTTTATTAGTAAAGATAATTGGTTAGAGGCAAATAAAAAGAAGATGAGCCAAATAGTTACTAATGTAAATAGTGTATTCTGATTAAAAACTATCTATATATTGTATATAATTTCTATAATAATTACAACATTTATATAATTAATCATCAAATCAATTAAAAACAGGGAAAATACCCATAATCATCAATCTCTTTAATTTCTTTTGGAAGTAAATATTGATTAAATTTTGGAAATTAGAATTTCAAGTATTAATTATTATCAGTTAATTTTTAAAATGAAACACTATAAGATTGTATATCTAATATTGTTAAACTGATTGTAAATACTTAACCAGAAATCAATCTGAATTATTCAGGTAATTTAATGTAGTAACAATAAGGAATAGGTTTTTCTAATGCATTATGACTGATAATAGTTTGAAATTCATACGCTCTTATAGTCAGATCATATCCTAAATGAATTTTATAGAAACATTTTAATTATTATTATTGATAATCTATGTCTTTATTTTTATATAGGAAAGGTTAATAAAAACCAATTAGTTCACAAGTTTATTCAACAAGAAAATTGCAAACAAACATTTTATTATTTTTTAATGGTTTTATAGTTAAGGTACCATCACTATCTTTAGCAACTTATTCATATCGTTTAATAATTTAAATTAATTTATTTTGGCTTTATTTATTGTTTGTTGTTTCTTTTTTAATTTCAAATGTTTATTACATTGATTATACTAATTTTTATAGAGTATTAATTGCCATAATCATCTATGGTTTTGCAGTATCATACTTTTATAATAATTCATTACTTTAAAGTTTTTATAGATTTAAATCATAAGTACAATTATCATGTAATTTATCAATAATCTTTTTGAATGTTTCATAATTCAATTAAGTTTTTAGATTAATACATTAATTGTATATTTCCTTAATTGAATTATTTTCATTTAGTAAAGCAATAGAATCTTATAATTATTTTTCAATATCATTTAATCTGTTCATCAATTCTTGTTTGTATTTAAGAAAATGATCCAATATTTCTTGAGTCAATGGATTATTAATTGATTTATTGATTTGAATATTTCTTTGTAAAAAGTCTTAAATTTATAGAAGTGTAAAAATAAAATTAGGATGTTGATCATGTTGTGATTTACATTTTAGACATATTAGTGAATTTTCTTTGCATTTAGGATTCATACAAATTTATATAATAGGCTTTTTATCATGTTCATATTTAGGACATTGTATTTTTGAACCTTATTATTCTAATGTTAACATATTAAAATTAAAATGAAATACACTTAATACATATTGAAAAATCTAATCCCTGAATGGATTAAATTATATCTCAACTTCAAATATTTGAAAACACATTTGGCAGTAGTTACCAAATTAAAGAAATTGTTAAGGAAAGCCAAAAAATTAAAACCTAAAGATGTCTATTAATAACTGAAATATGACGTAGCATCTAATAAATAGCTATTCGAAAAGTTAGAGTAGGATCGTAATGATTTTATGATTGTATTTGATGAAGAATCAGAATAAATTTATAGTTTTACAGAGTGGAAGTATAGGGAATTACTCATTTTTTTTGAGAAATTAGATAGATAGATGAAAATTATGTAATAAATGGCAGATTATACATATGAAGAAAGGATTATAGTAACTTGGAATATGGGTTAGAATATTAAGGAAAATCCAAGTGAAGAAGCTGTTGAGGTAAGAGTTTATTTGAAATAAAAAGAAGAGCTTTTAGAAACAAGTTTTAAATTTTATAATGAATGCTAATAATTGTAATCTTATATTTCATTGAATTCTGAAGGTATTCGTAAGATTCTAAAGAAATATAAAAAGTAAGAGTTAAAAGGTATTAGAAATAAGGAAATAGAAATACAATATTTTGGGAATGTATCACAATTACAAAAGAAATTGAAGAAATATGAAACAAAAATCAATATTTTAAAATCAGATACACAATCTCTTATGATCAATTATTTTTATGCTGATGAGTATGTGTAAATTTATACTAATATAGTCCGAGTGAATGTAGAGATCTTATTAGAAAATATACAGAAAAAGGATAGATCAATTTGAAAACAGTATTTTATTTTGGATTTTTTGCAGGAGCAGCTGTGATGATAATTCTAATCATATTAGGAATGAGATTTGATGGTCTTTTAGATCCTAATTCAGATAAAGTATTTAATAAAGCATTTCCATGTTTTAGAGGAATGGCATTATTTATAATTTATTATTGGTTCATTACTTTAGATTTAGCAGGTTGGAATTATTTTAATATAAATTACAAAGTCTATTTAGGTTTTAATCATCATTTCTCTACAGTTCAAGAGTTATTACAAAGAGTTAGTATATTTACTGCTATATTTTTGGTTACTTTCTTATGGTATTGTATTGCAGTAGAAGACTCATTAGGTGATTTATCTAGAGCTGTTTAAATATTTGATATAAGATATTTACCAATATTATGTTGGATTGTATCCATTCTCTATGTATTTTATCCAACAACTAAATATTTCAATCCTTAAGGTAGGAAATGGATGTATAAAATGTTTTATGGTGCATTATGGGGACATTTTATAAAGTATGAATCTAGATACACATTCTTTACAGATTATAGAATATTTGAATTTTAATTATATGTATTAATTAATTTTATTTTAATATATAATTAAGATATCTATAATTCACATCTATGATAACATCTATGAGAGATTTTGATTATACAATCTGTTATTATCATCATTTTGTAAATTTTATATTTAATAATAGATATTTTTAGGTCAAGAACATAATGGTGAATGTAATTTTTAAAGAAGGTTTACTGCAGCTTAAGCCAGTATAATACCTTATTTCTTAAAATGTATTTAATATTTGACTCGAGCTAGAGACAAGGGAAAGTTTTTGTTTACAGATGAAATGTATAATTTTATTAAAACTTCAATTGCAATGTCAGTAGGAATTCTAGCTTATTTGACTCGATTAGATATAAGTTGGAAAAATTATTGGATAGCAGTAGCATGTTTTTGTTCTTGTTTTGAATATTATTGGGATCTAAAAAAAGATTTTATGTTTTTTGAAAAAGGAACTAAATATAAATTCTTAAGAAGTGATTTAGGTTATAATAGCCCTTATATATATTATACTTTGGGAATTTTGAATTTCTTTTTAAGAATTGCATGGGTATTAACAATATCACCTGATATGTATAGAATAATAGGAATTAAAAATGAAATGTTTGTATTATGTTTTGGATTTTTAGAAATGAGTAGAAGATTGGTTAATAATTTTCTTAAAATGGAAAAAGAACATATAAATAATTTAAGATCTTTAAAGAGTATTTCAGATTTGAAATTTCCATTTAAAGAGAAAAAGGATTTGGAATTAGAAGAAATTAAAAGTGTTTATGATGTAGAATCTATATCTACTCTACCTAGAGTCAGTATTGGAGAATAACATTATGATTAATAGGAAGCTTAATAATATGATTCAAATGAGAGAAACAATCTTAAATTATCAGAGTTTAATCCAAAAATAGTAATCAATTAATGTGATGAATCAAAAGAGGAGATACGTAGTCCTATTAAAATGTTATAATCTCCAAAACATTCTATGTTTAGTAAGTAAAATAAAAAGGTTTCTTTCTTAAATTTATAATTTCCATAATAAGAAGAACCTTCTTTATAATAATAATAATCTGTTATCTCTAAAAAGTAGAGTATTTTAGTTGATAGATAATTCTAAGATATTAAAATTCCAAGAAACATTTCCTTTGAAAATTATTTGAATTTTAAATAAAGTTTAAGGAGAATCAATTCATNATAATTCACATCTATGATAACATCTATGAGAGATTTTGATTATACAATCTGTTATTATCATCATTTTGTAAATTTTATATTTAATAATAGATATTTTTAGGTCAAGAACATAATGGTGAATGTAATTTTTAAAGAAGGTTTACTGCAGCTTAAGCCAGTATAATACCTTATTTCTTAAAATGTATTTAATATTTGACTCGAGCTAGAGACAAGGGAAAGTTTTTGTTTACAGATGAAATGTATAATTTTATTAAAACTTCAATTGCAATGTCAGTAGGAATTCTAGCTTATTTGACTCGATTAGATATAAGTTGGAAAAATTATTGGATAGCAGTAGCATGTTTTTGTTCTTGTTTTGAATATTATTGGGATCTAAAAAAAGATTTTATGTTTTTTGAAAAAGGAACTAAATATAAATTCTTAAGAAGTGATTTAGGTTATAATAGCCCTTATATATATTATACTTTGGGAATTTTGAATTTCTTTTTAAGAATTGCATGGGTATTAACAATATCACCTGATATGTATAGAATAATAGGAATTAAAAATGAAATGTTTGTATTATGTTTTGGATTTTTAGAAATGAGTAGAAGATTGGTTAATAATTTTCTTAAAATGGAAAAAGAACATATAAATAATTTAAGATCTTTAAAGAGTATTTCAGATTTGAAATTTCCATTTAAAGAGAAAAAGGATTTGGAATTAGAAGAAATTAAAAGTGTTTATGATGTAGAATCTATATCTACTCTACCTAGAGTCAGTATTGGAGAATAACATTATGATTAATAGGAAGCTTAATAATATGATTCAAATGAGAGAAACAATCTTAAATTATCAGAGTTTAATCCAAAAATAGTAATCAATTAATGTGATGAATCAAAAGAGGAGATACGTAGTCCTATTAAAATGTTATAATCTCCAAAACATTCTATGTTTAGTAAGTAAAATAAAAAGGTTTCTTTCTTAAATTTATAATTTCCATAATAAGAAGAACCTTCTTTATAATAATAATAATCTGTTATCTCTAAAAAGTAGAGTATTTTAGTTGATAGATAATTCTAAGATATTAAAATTCCAAGAAACATTTCCTTTGAAAATTATTTGAATTTTAAATAAAGTTTAAGGAGAATCAATTCATTCAGATTAACATAATTTTTAGAGTAACCAAAAGATACACAAATAAATGTTCATGATTATGCTGACATTCATCCAAATATGGATTTAGTAGAAAAGGCTAAAAAGGAAGAAATTCAAATGCAATCAAAATAAAAGAAATTAAAAAATGAAAATAAATAATATTTAAAGGTAATGTATATATTATTATATTTAATAGATGATTGAATAATATTATGAAAAATATGACATAAAATTGAAGCATGGATGAATTATGTGTATATAAAATCATATATTAAATATAAATCTCATTATATTTGAAATATCTCATTCTATTCTATTTCAAATATTAATCAATATAATTTAAATTAAAATGTAAACAGAGAAAACTATACCAAAAACAAAAGCAGCATAATTTACAATGGCATAATTATAAGAAGAAACCAATAAATTATAAAAGAGGATCAAAAAAATAATATCAAGATTAATTAGATAGTACAAAGAAGAGAGTGTAATCAGTTATTATTATCTGAAGGGGTTATATAACAACACTTCCATATTTAGTAGCAAACATTGTGGAAATATTGAAAATTGAGACATAAGATAAAGATTAACAAGATCAATCTGTAACAGATGATTATTCAACAATCTCTGGAAATGGTATTGTTATCAAGATTACAACTAAATAAATATGATGACTAGGGCATGTGCTGCTTAAACAAAGGATAAATTCTTGAAATTGGCTGGACCTAAATTAGTATAAATATATACAGGAGATGGAGCTAAAATGGTTAGAGAGCCATTTTAATTAAATGCACTAGCCATTATCTTTATTGATGAATTAGATCCTATTGGAACAAACTGATATGAAAGTGATAAAAATAGTGATAGACAAGTTTAAAGAACTATGCTTGAATTATTGAATCAACTTGATGGATTTAGTCCTAATGATAAAATTAAAGTATTTTTTAATTATAATATTTATAGTTCATTTCTGCAACCAATAGACCTAATATTTTAGATCCAGCCTTGTTAAGATCAGGTAGATTGGATAGATAGATTGAATTCCCATTTCCAAATGAAAAATCTAGAGCATAAATTTTAAAGATTCATTATAGAAAGATCTCTGTTGCTAAAGAAACTGTTAATTATGTAGAAATTGCTAGAAATACTAATTAATTTAATGATGCTTAATTGAATGCTGTCTGGTATGATAGCATTGAATAGAGGAGGAACATTCTTAATTCATGAAGATTTTGTTGAAGGTATTGCTTTAGTGCAACCAAAAAGAAAAGTAGTTAAAATTATTATGCTTGAATTGTATTTCAATATGTATATGAGTATTTTATATTTGAATTATTTATTATGTATTTAGTAATTATTGATTCCTAAAAATGCCTTATTAAACCAGTATGAAAATTTTATAATATATATATATAAATAGATGGAAAAATAATAAATCAGCATATAGTTTACTTACATTCCTACTGAAGAAGAGAAATCAAAGGATTTAGAAAAGTAATTAGATTTAACTACTAAATAATTGTTACATCCTAAGCTTAAATGGACTGCTATATTCTTAGCATTACTTTCAGCTATTCTGTATTCTATTGGGTTTGTATAATTAAACATATTTTAAGAGCATTCATCCAAATTCATTTTGAAGAAGACTCAACTGCCCTTTATTTGATTGCCTCTCTTTGTCTATTGCCTCTCATCTATTGCTTATTCAAAGTATGTAAAAAAAAAGAAGATTTATGATAATCAATATTTATAATTTCTTTTTATCCTAAATCTTAAAATATCATTTATTACCTTTTTAGACAATAATATATTGTAATCATGAGGATATTACATAATATTATTAATATCATCATAGAATAATACTATTTTAACAATTATTATTATTGTTTTTAAAATAATTAATACTTTTCAAATATATAAAATATATAGTTTTATTTTGAATATATTTATATTTAAGTATTAATGCAGCATTTAATCTAGTAAAATTGATATAATTAATTCACTTAAACAATTAAAAATTCTGAATTCATGTTAATTTATATTCAATAGATATTCTTTTATCAAGATTTACATATTTAAATCTAACCTATTATGTAATTAAATTATAGAATATTAAAATAATATAATTATTATCCTTATTTGATGTTTAGTGATCTCAAATGCTAAAATGAAGGCCATGAAAATGAAAAAATATATGGAGTTTGTACTGATCCAGATTGTTAACAAAAGAGACCTTTTTGTGTTGGTTGTAAATTTGAATTACATTCAACACATATATCTTAATTAAGAAAATTTGATGATTTGAATAATTGGATTATTGAAAATAACACAATAACAAAGAACTTACAGAAACTTTTAGAATAATTAAATGAAATTGTATATTCAATAAAAAAATCAATTGAGACTACATAATAGTGTCATAATTTTAATTTTACTCAAATGAATTACGCTACTTTAGACAATACTATAAATAATTTGATAAAATCTTGGATTAGTTAAAAGGAGATTTATTACCTTGTAGAAAAAATGATGTAATCATCAATTACTTAAACAACAATATAAAGCATAAATGCTTGTTTAAACAATTAACCAAGTATATTTACTATTATAAATAGATCGATTATTTAATACATTAACAAAATAACCAGAAAATTAATAAAATTATAGATAATTTATAATTTCAAACAATAATTAACCATAAACTTCTTAAATTCCTTAACAAAATTAACTCTTTATTTAGAATAACATGCAAATTCCATGTATTAAAAATTAAGATAAAAATAATATATAATAATTCAAGTAGGATGGTGCTAAATTAATAATTAATTTTAATAATCAAAAAGAAGGACAGCCATAAAAAATCTAATTAGGTACTGTTTAAAAGTAGAATCCAATCAATAATTAATTTCCAAATAGATTCTAATGAATGGTCAATTCAAATAATAATTTTTAAATTGAAAAAATTATAAAACTATGAATTAATTTATATATTCAGAGACAAAATATTCTTTTTAATAATATAATTATAATTTATTATCATTCTTTTATAGTTATGAGAATAAAATGAATCTTTTTTTATATTATCATAATTCTTTTTTATAAATCAATTTGAAATCAAAAACATATGTTTTTTCCAATTTTGTATAAAAAAATTGCATAATTAACTTTTTAAAATTATTTATCAACTACAAAATTACTACATCAAATGAAGAATCCATGAATTCTTTAATTTTTATATCAAATAAATTTACAATACTTTTAGAATTATTCTAGAAGTTATAGAAATTATTATATAATTTTATTTTTTTTAATATTGTGATGAAATGGATTTATTTTCATTTTTTAAATAAAAACCAGATGTATAAAACTTAATTAATTTTTAATGATATCAATTTTAGAAAGTAATACATCAAATTAATATTATTATTATATTTGTATAGTAAAACTTATAAATTTTGATTAAGAAACTTATAAAATGAATCAAACCATTAATCTTTTCACTTATTTTTATCATTTGGTTATTATCCTCTAGATAATAAAATTATAAATAATAAATATTTGGTTTTGATAGAATAAGAAGGATTTTATTAATTTTACATGCAAAAACAATTCATTGTTATAGTAAATACTATCCTTTGAAAACTTAAAATTTATATTAAAGCATTATATATAATAGACATCCATCATTTAAAGAAGATAAATGAGTCACAAAATAAATTATTATTTATTATCTTAATGTAAAGAGTTTAAGGTGTTCTTAATTGTCAAATAGATGGTCATCGTGAAAGTGTTATTATTGGTGTATGTGTTAATAAGGAATGTTAACACAAAAGGCCTTTTTGTGTTGGATGTTAATATTAATTTCATAATACTCATATTGATGACTTAAAATGTTTTAATGATCTTAAAAATTGGAATTGTTAAAATACTCAAATAATTGAGAATCTTAAAAATTATCTAGATGATTTAAATGGGCTTATTAAAAAAATTTCTAATTTAATAGAAGCTACTTCTTAAAAAAATACTTATTAGAATTTCTAGGAAATGAATTTTACTGATTTGCACAACAGTATAAATAACTAAATTGCTTTATGGAATCATTAATAATAAATGTAAGCTCTTTTATAAGAGTTATTTCCTACAAATGCTAGAAATAAAATTAAAAATATTTGCCCAATATAATTAATTAATTTTCCTGGGAAAATAAATTCTAGTGTTAATAATTTAGAAATGAAAAAAATTATACAAGGGTAAGATTATTCGAAAGGGGCTTAAGGATTAAGATAAAATATGTAAAATTAAAATAACATTTAAATTCAGTCATATCCGGACGTAAGTAAATTTTCATAAAACATAACTATCGAATAAGCAAATTTATAAACTCCTTAAAAAATCAGAGATTAATAAACTAATATAAATTTTGAGAGATAAAATCAACATATAATACAAAAACTAAATTAAAAAAATGAAAAGTATTTAGGTTCAAACTATTGTAATTTATAAAATAACAATACCAAAACATAACAATCACTCAGCATTTAAGAACGCACAAAGCTACAAAATCCCAACCAAAATATATTTAGAAAGAATAGTCCTCCTCGATTAAACCCCACAAATTCTACAACTTTTAGAAATAATGATTTTAAATTTCCAAAATGAAAAATGAAATATATAAAATTAATTTAACTTATCATTGTTTTATGAGTTTAATTTCTTGAGAAAAAATAAATTAGAAATATAAATAAAAGCATATCTGATTGTCGATAATATTGAGAATAAGTATACAATAAGAGTATAATAGAAAGACAATAAATATATATAGAATAGGATAGTCTAGAAAATCTATGATATTAATATAAATTTCATAAAGAGAATATTAATTTATAATTATTATATACTAGTTTCTGATTAATAATTTTGCATATTTATGATAATGATTAGAACTATTTAATTAATTTAATCTTCTAAATCATCAATAAATTGTATAGAATACTCTTTTATTGATCAAAAAATAAATAATAATACAATGTAAAATATGAATTATTAAATCTCAATTTGCAGTTGATGCTTAATTAGTAATAAATGAAAACTTCATTTATAATTATTAGGAATATTATTTATTATTAATATGAGTGATATTTTAGTTAAAAAACTAAATAATTCTTGTTTAATTGTTCTATATACTGCAGGTGCTGGAGCATAAGCTTTAAATCATTTCACACTTCATCCAGGTTCATCAAAATATGCATTAGAGTCATCCAGTTTTTATGCAAAAGGGAGTTTAGAAATACTTTTAAACAGAAATATTGAAAAATATGTTACAGAACAAGTAGCAGAAGATATGGCACTTAAAGCTTTAATAAGATCTCATGAGATTTTAAGCTAAGAAAATAATATTGATAAGTATAATTTCTTTTCTATTAAGATTTAATACTACTTTAGGAATAGGAATTACTGCAGCTATTAGATCTGTAAATGAAAGATAGGGAAAACATCATGCATTTATTAGTTTAAATTATGGAATTAAAAAATATACTTATTATTTAGATTTGGTAAAATATGTAAGAACAAGAGAAGAAGAGGATCAATTCATTTCTGATATTTTATTTAAATTAATAATTAGACATTCATCTTAATAATAAGATGAGGAATAAGAATTAGTAGATAAAATTGAAATTTTAGAAAATGCTACTATTATATTAAAAATTAAAGAATCAAAGATGAACTAAAACTTAATTAAATCATTACAAAATCAAACAGGTATACTAAACTCTATTTTAATAAATGCTAATCAATATCAATTAAATCCAATTGTTTAAGATGCCATAATATTAAGTGGTTCATTTAATCCAATTCATACTGGGCATATTGAATTAGCTAAAATGGCATAAACATTATTGGGATTGCCAAATGTTTATTATGAATTATCTATTAAAAATGCTGATAAATAAGATATCACTATCTAAGATGTAGAAAAGAGAATAGAGTTGATGAAAAAGTACAATTTAAATATCATATTATCTAATAAAGCATTTTTTAAAGATAAAAATGTATTTTTAAAGAATGGAGCTTTTGCTATTGGAATAGATACATATAAAAGACTTGTTGATGTTAAATATTATAATAATTCTATTCAAGAAAGAGATCTTTCTCTTTTTTTGTTTTTACAAAATAATAATAAGATTATAGTAGCACCTAGATACAATGAAATAACATAAAAATTAGAATCCTTAAATGATTATGAAATTCCAAAAATATTTGAAAAGAATGTAATAGAATTGAAAGAATTTAGAAATGATATTTCTTCAACAAAAATAAGAGAAAATGAAGGCAATTGAATTTATTAATGAATAAATTTGAATTAAGGTTAAGATTCAATTATCTAATTTATAATTTTTTTATCTATAAAGATCAAAAAATTATTATACTAATTTATGTTTTTATTTTTAAGTTTCGAATATCTATATTAAATTATTAAATATTATACTTTTATCGAAATTCTATTCTATGTATTCATAATCTTGGAATTCACATAATAGTTAATTGGATAATTAGATTCTTATAATTATTATTTTATTGTATTTTATCTATCATTCTAATTAAATTTAGATTAATTTGTCAATCTTAGAAAAGCATCAGATAATCTATCTAATTAATCTTAACTACCATCACTAAATAAAATAGAATTTATTTGTTTTCCTTAAAGTAAATATTTATTAAAACTATTTACTAATTTATCAATAGGTTTTTAAAGTAAAAGAAATGATATTAAATGGATACATAAACTAATAAAGGCTGTAAATAATATTCCAATTATTAATTAACCAAGTAATTATTAATACATATCATGAATCATATTTTTTAGAAGATTTATATAATTAGAGTAAGCTTATGAATTAAATTTCAATACAATAAAGTAGTCATTTGTAACTTACTTCTATCTTATATACCATAATTCATTAGTATTCTTATTTATTAAACAAATTGTATTAGGTATATTAAGTTGACAATTTTCTTGAGTTTAATTCTATTACATTATCTATTTCACATCTGTTTCATTAAAACCAAAAATAGACTAATTCTATAGAAAATAAACATCAGTTGTTTATGCTGTATAATAACTACCTATTAATATTCTCCCTGTTTTATCTATCACTAATAGATCTAAATCATCATAACTAAATTAATAAAAAGAAGAAAAATTAAGATCAATAGCTCCTATTCCTATAGCACTATTATTTTAATCATAGATAGTAGTTGTTCCAGAGATGTAAACACCACCAAAAAAATTTGCATAAGGTTCAGATATAATGAATTGAGAAGAATTCATTGAATCCAAATGATTTTAAAACCATTTTCTTGATGAAGGAACATAGCCAGTGAAATTTGATCCTGGACATGTAGAAAAATAACAGTCACTAGATATAGATGTAAAATATATATTAAGTTCGATTTGATAAGGTATAGTAGTTGTGAGTAAGTTAGATAACTTTCTAAAATCCTATAGATATTAATTTTGCATATGAATTTGTTTAGAGCAATCAAAATTGCCATAACAGTATTGACAATAATTAATGATACTATTTTGAAAATATTCTTCTTGCAAACATATTTCAGAATTCCTGGAAAAACTTATATTTGTTCTTTAAATCAACTAAAACAAAGTGTTAATATTTTATATTGAATACATTCCTTGATGTATTTTATACTCTAAATTCTTCGAATAAATTGAAATATAAGAATTTGTTTATCCATAAATAAAATTCATGATAAGTTTTTCTTCAGCATCTCTTTACAAAAATTGAAATAGACCTTATATATTTAAAAAAATTATCAGGCCTAATATGACTAAAACTATAATCATAGTTATTAGTTAGATTAAAATGATTTAACTTCGAATTCTCCAAGTTTTAAACTATTTTATTATAAATTTATTGCAAAGCATGTTTAATATAAAATATATTTAAGAAATTAATTTGTTTACTTTTTAATTAAAATACAAAGTTGATTATTTCAATAATTGATATTATCTGTATTCTACTCAAAAATATGAAGTTCTTTATCATCCATTTTTAATTTAAGCTTATGAAAATAATTATTAAACAATTTCTGATGATTTTATTATATTGATTAGTTTTTCGCGGGATAAAATGATCTAACATTTTCAAACTTTATTTATTTCTCATTCAATTCAAATTAATTAAAAAAGTTATTTTAACAATAAGAATATTAAGAGGGTTTAGTTTTATCTGATGATTCACTAACACTTTGATTTTATTTTTCAATATATTTATCTATTTTCTTCAATTTTTTTGATGATTTTTAATTAATTCTTTTATTCAACTATATATAATTAGAATGTTAAATAGTTCTTTCATAAATAAGATCTGTTTATATCTATTTATCAGTTATTTATTTTCTCTTTTATACTCTTTGTTACTCAATAATTTAAAATGTTTCAATTTTACAATCTTCACTTAATTTGATAGGTTCTATAAAATATATCTGTTATTTCTTTTATTAAAATTATTTTAGTGACAATAACACATTTTTGGATATTGCAATAAGTTTTTAAAGAAATTACATTTTATTTTATATACAAATTTATAACTAAAACAAAATTAATTCTGAAATTCAAATATTTTTATGTGTAATTTCATTGATCATTAATTATTATATTGAATGTAAAATATAAAAGTAATCAAAATATGACAATTATTTATATATATATATATCATTTATCAATATATTAAGATTGTTATTATTTTTATTAGCTTGATTATCTAGTAATTTTAGTTTTCTAACTAATTTGTGATTTTGTATCACTAATATTCTTATCTGATTTATTGATTTAGGAATCAGTTTCCTTGTAATTTGATCTCTTAATAATTTTATTTGGATTCTCTGTTTTTACATATAAATATTATACCTTCTGGTTTTGGAATTGAGGGTACTTTAATACCTATTACACCTTAAGGATAATTTTATAGAAATTTTTCAATTCCTCCACTCAATAGATAAACATTCTCAAAACCTTTTTCAGCAAATAGAGTGGCTGAAGGGATTCCATTCTTTTCATCAAAATGATATATTATAATGTGTTTATCTTTTTAGTTTTTCTAATTGAATATTTAAATGTACAAATCTATGAATTTATTAAGTTAATTTATCTTATCTTAAATTAGGAGCAGGGAAATTGACAGCCTCTTTTATGTGATAAAGTTCAAATTCATCAGGATCTCTTAAATCTAAAAGAAGAAATTCTGATTGATCTGTAATTCCCAATTATTCTGTAGCATAAGTAATTGCAGAGACTTATGAGACTTCAGTAAATCTAGTCTTTTAACTATATTGACTTTATGTATCAAATTATTGTAATTGTTCTTATTCTTATTATTGTTAATCTGCTAATTTATAAATAGTTTCTTATTCTGTATTTTCCTTTGATAATATATATAAAGTATACATTAATATAGTTAAACACAGTAGAACATTTGATACGCTTAAATAATTCTGATCTTTTTTTAGCTATTTTCGCATTACTTACAACTTCAATATCTCTCACAGTTGGTCCTGTATTTAATGTTTATTTGACATGATCATATTATTTGTTTTTTGGTACTTTTTTATCAAGGGGCTTAAGAATTCAAATTGATATATACATTTCCTTTTCCTTTAACATAACCTATTGGCATTTTGTCCATAATAATTAATTCAAATATTCTGTTAACTAATAATATTAAATTTAATGAAATTATATTAGAATAACAGCATTTTGTAAATATGTATATAATGATTTTAAGATTATAAATAAAGCAAAAACAAAATATAGATTGAATAAATATCATTAATATTTTTTGAGTATTTAAATTAATTATAATTCTTGGATTGGTTTAACTAAAAAGTCTACCATTCCAGAATTAATACACTTTTAATATTCTAATTAATCTGTATAACCACTACAACCAATAATAATCTAATTTGGAAAACTTTAAAGAATAAATTTAGTAGTTTCTTAACCATTCATAATAGGCATTTCTATATCCATAAAAATTATTTTATAACCTTAACAAGTGCTACAACACTTTTTTGTTTTTATTTTAGTAATAGATTCACTACCAGATAAAGTTGAATCAATATCAAATTCATTTGTAAATAAATGTTTATTATTTTTATACAATTCCTATAACATTCTTTTAAATGCAAATATATTAAAACAATCATCATCAACTATTAAATAATGATGACAATTTTATTAAGTTGATAAATCTTCTTTTAAATTGGATGTTATTTTATTGAAACTAATTATTTCATCTACTTCTTATGATTATAATGAAATTTCAGGTACTTTGAAACTTGAGACTTTTTTCTTTTTCAGAATTTCATCAATAAATAAATCAAAATAAAAATAACTATAATGATTATTTTTTTTATTTTTTGAATCTATATTAAGTCCAGTAGATCCAATATTTTATGCTATTTAATTACTTATAACTAAACCTAATCCAACACCTTATTGATTTAGTTTTCTACTTTCTTCAGAATTAACTTTTGAGAATGCTTTAAATAATTTTTATTGATCTTCTTCTGATATTCCTATTCCTTCATCTTTTACTCCAATTCTTAATGTATTCTATTTAAATAATTCAAGTATTATTGTAATTTTTCCACTTTATGTAAATTTAAATGCATTACTTAATAGATTTACAATAATTTATTTGATCCTATTTCTATCAGAAAAGAGTGTTTTTGGAAGTGTAGAATTATATTAAATAGATAATTGAACTCCTCTCAATTTTGCTTTTAATTCAAACATTTTTTAACATTCCTCAATTAATATTTATAAATTAAATGGTACTTTTTCAATTTTAAATTTCCCATTTTTAATTTAAGCTAAATCTAATAAATCATTAGATAAATTTAAAATATAATTTGAATTATCTAAGGCTATTTGTAATTATTAATTAATATCAGAATTATTAATTATTTAATCTTATTTAAGTACACATTCTAACATTTGAATAATACAATTTAATGGAGAACGATATTCATGACTGACAAATGAAAGCATTTTAGATTTTTATTTGTCATATTCTTTTAAATATCTTATTTTTTATCTATGAGTTACATCTCTACATATTATAATTATACATTAACTTTTACTTAATGTTAATGTTAATTCCAGTAATTAATTATTTTCTGTATTAATATAAGTTTAAGATGTTTATATTTATTGATTTGTAAAAATTGTAAATCTTTAATTTAATTATGTTTAAACAACAATACTTTCTTAATTTTTAGATTTTAATAAAGTATCAATAATCTATTTTATTTTAAATTTCTAATTTCTATCCTAAACTTATGAAACATCTAAACTAAGATTTCTATGTTATTAATAATCTTTTGTTTCTGTTGCTTATCTAAAGAGATGTAAAGAAGGTTATCTTTATTACTAAGATACAAATAATAAATCTTCATTTGGTTCTCCATTAAATAATTAAAATGTATTTAAACTATCAATATATTAAAGTACTTCTTATTCTGTTTCTTTATTAAATAATAATTTAGTAGCATTATTGATATATTTAATAGAGTATGGAAAATTTGTAGTATTAGATTCTGGAACAAGTAAAATAACACCTTCTTATAATAATTCTAAACATTAAATACTAGTTTCTTAAATTCCATTTTCAGCTGTAGTTGATGTATCCCTTATACCTACAGAGTTTTGATTTTAATCGAGATCAAATTATGAGACATTTCTCTTTGAATTTAAAATATCTTATTTATTAGTATTTGTTATTTCTGTTATTATTGATGTCATTTGAGTTTGTTTTTACTATGGCAATGAAGAATTATAATATAACGATATGATTAAAGTTGTCAATAATTGTGGTTGTTCTCTATCAAATTCTATTCTTAAATAAGAATAAACTAATAGAAATATTGAGATTATTGCTTAAAAAGCAAAGAGTTCAGATTTAACACCCAATTTAAAGTCTAAAAACAAGTCTTTTATTAAAATCTAAGAAATTATAATCTATGAATAGGGTATCCTACCAAAATTATGTATATTCATTATTATTAAACAAAACATATCTAATTCTATACATAAAATAGTTCCTTACAACATGAACTTATTAAATACATTTTATAGCAATATTAATGCTAATGTAATCAAAGTTATAATTATTAATTGTATTACATTGAGTAAACATGAGTTTTGGAAATAATGATATATTGAGTATGAGAGAATCATGCTTTGTAAGAGATTGACCATAAAGCATTTTTGATTTAACATAATTTAATATAAATATACTTTTTAAATAAATTACTAATATTTTCTTATTGTAAAAAATACATTACATATATATATTAACTCTCTTTCTTTCTATAAATATCAACATTATCTATTATAACTGATAATAAATAAATGTCATCCTTAATTTATATGTTATTTATTCATTAAAACAGATTATTATTATGAATTTCTAATATATCTTCTATTTATAATACGATATTTAATTCTTTAATCATAATACCCAAAAGTAAAATATAAACATTATTATTAATATATAAATTTATATAATTATTCTATTTTCTATTCCTTTTTAAACTAAATTCTGTGTTAAGTATTTTTGAAAAATTTAAATATATCAATTTATTAAATATTAATGATTCTTTATATATCATCTAACACGCATAATTTGAATATAATTATTATTTTTAGTAAATTTATTTTCATTTAGAACATTTAATTAGTATTCTAGAATGATTAAATTAAATATTATTGTCAAATTGTTCATATATACATATATATATAAATTAGACTATATGGTTAATGTATTAAATTTTAGAAGACTTTAATTAAATTAGAAAATGATAATCTCATTGTTTATTTCAAAAATATCATAACTAAATTATAAAATATAATCTTAATTATATTTAATGCAATTTCATTATACTTTATATGTTGAATTTTAAAGAACCTTAGTCTAATCTTAAAAACAAAAGTAATTTGATATTTAATATTTTTATAAATTTTTCAGATAAAACAAACTAAAAATTCAAACTTAATATATCAGAATAAATATATTAATATTAAGAAGAATTAAATTTAATGAATGGATTTTACGTTACTTTCTAATATATTTCATATGGGAAATTTATACATATCTCATTAAGTATTAATAATAATTTTAGTGTATATATTCATCATAGATTATCCATTTCCTTTTTTTATAATCGAATTTATAGATAGATTTGAATTAACAACCTATTTAATAATCAATCCATTAAATTATTAATTGAACTAAAAAATGTATGATAATCAGAAATCTATACTATATTATATTGTTTATTTTAATAATAATAAATCTAATTCTATAAAAGACTCTTATTCACTGATTCACTAAGATTAGATTAAAATTGATGACACTTTAAAGAATTGTAATAAATAAACATGAATTTTCATAATATTTTGCTCTAGATCATAAATAATATTATTATGGTATTAATACCTAAGAATTCAGAAGCTATATATAATTAAAAATTTATGTCGATTAAGTAAAATCAAGGAAAAGTGAGAATTATTAATTCTCATCTCTTTAGCTTTAGAAATGAGCATAAGTTAGTTTGTATGTTAGACATTCAAATGAATAAGAGAACAAATATTCAGATATATAATTAATACTCTAATATATATATTTATGATATGAGACCTCAATACTTGAGAAGAGAATTCTTAACTATGGTCTTATTAGCCACATGACAACTCTTCTACTGAATTTTAGAATTATATATATAACTGACAGAGTCTTTTCTCAAAAAATTATTACTAAGTCGTTATTTAAATCAATATACCCTAAAATTCTAAACATCATCAGAAAATCTTCATGATGTGTATATCTTGTTATGTGGGCTATATTCCTCAATTTGTTTCTCAATCGGTTCATCAATTTCAGAAACTCTTAGGCTCTTATATCTCCCAAAATTTATTAAATAAGATTTTTTTATCTACATGCAAAAGATACAATAGCCTTTGCATAATTTTTTTGGATATTTGTAGATTTGACCAAGAAATTTGGTTTTTATGACTTTTTTTAAAGGATACTCTTATTGAACTTATTTTGAATATGTATATCTCTAATTTCTTCTTAGTTGCTTACTAATTCAAGTTTACTTTCAGTTTCTGAGTAAGTTTTCTTTTAGATATCTTCTATCTAATGAATGGGTTCATCAGATGATTTATTTTCTTAAATTTGTGTTTATGCCTAAATATTGTAATTAAATGAATTTGGAACAGAATATGATTATGGCATTATCATATATTGATATCCATAAGGATAAAGTAGATGATGGGGTACAAAAAAGGTATTAAAATTTGTATTAAACATATTATTATATTCTAAATAAACACAACCGTAAGACTTAATATTGTCGATACTAAATCAGTTTATTCACTTTAATTAAGTAATATTATTACATTTTTAATTAAAAAGGAGATATTTATATATTGTAAGTTAAATATAAGATATTAATTATAATATGTTATCATACAATTTACTTCAATTAGTTATTCATAATTATTAACAAAATCTAAATAGAACTATGTATTATTGTAAATTATCAATTATTTATCCTTAATCCAAATAATATTAACAAATATTTGATTAAAATATTATAAAATAGTAATGTAGTAAATTATAAGAATTATTTGATATATTTTAATATTAATAATAATGTTTAGAAAAAAAGAAGTTATTTAAATAGCAGAATTAAGGGCTGAACCTATAAAAGAGATTTAATTATAGTTGAGTGAAGAGTTATATGAGTCGAAGTTTATTTTTAATATTAATGTATACAGTTGGATTAGATTGATTAGAGAATGTAATGGAAATTAAAGAGAGAAGTTATTGGAGATGCTTAAAAGGTATCAGAAATCAATTCTAAGATTTCTATAATAAAAGAATAAAATAAATCTTAATTAAAGGAAGAGTTTTTAAAATTAACTTAAGATGTTGTTAATTTAGAATAATAAAAAGTTAATTAAATAAAAACAATTAGAAAATTAGTTGATGATAAAGAATATGCAGAAAAGAAATCTAAGGAGATGAAGAAATTATATTTGTAATCATAAATTCGTAATGAGTAATTAAAAAAAATGATATTAGAAGAAGAAGAACGATTTAAGAGTTTGATATTGAATTGATAATAGTATAAAAAATTAATTAATCAATTGTATTATTAATATCTTAATAATTATTATTCTTTTTCTTATAAATTTCTAGACATAACTAATAAAAGATTTTATAGATCTCTAATTTATGGATTGTCTTTTAGATTTCTTTTGTAATTATCTAATTCTCTATGTAATCTATCAATTTCTAAATCTTTTAATTCTAGATATTCCATTGCTTCTTTTAATTAATCTTCTTTATTATTATTTTATTGCATATGTAATTTAATTTCATCAATTTGATTAAGTACTTCTACTAATTATTAATCTTTGATTTATAATTCTGTTGTTAATTCTTTTATTTTCTTTTATGTTTACAATAATTATTATTTAAGTAATGAATTATTATGAGTTAATTCTTGAATTTCAAGTGTTAATGTTTCATAACATTTAGTAGGTCTTTTTTAAGATCCACTATTTTTTTTATTAACTTTTTATAATTCTGTTTCATATGTTCTATTCATATTTTGAGACATTTATAAATTGATATCTTTACTTTTTAATTAATCATTTAGACTAGATAATTCACTTCTTTTTTAAGTTAATTCTTTTTAACATTTCTGTAATTATTTTTAATATTCTTTAACTTATTAATCCTTCTTTATTAATAATGTTTCAGCTTCTGTTGATGTTTCTGTCAATATTTATATTTTATTTTTTAGAGTAGCCAATTCTATTATAACATCCTATTTAAAAGATGATTCATCAAGTTTCTTAAGACCTTCAAACTTCTTCTCTAATTAAATATAACGTTGTCTTTCTTAAAAATACATTTTCTCATAATGATCATAATCAGTTTATATATTTATTGATCTCATTTCTTTATTATATTATTAAGTATCCTTTAATTCAAGTGCTAATTGTTTTAATTCATGCTTATACCTTTCAATTATCTAATTAAAACATTAAAATACTTTAATTTCTCCTTCTCTTAAATGATTAACTAATGTCATAATTTAATTCAGAATTGTAAGTATCTCTGAAGAATTACAATCCTCTTCATTCTCTAATATCACAGGTAATTGATTCTCATCTATTTCATCTGATAATTATTTCACTTCTTCCCAATATTCATTCTGATCTTATTTGAATTCTTCTAAACGTTAAAAGAGAATTTGCAATTATTATTCCATAAATTTATTTATGGCTTAAAATTTTCATAGCAATCTACCAAAAGACTTTGAAGCATTCCTTCATGAAGTCAAATCTGTGGTTTAAGCAAGACAATAAACATTAAATGAAAGTATTCAATAAGAATAGAAGAAGTGTATTGAAGGAAAGAAAGAATAAGACTTTTTGAAGTGTTAAACTAAATTAGCAAAGAAATTAGAAAAGAATGAAGCATTATTTTGTATATCCACATGATTTATCAAAGAATTTAAGATGATATATTGGAGAGAAACATCAGTCTAATGTTTTAAGACATAAGAATAAAAAGGTGCAGGAACTGATCAATGTAAGGCTGATTCTAAGAAATTATTGGAGACTATCTTTGATTCCTTTAAATTATGAATACCTATATATATATAAGTAAGTTTATTATAATTTAGACTTATTTTTTTAATATTTTTATACAATACAAATTATTTAAATACAGTTAATAACTTCAGATCCAATATAATATTGTTTAATTATTTTGATTCATAATTATTACATAAGTTACCTATTATATTCTAATAAGTATATAATAATTTAATATAATTACACTTATAAGATTTGAATACTTTGATAAATCAATTTTATAAAAACTCTTTTAAAATTATATTAAATACATACAAAATTTTAAGGTGTCTTATTTAATACTTAGGATAAAAGTATAAAATATAGAAAAAAATAAATACATTTATTTATTTAATAATATATATGTTAAATATACTAAAATACTCATTGTTTTTTAAAAATGTTTAATTTACCCCAGAATCCACCTTTCTTTTGTTCTTCTAATGTTGGATAGATTAAGTATGAATGTGCCTATCATAATAAAATAATTGAATTACAATATCTAATTATATTGGTTTAGGTGGAATTGGTTGCATTAAAGAAACTAAATCAGCTGGTTTATATGATAAAACATTATCTAAAGTAATTTATTCAGGAGAGTCTAATAATTCAAATAAAGTTTTGCAATTTTATTTATCCTCTAATCCAATATTTTGAATTTCTTATCCAATTATTTTAACTTATTCTTATTAGAGTTTTAATCCATTTAATTTACTCTTATTTTATATTTATATTGATAATGGAACAAGTAATTTCAATAAAGCATGAGGTTCCAATTTATTTTCTGTGTATTTTCTATCAGCTATTCTTGATAAATCATCATGATATTTCAATAAACTGTAAGCTTCTCTATACTTTTCATTAGTAAAATAAAGACATCCAACAAAGAAACATCGAAGTGCTTTACAAAAGAATTCTTTAGCATCTAAAATTTTGAATAATGTAATATCTTTATTGAAACGTTCTTCATCCATTATTTATCTTAAAATTTAGGAATAATTATCACAATATTTAATAATTTCTTATGGAGTAGTTAATTTTAATTTAAGTGCCTTTTTAGTTTATAGATTTTAAAGATTATTGACTCCATCTTCTTTTATGAATTTTTCAGTATATTATTTAATATGCATTTCATTTCTATCAAGAGTTGCTGATTATCTTTAATAATTGATATAACCTAAAACTTTAGTGTGTATTTCCTTTTCTTATTCAGATGTTGATTAATCCTTATCTATCTTAACATATTTTGATGCTTCATCATAAAGTGAAAACAAAGTAGTAAATGAATCCATATCACCTATTAGTTTACTTTCTTGAATTTTAAGAATTAATTTAACTACCTTTTCATTTTTTATTGGTAATTTAGAATCTTAATATTCAATTTCAAAAACACCTTATTATTGAGTCATCTTAGCTTATCTCTATTCTTCAAGCATTTCTTGGAATTTAGCAATCATAATAGGATCACTTTGATCTTTTAACATTTTAGTTAATTCATCAGCAGATAATGTAGCTAATCTCTTTGCTTTAGCATTACAATATCTAATTTATTGATTTAATTATTCTAATCTTTCTTAATATACACCAGAACTAAATTAATCGCATACTTTTATTATTTATTCATAAATAGTATAACATTTAGCAAATGATTCTAATGCTTTTTCCCATTTTTCTGTTTCAAAATGATACAATCCTTATAAATACCAAGTATATGCTTCTGATTCTAAAGATGTTCTTTTTTCAGTTCTTTATTCACAAATAGTAGTTAATTATTTAGAATATTAAATAGCTCTTTTAAATTTCTTAACCAAATAAACTTTAACTTATCTTTTATTTATTTTCTTATTGACTCCACTATTAATCAATTATTTTAAAGTCATAGCATGTGCCCAATTCTTTTCAGCTTAATACAATAATACTTATAAAACACGTGGATCATTCTAATTTTAATATTTGTATTATACCTTGACCACATCTTAAATTACTTTCTTTTGAAATCTCTTTCCATGAGTAAATTACATTTAACGTCTTAATTTGTTTATTTTATTATAACAATATGTCCTATATCTTTAATAATCTCCATGTTGTAATCCATAATTTCTTTAAGTTTCTCTTATTCTTTAGAATACTATTTAATATAATATTAATTAATACCATACAAAGAACCTAAGTTTAATAATTATTCTTATTATTCTTCCTCTTCCATTTATTACATATTTAATTAAATAATAATATAATATATATGAAATAATATAAACTCAGTTATCTTCTTCTTAATATATTTCATCTAGTTCTTCTACATTCTCATAAAATTCACTCATTTATTTTATACTTGAAAAACACTCCATATTATTTTATAAATTCTTTAATCCTTTTGATAAGGTTTCATTTTATTGTATTAATTCCATCTAATAATTCAATCATAATTAATACATTCTTCATTCTTAACTTTTCAGCATGTATTTCCCCTTCATTATAAACTCTCTTTACTAGTTGTCTAAGATCTTAAATCTAAATGTAATATATAAATAATTAACTTCATTAACGAGTTCTTCTTGTTTTATCTCAAGCATATTAACCTTTTCTTACAATTTATAATTGTCTTCCTTCAATTTAATATTCTCGCTTAATAAATTTCTTTCTTTCTATTAAGTACTGGAAATATAATTAGTAAATGCTTATTATTGAAGTTATTTTAAAATCATCTAACATATTTCTGTGATTTATACCTCTTATATGTCTTAATTGTTTTCCTAAATTGGATAACTCTCAAATTGTTAGTCCATCATTAAAGTATTAAATATTAATATTAAAAAAAATAATAATCAATTTTGATTTATTTTCCAAGGTTTAATAAAGAATTACTAAACTTTTTTATATTATAGAAATAACAAAATTGTTATTATTACTATGAAAAATATACTACCAAAGAAACATCCCTTTACAAGTGGTTCTGTATTTAAATATGAATGCTCTGCAAATGTTATTACTTCTTTCACAGCCTATAATCATTATTTTTTAGAAATACAATTGTAATCCCTTCATCTGTAAAACAATTATATTTTTGATATTCATGAAATATTCTATTCTAACCATCAATTCCTTTTAAACCATCAGCTTATGTATAATAAATTATGCCCAATGCTATATTACTCATGCATAGGATAAACGTTATTATCAATTAATATTCAATATGTTAAAATTTAGTAAAATCAATAGATATGAATATTACATCTCTTAGTAAATAAAACAATAAAGATGTTATTAATAAAACAGTTGTTAAAATTAAAGAGATTTTGCTCACATATCTACTATAAGAATTAATAATCTCTCCTTGTAATCTCATCTTTTTTATACTATCTGGATCTACAATATTACATTCTGGATTTGTTGAATTAATTGTTATTCTACTCATTAATTATAAGGTATAAGTATCAATGCTATCAATATAATCTAAAAAGTATGGTATGCTTTAAAAATTAGTGAAATCATTGTCATCATATACATTTAATTAATAATCTGAATCAATGATTTTTGAATAATTAAATGTATTTCCATATTTATCACAGCCCTTTTCAGGAACAATCGCTAACGGATAATATTTACCACTTTAAAATTTTGGTTATACTTTTGAATTAAAACACATTGAATTAGGATGAACACCAGGAACAATTTAAAAATTAATTAATGGAGTTGAACCGTTACGGTACTTATTAAAATATTTTGACCCAATTTTAATCTATTTTTCAGTTTATGTTTGTGTTTCAATTAAATCTGTAAGTGGACATTTTGAATTTGATGATGATATACATATACCAGCACCACATTTATAGTAATTAGATGGACATTCCTAATTACCTACCCATTTCCATTTCTTTGCAAATTCAACACATAACATTTCTCCTTTCCAATATTAGAATTGTTATCCTTTATAATAAGGAACACTCTAACAATCAGATTTGAAATGAGTAAAACAATAGGATCTTTCTTTTAATTCTCCATTTGAACATAAACAACCTATTTAAATATCATTCTTAATACCTGAATTGACTCCTTCCCAAGTGCCTATAGTAGTAATTTCAAATCCATATGGACAACTTTAATAATGTCTATGGAGTCTATTAATTTGAATGGTATTTTGAATATCAAGGATTGGTGATGAAGCTAGGTTTTCTTGTAGTGTTTTCAAGGTGGCAGAAGCACTGGATGGATCTTTTTAAGGTTGCTATTGATGGTACACTTGAATCATAAGAATAAGGATAAATGTTGCGTAGATTAATGGTATTAGAAATATTGGAAGTGAGAATGGACTGGGTTCTTCATTTAGGATTTCTGATTGAACATCTTCATAAATGTTAAGTCATGATTTACTTTATAGACTGTCAATAGAAATATTGTCACTATTTTCTTGCCAATCATGTTTGTGAAGGTGCAAGGATCTGCGAATTGATAATTTCATCTTTTATTATTTGATATGAAAAACTTAATCAAGTATTTAAAGAAGTATTGAATAAAGAATAATAATAAAATCAAAATATTTGAATGTTTTAATACTATTAATATGGTTATTCATCATAATTCTCATGGACATTATCATAAACTATTCTCATACTAATTAAAGGTAAGTTTGAATGATGTAAATAACAAATGTTTAACGTTATCTATTTAATTAATAAATTAAATGTAGAAGACAAACTTTAAGAACCTAAAAGACTTACTACAAAATAAGTATGCCTATTAAGAAGCAACATCAAATTCTCGTACTTCTTCCATAGCTGAAGTCTTATAGAATCTCAAAAAAAATAAAGATTAGACTCCAGTCTCTATCATGAAGGAGGAGATCATCAATTTTACTAAAGCTATAGGTTTTGGCATTTAAGCTCCATCCTCTAAATCAAAATCTAAAGAGAAATAAGCATTGCCAAAGAGTATTGACAAGTAATCAAATAATTTTTGATTTTAGAAAACCTATATTAAGCAATGTAGCCCCATAATCAAAGGGTAATAGTCGAAAAAATAGTTCTTAGAGTAGAAATACTTCTGCTCATTCTATTATAAATGAGAAGTAAGTTAAATAAATATATTAGCACAAATCGATCAATTGCCAAAGACCCAAAAATACCAAAAGGATTTTAAACAGGAAGATTAAGAGAAAGATCAGAAATGAATTCAATTTTGGATTAATAAAAAATAAAAATACTTAATTAATCATAAGATCAATAAAAATAGAATCTCAATAATAGCAACGTAAGTAAATAAGGAACCATAGATCTAGTCAACTTATTAAAGCAATAATAAAATCAAAAATAATAATCAATAAATGAGACAATAAATGAAAGTAAAACATTTGGAGAAGAGTTTTGTGGATTAAATAAAGGTCATTTCATATATAATTATGTGATTGGAAAAGGAGGATTTGGAAAAGTATGGAAAGTAGAATTAAAGAAAAATAGATAAATGTTTGCTATGAAAGAAATGATGAAATCTAAAATCATTGCTAAAAGGAGTATTAACTCTGTGATGAATGAAAAAGAATTATTATCATAATTAAGACATCCATTCTTAGTTAATATGTGTTATGCATTTTAAGATAGAGACAATCTATATTTGATTATGGATTTATTGACAGGAGGAGATTTAAGATTCCATATAGGTAAAATGAAGAGATTTAAAGAACATTAAACAAGTATTTATATAAAAAATAATTTAGAATTTTTTATGGCATGCATTGTAAGTGGATTAGAATATTTACATAATAATAACATTATTCATAGAGATATTAAACCAGAAAATATAGTACTAGATAAACGAGTAATAATTATATATTTATTAAGGGTTATGCTAGAATAACAGATCTAGGTATTGCAAGAAAAGTTAGACCAGATAATTCTTAAGATACAAGTGGTACTCCTGGATATATGGGTAATTACTATTAATAAATTCCATTTAGCACCTGAAGTTATGTGTAGATAAAATCATGGAATTGCAGTTGATTATTTTGCTTTAGGAGTTATTGCATATGAATTTATGATTGGAAAAGTAATCTTTTATTTTTTAATATTAAAAAGAGACCATACAATGGAAAGTCAAGAAAGGAAATTAGAGATTAAATTCTAGCTAAATAGGCATCTATTAAAAAAGAAGATTTACCAAATGGTTGGTCTATTGAAGCTATGGATTTTGTAAATAAAGTATAACTACATTTAAATTCTTAGTTATTACAAAGAAAACCATAAAATAGATTAGGATTTAATGGTCCTTCTGAAGTCAAGAATCATCCTTGGTTAAAAGGTGTACCTTGGGAAAAATTGTATAATAAGACAATTGAAGCACCTTATCTTCCTATTGTATTTGTTATTGTAAACAATAGAATGTTGAGGATATGTATAGATAATAAATATCTGATGATGGAGAAGAATCTTAAGATGAATTGATAAAGGAAAATTAATTATTATTAAGGAAAAATAGTGTTTAAAGTATAAAAATAAAAAAATAAATTTAGATTTATTTGCTGGTTATGGATATGATTGCAATTAAGATCCTACTTATAAAGGAACTAGAAGTACAGCATCAACACATAATACAAGTCAATAGAATGAAACAATCAAATTTTGAAAAAATTAATTCATAATATATATGTAATAATACATTCACAATAACAAAATTAATAACAAAACTAAGAATGCAACAAAAGCACAAATTAACATGCACCATAACTTCTTTTTACCAGTTTTCTGTTATTCTTATGTTTTACTTAATTATTCTTATGTTTTGATAACATTCTCTTTTGTTGTTGTGACATTTGTTTCTATTACATCAAAATAGGTATCTTAATGTTCTATTTCCAATGCTAAATCTTGAACAATTTTATTAATTGTTTATGTCTTATATTAGATTTAATCTATTTCTTCTTAGTTTTATTTAATGATTTAATTGTGCCATTCAATGTGGTCAAATTGTTCAAATGTCTATACATCCATCATTTACAATTATTAGGCATTTTAAACATTTTATTGATTATTGGAAGAATGATTCAATGTAAAATTTTATACATCTTATTTCGATGTCATTTTCATCATTCTTTCAATATCCTTTAACACTTCCTTTAAAGATTCATATCCACAATCATTAATCATATTTTTATATAACTGTTGATGTCTTTAAAGATGACTAGTGTACAAATCTCTTAATTTCTTGGTTTTATTTCGTTGCTCAACTCCCCTAGATGACTTTGAGTTATTGTTTAAAGTACTTGCTCCAATTTAATGATGTTTTCTTTAATGTCCATATGCTCTAATTAGATAGCTTTCAATTGTAGAAACACTTGATTGACATTATGTTAATCAATTTCTGATTCCCCAGATACCTGTAATTCATCAACGCTTTGTTAGTAATCTATAAGTTGTGCTTTCACTTTCTAAGATACAATATGATTAGGTACCTCATATAACTAATCAAAGGAGATATTATTGTTTAATAATGATGTATGAAGATCACTCATTTAATTAAATATTAAATCAATCACACCATTACATTCTTTTTCCATTCACCCATTATCCTTTCCTCTTTCCTTATTAAGAATTAGTATATTCACCAATTCCATGTTATTTACCATATTCCCATTATCCAGAATATTATCGAGAATCAGCTAACTAAATTACTATTATGATTACGCCATGTCAAAGTTCCAAATCCATGTTTTTTATCATTCTTATATTCCCCTTAATATATAGTACCATCTGCCCATGTCATTTTACCCTTTCCATCCATTTAATCGTTTAGCCACTCTCCTTCATATTTTCTACCATCATTCCAAGTATAAGTACTAAAATATATCAATTATAATTACCCTTATCCATTAAATTAGTTATTTTTAAACGAACCTTCATAAAGAGAACCATCTGGGAATTTATATACTCCATATCCTTCACGTTTTCCTAATTTAAATTAACCTGTATAACTAGATTTATCAGAGAAAAATTCGAATCCCTATCCATTTTATAAATTTTCGAACCAGTCTCCTTTATACATGGCACCATCTCCATGATAATACTCACCATATCCGTAATGTTGATCATCACACCATTATCCTATATAATAATCACCATCGGCATAAATCATTCTACCCTTTCCATTTGCCATTCCTCGAGAAAATTAACCTTCATATATTGATCCATTTTTCATGATTTAAACTCCTTTTTATTAAATAACTGAATTTTACCTTTTCCATTTTTTTGACCTTCTAACCATCCTCCTTGATATAAACTCCCATTATTTAATTCATACACTCCATAAAAATATGCTTCCGAGTCTTCTACTTCAAAAGGGGCCAATCTATCTAATAGTTCCTGCATTAAAATCATCTCGTACTTTGACTTTGAATGAGGTTGTCTAGAACAATTAAGATGTTAATTTAGCTTCTTTAACATCAGGTCTATGAATTTCTAATAGTAAGGAATCATCCAATTATCTAGTTTTGGTTTATGATAAATTCTTCTCTAAATCTCCTTGAATTAAAGGTTCATCTGGAAGAGCTCCAACTTCCCGAATGGTCTCAATTTTACTAGTAAATGTCAGTGGAGGGGCCTCGCTTAGAACAGTAATTTATTCAGAACATACACATTATCCCATTATTTAATTTATTTTATAAGTATATAACTATTAATTGTTCACTATTTTCTTATCAGATTGGTATTATTCTTGATTTCTTATTCCATAAAATGTAAGATTCTCATTTCCAAATTCTAGTTCTTCTTTACTTATACATCTAAAGCTTATTTAATAGATTGTAATTCATCGATTTTAACTTAATTTTCCTTATCTTTTCTTTAAATGATTTAATCTATATGACAATTTAATAATAATACTTGTTTGGTTTAGTTTCCATTGTAACTCCTGTATTTCCAAGGAATTATTATTATAATTATTAATATGTTCTAATTATCTTCTATAATTATCCATTTCTAATTAATTTTAGCTCACCTATTGTTCTAATTATCTAAATGATATTTCATGTATTACCTTGATTTCGATTCATAATGTAATAGAATTTATTCATAGTCTTTTATTTTATCATTCAAATTTTAAATTTAAGTTTCAAATAATGCTTTTTCTGCATTTGATATCATATTATGACTATCCTCCTAGATTTATCTTTATTCTAAACGTTCTCTCATTTCAGATATCTCCTACCATAATATTTAATATCTTGAACTTGCCTATTACAATTCATTTTATTATGATTAAACCTATTAAATATAAGTATTCTAATAATTAAAAAAGTATATACTTCTGATTAATCTTTTTGTATTTTTAATATACTTATTTATTCTTTCAGTTAATTTATAGTATTATTAAGAGAAGTAATAGTCTAATGATTATTATTTTGTTCCTATCTTATTTACTTTATATCATTTTCTAATTAATTAATATAAACAATATATTCTGTTTTTTGAGATTAGTCTTTTAATTATTTTTCTAGACTAGATATCTTTTAATTCAAAAGATCATTCTCTTATTGTAGTGAATCCTTTTAATTTAAAAAACTTTAGGATTTTATTTCCAAAGAAGTGATTGTTTCTTTTAATTATTCAAAAGTTTAATGATCTAATTATGTATGTTATAATTATTATCTGAGATTATCATTACTTATTTGAAGAGTTAATAATTTAATTTCTGCTTATTCTAATTTATAACTTAATTCTCTTTAAGTATAATTGCTTTTTGTATTAGATGAATTAGGATGAGTATTGATGTGAATATTATGATTCATATTTGGATTCATATTCTCTTTATGCAATCTATTTTGTTAAGACAACAATAAATCTTAATATTTTCTGTCTGATTCTGATATTTACTACATAAGTTTTTTGTTTTCATCTTGTTAATAATTTATTTAATGATTTAATTTAGAGTTATCATTAACTAAGACAGTAATTTTTTATTGCAATTATTCCATTATTAATTTTAGTTTATCATACTCTGAATTACTTTGTAAGGTATTCAGATGATTTCTAATTTAATTGTTTTCTTCAACTAATTAATTAGATAATTATGCAGATGATTTAATAACTTATATTACTTGATCAAATTAACTTTAAACAACTCTATCAAATGATTTTTTAAGATCTTCCAACTAACAAATTGCAAATCTAAGTTGATCTTTCAAAATCTCAAAATTATTTATTTTCATTCCTTTTGGTATTGTTGTGCTCTTTTTATCAAAATTACTTTCTTATGTATAATTTAATGTAGTATTAAAACTAGTAGAATCTAATAATCTATTAGGTTGGGTTTTATTGGGCATTAAAGTAGCAGTTGATCCAGATTTTCCTCTGACTTAATAAAACGAACTCCTCTAACTTTAATTGACTGGTAAATCTTTTATAGGTGATAATTAATCAATGATGCTCCTTTGATATATATATATTTAATTTACATTCTCATTTTCTAACAACTCATATAATTGGGATTGCAATGTTATTTCTGAGGTGGTGTTACACTGGATTGACGTACTTGATACATGGTTGCTGGTTTTTGAGTGAGTTACATACTCATTTTACTGTTATAAAAATTTGAATTATTAAATTTATATTTTTTAATGAAAATGAAAACAAGATCAAGCTTGGTTGGCAAGTCTTTGGTTTCTTTCATGGTTTTCATCTTCAACTTAGTTGAATCTGGCTTCAACCATCTCTTCTAATTCAGCAACTAATTAGAGTTCGTTTCTTCTGGCTTAAGTGGCATAGTTGTATTCGTTGGCAAAAGTTGCGCATAAGGCTTAGGCTTAATCCCAAAGTTATTGGTTTCTTTAGAGTTTTCCTGATGCAGTTTATGCAATAGCTGATTGAGTTCCAATTTATTAGTTCAATGAATCGAGTTTATTTTAAAGTCTTTCGTTTTAAGCTTCAAGTCTAGCAATGGTTTATCCTAATCTATCCTTTTAGTCATTGAAAGCAGCAACTGAAACAGCGTTTGATTCAGTGAAATCATTGTATGCTTCTTGGATGTTACCTCTCAAAGTTTCTAAAAGTTAAGCGACTCTTTCAAGAGCTGATTCATCGAGTTATCCTTCTTAGGCAGCCAATTAAGCAAAGGCATAGAAGACTGGGGCAAACTTGGCAGTTTCCTTGATGTTGAAGGCAGTTTAGAGCATGCTCTTTGAAACTCTGCTGATTTCAGCGAAAGATCCTGATCCACTGTAGATGGTGGCTAAGATATCAGATGCTTCATCAATAGCATGGAGAGCATCTTCATAATCTCTTCCTCTTCTCTTGAAGTATCCAGCTTCAGTTTCTGCGGCACTCAAAACAGTATTTAAGTGTTCTTAAGCTGAGAAGTATTATTATTAGTTGACTTCTTATTAGTTGGTGGCTCTGATCTTTGATGTTTAAGCAACATTCAAGGCAGCAGTTGAATCTCTAAGGACATTGCTAGCATCAGTGACTTCAGCTCTTCTGAAAGCATCTTCAGATTCACATTCTGTGACTTAGACGTTGTAAATCTCATCATGATTAACTTATTCTGTGTTAACAGCATCTCTGAAATCTCTCAATACGTTCAAAATAGCATCGAGTGGTGATTTGTTCTTTAATTTGGCTTCAACTTCAGCCATAACTGCTGTCATTGATCTCTTCTTGGAGTAGTCTAAATTGAATTTTGTTGTAGCACTGGCAACGGCTAAAATGACCAATAAGCACAAGGCAAGTCTCATTGTAATAATAATATTTTTTCTTTTTGATTTTCCTCCTCATATAATGTACACAATTTCAAAAACGGATTTTTTTATTGAAAAACAACTAACTAAATACAATTTTCAAATTCCTTCCTCTTTAAATACTTAAACAATTTTCCGTCATTCAACCTACTAAATCAATCTTCTCCTGAATTCCTTTTGGTTTCACATTCTTTTATATAGATTATGAACTTATATCAGGCTATTCAAATTTAGCCCTCTTTTAAAAATAATAAAATATACTTTGTATCATAGTAAATCTTAAAATAAAAATTTTTAATTTATTTTCTACGATCTATTATAAATATATTATATCTTTATTCATTTTTAATTACTATATCTTATATTTTATTAAATTTTCTATTTTGACAGATAATGAAATTGATATTATAATCATTTGAAAATAAATAAAAATTTGGATTTTTTTTAAATGTTTAAAATATGGTAAATTATTTAGAAATGATATTTTATAAATAATATTATATAACACGAATAAATACATCATTTAATAAACATTAATCCAACAATTACAATTAAAATGCATATAATTACAATCCTATAACCTATTTTAGTTTTTTAAGACTATTGTGCTTTAACCAATTCTTATGATGCTTTTTAAGTTTTATTTTCTGCATAAGTATAATTATCTTCAATTGTAAACATTTAATCAACCTATTAAGTTGCAACTTCATGAATTTTTTCATATATACTTTTAACTGTTTCCATACTCTTATGAACATTTTACAATCTCTATTTTCTTTAATTTACATTATCTTCAAATAATTATACTTCAACTTAATGATTATCATGCAATAAACTTGTATCTTCATCTACATTATTATATTCCATTTCTTATAATCTCTTATTTTGTTATGAATAATATTTCATTAATTTCATGATCTAATTCTCATCTCCCTTTTTTATACGTTTTTATATTTCTTTTTTTATATTTTCTGAGATCTGTTTACATTTATTCAAATATTCAGATCGATGATTTCCTTCGACTTCTTCATCAAGGAGATTTCGAAATTTTTCAATATCATTTTTTAATTTATCATCTTCATCTTAATTATCTTAATACATTTAATATATAAATCATAACAAATATTATTCTTTTATCTTAAAATTATAATATTAACACGTATTAGATAATTCATCTAATATTAATTTATTTTATTGAAGCCTATAAGAATATTATTAATGCTTATCCAATATTGTTTTTACTTACTATTCCCTTTCATTTTAAAGTTTCTCCAATCTTTATTTAACATTAATAAATTTGATATCTTAAGTAATAGATCTGACTGTTCTATTTGGTTCTGATCGTTGTTCTTCATATCTATTTGTATTTGTATATTTATTAGATTCACTGCTAGACATATTTATTTATAAAGATTTCTTCTTCTATTTTATTTTGTTTTTTGATTTCTTTTACTATTCTTTTTATGTTAAATTTAATAGTTTGTTATAAATTTAAGTCAACCTATTTTATTCTTGTTCCTCCTTTGTCTTATTTGATTTCTCAAGATGTTTATGAATCTAATAATAAATAATATTTTGTACTATTTCATCTTATCCATGTAATCGTTATTTAATATTATCTAAACGTTAAGACTTTCTTTGAGATGCAGCATCCATACTTTTGTTTAGTTTCTTAAAAAATTCAAACTAAAATATAGATCATTATTCAACTACCTCATCTAAATGCTTAGGCTCTGCTAATTTTATTGTTGGTGTTTCTTTTATAGTTACTTCTTTTTTTTATTAAATTTTCTATGGAACTTACTCCACTAATTCTACTTTTGTTGTAATTTCTTCTTTGATTTCTCTGATTTCTTCTTATGCTGACATCTTTCTAGGCTTCCTTCTAACATTCTTTTTTTTTAACTTATTTGATAATGCTAACAATTAAATTTCCTTTTTTTTCAAACTCTGTTCCATAGATTAAGACAGTTTATCATTAAGCTTTTATAGTTTTGCACCATAATCAGCTTATAATTTCTTTTTGTTTTCATGAATTGATTCTAATCTTAAAACATTCTATTTTGCTCTTTGCATTTACTCTTCATATTTATATAATTGGCTTACCTTATAATGGATTCAAATATGCTCCACTATCTTAACTTCCTTCAAGGCAATTTTCAAGTCCTAATCATATATATATAATTTACTTTGGAGTTCCTTAGTGTAAGGCAATAATATATTTTACATAAATTATTAAAATCTAAAATAAAATTGATTGAATATATTTAATGATATAATACATCATTTTATTTAGAATCACAACATTTGATTTATGAATTCTTATCAAAATTAATTATAAAGATTTTCAAATCGATATCATTATTTTCTATTACTTAATCATATCTAATTATAAGAGATTATCTTTCTAAGTTTAATAGAGAAACATAATATTAAAGAATATAATGAAATTAGAGATTTCCTTATCAACCAAATATTATAAATTATAATTAAATAAATTAAAATCAAATTTTTTATTCTTTTGTATTCTTTATACCCTAAATTAATAATATAATAAAGAGAATTAGTAATTTGAATTATGAATATGGTTTCAATTTTAGATTTTATTAACTGATAAATAAATAAATAGAAATACAAAAAAATAATCTCCTGCTCTAAAATGACAACGAAGTTTTTTTTTAGATATGTTAATTGCAGTAGGAATATAAATGATAATCATATATCAGTAATAGATTGATAAGATGTCTATAAAATAATCAAAATCAGATTAATTATTCCATTTTTATTATATGAAATACAAATATTTATAAAATTATTTAATCAAGAACATCCCCTTTTTTTTGAAGATGCTATTATTTATTTATTAAATTAATTAAAATTATTAAGTTAATTATTGCATATTAATGAAAAATATTCTTTGTTAGACTACCTCACATTCTAATTATCAAGAATGTTTGTAAGATATTTTTTAATTTGAGGTACACTATTAAATTCATAATTTGCCATTACTAAAAATACGATTTCATTTACTGCACTAAAATAAAAGATACAATATACCTCAAATCTGCTATTGAGATAGTTTTAAGGTTATATATGTATTTATACTACCCTTCATTAAGAAATGCTTTAGTAAAAAATTATAACTATTAATCTATATTTTTTTATTTGGCTTTTAACTATTCCTCATTCTAATTCTTTTATACGCTCATAACATATTCTGTTATTTATCTCATTTAATTAAGATGAAAATCTAGATAACTATCTATCTAAGCCTTAAATCTTAGGTTTTCTTATGGATAAAATTCGAATAGTCGATATTATTCACACACATATTTTAAAATTGTATGACTTTCAAATAATGTAAAAGTGCCTTATTTAATTGATGGAACTGTTTAATTTGGATTTATTTGAGTATATTGATCAGATTTATTCTCGAATTTCAGAATATCTATAAATTTTTCATTATACTCAATTTTAGCCAATAAAAATAATGATCTTACAGCTCTTGAAGGTGATGAAAGCGGATGAAAATATAGAGTTATTAGATCTTATTTAGGTTATCTTGTCAATATTGATTAAATGAACAGATTTTTATATTTTTGTTTCGATATTAAATTAAATAATCCTAATGTGATAGATATAATTCTGGTATTTTTAAAATTCTCAAAATATATTTTTCTAAAACAGGGAACTTTTCGAAATCAAAATTACAAATAAATAAGGAAGTCAAATCACAGACAGCTCTTAAAAAATATAAAACTAATTACCTTATATCTGCAATAGTAAAGTTTGGTAAATCAAAAATATAATAAAATTGGCCATTGTTTAGGAAAGTTTTGATAAAAAAATGTAATATTTCCTCAACATCTACTAATCTCGAAACTCTATTTTCAGGAACTCTATCTCCTATCAACAAAGGTTTCAAATAAACTCTTTAGAATAATCTAAAAGTTTAGTAAATTCATTTTATTGCCAATCTAAATATGAATCCACTAAAGCTTTATCTTATAAAGTCTTATTTATATATTAAATGCTTTTTTTACATTAGGATATAATCTGAAATCAGGTTTATTTATGCAAATGTATTTTATTATTGCATGGCTTTCAAATAAACTGAAAAACCCTTCAGTAATGGCTGGAACAGTTTAGTTAGGATTAATATTAGTAAAAGCATGTTTGAGATTTTCTCCTTTCAGAACATCAATGATTTTTTCATTGAAACCACTCTTAGTTAGCAATAAGACTGTCTTAACTGATAGACATCTATGTGAATAAGGATTAAAATAAAGTGTTATAGACATTCGTTATTAAATTTAATATTACATATTTGCTAATTATTCGCTTAAATGATTAGCAAATATATAATTATTTATAATGAAATATTAATCATTGAGTAACGATATTAGAAGGCTAAAACGAATAGAACAGAATAAAGAAGATTAGTTGAATAAGCTAATAAGTAATATCGGATAAGAAATTTAATAAAAGTAACTATAATAATTATATAATTAGCATAGATGATCCGTATAAATATTTAATCAAAAGAAACTATTCAATAGATGATAGAACTATAATTAAAAGAGACGATACGTAATAACGTAGACCATAAGGAAGTATGTCCATAGCTGAAATTTGGACAAAAAAGATGAAAAAATAATGTGATAAAATATTAGAAGAGATGAAGAAGAAGCAAAATAAATAAATGTAAAGTTTATAAATTAGTTAGACTCGATTTTTCAAAATAATAATCAATAGATAATAGATAAATTGAAGAATCAAATTAATGTATACAATTATTTTATAAATAAAGCTCCATAAAATGCAAGCTTGATGATTGAATAATTGGGACTTAAAGCCTTAATGGGTAAAACTAAATACAAAAACAAAATTAAATAAATAGTTTAGTCTCCTCAATAAAAATTACAATCTTAATCCTAAATTTTAACTCAATCTCCTTAACCTATCAGAAATAGATTTGCTTCTAATTTTCATTTTGAGCCCATACAATATTCTCCGATTTAGCAGAACCATCACAACAGCCAAAGTACGAGTAGTAGTACAAAAAATTTGTATAACGTAATAATAATAGTAATAGAATCAATAGCAATTTTAGAAAATACAGTGTCAATAATGAAGTTAAAAGAGAAGTAAATAAATGTATATATGATTGTGATTCCTTAATTCATAATTATAAAGATGTTGATAAGTATTAATCTATTATAAAATTCGTAGAAAGTTAAAACAACCATAGAAAAGTCGTTTAGATATTTTTGTTGAAAAATAGAGAAAAGAAGCATTAGAAGAACTAATATTTATCGAAAGAAATAAACCTAAAAACATATGTTGATCTATATTTTTATTTATTATTTTCCATTAATAAGTCATTAAATAAGTAAATATCATAATAGATTAAACAGTGGATGTAAAATCCTAATTAATTTGAATTACAATATTCTACTTCTAAAAGTTAATAAAATCCTTATTTATATGGATATTAGTAGGAAAATAAACTCTTAAAATTATTTTATCAAAATATAGATAGTTAATAATTACAATCATATTTTAATACATTTCAATATATTATTTGAAAACACTGTTTCTTAAAAACCAAAGAAAATATTCCTATAAATGAGGCATTGAAGGAAATGAAAAATTACAAAACTCCTCTTATTTTGACTGAAAAAAATATGGTCTTCCTTTTGAATAAAATGAAATTATTCTAATTTAATAAATGCATATCTCAAAATGTTCAAGAAATTAATTTTTAAGTGCACCCTCTTATATTTAAATATGTCTCTGCAGTTGCCTTTGGACAATTTCGAATATAATTGAAAACAATTGAATCACAGTAATATAATTGAGTAACAGGATCTTTATATTTTGCCTAAAATATATTTTTTTGCTACTTCGAATCCAGTTACATCGCAATATCTCTTAGCCGGTTTAAGTGATGGAGGTGCTTCAATTGAGAGATCTAAATACTAAAATAGTTTCTACAATTAAATGCTGAATTATTAATTTGAACCTAAGCTTTGATATTATTGAACTTTCTTGATTATGATTAACGCCTTGATTTTAACTCTTTTTTTCTTGCTTGCCATTAGGAATTCTTAAATGAATAAGACATGATTAATGTATTTGTTTTATATTAATAATTATAT